CACATGGCAAATGCCATGGGCCCCCAAACAGGGATCGATGTATTATTTTCTTCTCTTTCGACCTCGATTGTTACTATCCTTACGGCTGCCAATTCGGCAGAGGCGGCTGGAACCCCAGTCGGTAGCAAAGAGGCGAGAAAAGAAGAAAACCAATTTCGATGAAAAAAAAAATGAAGTCTGGTCCAACGACCTGTGTCGGATGGACGATAAGGGAATGGGGAAGGCCTGACGTGGACCACTCGCTACTGTACGTCGATGCATTCGAAATTTTCGTCACGCCGCATAACATAAAATCCGCTGTGGCTTCCGGGCCGTGTTGAGTCGGCCCCAGCTGTCCGAAACAGCGCGCGGGAAACCACACTGAGGGAACGAGGGAATGAGGGAATGAGTGTCACGGCCAGCACGACAAAGTGCCTGTCAATCAAGGGAGCAAGAAAGCCATGGAACTATGCATGTTACAGCAGATGGATGGGGGAGGAGACAGGAAAAACGGGCCCCGGGAGAAACGCAACGATGATACCGAGAAAGCAGACAGCAAATGGACTGACTGGAATCCGAGAAGGGGAGGAGGAAAGAAAGAAAAAAGGAAGGGGAGGAAGCAAAGGTTCAAAGCATAGATCCCCACATTCTCAGCTGATTCACTCTCGACTCGAGGGGGCGGCCCTCGACAAGGTTTCCGTGCTCCCTCGATGCTTGGTCAATGAACACCAGGGAGAGAGGAAGAGGCCCAACCCTGTTTTCGCTTCCACCCCCTTTTTATTCTCCATCTTCCTTTCCTCTCGAAGCGGATTACATGAGCTATTCGGACTTGGGGCCAGGAACTCGACCTGCAGACAGGTAAACACGAGCAAATCAATGAGGGAAAATGAGCCGAATTGGAATCGGAGGGGTGAAGAATATGGTCAATCCGAAGAGAAGGAAAGGCGGAAGGTCGTGACGGGGGTAGGAAAGGAAGGGGAGGGGGACCGGCAAGATTGGCAGAGCAGGCCAGAACAGGACGTGGAGGTATCTGGTCTGGGTCTCGAGGTATTAGTTCAGTTCACATAAAATGACCCAACTGCCACCACCCCCGCCCGTGTCTGGCTTTTCTCGTTCTGCCCTTCTTGTCCTTTTCGTTTGCGTCCTTTCCTCGTTGCTTCAATTCCTGCTTTTACGGGATTTTTTGGGCTTCTTTTTCGGGGTTTTCGTTGTCGCTCCGGCTGCCGTCTTCCGCCCGTATCGCCCATGATGCTTCTCAGCAGCCCTCCAATTCTGGCCTCTGTGGCTCCCGCCAACCAAAGAATGCACATTGGCAAGGTCTGATATTCTTTCGAGTCCGGCCAAATTCGCCAGACGCCTTGAAAATTCTGTACGGCATCAAGAATTCACGGAAACCCCATAGTTCGAATGGATCAAACAGCGATTCTTGGGTGGTTTTTCTTTCGACGACAAAATTTCTCGTGGGTGAAGGGAGGGCCACGCCGCCCGAAACAGCAGTCCTGCGTCCAGGCTAACTGCGGGGAGCGGGTGGACCACCTTCACGCAAAGTGAGCCATCCGCCCATTCACCGATCGACCAAGCAAAGCCTTTTGGGGCCAATGTACCGCCCTCTTTTTTTCGGTCACCTGCGATTGACGAGCCCTTTTATGATCAAATGGGCTTGATCTAAATTTCGGGGTGAATGTTGGCCCCCGGCTAGGCTCTTTCCCTCCAGTGGGGGCTAGCCAAGCCAAAGAATTGAGTATGTGCGATTCGATTCGCAATTCGGAATTTGGGCTCAGCAAAACGGCTGTTAGTGGAGAATCGGATGTGCTTTGCTTGGTCGCTCGAGCGAATGTCGCCATTGCCTCTTCAAGCACTGCTCCTTACATGTATGGCCCGGTCACCTTGATCTTTTCTTCCCTTTTCTTATTTTTGCCATCAATTCCTCAGCTCCTTGACCACCCATCGCACTTTTAATCGAGGCTTTGGGTGATTCATCTTTTTCTGGTTGGTGGGAGCGGGAAGGGGGGCAAGGGGGATGGTTGCAGCAACAAACTTCCTTTTCCCCTCCTGCGGCCTGGCTCGGCTCAGCGGTGCTGTCAGTCGACAATGATTCCACGCAAGATTGAACTCTTGCGAAGGCTCTTTGGGGATTTGGTCTGAGAATAACCAGCGAATTGTTCCGTGGCTAGCTCGACTCATAGGGCCTTTTTCTCCCTTGGCTCTCGATTGGCCCTGGTATTCTCCCCTAGTCGTGGTGCTTACTCTTACAGAGCTGGACCGACCTTTACATCGTTGATCAATTTTCTCTGCCGAGTTCAGATGTTTGCCGCTTGTGGCGGGCAACCGGCCGATTTATGGTTTAGGCAACGCCAGCTCTTTGAAAAAGGAGCCCAGCCTGCAACGAAAAGGACCTATCAATTGATCGAGTTGGATGAATGAATGCGTGTTTGAGGGGTCGAGTGTCTCGACATATGCCCTTCCCAGCTCGTCCATGGCTGCAAACCGCACACTCCTCTCATTGCATTGATATCAGTCACTAGTTGTGGAATTGCATCCGCCCGCGGCCCATTCTAGCCATCAGCCGAAGGGGGTCAGTTCTCGAGTCCCGACGTCTTTAGCTCTGAGATGGGCGAAGAACGATCGGGAAAACAGAAACTAGAAGATGGATACGGGCAGCGACATGTCCACCTTATTCGGGTTGACAAGCTCTCGAGGCTGCGAAGCAGGATCGGTTCGCCAAGAGAGGCGGCTTGTGGTCAATCGACTGATTTGGAGCATCCGTTCGCTGTATCCTTTTCAGGGCGACTGCTAGCACCCATTTGGTGGTCGTTGCTCACTCGCGTGTGCCTCTAGCCTTGCCCGTTGCTCTCTCGAACACCTCCATTTCGACCACTCCGCCGCTGACGCCTCGCATAGCGCGATCTGTAGTGCCTTGAGCCCCAGAACCGCTCCCCCATTGCGACGAAAATTCAATTTCTGGGCCTTCAACCGCATACTCTGTTCCTTGAAAGATATACCATCTATCCCATGGCCTGTGCCTTCGTGGGTTGCAAATGGCTTGTTGACAACCAGCGAGGAGGTGGTGCCTGTGCCGTGCTGGCTCAGTCCAACGGCTTTCCAGCCGCAAACCGAGCTTTCCACCGCCACATTTCGCACATGTGACCTGTGGCTGGGGCACACTCATCAGTCATGTTTGGGTCTGATAGGGAGGAAGGAGCGACTGCTAGTGAAATCAGTTGTTTCTTCTATTTGACCATACCAGAGGAAGGAGTTGCACTATCTTCCACTAACATCAGCACCTCATTGGCTGATAGTGGGGAGAGTCCCTTGCTCTTTCCCGCTCAACCTGACTCACAATATGCGCTAGACCTAATATAGTCTAGACTGCCTTTTGATTGGAAGGGAAATCGAGAGGCGCAACTCCCTCGTCCTGAGACAAGGAGTGGCCAATAAAAGCTCGGCAAAGCCTAGGACGCGGTCCACTCCTATTTCATGAGGAAACGAGGAAGCACCATGCGCAAGGCAAAGCTGACCAACAAGTCGCAAACAGAAAAATTTCGAGACTGCGCGCCCTCCCCCAAGAATTTCCCCCAAACCCGATCGGCCACCTGCCAATGCGCAAGAGTTGCAGAGTTGTAGCAAGTCGCGCTCGTCGCTTTCCCATCCGCCCTCAACTCCCCCAACAAGTTCCTTTGTACCGACTCTTGTGATTGCTTTGATTGTACTGTATCTTGTTTTTCTCTCGTTCGATTTCCCGGTCGTCGAGCGGCGTTTTTCCAAAGGCGGGCTTCGGCACACAAACCAAGCGCGTAGTCGACATTTTTCTTTCGTTTCCTGTCGCTAGCCATCCTCTCGTCTCACGCCCCAACCCTCTCGGCCCCCCATCCCCATCCGCTCCGGACTCACGGTGAGGATAACGCGCGCGACACGTTTAGGTAAGTTTTAGCTCTTCTTGCGCATGGTAAATTCTTCCTTTGAGTCTCGCCCACGATCATCGTGTCCCTTTACCCCGTGGAAGTATTGTTTCTCCTCCCGTACCCCCGGGTCTGTGTTTCGGCCAAGTTGGTCTCCCCTCTTACCACTGCACGCCACGGCCTTCGTGTGTCCTCCATACATACTGTATTCCACCTGCCCTACCCCATTCATCCATCGCGCCCGTCGACAACGAGTTTTCTAGATTGTCTCGTGACGTGATTTCCATTTACTCAGCCGGAGATCCAATGGAAATCTTGTCATAGGCGTGCTGGGGCTACCACAAGGCAGCCGAATTGGCATCCTTCCTTCTGCGTCTCCCTTGCGCTTCCTACCCCCTTTTTTGCTGGCCCGCTTCAATTGCTGTGGTTTCGGCTTGCTGTTGAGCCTTGCGCATTTAGGGGTTTTGGTGCTCTGTGACCACTGATACGCCCCCTAAAGGCGGTTCTCTTTCAGTGGTACGCCTCCCCAGATCCTGGCAACTGGCTCCCCAACCCGACACTGAGCCCACATCAGTCAGTGCTGCGCGTTCCCTGCGCTCGCGCAAAAGCCACCCATTGATGCTATTTGCCCGTCCAAATTTCTCCCACCTCCTCTGCCAATTCGCCTTGCCCTTCCCAAATTTTTTCCCGACACATCACCCAAGACGCAAAATAGCTGGCTCTCCAGCTGGTCCACGACGCGACTCCAATTCATCTCGTTTTTTATCTATCGCGACACAACCAACCCAACCATTTTGCATCCCTTGTTTTCATCTTATTAATCCCTTTTCTCCTTGAAGATTTCATTTTAAATGTTATTTTGCTCGATACCTGCTCGCGCGACTTGCTAACTGAATCAAGTTGCACGGCTCATGCGTCACCTCCTCACACAGTCATGAGCACCTGGATGAACGAATCCGTTGCTCCGAACCACAATGGAAATTCCTTCCCACACTTGAATGACCCGTCGTTATCCGGTGCCATGATGGACCCTTCCGCTGCTTTCATGGCCAACCCTGGCCAATTCAATCCTGCTCAATTTTCAAACCCGCAACAAATGAACCCCCGATGCCGAACGGCGCCATGCGAAACGCCTCGCCATCCTACCAGAATCCGGTTTATCAAACCAATCCCGTAATACCATCTAAGCGAGCCCGTCCTCACGAAGATGCCATCGCCTCGTCGCCCCGCCAGAACCCTGGCATGCTGCCGCCTTCGCGCTCCGACACGCCCCAGCAAGGCGCGTTCTCCGGCTTCCAGCCGACGCCCCAACAGAATCCCGGCCAGCCGCAATATCCTCATCTTCAACCGAATGGATCAGCGAATGCGACCCCATCTCCGATGATGGGAAATCAACAGATACGTCCCGGAAGCGTACCCCAACGCGTCTCAACAGCCTCACCTCATCCCTTCTCCCCCAGCACGCAGCATTTCGCGCCGCAAGGCTCGCCTGTACCATCCGACCATGGTGGCACACCGCAGCCCAACCCTTACATGCAAAACATGAACCCTGGCTTCAATCCAAACATGGGCGCCATGCAGACTCCCTCACGCCCATCTCAGAGCCCGAACCCGATGGCCGGCGGGATGCCCATAATGCCGCAGCAGATGGGCCAGCCAATGGCTCAGCAGATGCAAATGGGCATGGCTCAAGGGATGAGTCCGCAACAAATGGCGCACATGCAGCAGCAAATGAACCAGATGGCGAACCCAATGTTCCATGCTCATATGCAGCAAGCACGAACTCCTGCTGAGCAGCAGAAAATCTACCAGATGCAGCTCCACCGTCAAATGCAACAGGGAAACATGCAACAAATGCCAAATATGCCCAATATGCAGATGCCGCCCCAGATGCACCCCCAAAACATGCAAGCTGGGCGCGGTATGATGGCCAAGCAGCCTGGCGCTGTCCCCAATGGGCACCAGGCCCAGCAGCCCGGCATGAGACCACAGGCTCGCCCGATGCCCCGGACGGATCCCGACTCCTTCATGAAGAACTTGACAACATTCATGAATGCCAAAGGACTCCCGCTTGATATCAGCCCTACCATTGCTGACCGCCAAGTGAATCTCTTGTCGCTCTTCCAACAAGTTCAGTCTCGAGGTGGTTTCAAGGCTGTTAGCTCCTCGAATAACGGATGGCAGTTCATCTCAAGCCAAATTGGGTTCCCGCCGAATCAAATACAAGCTGCGCCACAAATGCTTCGGTCGATTTACGACCAAAATTTGCTCAAGTTCGAGGAAGCTTGGATGGCTCAGAACCAGCGCAAGATGATGCAGCAGCAGCAACCTCCTCATACCCCGGGCCAGCCCCAGCCACCTTCTCTTCAACAACAGCAGCAGCAGCAGCAGCAGCAGCAGCAACAACAACAGCAGCAACAGCATCAGCAACAGCAGCAGCAACAGCAACAGCAACAGCATCAGCAACAGCAACAGCAGCAGCAGCAGCAGCAGCAGCAGCAACAACAGCACCAACAGCACCAACAGCAGCAGCACCAGCAACAGCAGCAGCAACATCAGCAGCAACAGCATCAACCGCCTCGACCACAGCAGCAACCAGTTGCTTCCCAGGGCCAAGGGCTTCAGTCTAACCAAATCCCCGCCACACCAACGAAGCAGACGGGCCGTGGCCAGGCGCTACATGTGCAACAAAGCCAGTCTCCTATGCCCGGTCCCGGACCGCGCCAGCAGACGCCCAAGGCCATGCAGCAGGGCCAGCAACCCGCGGTGAACGGGTTTTCTGGTGCTCACGGTCCTCAGCCTGGGCAAGTCGGAACTCCTGGTCACCATCCTCGAAATAGCGTGTCGCGAAACATCGACCCTGCCACTGGCGCGCCGACGGGTACGTTCCAGATGCCATCGCCTGGCCCCGGAAAACCCGTTCCAATGCCTTTCGCGCCCTCGGCTGAGGCCGCAGCGGCCGGGGCCACGCCCGGGCAACCCTTTCCCCGTCCCATGCCCCACAATGACGAGTACGCGCCATGCTCTCGACAACAGTCTACATACGGCGGTGTAAACCCCGAATCTGCCAATAAACTTGGCATGGAACTGGAAATAATGAGGCCGGACATCCCGCCTGTCGATGAACTCGGATTGATTGATATTCAGTCCTTGACGCGGAGCATCCAAAGTGGCATCCACGGCGAGGTTCGCCTAGCGCTCGATACACTGGCGGTGGTTTCCAACTCGCCGATGAGACATCATTTTCTTCTTTTGCAGCACTGCGACGATCTCGTTGATGTTCTCCTCGACTGTGCGGAGGAGCAGGTGGAACTGCTTGCGGAGCACACAGTCCAGGTGTCGGACGAAATTCTTCTCACGCCCTACGAAGATGTTATTCGTGCTTGTCGCGTTGAACACTTGACGGTCCGTGATGTCCCTGTATTTGGCTCTCAGGCTTACGACCTCGATCGGGCAGTCGACCGCTTGATCTGCATCACGACAATCCTCAGGAACCTCTCGTTTCCCGGAGAGGAAAATCCCAATCATGCCATCCTCGCTGATGAGGAGGTCATCAAGTTTCTTTGCCTTGTTATCCGTTATATTGGAACCCGCACAATGTTGCTCCGGACCCACGCCAACACTCTTGACTTTATGAAAGACGTGGTTGTGCTCCTCTCGAACACCTCGGTTCACCTCGAGATCCCCGGACGTGAACAGGCCATGTGTCTCTTGCAGTTCCTGCTTGCTTTTGCACCGACCCCCGGCCCTGCGCAAGCCGATAATTCGATGTACTTCATCTCCTACGACCCGGCACTCCACCCTTACCTCCCCCATGCTGTCGACTCCCTGGCGAAGCTTCTAGCGCGAGACGAACCGAACCGGTCACATTATAAGCTCATCTATGCTACTGATGCGGACAGCTCTACCCCTTATGACTTGCTTACCCGCTCCTTCGGGCTTGCTATCGCTCCCATTCCCGACCAACCGCGTGACGGCCGGCCACCGCATCTTCCTCCTCTGGTTGAAGCGAGGAAGCCTTTTGTCATGCAGGGACTTCTGGCAGCAGAGGTTTTGGCATCCATTGCCCCCGGCTGGGAGGCAGGTATTGTCAGATCGTGGCTGTCGTGTAACAATGGCCTCTCCCAAAAGATCTATCGTCTCATTCAGCTAGTGGCAAGCCAGTTTGACAACCCTCCGCGGGGCCCTGGTGGCCGTGGACAGCCTCGGCCAGATGATTCGTTATTGTGCTTGGTTGTGTTGGGTGTTAACCTCTTACGCCGCCTCATGGAACGGTCGAGGGACCCCAATAATCCAACCACAATTCCACCCTCGGCCCTACCTACCTCGGATTCCGTCCTTTCAGCGATGATGATGACCTCTCCAGAGTGGACCAAGGAAGGCGTACTGCAACAACTTTTGAGCTTTTGACGCTGGACACATAGTATATAGTGAAGCGTTAAGGGCTCCTAGGCAGTGACGCTGCAGTACCGACTTTGGGCTCTAAGACTGGGTCAGAATCGCGTCCATGCGGTTAGCTGGAGTTGGCGAGTTATCTTCGCGGCTTGTGCTCATGCCGGTTCTTGGCTTGCATTCGTCTTTGTGTCTCTCTTATTTTATTCTCCTTTTTTTCTTCTAGAGCGGAGTTATCGGGGTGGATTCATGGCAGGCTTGGTATGTGAATAGGTTGCCAACTTTGTTTTTCTCTATCATTTCTGCTAGATATTTGGCTTCCAACATTGGCTGTAAGGTGCAGTGGAGGCGAGGGTAGGGGCGGTTGTTCGAATACCATCTTCAATATTTCTCTTACCACGGTAGGCTTGCGTTAGTTGGCGAGCCAGTGTAGAATAGCACAGAATGTTTTTGTACAATTGCATTGGGATATCGTGAAACTCGAGCGGTTGACTCGCTTTATCTCTTCATATGGTACATGTAGTGAGGAAATCTAGACAATGGCGTGTTGTATGACAAAGCATATACTCCTATCCGACATTCTTACAATCAATCCACCTCATTTTTGAGACTCCCATTCGCTCTCGTTTCCGACCGAGGTAAGTTCATTGAGCATTATTCTCAGCACGGCGCTACCTTCTCAGCCGTGTTTATACAGCATTGGAAATCTTTACCAATCCACTTGGGTATTCGCTCCTTGGGTTTAGCGACTGGGCAATCGTTGTCGGTATTAGAAACCCCTCGTCTTGAGCCATTCCGTTATCCTGGGTACATGCGAACCCTAGCGAACAAGATTATCAGTACTGTGCGCTGACAGAGGATGAACCAGCGTCTTAATATAACCAACCTTGACAACGACATGTCCCGTGACGGGATTGAGCGTGACTTCGGCCTTTTCTACGCCGAGAGCCTCCTGGACATCGGCCTTGAGCGCCAGGCCGTCGCCTTCTACGCGCCGAATGAGCGTCGATTTCTTGGAGCCACCGGCCTGGGTGCGGATGTAGACGGGGAGGCGGTTCGACTTGGTCCGGGAGACGTGGTACGGCGCCTGCGCGGTAGCGGAGGAGGAGGAGGCGGCGGCGCTGGCCGTTGTCGCGGACGAGGGGATGGTGAGGGATTCGGTGGCGTAGAAGCGGATGGGGAGAGTGGTGAGACGGGTGGAAGGGAGGGGAGGGTCTGGGCGAGTCGGAAGAGGCGCATTTTGGCGGTGGGTAGGAAAGGTCGCGATGGTTTGCTTGCTTTGCGAAGGGGCACACGCTAGCCTTTCCCTAGGAAAAGGAAAAAAGAAACAGGAGTCGGCCAATGGGTCGGTCGCTTGGATTGTCGAGCACGAAGGATCTTGGCGATTTGTGTGCTCCTGCGGATTTGCGCCGGTTGGTCGATTTGAGGCGGGCAAGAGGTCGCTCACGTCGAAGTCACGTCGTCGGAGCTGTGAAGTTTTCCCCTTGGGACGCTCTGAGCGCTGAGGTCGGCTCCGTCTGCTGTTCGCCAGGCCACGTGACGCACGCCAAAAAATGAGAGAGGGAGCTTGCTTGTGAGCCAGGGGCCGCGGCGGGATAACTACGGGTAAAATAGACAGGCATGGCGTAAACCCCACACTTGCCCACGAAAATCTCGAAAATCGAAGAGGCCCCTCCAGGCCATAATAATTTGTTGTGGACGCCATCCATCACCCCTCTTCGAAGAGTCGCCTCCACGTTTTTGATCTGCCGAAGAGCTGTTGCGATCTTCTGCGAGCCTCTCTATACAAAATCCCGTAAATTTTCTAATTTTGGGATAATTGAAGCTTGTTTCTTTGTCCATCGACCCCTTCCCTCCCCCACCTCCGCACCCCAAACAAACGAAACACCCAACATGGCGACCGAAACCAACCCGGAGGAGTATTCGCTCCTCGACAAGTTTGCGAGCCAGCTCTCGCGCCACCTTTCTTCCACCTTCTCGACTTCGAGGCCGGTAAGGCTGCCGATGCGGGCGATGAGCAGAAGGAGCGCGAGGTCCTCGAGGCCAAGATCAAGCTGCTCGAGGATACCAACATGAGCGACTACGTCGCTAGCATGTACTCGCAGCTTCACGGCACCGATGCTCCCGAGAAGTACGCGAAGCAGAGGCAGGTTGTGTTGCAGCAGATGGAGAAGCTCGAGCAGGATACTGCCAGGCTTTCGGAGCTGCTCATCACCGACGAGGTCGTCAACAACCTGAGGAGCGATAAAGTTGCCAACTTGGCCTTCCTCGAGAAGGAGCACGGTGTACGTTTTTGTCCTCTTGCTAATTTTTGGGGTTGAAATTGAAGAAATCAGCTGGGTTTCACGTATCGTGTATCATGGGAATATGGAAACTAATCGCAGGATTTCCTTTTAGGTCACTGTCGACATGGTCAACGCGCTTTACGACTTTGGTCAGTTCCAGTTCCGATGCGGCGCCTACCAGTCCGCGGCCGATCTCCTCTATAAGTTCCGAGTCCTCTCCACCGATAATGATAAGGTCACCAACGCGACGTGGGGTAAGCTCGCCTCTGATATCCTCACTGCCAACTGGGACTCTGCCGTGGAGGAGATTGTCAAGGTCAAGGAGAGCATCGACACCAAGCTCTTCAACAACCCCCGTGCACAGCTTGACCAGAGGACCATGCTCATCCACTGGGCTCTCTTCCCTCTCTTCAACCACGAGGCTGCCAGGGATCCCGTCCTCGAGCTCTTCCTCTCCGCCAACTACATCAACACCATTCAGATCAACTGCCCCTGGATCCTCCGCTACCTTTCCGTCGCCATCGTCACTGGTCGTGGCCGCAGCCGCAACTCTTCCGTCCACCAGAAGCAGATCAAGGACCTCGTCCGCTACATCCGCCAGGAGGAGTACGAGTACAAGGATCCCATTACCGAGTTCGTCTCCTCCTCTACATCTCGTTCCAGTTTGACGAGGCGCCCACCGCCCTCGCCAAGGCCGAGCAGCTCTGCCGAAACGATCTCTTCCTTGCCGAGTCCACCGACATCTTTGTCGATGCGGCCCGTCACCTCATCTGCGAGAGCTACTGCAAGATCTGCTGCAAGTTCTACATCCGTGACCTCTCGGAGAAGCTCGGCCTCAACCCCGACGATGGCGAGAAGTGGATCGTCAACCTCATTCGCGATACCCGTCTAGATGCCAAGATCGACGCCCAGCAGGGCATCGTCACGATAAACCACCCTCCTAGCAACGTCCACCAGCAGGTTGTCGAGAAGACCAAGGGTGTCTTCTTCAGGACTACCGTCATGTCTTCTGCTGTCTCCAAGTAAACCGCCTGCGTTATTAGTGGTGGGTTGTTATTACATAGGAGAAAAGGGCTGGGCCTACGAATCCGCGAGAAGTTCTACTAGATTGGCCGGACCGGGCCTCACGTATTCCTTGCAGCATGGACATGCATGAGGGGCTCGCCGGCAATGCTTTTGATGAGGAACAGCTAAGGGATTCGGAAAGTGGTGTTGCGAAGAAGCCAGAGAAATAGATGCAGTGTATTTAACGGCTAAAAACCAGGGCAGGGGTTATCTGCATTGCAAGGCGTTTAGAGAGAAAATTCTTTAATTCTAGGGAACTTTTTTTTGTTCTTATTTCTTCGTCCTCTATTCTTGTTCCGTATCACCCAATTCCCACTGTTTGCCATGTAGAAACCAGACGAGAGCCTTTTTTTGTGCTCTTCTGCCCCTGTTTTGGTACGGGGAATTTTAAGCCACATGAGTGGGAGAACTTTGCTCCCTTGTTTTTAAGAAGAGAGGTTTTTGTTTATTTTCGTCTCAATTTCTCTTAGTGACTTCGTGGATAATGCTGGTATAAATGTCATGCCTGTTTTCTCTATCACCCCTTCAGTCGTCCAATAAGAAAAACATCTCGCATCACTTCGTAAAAACATGTTCCTTCATTAAAGGGAGAAGGCCTCCCAACACCTCGCGTGGGCCACCTTCCCCCTTTTGTTTGCTCTTTCTACTGCTCGCGCCCAGCTAGCCAGACACCGCCCCGGAGACCCTCCACGACCCCGGTCCTGATCCACCAGTCCTCTTCCTCCCCGTCCTCCTCCCCACCCGAGCCCTCGTATGTCTTGCTCCCGCGCTTCTTCCTTCTTGCTTGGTGCACCTCGCCCCTCCTCCGCGCCCATTCAAAAACGAGCCTGAGGCCGAGAAGGGCGTCGCGCTGGCCGTTGCTCGTGGCCTGCTGGAGGGCGAGGCGGGCGTCCACCGCGCTGCCTAGGCGGTCTGGGTCGGCGTTGAGGACGGCGGCGCGGTCCGAGGGCGTGAGGCCCGCCAGGGCGGGAAGGGTGAAGAGCCAGGCGACGGGGATGAGGACGCCGCGCTTCCAGGGCCCTCGGTAGGCGCGTCGAGCGACGAGAGCGCCGAGAACGGTCCGGGCTTTGGGGCCGGCGGCGCAGGTGGACCGTCTTTGTGGTGTTGGGTGGTGGGTCCTTGCCGCGGCGGCCGCGGCGGAGGTGGAAAGGGACGATGAGAGGGTTTGGGGTTTCGCGCGCGGGCGCTTGGGTGCGGGTCGCGCGGAGAGGTCGAGGTCGATATCCCAATACATCGGGCCGGCATCCGTGCGCAAGCGGACAATGTCCTCGAGGGGCGGCAGGAGGCAGGGCGTGTTCTTCAGCAGGAGGGCTCCTTCTTGCCGGGCGCGTTCTTCATCTCAATCTTGACGGGAACGCTGACGGGCTGGCCGGTGCTGATGTCCTTGGCAACGAGGCACCGTTGGTCCGTCGCGAGCACCCAAAAGTGTCTGAAAGCTTGTAGGTGGGACCGGTTGTCCATAACAGTGGTCGGGAACACGGGATAAAAGGCGACGAGAAGGCTGGCAACCGCCACCTCCGTCGTAGCAAACGTTGCCGTACCGCAGCCGAGGAAGAGAGCGCCCACGGCAAGATGTGCCGCTAAGTGGGAGCCATACGGGGTGGTGGGGTCATCGCGGCCGTGCAGGGACCGTAGGCGACGCAGCACGGCGAGATCACCCGTTCCCGCCATGACGAGCGAGGCTGAGATGGCCACAATATCCTGGCAAGTTCGCGCATAGGTACGCGCTAGTTCCTCGTCATATACAGGGTGCTCCTTGGAAGACGACTCGAGGCGCGTGATGCGTATCAACTGGTCGAGAAGGGAAACGAGAAGATCTCTCGCATCTGGGTTGGCGCTGCCGGCGAACCGAAGCCCTAGAGCAAAGCAAATACCACCTAGGATGCTGAAGAACGGGAGGCTCTTGGTCGTAAGGCGATTGTAGCTCGTGAGAAGGTGACCCGGTTGGTACTCCTTAGGTAGGCTGTTTCTCACCCACTCCCTCGTGGGCTGGATCTTGCTCCACATGATGATGTGTTTTGCTAGAGTACGAAGCATCAGGATATCCGGGCGAATGTAATCAAACTGAATGATAGAGTCCGGTACGTCAATCTTGCGCGCCACGATATGGTCATTGGACTTCATATACATTAGTGCGATGGCCATCACCGCGCCAGCTGCCGCACGATCAAGAATGTGTGTTACTTCAACCTTCTTGGTCGCGGTGGCAAGGCCAATGAGCTTCTCTGTGAGCTTCATATCGTGAAGTCCTTTCAAGTCGGGCCCCTTGCCCAAGTTGATGAATCCGAGAGCAAAACCAGCCGCCAGCCTATACCCTTCACTTCGGAGAGGCTCTTCCTCGTCTTCCTCGTCGATGTGCTCGATTTCAGACATCATCACCTCGCTCATCCTCCGGTGCTGACTCTGGCAATAGAGCAGTCCTATACCCATGATGCCGCTCGTCTGCGTCAGGGGTGAGAGATTCAGCTCCGCAGCTCCCCGCGGTAGCATTCTTGTGACATGGACCGATAATAGCCTCGTGATGAGGGAGTCCATGGTCCCCATATACGACGCCGCAAGGCCTAAGAGCAGCCCAATGGACGTCATGGTGTGCTTGGGCGTAAGGTACTTGAAAGCCACCCACTTCGCGACACCCTTAAGATGGCCATTAAGACCTAACGCTAGAAGGAATCCCGCGTGTCTATTGCTCAGGTCTTGGCCAGGCTTGTTGTAGAGGATCCAGGAGGTGTCAATGCCCTTGGCGTGGGGCGATATAGACAAACCGGCGGAGACACCCTGGTGGAAAAATCCCCAGCAGACCTTTTCTTCGGTAAACAGCGCTTTGTCAACACCAACTGTCACATTGGTGGGCTTCACCACACAGTTGAGATTGAAACCACCAATGTGGAACTTTTGCGTAAGAAGCGGGAACCGAAGACTGTAGTATAGAAGACCGCGACCCGCAGGAATTGCCAGGGTGCCCGTAGCGATCCTGGAGACAAGTTCCTTTTGCTGTTCGAGATATTCGCTTTCGGTCGATCCGGGAACGGGATCGAGGTGGACAATGCGCGCCTTGTGGGTGGAGAGGATGTCTTGGGCTTCGTTGAGACGGCGGTCGTCTTTGAAGAGCGCGCGGATAACAGACTGAAGCTCGCTTCCTTCGCCCTCGTCAGCAGCAAAGTTGTTGTACTCGTCAAGGCTCTCGCAGAGCATCTTCACATCCCACGACGCGGTATGGGTCGGGGGCTATGAGAGGAGTTAGAAAAAGATTCAGCGTAAGAGGGTGATGGAGGACCATGGACATGACTTACAAGCAACTGGGTCATGTAGGGCCGTAGACGCTTCGTGGATGCCATGACGAGGTTCATGTCGCTCCGGTTCACAAGATCAAGTAGCTCAGCGGGCCAAGTATTAGGCGGATGAGGTTGGCAACGAGAGATGGCGTCGCGGATAGGGACGAGCAGGGATTCGGGTAGCGATTCGATCACCTTCGTTGTTATGCCCGCTCTGTGGATTGCCTCGACTGTTTCTACAAAAGAGACGCCTGACTTTAAGAGCATGAAGAGCCGCTTTAACATGAAAGTTCTGGGAGTGAGGAAACGAATCTGTCCATATTGCGCCGATTCTTCTCGCTGATCCGCATGGTTTCGAAATAGATGTCAGCGACCGTTTGATAACCCATTCCTTTGGACGTCGTGAGATGTGACTCTGCCCATTCCAGGACGCTAGGCACGACCGCTGGTTCGACAATTGGGGGAGAGGTGAAGCTCTGCGAGCAAAATTAGCTTTCGAAACAGGCCCCAACAGCGCTTTTCGGGGCAACGTACCTGAGGCGAGGCTAGGGTCCAGGTCCTCCTGTATGCCGATGCTATACAGGTCGGAAAAGTTGAACCAGCCTAGCCATTGTGCCAGCTGACAGAGGACTACCTTTAAGTTCACGCCACCCGATGGGCTGTTATCTGGCGTCATTATATCCAACTTTTGCTCCTCAAGGAGAAGGTGCAAGGCCAAAAACATGTCGCTGGCTGTCCGGCGACGGAAATCGGGATCGACTGCTTGGCTGGTTGGGAGGTAGCCAAGCGTCCCGAGGGCATGGTCTCCAGCGGTCGAAGTGAGGAACTGCTTCGCGTATCTCACGTGGGTGGACATGAAGCCAGTCTTGAAAGGCGATGAACCGGCTTGCTTGGGATCCGTCTGTATGATATCATCAAAGGCCCATTGCCATCCTGGGCCCAGCATCCACTCTGGGCAAGCTAGGGAGTTCTTCGCCTCATGCGCAAGCATCGAATTCCAATCCTCCGTCGCCTGTGCGATACTAAAGGAAGAGGAGGCGGTGCGGCGCTTTCTCCTCGAGGTGCTAGCCCGCTGTGGCCGACTCTTGAAGTTTGAAGGGTCCAGGGCCAAATAGGACGCCAAAAGCTCAATTACCAGACATGACCATTCGATATCCGCCGTCTCGATGCCTTCTTGCTTGCACCATTGCATGACGTGCCACCAACCACCCAGGAGTTTCCCTCCATGAGGGAAGGGGAGAATGTTGGCGCATACATCAAGGATACGGCGGACTATCGGCGACGACGGCTGAAGCTGGATCCTGACCTGGTGCCGTCGTCCCTCCGCGTCAACCAAGTCGACGGTGCCCCTGCCCTTTGGATGAGCAAGGCTCACGATACTGCCGTTTTCGCAGCTAATCGTTTCCGACTTTTGTTGGCGAAGATCTCGGTCAACAGCCCGACCGTTAAACTGGAGACTGCGAACATTATCTAGGAAAAGCAACGGCAGCGCAATGGTCGTCATCGGGCCCCATGGTGCTTGGATACTGAGTTCATGTCCGCCTCCGAGCTTTTCTGAGAGAATAAATGTCAGGGACAGATTGCCATGGGAGATCTTGCAGGAGTCCACGACGCTTTCAGCCCGTCTGAGTTCTCCACACTGAGGAGTGATTACGTCGTTGGCCAAGGAGATTGGTTTCTTATTTGCCTTGGATAGCAGTTCGGGCCTCTCGATGGTGGGGAAATGAAGAGTAAGAAGTTGTAATCTCTTCTCGAGGGTGTCTTGGATACCGATCACAACCTGGGTGCGCTGATTTTCGTCAACGGCAGAAGGAGGAGCGCCAAGGATGAAAACACGACATTGAGTGATGGCCGGCTGAGAGGAGGCCGAATAGCGGATATTTGTCGTGTCGACGGGAATACTCTTGATTTTGGTGAAGGACATTTCCTGGGCCAGGCCATCGAGTTCGTGGTCGTCTATTCCCATATTATGGAAGCCTTCGAAATCGCCCCCAGCGCGAAGCTCGTCAAGAACGTTGTTGATGGGTGCTTCTAGGAGGCTGTTGAGACTTGGATGTATCGTCTGGCTGTAGTTGAAGGAGCCGTACCCGCCGCTCTGGCGGCCGTACTGGCTGCCATACGAGTCCAGTCGCTTCGAGGTGTTATGGCCCGTCAAAATCGGCTGTTCCGCGTATTGGGACGTCGATAAATCCGCCCTAGCGAGCATGGAGCTGATTCGGCGCGACTGACGCCGAGTAACCTGTTCGGTGTCTTGCTCGAGTGAAGATGCGACGAGGTCCTTTGCCTTCTCGGCAGGCTCGCTTTTGCGGGTACGTGTACGCTTGCCCGGTAGCGGAGCCCCGAAACTCTCGCGAAAGTTGGACTGGACTGGAGTGGTCGCGCCGCTGGCGAAGGGAGGTTGCATGGAACTCCGTCGACGCATGCTTTTGGACCTGGATCTTTTGGTTTTCCGATGAAGGGATCAATTTGTTTTAGGTAGTCTAGACGCCAGATGGTGTATGTGTTTCCGTCACGGTTGATGGTGACGGCTAAGGTTAGGAGTCGTTCGTATTATTGGGCAGACCAGCATCATACACCTTCTCGATATGGAGTATCTCTTCGGCGGGGTCTAGGAACAGTGGCCTCACGGCGTGAACTGCAGGCTTCAGTCGCCCCTTGGTATTCGTTTCGGGGGCGCCGACCACAAGACCCAGCTCAAGCAACGGGTCCGTCAAGCACACTAGTCGTGGCCAATGTGACTCGGGTTGTTCCATTGGGGACTCCCACATATTGCCCAGGGTCGAGCTTAGTCTCAGGGGCAGCACCTTGGGCTTGCCGAGACCCTCAACAGAGAAGGAGGATGACGTCGGTGGGCGCTGCAGGCTGGCGGTGAAGTTTGTGACTTGCGATGAGACGAAGGAGTTGGGCGGTACACGGGGAAATGTCAGTGAGACGGGAGCAAAGGCGTCGGATCGTTGCTTGCGCTGGATTATAACGCCCTGAGGGGCCGCGCAGGCCGATTCGACCTCGAATGGCATATGAACGACATGGCTTGTGCCCGAGAGGAAGTAGATGTGCGCTTGGGTCTTGAGAAAGACCACGAGGGCCTTGGCAAGGAGCTTCTTTTCCGTACCAATCTTACATGGCAGTGCGGTCTCGGGGGTCCGTTCGTTTTCGGAGGTCGGGAAGTAGGTCAGGAGAGCTTGTGTGATGGTTTCCTTTTCGAGGTCGAGCCTGAAGGCCTTTCGAAAGACCTGGCCTCGGGACCAGACGACGCAGGTGTCGGTGACGAGGAGCTCGTCTTCGATATCTTGGTCCTCATGATGTTCCACGAATATTTCCCAGCGATAGTCGGAGGGTTTAGGATTGGGAGGAAGGATCTGCTCCTGGATGGCATGTCGGAGACCGGCGGGTTGATGAAGCCCTAGCGACTTGACGGATGCCATTGCGTCTTCCTTCACTAACTTTTTTGCAGAAGACTCCGCAAGCCGAAGAGGGCGATTGCACAAACTATATCATGAGAGGTGGTTAAGCAGAAGAAAAACCAGCTCGAGTGGATCGGGGTTCAGAATGGAATGAGTCTGTCAAGCTTGATCAGGACTGCGGCCGAACATGCGAAAAGCGGTTATCATGACCAAAGAATTTGTCGAGACGCGCTTTGGGCATGCTCGACGCGCTGAGCTCTTGATTGAATAGGTGCGTTGAACCCCTCCGTAGCTCTTTGGAACTTGCCTAATTAGTGGGCGGGTGTGGGAGTGTAGTGGGGTTCAGCCTGCAATCATTTGGCTTAGTCATTCCGAGGTTGACTGGCGATCAATTGTGGAAAGAGATGCAAGGCCCAAGCAACCAAGTCAAGTCTCACCTGCACCTTCAGCAGCTGCAGGGAGCTGCCCGATGAAGTCACCTTCAAAGCATCACTAGGTTATCTATTAGATACCAAATAAACTCTCCTAGCGTAGTGATTGATTTCTATAAATTTGAAGTCGATTTTTTCTACTCCAAAGCTGCATGCTCACTCGTCCTCCTCTCTCAAATAGTGCCCCTCGGGATTGTTGAATGGGCTTTGTTGGCTTGACCGGGCTTTGGCCGCCAAGACCTGGTACCTGGCGATAATGATTGGCCATTGACCGAAACCGCTGAGACCTGACGTAAGGATTGACTGGGTCACATGTACCTGGCGCTAGGTTGCAGAGCTCCCAACTCTTGCTCTCAGTCGTCACATCAGTCATTTGATTCCGGATCTTGAACTCCTTCTTCTCCGGAGCTGCCCAATCCTTTTCATACAAGCGTTTTGTTTTGTCACCCAAACCCTCGACTCGGGAAAAAGGGTTCTTTTCACCACTGAGAATGCTCAAAGCCACCCTGCGACTACGAAGATGAGCGGCGATTCAGCCGACGCACGGGAGAGCTCCCCGCCCAGCCAGATGCTCAATCCGAAGCTGAGACACATCCTACGGCCAGCGAGAGTTCTAGAGCCTCGGATAATGAAGAGAGCGATCCTGCTACCGAAACGGTCGACAAGGGGAAGGGCGTTGAGGAGACAACCCAGGAAGCGGTAGCAGAGGAAGGCGAAGAAAGCGCTCACACCGAGGCTAGCGACCACGAGGAAGAGATCGAGCCCAAGAACGATGTAGACACGGAAGGGGACGAGGATGAGGAGGAGGATGAAGAGGATGACGAAGACGAAGAGCCGACGCTAAAATATGCTCGATTGACACAACACCTACGGACTGTGTATCGCAATGGTGATGCGACAAGCTCGTTCTTGGTCGCTGGAGACAAGATGGTATGTCCGAGGTCCAATGCAAACCGAGACTACTCATGAAATGAACGAATCCCGATTTCTAATTACTGTGCTTAGATTGTCGCTACACACAACGGCAACATAGTAAGTCTATCTAGCTCCACCCATTCCCCGGATCGGTGCAGGGAAAGAAGAGGCTGCATATTAACCACCATGATAGAATGTGATCCAGCTACCACTTTTCCAAAATCTCCGAGTCTACCATGCTCACTCAGCATCCGTCACGAGCATCTCCATCTCCCCGTTTCCCCCTCCGCTACCTTCTGCCGTTCCCGAAGGTCCCTTCGCTTTACGTGGCCGAGAATCACCCAGGCCCGAATCCCGATCAGTTGAAGCAAGTGCAGGGCCAGCCGCTTCTAGGCGGGCCCGCGAAGCGCAAGCAATACCAAATACCCCGTCGAATAACATCTATATCGCGACATCTTCCACCGACGGCAATGTCTGCATCCAGTCCCTGGTCGATCTAAAGGACGTGCAGCTACGAAGCTTTGCCCGCCCCGTTCAGGCTGTAGCGCTCTCTCCCGAGTATAAGAACGATAGGACCTATCTCTCTGGTGGACTTGCGGGCAATCTCATTCTAACCGTCGGCGGCCAGCCGGGAGGAGTGTGTCGACGACGATCGGTACCGCCGCTGCTACAGCATCCGGCTGGTTAGGTAGCATGGGCATTGGTACAAATACCGGCAAAGACACGATACTTCACTCTGGTGAGGGCACCATCAATACAATCAAGTGGTCGCTGTCCGGAAAATACGTCGCGTGGCTCAACGAGCATGGCATCAAAATTATGCGGACCAAGCTGAAGCTGGAAGCCGGTGATCATGACGATGCATGGAAGCGCATCGGCCACGTTGATCGACCCCAGACAGACGAATGGGAGACTATGGCCAGTGTGTGGAAGGGCCGCGCCGAGTGGATCGATGAGCAGGCTCTCGAGTCCGATGAGTCGGAGCGAAGCCTCCAAGACCTCTCAGCATCGCCCGCGGCTGACCTGCTTCGGCGTCAGGCAAAAGCGGGCACCAAGTCTATCGAGAGGCTTGTAGTCGGATGGGGCGGGACGATCTGGATCATCCATGTTCATCCTGGCGGCGTTGGCGTTGGTCCAGACGCAGGGGAGAGGAGCGTCGGGAGAGCCGAAATCGCAAAAATGTGAGTGGTCCCCTGCAACGCACACCAAAACGAGAACAATCAATTCTAACTATTTCACCTAGTCTCCGCATGGATTGTATCATCTCAGGCATTTCCCTGTACACGCAAAACCTGTTACTTGTGTTGGCGTACTGCCATCCCGATGACGAGGATGAAGAAGAGGAAGGCGATGAGGATTTGCCCAAAACGCCGGAAAAGGGCCACAGGTCCCAGCCCTCCACATCGACCGTGAGCAGCGAACCTCGAGGAGGAATCCGTCGTCGGCAGAATAATTTACCACCCGAGTTGCGCTTGATCGACCTCACATCACAAGCCGAAGTCGATAAAGACGGGCTAAGTGTAAGTCGCTATGAGCGATTGTCGTCGGGAGACTACCACCTTGGCATTCTTCCCGCGCAAAATGCCGCCTCCGCCGTCGTTTCTCAACGGGGCGCTCTAAGCGCGATTACGGGGATCGGAAGTGAGATGTGGAACGCTGCCATCAACCCTCGGGCTCTGTTCAGCTCCGGCGCGAGCGTGATTAGCAGAGGAAGTGGGGATGAGGTTGCCTCTAGCCTTAAGGGGGCAGGTGTTGGCCTCCCAGCCGCCACCGTCCACCCCAATCTGATCAAACCGGGAGCCAAGATCTTCATTCACAGCCCCTACGACTGTATCTTGGCAACAAAGCGAGATCTAGGTGACCATCTAAACTGGCTCCTCGAACACAAGCAGTTTAAGCGGGGTTGGGAACTCCTCGATGAGCACCCAGAGATCCTCACCGTTACGCTCGAGAGGACCACTGAGGGTTCTGGTACGCCAAATCGAGGGGGCGAGGCGGAGGATGTCCGGGACGATGCTTCCTCCGTCACCGAACTTCCGGGCTACAGCATATTCTCCTCGGCCGCCAAAGAGAAGCGGCGGATTGGTGAGCTTTGGGTCCAGGAACTCGTCGAGGCGGGAGACTGGACAACGGCTGGCCAGGTGTGTGGCAAGGTCCTAAACACGCCCGATCGGTGGGAGAAGTGGGTGTGGACTTTTGCCGGCGCAAAGAAGTTTGACGAAATTGTCAACTATATCCCGACGCAGCCGATGACACCGCCGGCGCCCAAAACCATCTACGAAGTCGTTCTCGGACACTACATCCAGACGGATAAGCTCCGGTTCCGAGATCTGCTCGAAAGATGGCCGACTGAGCTTTTCGACGTGAACGCCATCACAACAACGTTGGAGAATCAACTTACCTACCGCGATGTCAGGGAGGACAGCATCGAGGGCGGCGAAAAGGGCCGTGACTGGCGAATAGTCATTGAAGGCTTGGCCAAGCTACACGAAGCGAGTGGGCGGTACCGAGAGGCGCTCAAATGCTATATTCGGTTGCAAGATGCGGACCCTGCGTTCAGGTTGATACGAGACTTCCATCTAGCCGACGCCGTCGCCGACGACATCCCGAAATTCATCGGTCTTCGTGTGCCGGCCGACCGCGTAGACTCGATGGGGGCGGGCGATTTCGAGGCCGCGACGTCAGAAGCCATCTCACTGCTAGTGGATGAAGCGCAGCATGGCCTGGTCAAACCCCGAGACGTGGTTTCGCAGCTCGAGAAACAAAAGCTCGACCTGTACTTGTTCTTTTACCTTCGTGGTCTTTGGAAAGGCGAGGGCTACCAGGAGCACGGTACGGAGAGCCGTGACAGGCTCTTGGTGGAGACGAAATCGCTCGTCGACGAGTTTGGCGATCTTACGGTGCGGTTATTTGCCATGTACAACCGCACTCTCCTCATGGAATTCCTCCGGACGTCGGAATCATATGCGTTTGAAAAGGTTTGTCCGGTCTTTTCTTTTTCCCTTTTCCCCTCTTGGGTCTTGAGAGCTTAACTAATAAAAATCAATAGGCTGTTCACGAGTGTGAACAATACAAGTACGATGATGAGCTCGTCTACCTCTATTCAAAGACGGGCCAGATGCGGCGAGCTCTCTTCCTGATTATCGACCGACTTCACAACGTCAAGAAGGCGATTGATTTTGCCAAGGAGCAGGATGATCCCGATTTATGGGAGGATCTCCTCACGTACAGCATGGACAAGCCAAGCTTCATTCGGGGGCTTCTGGAGCAGGTTGGCACCGCGATCAACCCCATCACACTCGTTCGACGTATCCCTGAGGGATTAGAGATTGAAGGATTGCGGGAGGGTATCCGGCACATCATGAAAGAGCACGAGATCCAGTACTCCATCAGCAAAGGTGTTGCGCAGGTTCTCAAAAGCGAGGTCGCCGCGGCACAGAGCGAGCTACGAAGGGGGCAGCAAAGGGCATCAGGTGGGAGGTTCCTGGACGATCCGGGATTGTTGCCCCAGCCAAGGACGCGAGTGAGGACGTCGGGTCCCACAAGCTTGACATCTCCAAGCCCGCGCCACCCGGTCATTGCTCAGGATGCCACGAGGCCTTTACAGAGTTTGAAGTCGAGTCTCTGGTTGGATTCGCCTGTGGACATGTTTTCCACCTCTCGCACCTCCTGGAGCTGATACGGCCGGGGGCACCAGTGGAAGCCCCTTTTAGCGTTGACGAGGAAGACCGTGGATCGAGGCATCTTGTGGGGATGAAGGTGACGCACGCGCGGCTTCTCAAGGACAAGATGCGCGACGGTTGCCCAATCTGCGCAAATAAGGAGGAGTAAGGGTTTAGGGAGTGTGTACAAATGTTGTGGGGTTCAAATTCTTTTTTGTTTCCTTTTTCTATTTGACTCGCTTTTGTATATATGGGCAGGCAGGGAAGTGTATACCCAGGCAACGCATCGCTTCTCGTTTGTGGCAAACAGGACAGTAGAAGGAAGAGGGGTTTTTTCTTTTTCGTTTCTCTTGCATTTGAAGCCTTGGTTTAGCACTTGACCATGATAAGAAGCTATGGTGGATTGGAAGTGGCAAAGAGAAAGAAGATGCGATATTCTGTTCCTGCGCTCTGCCCCTTCCACCCTCTGGCATGGAATACTATGTAACGTTTCGGCCGCGAGGCGTTTCTCGAGTTTGATAGAGCCTTATTTCTCATTACAAGTGTGTGCCTTCCCAGCAATGTGTGGGATATTTTAGCAAGAGGATATCTGACAGGCCAAGGATGCAATATTCTTTGGTGTGGTGTTTTTTAGTGAATCACAAGGTGGAAACAAGTATCCTGGTATTTTTATTTTATTTATTTGGTTGATCTTTTGACTCTTCCTTAGGTTATTGAGGAAAAGGAATATACTATGATTCATCTTAGAATCTTAAAGATATGGCTCACTCTCAGGGTCCCTCCTTCCCTTGCTGTGCCTGAGCCTGAAAAAAAGTGTGCAAGCAAAGGGAACTTTATAGTGGCCTCTTATTGGTTGAGAAAAGAAACAGTATCTATACATCCGGTCACACGGATCGGAGCAGCCCCCGAGAACAGAGCATCTAGGCCCGGACCTTCCCCGGGATGAGAATGTGCAATCACTCTATATCGATGATGGCATCAATCCAAAGATATAAAGAGCCAAGTTTCATGGTGGACTCGAAACCCAAACACCTTTTTTCCCTTTCCCACTCATCCCACAGGAAACACAAAAGCCTCCTCCCGACCGACACAAAACAACCCCAAACACGGTTCGAACTTTGAACAAGCAAACGTTTGGCTTCGATCGCTCATCAGAGTCTTCTGCAAAAAGTAAGTTTGATATCCCTTGAAATTATTCAATTGAATTCTTACCAGGCGTTTATCGATTTACTTTTTCCAAGTCGTTCACCAGCTAACGAAGGTGATGCTCCTACCTAGAATGACCCGAGCCCTCCTTGTCCGCATGGCCGCAGCCACTCTCTTCGGGGCTGGCGTTGCACATGGTATCCGTCTGTACAACAGTGAGTTCTTGTGACAATCCCTCCCGCATGTGCCATGGCTAACACTTTTCGTCCCTAGACAACGCCGGCGGTAACGCCATCGGACCCAAGCGTAGGCCGTCCCTGTTATTCCCCCACCTTCTCATCCCGTCGCATAGACCCCCACTGGTGTCGTTTCCTCTCAAGAAGGCCAATATTCTAACCATGTCCCCCTACAGGCGATCCCTTCATTGAAGCCAACAACAAGAAGATGGCTGAGAAAAAGGACAAGAAAAAGCCCGCTGCCGAGGACGACTGGGTCCCCATTCTCATTGACAGCTCGCCCGTCTGGGTCGGGAGCATGCCTCGCCGCTCTCCCGACGACACGACCGGGTGCCCTATTAACAAGGCAATCGCCGACTTTGTCAAGGACATGTGGGGCCGCGTCTTTAGCGGCAAGAAGGATAAGTAGAGGGGGACGCTGCCTTCCCCGGTTGACTTTTTCTCAGGGAACGCTGTCCGAGGGTTAGGCTCCAGTGTGTGGTGAATTTGAGGGTGTGGCGTCTGGTAGCCTAGCTTCTTTTCTTTTCTTTTCTTATCTCCCTTGTCTTTAATGAGGAATGGAATGAACGAGATATGAATGCATGAGACATGAGGAAAATTAGGAGTACGGTTGTTTGTATTTGGTAGATACCCAATTGATCAAATGTTCTCCTCGGCTTTATAACTTTCAAATCGTAGTGAGGCCCGCCCTTTAAACCAACTATACACCCAGGATGCCATACATCCATCACTTCGGTTGCGATTTGCCCCGAGTGGGTGGGTTGGAGAAGGTTGTCCCAAGGATGAAGAGTAGAAACACAACTAACAAATGCAGAGGGGAAGATGCGATGTACGCTTTCAAAGTATGACTCAATATTTAACAATAGAAATTAAGAATATTCACTATAAAACACCCAAAACCCCCACCCAAAAAGCCACGTCCGTCTACGCCTCCGCGGCAGCCTGAGCAACCTTGCACAGCCTTCCGTTCTGCGACGGGAACTTATCACCCTCCACCTTCCTCACCTCCCAGCCCTCGCTGCCCACGGTGCTAGGCGCCCAGAACACGTTCCAGGGATCCCGGGACTTCTTGACCTTGAGGAGCTCGGCGTACTTGTTGCCAAAGTAGCTCGTCTGCCAGTTGGGCTCCTCGACGTCGGACTCGTTGATGTAGGCGCCGCCGCCGTCGGCCGTGACCTCGCGGAGCTTGTTCATGACCTTGTTGAAGGGCTCCGTCTTGCTGATGTCGCCGGCGTAGAAGATGTCGGCGTGCATGTACGTGTCGCGGAACGCGGGTTCAGGCCGCTGTTGGAGCCGGGCCAGCCCGCGATGGCGGCGGTGGGGGACATGAAGATGCCGTGGAAGGTGTAGGTGGCCTCTACGATTTCGCGCACGGCGCCCATGGTGGCGTTGAAGAGGGTCTCGTCGTTCCAAATCTTGCGGGGAAGAGCCTGCTGGCGAAGCGCGAGTTGCCGGGGCTGTCGCCCGTGCCGTTGTTGGAGGACGGCGCCCAGTTGGAGGTGGCGGCGACGCTAATGTCCTTGAGGTCGATGCCGTACCCGCGGATGGCGTCCCAGAGGGGTTGTAGGAAGTAGCTGATTTCCTCGTCGGAGAGGTCGGGGAACTCGTTGTCGGCGGTGAAGGAGAACGAGTCGGGTCCGGTGTAGGAGACGTAGTTGTACGACGTGCCGCCGACCTCGGTCATGAAGCGGCCGTACCAGTGGTACGCGTTGACGGCGTTCCAAAGGCCTCGACGGAGACGTTCTTGCCCGTCTGGAAGGCGAGCGCGGCGTTGCGGACGGTCACGCGGGGGTGGGCCTTGACGACGGCGGAGGTGACGATGCCGTAGGTTCCGGGGCCACCGCCGCGGAGGGCGTAAAATAGGTCGGGGTTCTCCTCGGGGCTGGCGGTGACGAACTTGCCCTCGGCGGTGACGACTTGCAGGGAGAGGATCTGGTCGGCGCCCATGCCGTACCACGACGCGAGGGCGTTGTGGCCGCCGCCTTGGAACCATCCGCCGTAGACACCGACGGTGTAGCGGCCTGGCGTGACAAAGGTCACGTTGTGCTCCTCCATGAAGTTGTACATCTCCCAGGACTCCAGACCGGCGCCTACGCGGGCAGCGGGGCCGGTGTACTGGCCTTGGGTGTACGTGGGGAGGAACTCAAAGTCCTTGATGAAGTGAGTCCAGACGCTGATGGCGCCGGCTCCGGTGCTGCGACCGAGGAAATCATGGCCAGTGTTCCTAGAAAATGTCCGTTAGCTCATCGAGGTTTCCAGACGTATCAAGGGGATAAACTAGTAAAAAAGCAATGTTTCAAAACTTACTTGATGACAAGGCGGATGTTCTTGTTGCGGGCAAAGTTGACAACCGTCTGAATCTGCCATACCTCGGTCACGTTGAGCACGTACTCGGGAAGCCTCCCTGCGTGCAAGTCGCGTTGACCTGGGGCTCGAGCGGGCAGGTATTACCCTGAGGCCACGAAGTCAAGACGGTGAGGGGATCGCTGATAAAGAAGCGGTTGGATCCCGCATTGTTCCTGATGTCGCGGCACTTGGCCTCGTCGTAGTTGGCGTGGTCCTTATAGCACACGGACGCCGCAGGCTGGGGCTTGAGTAGCGAGCCCTCCAAGAAGTCACTCAGGCGGTTCCACTCCTGCTGGGTAGGCCAGTCGTCGGAGCCGGGGAACGCGCGGCACTCGGCCGTCGTCTCGTTGTACTTCTTGACGTTGCCGAAATACACGTCGCGGAAGCCGCCCTGCCCGGCCTGGAAGTTCTCCTCGGTGAGATCAAGATCCTCAAAGGGAAGTTGAAGCCCCGGACTCCAGCGAGGAGCCCCAAGAGGACGGTGGGGAGCAGGAGATCGCGCATGATTCTTGTTGATGGGATGCTAGATCACGCGGAGAGAGAGGGGGAAGGGGGTAAGATGACCGCTATGCCTCTGACGCGGGGGAGAACCTTTTGGGATTTGGGCGTCCTGGCTGGGTTCAAATAAGGCTCCTTGGCTCCCTTGGGACGAACACCCCTCGAGGCGGGGGCCGCATGAGGTTGGGGGCATGCTCGCTTTATACATCGCGCTACGGATACTTGCCGTGATGGGAGCGCGCCAGGCGAACCCGCTTTTGCCACGTCTGGTTCGCTCCCTCTTGTTTCTTTTTGTCTGGATCCTCCCCACTCGTGGAGCATGTATTTGGCTAGGCTTGGTTCTTTCCCTCGGCAACTCGTTAGACCCCGTGCGGGGACGCGAGCCAAGGTCTGGATACGATCTAAGCTCCTCACTGAGAAGTCTCTCCGTCCCTTTCGGATCTGGCATTCCTTCTTCCCGTGTTGGGGGTGTGTGTGTGGGAAAAGGCACGTTCGCCATGTCCTAGATGTGGGAGGGGAGGGAGGGGGTGCATCGCCTTTCTCGTCAGTTCGGAGCTCGGAGGGGCATTTCCTTTGGGCATCTGGTCTCCTTGTCGTCGGTGCCCACACCTCCTCGACTGTGGCCGATCCCGAGTACACCAGTACAGCGTTCATATCGGCCAAACCTGCGTCGTTCCTGCGTTTGGATAAAATGCAGTTTACGCGGACGCGGTGGCATATGGTCCTTCTGGAAACCTTCCCTATCGCCTACACCCTACATCGAAAAGATGAGCTTGTCTACTAAAGTCCTACTAAAGTCTTAATGCTAATTACGAGTAATCATCGCCCTAGGAAATAGAGGAAAAAGAGAGCAAAATAAAATGCCTACCTCCGTATTTCCGTCGTTTCCAACGGTGCGGTAGCTTAGCCGTCAAACGAAATGGCAGATTACTCGAGGGAGCCTCACCAAGCCTCCAACTTAACAAAGGCGGGCAATCATAGAAGGAAAGAAAGAAAAGAACAAAAATAGGCTCCCATAAAGTGCCAAGTAAAGCTTCGTGCAGGCCGGCGGCGGTATGGGTGGATAGGGTCAATATCGCGGAAAGCACCTTTCTCGATATTAGAACTGGGGACGAGGGGGAGAGGAAGCACAGCTAGGGAAGAGCAGAGCAGAGCAGGAACTCGGCCACGGGCAGCGCACTAAAAGGGACATTAGGTCAAAGACCAGCTTTTCCTCGCGCTTGTTTAGCCGGGTCGGGCTCGGTTGAGCAGGATGCTTGGGAAGGGGAGGCTCAATGGCCCCAAATTGCGGGCTTCTGCTCAGTCCGTCGTTCGCCTATTTACCCAGGCCAGCCCGCTCCAATGCGAGGCGGGGAGGGGCGCGCCTTTTCCCTTCATTTGAGAGTCAGGTCAGGTAAGCAAGGGATTTGACGCCGGGACCGGGTATACGATGGGCGGGAGGGGGCTACAGGAAGAAGTCGAGGGTTTTAATAACTGAGCTTTACTCGGTTGTATGGACGCGAATTGCGATAAAGTGCACGCTTCCTCGCCAAACCACCGCCAACCCACACCGCATGTGCGATGTGTGGGGTCGCATCACGCTTCAGGCACCGCGGCACGTTTTTTTCTAGTGTAGACTGCCCTTTTCTTTCTCATATTAGGACACTCTCCCACGGTGATTCGGAAGTGCGGCGAATTGGGAGAGGCTTGGTTCAATTGGTCTACTCTCCCATCCATGTTGGCTGTTGGTTCCTGGATCGATCGCACCACCTTGCATTTGCCCACTTTGTGCTTAGGCGGGAGGTCTAGATAGTCCGATGCCTACCAGCCTGACGGACCAACAGGTGGGAGTCGGGTTTTCGGCAGTCACTCGTCGAGTTGTCCGAGCAAGTCGGCAATTCCTCTTTGCCAGTGTGGCCTTGAGAAGACTTTTCTCGGCCTGCGATCTAGTCTGAAAGCCTGAAAGCCTGATAGACAAACAGGACTGCGGATTCTAGATGCTTCGAAATTCCCATGGGCGCTTGGTATGGGAAAGCGAGACTAAGCAAGTGCGAGGCTGAAACCCTAAGAAGGAACGAATCAGTATTACATCCATTGATGTATTAGTGATGAAGGCTTCTTTTCCGTTTTCCTTTTCGCTGCCTTCTCCTCGACCTACCTCTGGTCGCACCCACAGCCAAGCCCGGGCCACCCGTCTTGGGGATCTCCCCGCTAACGCACGACCACCTTCTTGACAGCGGTCTCACTCCTCCCACCACGGATCAAGAACGGCAGGCTTGCAGACGGCAAATCCGAGATGCAAATCAACAGCCCACGGCCCAAGAGGTCGTGACGTATGTACTTTTGTACCCTTGGCACGATGTGGCTGGGGAACGGGAGGAAGTCGGGGTTCATATGTTCGTTCGTGAGCGCGCCCACGAGTTTGCGTAGGTGTCAATTGCGGGGAGGGAAAGGCCGATGAACACCTGACCCGGATGGCGCACCCGAATCTGGAGCGAGCGGGACAGTTCACCGATAGTTCCTTCCCTCTCATCCATCTCCCACTGCTTGGGGCGCGACTTCCTTTGTAAGCTCGGAAGCCCGGTTTGGTAAATAGGTTTGTACAACATCCCCTCATAGAAGGAGCTTGATCTATCCTATTTGATGGAGAGGCAGGCGCGACCGAGGAGAACACGGATGTGATGAGCATTTGATGTCAGTGGCATGGCCTTTCGCAAAAGACTCGTACCGATAAGAAGACGGGGTTTAATTGTGCCGTAGCGATGCTAGACATGCACGAGAGAGACCACGTGCAGGTGAAAGGAGCACAGCACTTGAGTGGCGTCTGAGCTAGTTCTAGATGAGCTCACGAACCCTCTCTTGCCGGTACGGGTGGATTGACAGCACCAACCCAGGTGCGAGCCTACCTCCCGCTGTTTTCCAAAGTGCGCCCATAGTAAATAAACCCTCAATCCTATCGACTTCCCCGCAAAGGACCAACCGTAGCATTCCCTCATGTTTTTGCCCTTTCTGGCATTCCGTAGCCAAAGGCCCGGCTCCGACTCTAGCCCTCTCCCTCCCAGTCAAGACGGCACACACTTGAGATCCCTTCGCGCGGCCAACGATTCATTCGCTAGGTAAGAGAGCGAGGAAAGCCCACCGATGGACCTATATGAATTACCAAGGGAGGAGGATGGCAGAAAAAATAAAATAAAAGGATTGACAGGACCTGGGGTGAGGCCTGCGCTGACCTGCCGGTTTACCGAGCTGCTATGCGGATCCGGCTGGCCTTCATGCATTTAGACGATCACTCTCCCGATGATGGTCAGGGCTCTGCAGCTGCGTCGGCAGATCATTGCGTGCTGAGCCTTGACACCGAGATCGCGGCGCGGTACGGGGAGTATCAAAGGCTTTGGCATAAGTTGGTCTAGCATCTCGCGTCGATTTTTTCAAGTCGAATGATATGGTGAATTGATAATTTTATATCACTACTCAATAAATCTGACTAAAGAGGAGCACAAGTGAGTAGGGCGCAAAGAACATTCGAGGAATGATCGAGGAAGATGATTTTTCTGTTTCTTTTTTTTTTTTTTTCTTGGTTGGGGATTTCTCCCCACAACGGAACCGTAAAACCCTTTCATGCCACTGGCCAGCCGTTTCATATCAATCATTGTCCTCGTTACCTGCCTTAACCTCCTTTACGCCAGCCTCTTCTTGCTCAGCTCGACCGCCACATCCGTGTCTGAGCCGTCGATAAAGTCATCCATGATTACGAGCAGTTGGTCCTTCTTGCACCTGCTCATCACGTTGTCCCTTAGCCACGGTAGCAACAAGTGCCCGCAAAGCGCTTTAGTCGCCATGAGCGCCATGGTGCTGACGCTGGCCGACACCACGCTGTAGTAGATGACGTCCTTAATGTTGGTTGGCGTTGCCTGGCACTGCGCCACTGTCATGTTCTTGCCTTCTTGGTTCTGCGACGTGAGGACCCTCTCGAACGCGCTAATCATGCTCCTGCCGTCCACCGTCGCATTGGCAATGTCGTCATAGGTCGAGAGCACGCCCTCGTTGACAACGTAGAGAAGCCGCTTCTTCTGCGACCGCAGCTCCTGGATCGTTGCGTTGCGCAGGTCATTCATGTTGCCCGACTTTACAGCGCCGTTGGAGAGAGTCAGGGCCGCGTTCAGGTAGTTCTGTAGCTCCGCGTCGTCGGGGCGCGCGCACTCTGCCGGCACTCCATCCCAACGGACGTGCACCACCGCGATCTCGCTGGGGTTCTTGACGAGGAAGGCGACGAGGTCATTGAGGAACTGGTCGTACGCCATGCCGGGAATAGGTCCGTGCTGGAAGTAAAGCTTGTCCGGGAGGGGAGTGCGGGATGATGGCCTTGTGGCAATGCGCTGGCCGGAACTCAAAGTAGCGCGCCCCGAGGTTGAGCATCGTAGAAACCGTATCCTTTTGCGTGATGGACAAGCTGGCAATGATATCGGGCGCGATCTTACTGACTGTCACATCGGCCAGCCCACCAATGACCTTGGCGATGCTGTCTTGTCCTCTCTGCAAAGCGGGCATCACTGAGGTGAGCACCTTGGCGCTGGCCACGCCTGCGTGCTTGAGGATCGCGTTCATCGTATCCATGCTGTTCATGCCCACGTCGTGCGGGCTAGGGAGGACGAAGCAGGCAAACTTCTTCTTCTCCTGCTCCGATCCGGCGGGCGCGACGATGCCCTGCCAGTTGTTCCACTCCTGCGTCACCACCATGTACGCCTGGTGTCTGTTGGGGAGCCCAGCCTGACCAGGCCCCGCCTCATAGACACCATAGCTGACCGCCAGCCCCTTGTCGATGATGGACCTCGTCTCGAGCATCGTGTCCTCAAACGTCGAGGCCGACGCGATGTCGCCCGAGATGGGGTCCACGTCCATCCACTGCTCCGTAATCACCGCCTGCGGGTCCTTTCTGCGCACCTTGAAAGTGAACCGCCCGGTGCGCTTCAGCGGCCACTTGATCTTGCCCGCATCCACCTCAAAATTGCCCGTCTCCCACTTGCGCTGCGCCGAGCGAGTTTCCTCCTGCTTCGGGACGGAGATATCAATCTCGACGCCGCCCGGCGCCGAGATGTACGTGTACGCTTGCACCCCTTTGCTCGGCATCTTGCAGGTGCAGGGCATCAATTGAGTCCAAACGGACTGGGACTGAGACTGAGACCGGGGTAAGACTTTGGTTGAGATTGAGCGGCGGTTGGTCTCGGTTGCGACAGGCCTGGCGCGGATGCGACCGATTCTGGTTCTGCTTCTACTGTTTGTCGCGGAGGACGGTTGTTTGGTAAATTATCTCCATGCGCCGGCCGTACGGGGCGGTGATGCGCAGTAGTTAAATCAAGTCTCCCCCACCTTGGCACACCCTCAGCCCCAACCTCCCAAGAAAAAACCGGACGTCTCTGCCACATCTCGTTCGCTGGGGGCTAAAAACGCTTCGGTGGATTGCGCGGCTGGCCCCTCCCTCCTCCTCTTCCCCCTCCACCCCACAAGTGACGAGTTGAGTGGGCTGGCAAGGGTGGGCCAGAACAAGTGAGCGGCTTCAGTCAAGTAGTGTATTCTCGATGTCGTCTCTCCCAGAATGGACTTGGCGGGGGTGGGGGAAGTCAGGGACCGGGGCGAGCTGAACGACAGGGGTACCATGCCAACTCTTCTCTCGAGAAGCCAAGCCAAGCCGAAAACACGTTTCAATGCCCAGATTCTCAATTCGCGCGGGTTCCTTGGTTCGAGAGCGCGCCTTTTAATGGGATGAAAATGCTATTATTAATTCCTTCACCCGATATTGGTACCGATCAAGAGAAATTCTCCGTCGCTGGAAGCTAGCGTGCGGAAACGTCAAGATGCGGACGTAGGCGGAAGAGACGAACTGTCATCGCCCTTTCCCGACTAAACGTTATGAACCACCTTGTTCCTGCCCTTCGCAAGTCTCTGATGGGCGCAGCGCCTTCTTTCCACCAAACGCACACCTGGGTCTCTCTTTCCTGCCCAGACAGGAAAACATTGGAGAATTCAGCTGTGGCGGGCTAACTCGAAACCGGGCGTCCCAAGCAATATGCGCCGTCAAATATTGACCCAATCCAGCAATGGATATCGGTTCGTGCGTCACCATAAGTAATCAAGTTCCTCGGACGTGGAAACATCAATTCTACATGTAGCCAGCGGGCAGAACACGTAAAGAAAACCAAGGCGCCGTTCACTGCTATGAATAGATTAGGATTTATTACATTTCCACCTCACTACATTAGCTAGATAAAATGTGATGTACAGCCTGCACGTCGCCAGGCAGCGCGATTGACGGTAGATACCAGATTTGATACCTGCCGAGCCGCTCGCGGTCAAAGTGCTTCCGCCCCACGCAACGACTGCGCGCGTCACTATCTTGGTCCAAGAAGTGAGCCGGGAGAGAAAGGCAGCTGGAGGCATGTGTGAGTAAACCTCCGCGCCTATTCCAGCCCTTGTCCAGATTTTGCTACCAAAACTACCACATAGTTTCTGGCGTCGCCCAGTCGCCGTCAATGTCGTCAACCCTTTGAAAGATGCTCCGTAAACTCATGCTCGATGCAAATGACCAATGCTTGCCCCATCCACGGGTTCCGGCAATACCTCATATCAATCTCGATTGGGGAGCCAAAAAGACAGCCATCATCATACCGCGTCAGTTATGTATAGGAAAAGACCAAGGAAAAGGAAATGATTGATTTGCTGTGGGATTGATTTGCATTCGCCTTGACGCGTGTATCTAGTTCTTCCCTGGCGCAACCTGGTTGATGATGTGGTTTCCGGAGCCTGTGATATTCCACTCGCCGATTTCGGTATGCCTGCGGATGCTATTTAACCTCGGCGGTCCTGGCACCGGCGCGTCAGGCTGCCAGGTTGGATGCGTGGCGTACATATCCGCACGGTAACTGGACGCCGTGTCGCTAAATCCCGAGACGTCGGAAAAGGATACGCGGATCTCGCTGGGCCGGGAGAGCTGTGAGACGGCGCCGACCGAGGTTCGGGGTTGTGGCCTCGTGCCGCTGCCGCCATCGACTCGGTGGGGAATGGGAGGGCGAGTTTGGGAGCGAGTGTTGCGAAGGTGGAAGGGGAACATGGAGATGGTGCCGCCGAATACGGTCGAAGTCGGAGAAGGTAGATTCGACATGTCGGTGGCGGCGCTGGCGGCGCTGGCTGCGCTAATGCGACGTTGGGCAACCGGATTCGGGCGCTCCACCATTGCAGGCTGCGATCCCCCAAACGTTGGGCTGTCGGGACTCGAACGTGCCGGGTTTAAGAGGCCGCCCATGACGGTCGAGGACCGGTTTCCTGGCTTCTGCTTCAGACGAAGGGCGAAAAGGGTGCGATCTCGTCGGCCGTACATGGCCATGGTGCTGTCCTTCTTCGTCCGGCGATATCGGAAGAGGAAGATGAGAAGTAAAAGGAGGACAACCACGATCACTAAACTCCAGAGTTAGTCAAAACCGTAGGTGGAGATTCTGGTTACCCTAGAGCAAAAGAAAAACACAACATACCAGTCACGCTTGCGACAATCGCAGGAGTCGAGTTGCCCTTGGATCCGGGACCGGGAAGCGCCGCGGTTCCACCTGAGCCACCCGAGTCGGAAGAGTCGCCATTTCCGGGAACTGAGCCGTTAGGATTTAACGTGCCGGATGGGTCTGTGGACGTGGACGGGAGAGCTGGGTCGCTCGACGAAGACCCGCTGCCGCCCGTCGATTCATCGCTCCCACCCCGGGATCCCGTTTCGGGGTCGCTCGAGTTTTGCGTGTTGCCCCGCCGGAGGCTTCGGGTTGTGTGCCAGAGCCGGATCCGTTTTGGCCAGAGTTGGATGAGTTGCCATTGTTGGACTCAGGGTCGCTTTCGGCGGGCTTTTCGCTCCCGTTATTCGAGTTATCCGTGCCACTGCCAGTCCCGCTGCCGCTCCCGCTGTTGCCGGAGCCATTGTCTCCCGACCCGCCACTGTTGCTGCCGCCGCTTCCGCTTCCGCTTCCACTGCCGTTGTTGCCACTGCTTCCACCGCCGCTGCTCCCACTATCACTGCCTCCGCCGCTGCTGCTTCCGCCACCACTGCTCCCACCACCACTGCTCCCACCACCACTGCTCCCACCGCCGCTGCTCCCACTGCCGCTGCTGCCACTGCCGCTGCCACTGCCGCTTCCACTACCGCCGCTCCCACTGCTTCCACCACCGCTGCTTCCGCTTCCACTACCACTGTTCCCACTTCCGCTTCCGCTTCCACTCCCAGTCCCACTCCCGCTTCCGCTGCCGCTACCTCCACTCCCACTGCCTCCGCTCCCGCTCCCGCTGCCACTTCCACTTCCGCCGCTTCCACTTCCGCTTCCACTTCCACTCCCGCTGCCACTGCCTCCGCTTCCGCTCCCACTACCGCTCCCACCGCTGCCGCTGCCGTTGTTCTTCCCGGTGAGAAGGTCCCACCATGACGTGTTAAAGGGCCATATGTTCGAGATATTATTGTTGCTAGACGAGTTCCCTAACCCCCATCCAAACACCATGATTCATTGCGCTCCGGGGGTAGATCTGCTGGCGTCCTGATGTTTAAAGAGCGATCGGTGGTGACGAAAACAAAGCAAGAATAAAAAAGAAAGAATAAAAACGAGAGTTGAAGAATTAGATTGTAGTCTCCAAGGACTGACTGGGCATCGTCGGCCTCGAATCGGAGTGAGAGTCAAGGTCCCGGGTATTAGAATCGTAGCTTCTCTGAAGGTCGAATGGCGTCTCTCTTCCTCGGATTATTTCGAACGAACACTAGGCCCTCTCTCCTGCCAAGTGCATTTGGTATCGTCTTAGTCGTCCTCCCCACAAAAGATGGCAAACGAGTGTGGTTTGGGGAAGAAATCTCGAGGCTTCGAGAGGAGAAGAGAAGCACCAGCAAAACAAGGACCAGTCCGAACCAAAAGGAGTTAACCAGGGGAACCAGTACAATAATATTAAAAGGGGATCCCTCCATCCTTCCTTCCTTTGGTCGGGTGGGAGAGACTCCTCCGTCACCTGCATACTGCAAGAGAATCGTCCGAGCGAGTGGTGATCCGGGATTAAGCGTGAAGCCTATCGTACAACCCATGCTACGGGCGCCACAGGAACAACACAACACTCCACTACACACGCTAGTTCAGAGGGAAGGGAAACGGCGAGACAAGGAAGCACCCCTCAAGGAACAGGACAAGGCAAGACACATTTTCAGGGACGTGGGAACACAGTGGAGGTGCCGATTTCCTCTTTCGATGTCAACTTGGTCACATCGTCGCGCGGACCTAGACAGGGATTCCGATGTCAATGCGACAGTGTGTTAATTTCTCGAGGCAAGGCACGGACCAAAAGCCATGCCCTCGCCACCGCTTCCTTTTTTCCTTTTGCCTTTCTTCTTCTTGGCGAAAGGGGAACCTGGTCTGAGAGCACAACGGGCGGGGAGGACCCAGGGAAAATTTTACGCGAATGGACGAAGGAAGCCGACAAGCCCTCCCGCGACTGAAAATAGAGGCTTTTCAGCTACAAGTAGACGGATTGAAAGGTTGGAATTGGAAGGGAGTGCCCCCGTATCACCATTGCGCCACAGTATCAGAGCGAAAAGTCTGGGAGAGGATGACGATGGCGAGTCCAGGGTACAGCCAAGGATCTCCGGATCGACTCGGCGAAAGGGAGCGACCCGTCGATTGCGAATTGATGGTTCTGGTGACCCGTTAGACCCATGGCCCAGAATACTTGAATGGGGGAATCGCGACAAAAAATAAAAACATTGCTCGTCTGCATAAAATTGAATAACTTGCGGCGGATATTGACCTGACTATCAATGACACTATGGGCTAGGGCCGGCGGCCGGCGAAAAGCGGCGACCTGCTGAATGAGCTTTGGATAACACCAAACTCTTTTGTTCTCCAGATTCCGCGCAGAGGGACCGGACCTACTACTATGGATTAACGTATACTCAGTTTTCTCCCCACACCTAAAGCCCGATTTCAACACCAACACATCTCCGACACGCCAATGCTGTCCATTTATCAGGGTCTAGTATACTGTAATTGCACAAAAAAATCTGCCGAGCGCAAGCTAGGGTCACAAAAGGTCCAGGTCGTGGCGTCTCTGTCGTCTGATTTGTCCAGTCTGAAGAGACCGCCAGAATGGATGAGGCCAAGACTTGTTGAAACTGGACTATTTTTGGACTTGGTCGGATCAAAATCATCTAAAGGAAGGGATCAACACTGGTTGATCTGGGGGAGGAGGTCGACTGGTACCTGCAGCAGTGTCTTTTGGACGATGGGCTGGCCAATTAATAGTAGTTGTAAGACGGCCTCAGCTGTGACGCCTCTCCCGAAATCACCCCACTTTCTCCCCTCCAATGCACCGACGAACACGAGGATGGTGAAGGCCTCTGCTTTGTGAAATTGGCAAGCCTCGGTCACCTTGGCCCAGCAGGGGTTGGTGACCTCAGCTCTCATTGGCAAGATACGCCACACGAGGCACGAAAACGCGACAAAGGAAATCTTGCAAGGCAAGCATGACACTTCAGCTCGATAGTGAGAACTGAGGGGCTAGGCCTTACCCAAGGCATTCTCCGGCGAGACTCCTGCTAAGAGGCAATACTAGTCTTTTGAGCCTAGCACAACCCCCTCGTTGAGCCAACACTGAGTACGGCGGGCGGTGCGGTTTTCTTGACCGAAGACTGCGACGGCGAGAGGATTCCGTTTCTTTCGTTCCTATCATGCTTTTTCTCTTTCTCTTTTGAGATGGGGGTCTATTATTATCATTTCAGATGTATTCTTCTTTCCGAAGGTGATAGATCATTATGATATTGAACATTGACTTGGGGACGAACGAGGCCAGCAAGGAAGAGATTAGTGCATGGGATTCTCCATCATGCGATATCGTGGGCTCCTGAAGGAAGAGGTAGCGCCTTCCGGTTAACCCAGTGCGACTGGCACCTTGAATACTGGGCCCTTGCCATTTCGAGCAAGCCTGCTCCTACCCTGGCGCTTTCCCCCAACTTGACCCCAGGATGTACCGAGGTATTCGAAGTACTATTCGCTTGTTGTCTTTTCCCCCTCGTACCTGCATCAAGGACGTGACTGCCTCTCTCAATTGAGGGGGTTCGTCACAGAAGTACGAAGTATCTAGGGGGTCACGTACCCTCCCCTGCGAGATGCCCAAGCAGCCGGGGAAGGCACAAGCAATCTCAAAACCGTTATGTAAAGACAAGGCAAGGGCACCCGGAAGGTCTCTTCAATGTAACTTTAGAAGGCGAGACTGACTTCATGGGGTAAGCGCCTTGCTGCTTTCGTCCTCGCTCTGAAAAAACGAGCCCTGTTGGTGTTAGCCAAAAGGCACAGCGAAGAGCCATTTATCGAAACTCGCAGATTGTCCTTGCTTGGAGGGGACCCTCTCCAACGCATAATAACAGAGTTGCCCATGGGTGGTTATCCCCGGTCATTCGACGAGGCTTTCTCTGAGCACTATGCGCTCGTGGGGCATCAGCGGGAATGGATTGATAAATGGGTCTAGTCCAGATTGATGGGAGAGTCATCGTCAACTCGCCGCGACTGCTTCGTAACATATGTTTGCTGAGCTGGTTTGATTCCCCAGCGCAATGACTCTAGGCTTGCCCATCAGCACTAACTCAGCCTTGATCCGAGATATCCGCCGCCAACACAGAGCTCGACGGCTACTCCGCTCCGGTGAGCCTTGGTGAGAGAGCCAGTCAAAGCGCCGTCGGCGGAACGGATTCGACTCACCACCAATGGATTTAGCGCAAGCTGCATTGCACCAGCCAGAGGCGTTCATAGCGAAGGGAGCGCTTCCACAAGTAACTTCACTTGGCTATGCTGTTAGTGATTACTTACATCTTGCGTCAAGCCCCAATGCGAAGAACGCTGGGTCCGACCATGGAAAAGCAGGCGTTGGGGATTTTCCCCTATTCCGGTTCTCACATTTACTTGTCCACCTACTGGCTTTCGGGCCTCTAGAAGATGCTTGACTCTAGGTAGGTACAAGGGGAAAGTGGAAAGAAAGCCTGGGTGAATGGGAGATTCATTACTTCAGTGTAAGGAAAGACGCTCTGCTTTCAACCTTGTAATCTCTTATTACCGTCCAGTCTCGATAATCAGAGAGTGTGCTCCGGTTAGCTAACCTCCGGAAGGCTTGATAAGAGACCTGTGCCATAATCACCAGCTCGAAGCTCAGGCCAGTGCCCACGCCATCCAGCAGGCTATCACTCGAAGACAGGCTCGAATCTTGATAGAGTACCTTTTCCTGATCAAAGCATAAGAGACCTAGCGAGACACAGAAAAAAAGATAAAAATTTGTAACCCGCGGCGGCACCACCTGCCTTGAAGGTTAAGGGATCTGTAACTGTAAGTTGCCTAACTATGCTATCAGTGGATCAAAGACTCCAAGCTTCATGTCATGATCACAAGAACTCTAGCTATCATGTTCGCCAAGCATCCCACTTTGGAAAAGGCTGACTCGGAACCCGGCCGTGGAGATCCTTCGAGAAGAATCGCGTTGGCGTGATGGCGAGATGTGGAGAGAGAGATAAGAAAGAAAAGAGCTGAGTTTGTAAGAAAAGTTGCCCCAGGAATACGATTATTATACCGCCAAGGAGGAGGGGAAGGTACCCGGTTCACTCTGGATCGAAATACGATTCTCGGCTCCAGAGTTTGCTTCTGAGGTTCGAGATTTTGCCTCCCAAGTATTGGGTTTCTACATCTACCATCAAGCCTTCCCCCAGCCCAAGAACCAATCTGCGATCTGGTGGCCGCAAGATTTCTTGAACCTTGAGAAACAGACACGTGGAAGGAACTGAGCTCGACAAGGCCAAAGATATGGGGGTTCTACACGTGGCTTGAGTGGAGTGGATTTGTCACATTTTCCTTCACCAGGAGGGATATCGTGGCGACAAAAATTGCGAAACCAACGATGCTGAAGATGGTCCGCTTGATAGCCCTGCTTGACAAATTAGGAGGCAGTTGGACGGAGAGAACCCAAGCTCCCGGGCTTGGGCGGGCAATCCGGCCTAATTATTGACAAATATTTCGAGGATGAAGGCTGGGTTAAATCCAAAACTCCAAGCTAATCGGTCTAAGCTCCAGATCCGGATTAGTGCCCGAAACCATGTTCGTCCACCCGGGCCGGTGGAGGATGATGACGAACCAACAAATTGAGACGCACGCTCCCGAACGTCATCCCAAACCCACCACGTGCTCGTGAGGTAATGAGCATGCCTAAAGCCACGTTTCTGGGAGACCAGATGGAAGGACGCCAGGTGGAAAGGCGGGCGAATTGGAGGATCGGATTGGCAAACCGTATCGGAGCCGGAGTCCGGAAAGCTTCAACGAGCTCCGGCATATCACCTCTCGAAAGTCGGTCCTAGATATTACTTTCACGATGACTCTTGATAAGAGTGCTGAAAAGATACTAGAAAAGGATTATAAACCTCGATATAACTCATTTACTTTGTACAGAGTGCAGGAGGTTGGCGCGGTTGGTCACCCGGCGAGTCTCCGTGAAGGCGGCCGTGGCCGGACTAGCCAAAACGGGTGGGCGCGGCTCCGCCCTTTGGTGGTGATGGTCCGCAGCGGTGCGCGCACACTGGGGACATCTCTAGCAGCCGATGCGCCTAGAAGGGCCATTTTATTGTACCATATTCACACGAGGGATGGTCGTAGGAGGTCACGAAGAGGCATTGGACCCTCTAATACTGGGGTCCAGGCCCCGGGGTTTTTTCCCGACTCGAATCATGATCTTGGTGTGACGCCACAGCAAACTTTATCACTGCCCGAGGCTCAACCCACCCTTTATACCCACCGATTGGTCGGCCGGACCCTGACGAGGCTTGTCTCAGTTCTGCAAACGGGATGTGGAGTATCGAGTGAGCAGAGTTTGTGGGTGTGAAGCGGATTTGATCAAGTGTGGCTGGGCTGACTTGATCTCTCGGAGTGTCCCGTCTCTCTCTTTGAGGGCATGGCCTCGGGGGCGGATAAGTAGGTCGCTCGCTACTTTTTTCGTCATTGATAAAAAGGATCCGATGGCGGCCTCTCTCATCGTAGAATGCGATGGTAATTTTCTCAAATCCATACGACAAGAATCTACTTCAGATTTAACAAGCTTGAGCGATTCATCCATCACTATCCCCCTCCTGATTCATCAATACTCACATCACTTTACTCACCCCATCCAGTCTGCGTTGAACATCGAGTCCAATTATTCAACAGACAAAGCGAACCGAGCTTTCCGAAACAACCCAAAATGCCAAATATAGATGACACTACCGTGTCACAACCTTCATCCCCACATGGCCCACCACAGTCCTCCACAGCTCCATGCAAGCGTGTCTCCGCATCCGTCCACAGGACTAATAACAGCTTTTCGAGTTCAGGCCTACCCTCACCAAGCAGTGTTGGAGACTGGACTCGTCGCCCGGAGGCGGCGGATGTTACGCTCCAAAACCTGTGCTCGAGGGCGACCCTGCTGGGAAACAACATCTCTGTGCGGCTAGTGGAGCTTCTCACGAATGCCCGAAACCGCCCAGCGGGACTGAGCAAGCTTGCCCACTTATTCCTCGAAATCTGCCGGATTCTGTGGTCCATTGAGACCGGGCTGTCAGAATACAGCAAGAGGAAGGATGGCAGGACGGATACCAGACCGGCCTCGCAACGTAGTGCCTCGCCGACAGGGCCTACGAGAGAGCTTCCCGAAGATACGAAAGACGTGCTAGAAACCCGACTCCGCCACACGATCCACGACTTTGAGATTCTCGACAACATGCTCCAGAAGAACATCGAGGTGGAACAAAAGGGCACGGTGGCCCGTCTCCAAAGCCAGTGGCGAAAGATCTTTGCCGACAGGGACGTTGAACGCATGAGAACGATGCTCGTGCGGTCAAGGGACTCTCTAAGGGCTAGTGTGATTGTCCTGCAGTGGTCTCTCGGCAAGACCTCTGGGGAGCCCACGCCGGGCTTTGGGTACACTGGGCTGGTCGCCACGCTAGACAACATAAAAAAGCGCCCTACCATTGGGAGGCGTACTAGGACGGCAGAGCTCGAGAGACTGATGAATCATGCGAATCGAGAATCAGACTCCTCTGCCATGCAAGGTTTCGAAGACCCCCGGCCACCTCTGCGTCAGATGGCCAAGCTCAGGATAGGTATGCCGACAGCTCTCCCTTTGATCTGCAGAGACGAGCGTCTCTTTCTCAGCTATCCGGTACCAACGAAGAGCCTGCTAGGCCGACCCCGGACATTCGCTCCGTGAGCGATAGCGTATCAACTGCCCCCAGCTCTCAGACAGTCACAGCCACGGGCGCCCAGCAACAATCGGGCAGCCAAACAACCCCACGCTCAAGTATTCACCCTCGCTGGACACGCATCTCGGACCACTCGGCCGGAGAGGATGCACCAGCCTCCACGCTTAATGAGGCGGGTCCCTGGATCGAAGAGATGGAGAACTTCGACCTGGCGACCATGGACGCCGATACAGTTCTCAGGATCAAAGCAGATCCCGAGTCAATGCCGCGCTGGGCAGCGGAAAACGTGGACGGGGAAATAAGGATGCGTTGCGCACGACACTTACGTCTGCCATCGAGGGACGGAACCACCGGATGATCGAGCAGGTTCTCGACAAGGGTGTCTCCCCGACAGCCCCGAGATGCACCTTGTTCGAGAGGCCGTCCTTCACCATGATACCGAAAGTTTACTGCTCCTCCTCCTCTTTGGAGCGGACCCCAATCGACCCGATACCGATGGGGTCACGCCGATTTACTCTGCTATCCGCGTGGCATACCCGGAAGGGGCCAAGATCCTTCTCAAGTACGGAGCCGACCCGAATCTCGCGGCCGGTCGCTTCAACGAGACACCTCTTGATCTAGCAATTTCACAACGAAATGCGAGTCTCGTGCAGCTCCTCCTCATATACGGCGCCGACCCCAACCTGCTCTCCTCCAAGGGTAGCCTGCCCTTGGTCAAAGCAATCAACGAGTCCGCGCCGAGGCGCATCGCTGAGCTTCTCTTGGCGTACGATGCTAACCCTGATGTCAAGAATGATGAGGGGAAGACGGCGCTGTGCCAAGCTGTGCTGGCGGACCGACCCGACATTGTCACGTCCCTCCTCGACCATGGCGCGGATCCCAACCTACCAGGGCCAGAACATGTACTCTGGATGGCGGTATACAAGCCGGTCTGCCTCTGCAACCTTTTGGCACGTGGGGCCGATTTCCTATACGCGCCGGGGGTAATGGAACTGGCAACATCTATCAATAGCTCCGAGTCTGTGCGAATCCTCCTGCAGGCGGGAGTTGATCCCAACGTCAAAAGGATGCCCTTTACACGCCACTTTGCACGGCCATCCGCGACAACCGTGTAGACATTGTACGCCTGCTGTTGAGCAACGGAGCAAACGCCAACTCAGTGGCGGTAAGCTACCCGATTGAAGAGTGCGTGATGCGGTCGAGGAACCATATGCTCCCGGTCCTACTAGAAGCCGGAGCAGACATTAAGAAGCCTGGGTCGATACTCGAGACCGCCGCGCGGGCTCGGAACGTGTCGGCCATGGCATGGCTACTCAGCCATGGAGCGGATCCCAATGCAAAGGCACCAGGGGTTACACGCCGCTGACGACGGCAATCCGCTCTGATCTGCCAGACGCAGTATCACTCCTCCTCTCGCACAATGCGGACGTGAGTCAGAGAGGCAACAACGAGTGGCCCATCTGCCTATCGGTGCAGCACCCGCACATCCTCAAGCTGCTCATCCCGCATATCAAGGACATCCACGCGTACCCGAGCGTGATGGAGCAAGCCATCATCGCCAACGAACTGGAAAGTGTGGCCACGCTCCTAGACGCAGGCTTCTACATCGAAGAAAAGAACAGCGGCGTGTTCTCGCCGCTGACGACGGCTATCCGGGAGCACAGGGAAGACATTGTCCGCTACCTGCTCGACCGCGGCGCCGATCCCAACGCGTTTGGCGAACACCTGCCTCTCGTCAAGGCGCTGCGGCGGACGGACGGGTCCAACACGGGCACGGTGCGGTTGCTCCTGGCCAAGGGGCGGGCGTCAACACTGTGTACCGCGGGTGGAACGCGGTGATGCAGGCGGTGGAGAACGGCGACGTGGAGATGCTGAGGCTCGTGGCGAGCCAGGGCGTTGATTTGAGCGTCGTCGGCGAGGGAGGCCGCACGGCGCTGGGCATTGCCAAGGGGATGGGCTGGGAGGAGGGGGCGCAAATACTCGAGGAGAATGCTTTGCCTTCGACGAGAACGATTGTTGTCTCTTGATTTTCTTTTTCTTTTTCTTTTTACCTGATTTGATACCCCTTATTTCCCTAAACATCCCCACGACTCGAAATCGTCGAAAACTGTATTATTACATGTATTCTTCTTGCTTTCTTTTTCCTCTTCTCATTCGTTTCTTTTCTCTATAAAGTGAAAAGAACGCGCACAGTGTTCGTCTTAGTCTGCGAACAAAAGAAAGAACTAAAAAGTTTTAGACACGGATAAATAATAGATGTGGGCATTGTTGGGTGTTGGAGGATGAGCTACACTTTACGCTTCGGGTTTCCCACTGTTTTTCTTTTATGTTATCACGTCTGTAGTGTAGGGAGATAGAACGAAGAGAAATAAAAGTTTGCATTTGATTGCTCTTCCATGTTTCAATTCCACCATAAAAGGGCCCTCCATTTCTTATGCCACAGAGGACATCGGAGATGGGCCTCGACGTAGGTGGTTGGAAGGGGATGGTGCCAATGGCGTTATGTGAATCTTGACATACATCAATTGTGAATTCGTATGTACCTAGATTTAGAGAGTTCTATCTCTTGGGTTGTTAACTCTCAACTTCAATCGAACTAATACGATGTCTATCTCAATTTTTATTTTTTTATTTTTTTATTTTTGCTTTTAAGCTGGTGACGGGGCAATGTGTAAAAGGGGCAATGGAATAGCAAAACTTGAAGCAATCTGTCTGTTTTGAAACGCAAAATACAAAGGGGATGATGGTAAGAATGAAAGAGACTGGAAACTAAGATACGAGAGCGAGACGGTAATTGAACGAGGGAGGTGTTGTCAAATGAAAACAAAGCAACGACCCTGCCCCTACGATGGTGAACTTAACCCAGATGGTGGTTCTGCTGAGTAAATTGCCCGGAGCTCTCCTTCTTCCCAACCTAGAACAAAAAACCATGGAACTCGATACGAAATGGGATACCAAGGCCCTACGTGTACTTGGGCCGGCTGTGTGCTGTGCTGTGACGGAAGTCGCGATAATGCCGTTGTTCAAATTGGGGGCATATCATTGAATGAAGGGTTGGAAACTGGACACTAAACGCCAAGGTACTTTGTTAGCATCTTGGAGAGGCACATGAGGCAGGGCGATGAACCTACCAAGGAAACAAAAGAGGTTGAACCTCCCCAGAAAACGAATACCCGCAACTACTCCGCATCGGTCGTCATGGCGGTGGTGGTGACGAGCACCTTGAACTGCATGTTGGGGTTGAGGCCCTCCGTACCTACTCGGAGAAGACGCGCATGTTCCCTGCGGAGGATATGGCATACGTCCCAGGGTCCTAGGGCGGCAGGGGTCATCATGGTCCGGGCGAGGTAGCGCGGCAACTCGATCCAGACGTTTTCGCGTCGCGGCAGACTTCAACCTCGGGGATGCCTACATGTCCCGGTATAGGGGACCGATCTTGTTAGCCGACATCGCTCCTCCATTTTTTCGGGGGAGGGGAGGGGAGGGAGGGGGAGGTCTAGAGAACTTACTGCTCTTCAGTTCTCGAAGGAAAATGGGCAGCGCCTTGGCCTGGGACAAGTGAGGAAAGTAAAGGCGTAGGTGGTTTCTGAATTCCTTGACCAGATCGCCGCCGTTGGCGCGCACGAGCAAGTACAGCACGTTGGCGTCCTGAAACCAGCGTGGGAAAACCATGACCGAGACATAGCAAGGCCCCAGGCACTTTTTGGCGCGAGTCTGCGGCGAGTGCCTCATCGGCCACTGCGGGCCGGGGTGCTGCACATCAGGCATCGGGTTGTTGGGCAGGGCGTGGCCTTCCTCGGGGCAGCGAAAGTGGAAGCTGCGGTACGTGAGGCCCACGCGGCGCAGGCCGACGAAATTGAGTTCGTAGACCTGTCGGGGCACGGATAGGCGGACGGGCGTGGCCCATCCGCTGTTGTTCCAGGGCCGCGGCATGAAGTTGAAGACGGCGAGGTCCTCGACCGGGTTGAACCCGTTTTGGCGCCTGGAGTCGAGGTAGTGCAAGTGCTCGTCGCGGGTGTGGGCGAGCGCCACGACGTGTTCGGCTTCGGGGAGACCTTGGCAATGGTCTTCCACTCGGAGAGGGTGCCGGCCTTGTGGGCGTAAATGGCGAAGGCGTGCTTTTCCTCCAGCTGGCGGGTTGTGAACTGGAAGTAGTTGAAGCCGGGGCGGGGCAGGGCGGCTTCGAAGATCATGGCCCGAATTTCGGGGGAAGTCGGGGAACAGGGGGAATGGTTTGATGGGCTTCGGGGGCTGAGGGGTTGGCTCTTTCTTGGGCCCATATCCGTTGCCTCGGTAGCCTGCCATGGGAAGCCGAGGAGGAGGGCCGGACCACGTAATGGGCTCCTGAGCGGGTTCACGATGGGCTGCATAAGGAGGTGGAGTCGACCATTCTAAATCGGCGGCGGTAGGCTGGCCATTAAACTGTTCAAGGACAGGAGGTTCATTGGAAGAATTGTTGGTGGATGGCTCTAGAGGGATGGGGGATCGTCACCGAACTGATCACTGAAAACAGGATCCATGGCTAGAGAGCTGCCTGTTAGAATAAAGACGAAGAAGGGAATAGTTAAGGGAAGTAGACGGTAACCCTTAGCTTACTTTGAAAGCGAAACAAGTGTTGATGTGGATAAGCACTGATGGTTCTTTAGTGATGGTCGATCACGATGCTGTCAAAGAAGCTAGGAAAAAGAGAGGTGAAGAGAACGAGAAAGATCAGGTAGGTTACAATATAGGTATGGTCGTTTTATATGATTAAGAAAGAAAGAGTAGGAGGCCAGAATCACTAGGGAAATACTGGAAGGCGCTATCCATAGAAGATCTCGCTATCTCTCAGCAAAAAAGGACTCTAGATGAATCAGGTCCTTGCTCCAGCTCAAGTTGTGGGTCAGAATAGAGAGTCTACAAGTAAACACTTGTGCTCCTGCTCCAGTACGTGACTCGGTACCTCGGGAACCTCTAGTTTCTTTTCAGAGGGCATCAACCTGGGGGTCAACAGAGCTTGGTTTGATCAAGGGCCAGGCTTTTCGGCGTACCAAACATCATATTGAAAGGGACTACAAGAGGAAGGACCATGCCAGGGAAGGGCAGAGAGTAGCATAGAGAGAAAAAAGTACGAGAAGGGAGATACGACGGGGAGATATAGGAAGTAAGCAATACCAGTTAACAGCCTGTGAAAGTACTTCAGGTTAGAGGGAGGTTGTCACACTTCAGGAACAAGTATTGGCCTACCTGGATGCCAAGGGTTCACGGGATATTGGAGAACTATCGAGGTTATCTATGGCATGGGTTCCTTAGCTTTGAAACTATCATCGGAATCCTTATGCTTTTGATTCTGTAAGTAGGAGAAGTAGATCCAAGTGCAAGGCATGCAGCTGCTGATGTAAAAGTCTTGCTGATAAGCCGCAATCCCTTGCTACTACACAAGTGGAGATGGTTGCCACGGAACGGGGAGATGATTCAGGAGATTGTGGAAGAGAGATGGAACTGGAGTCCTTGAGCCAGAGCCTTCTATGTAAGTGCCTCAATCAAGTCAACATCTACTGGGAGTCTTGGCCTCTTGGCCTCACGCATCATCAAAAGTGGAGGGAAACGTATGTAAGAGAGGGACAACACTATGGTTGTTGTTTATTGCCAGACCCAATATCCACCTATAACCTACTGCTTCACAGCCCGCAAAAGGTACGTGAAGAGAAGAGGGAAAAAAGGAAGCCACGAATGAGGCCTTGAGCTTCTCGGTATGGCGATACAGGTCCTCTGCCCTCCCCAAAAATATTTTTCTAAGTTTTTCTCTAGTGTGTTTGGCATTTTTGTTTAATCCTTCATCAAATCGTCTTGTCGCTTGATCGTTTGTCCTTTCCCATATCTCATCGTACCTCCTTAAAACTCGGTCAAGGAGCGGGGAGGTAGGGGTCTAGCCTCGCGGCCTTCCGTACTGTCGGCATGGCCTTGGACAGAAGTAACAGAAAGAGCCGCCGTTCTTGTTCTCGAAAGTTGGGTGAGGAAGCGCAAGGGAGGAGGAGAAAGCGTAAAAGAAGAAACACACGGTGGGTATCGGATATCATAGTACATCAGTATAAATGCACGCCGTTTATCTTTGAAGGTTGGTTTCGAGCGAAGCTGGGTTTCTGGTGCTGGTGTCACTGGCCGACACCAAATCCATCAATTGATGTTGCCATCGATCGAAGGTACCACGGCACAATCGCATGGCGTGTGTAGGTCAGACGGAAGCTGCCCACAACGTGTATGCTGCCGAGGTTTGGAGTCGTAACATATGGTTCGTTGCTTTGCCGCTCGTGCTACCGGCCAAAGCCATTTTCGCTAGGGCTCATTTGCTCGCCGCGATCCGCTCGCGGTGGCCCTCTTAAAATCCAGCTCATCCGAGAGCTCCGGAAATGCATCAGATGCAAAGTGGGGCCATGTTGGTTAAAAAAAGAAAAAAAGAGAAAAACATTCGTTCGAATGTCCTCTGTACGCCATTGAACACCACGACACCATGCCTTGTCCTCTTGACCTGGCAATGCCAGCCACAACGCCACCTCATGAAGTCCAACCGAAAATCATGGTATATCGCAACAGTTCACCCTCGTGAAAAGCAAAGTCGCCGTCGTCGAGTCAACTGTAGCTGACGGTACCGAATTAAAAGCCGGACGAGTATATAGAGGTTGAATCGGGCCCACCCGACACCAAGCCAGCGGTGGTGAGCACCTGCTCTAAAAAGAAAAAGGGTGAAGGGAAAAAACGGAGAGTCCAACGACAAGCGAAGCCTTGATCCAAGCTATGCATGTTGTAGGATAAAGGGGCAAATCGCTTGATAGAGGAGCTAAGATGAGGCGAGTAACCAAACATGCTGATCCTCGCCTCGGAAGTCGAGAGTGTTGCATGTCATTCCTCACGAGGCCGCTCGCTATAGGAGTTTATCGCCGTTGAATCGGAAGTGATTGGTCGAGATCTAGGCCGAGGTTATTGGGGAGATAAAATATCCTCGACTAGATCAGAAAAGAATGAGGGGGTGAGGGATGCGCGAGAAAGAGGAGAGAAAAAGAGGAGAAAAGAGGGGATGCGAAGATGACGAGGATGTGTCCCAGACAACCAAGCGGATATGGTACAGAGCAACAAAAGATGAGGAATATTCAAGGCTCGTTTGCGTCGACAGCGTAAGCATTTCCTCGATTCGTCAGTTCCGCCATGTCCACAAAGGAAAATTAGGAGATATCCCCTCCGCCTCCATAGCCGAGATTGAAAACCAAAACGAAAAAGAAAAAGAAAAAGGGATAACAACGACTTGATGCGTAGATATGTACAGATAACAACGACTGCGGTACTCCAAGGGAGTGACTCAGGGTAGAGGGAGCCCTGGCCGCTCCGTGGCACGAAGCCCCCATACCCGGTCCAGGTACAGGGGCGACGTGATCGAGGGGCTTAGGATTGCTGGATAGCAGGGCCTTGGCCTCTGCCTCGCCCAGAGTTGTTATAGTTGCCACGACCGCGCCCGGAGCCGTGGTATCCTCGACCGCGGCCACGACCACGGTTGCCCTGATATTGTCCGGGGCCATTGTTGGTCAGGTTTTGGGTTTGCCAGTTCAAGTTGGGGGTTGGACCCGCGGGCTGCTGCTGCTGGGCGTGCTGCGCACGGTGCTGCTGAGCCTGTGCTTGATCCTGAGGCTGCCCATTGAAGCCCTGGGGGTAGCCGCGTTGGGCTGGCTGGCCCCAGCAGGCTTGAGGGTGGAGATGGGGCGAGGAATGCTCTCGGGATTCTCGTAGACGTAGAGGCTCTTGTCGATGGTCTGAGGGATGGGTTGAATCTCGGTGCCTAGGTCCCGTTCAATGTTGTACAAATTGAACCGGTCGTCCCAGTTGATCAAGTTGATAGCTAGACCAAGGTGGCCATATCGACCAGATCGACCGATGCGGTGCAAGTAGGTTTCGGCATTCTTGGGGAAATCGAAGTTGATGACAACGTTGACCGCTTGGATATCGATACCGCGGGTGAGGAGATCAGAACAGACAAGGTTACGGCAGACGCCGTTTCGGAAATCGTGGAATACTCGGTTACGGGCCTGCTGGGCCATCTTGGCATGGCTGTAGAAGCAGGAGTATCCAAGCTCGGTGATCTTCTTCGCAAGAAGCTCGACTCGGTTTGTCGAGTTGCAAAAGATGATGGACTGGTTGATCTGCAGTCTGGAGAAGAGGGTATTCAGACAGTGGACTTTGGATTTCTCATCAACAAAGGCGTAGTATTGCGTGATACCACGAAGTGTCAGCTCGTCCATGAGGTTGATTTCGTAAGGGGCGGTCATGTTCTTGTCGGAGAAGTCCTTGACGGAGAGGGGGAAGGTCGCGGAGAAGAGCATGACCTGTCGATCCTTGGGATGGAATTGCAGGAGCTGCTCGATGACGGGGTGAATTCTTGCGAGAGAAGCTTATCGGCTTCGTCCATGATAAACATCGGGCATTCGCTTAGATCGGCGACATTCTTGCCCGCCAGATCCAAAATTCTGCCAGGCGTTCCCACTACTATGTGAACAGGATCTTGAAGTCGGATAATGTCATCGCGAAGACCGGTTCCTCCGGTGGTGACCATGACGTTGATTCCTAGGTGCTTTCCTAGCGACTTGCAGACATGTGACGTCTGCATCGCCAGTTCTCGGGTGGGGACAAGGATGAGGCATTGGATCTTGGAAACTTTGGGGTTGATGCGTTGGAGAGCGGGGATGACGAAGGCAGCAGTCTTTCCGGTTCCGTTCTTGGCTCGTGCAAGTACGTCTCGGCCGGTGAGGGCAACGGGGATGGCTTCTTCTTGGATAGGGGAAGGCTTCTCGAAACCGGCTTCGAAGATACCCATTAATAGGTCGCGCTTGAGACCAAACTCTTCGAATTCGAGGCCCTTGGTGTTCGTTACATCCTAGAAAGCCACAGTGTTAGTTCCTAGAATGCTCCCATCGATCAAAACACGGTTCCACCGTGACGAGATAAATACAATGGTTTTCTTTTTTATTTTTTATTTTTTTAAAAAAAAGAAGATTGCCAAGGTAGGGGCCGAGACGGTTCGACCGACGCATGGAAGATGGGGTTTAACTTACTTCAGTTTGTTTCCTGCCGTCTTTCGCAGGAATTTTGAGCGCCTTCTTCCAGTCATCATTTGTGCCTTCGCTAAAGGGTGGGTTAGCGAGGTCATGTCTGGAGATTGAAGAAATGTCATGGTGACAATGCATACCTGATGTGGGCGAGGTTGAGCTTATCCGCAAGGGCGTCCGTCATTGTGGCATACGAAGATAAGACTGTCTGGATGGGGAAGAAGGAGTGAACGTGGGACGGCGACGAGGGAAACACAGAGGTGTCGCCCTAGAAGGAAAAGGTGGGATGGCGTCGAGCGCTTCTTGTCGGTGACGATGGGAGGGTGGCTTGGAGGAATTGAATTGAGCGGCCGCCTGTGGAGAAAGATAGTCGCCTTGGAGGAGTAGAAGAACAATGATCGTTAGAAAATGGGAGAACGTGATTCTCAATGTGTCGAGCGAATCGAGGAGTTCGGGTGTGCGTGATTCTCTCGAGAAACGGGGGATTTTGGTGACAGAGAGATCAGCAGTGGCGTAAAGAGAGGGGTTGGTCTTTTGAGAAGGGTTCAAGCGATGGAATTGGGCATGTGCTATCGCATATAAGTTTGATCTTTGGATGTGCGTCTAGCAGGAGGAGCACAGGGGATTGTTTCTCTTCTCGGACGTCTTTGAGTCGTTGCTGTGCGGGGCACTTTCGGGTGTTTATGTTGATATGTGAAGGATGGTTTGAAGGAGGTTTTGCAAGGCGAGGCTCTGAGAAGGACCTAAACTTGGTCGAAGTGAATGATTTTGCTTCCAAGCTCGGTGTGACCAGTGCTGTGGGGTCCAACCACCCAATCCGAGTGCCTGTCGGGCCTTGGAAGGGGAGGATCCAGGTGGAGAATCAACGGCACGTGCAACTCTCAATGACTAAGCATCACGTGAGTAGAAACAACCAGGCCGGGCGGAACTTCCTGTGCAGTGTGATGTGCTGTCAGATCAAAGCCCTGCTCGTTTCGTGGGGAGGTATGGCGACCATGTGGGGGTGAGTTATTATGTAAGATGATAAGACCCTGGGCTCAGATGAAATAGATCCATTGGTATGGACCCGTCACGGCTACCCCACAGATCATGTCATTCTTTAGCATGCTCAACCCGGGATCGGCGGATGGAGTCTCGATGGCAAACAAACCGCTAGTGTCACGAGCCTTTTCATTGATCTATCTACCTTTCAATCTTTTCACCACTCCTTGCCGGACCATGCCCTGATTAGTACCACGATCGGCGACGATGGTTTGGAGGCAGCATCGCTTGCAATTGTACCGCCATTACTCGTGCGCACTGAAGAAACAACCATGAACGTCCGACCATCCGTTCTGCGCCATGCCCTTTCCACGCCCTCCTCGACACGACTCCCGCCCCGCCCGCGACGGTTAGAGAAGACACGCGCCTCGGCTGGCGCGCTCCGACGTCTGCATGACGAGCCCAAGGCCCAGAAGCACCTGGACTGGCCGTTGCACGTGAACCCGACGCCCTACGAAATACTGCACCACTCCCCCGCGCAGCGTACTCGAAGCAAAACTTTTACACGTTAGCGAAGCTCTACCACCCAGACAGGCACCATTGCCTAGCGACGACCCACTCGCATCTCTCGCCGTCTGCTTGTGTGGAACGCTACCGGCTCGTCGTCCGCGCCAACGACATCCTCTCGGACCCGGCGAAGCGCCGGGCGTACGACTCGTACGGGGCAGGATGGCACGGGACGAGACCGACGACGAGCGCAATGTATAGGAGTGGCGATCGGCACAGCACTCGCCGGCCAAGAACGCAACGTGGGAGGACTGGGAGCAGTGGCGCGACGAGCGCGACGGCAAGAAGCAGGCGCCGGTATACATGTCCCACGGGGCCTTTGCCGTGCTTCTCACGTTTGCGATCAGCATCGGCATCATCGGCCAGGCGAACCGGGCGGGGAAGATGGCTTCGAGCAGGATGGATCTTCTGCAAGAGAAGCAAGGGAAGTTGGGGGCAGTGATGGACAAGAGGTCCTCTAAGACGGCGGCAATGGGAAGGAAGAGAGAGTGGAATCGTTTATAAGAGACCGGGAAAACGCACTTTGGGGTTATGCTCCTGAGAAACTAGAAGCACCTCAGCCAGGAACTAGATGAGCTGATCAAGTGCCTTCGCAGGGGTCACTGCCGCCATGAACTGGTCAAGCTCCTCAAGGCTCATCGAGCGTGTGGGGTCACTCTGCGCGTCCTGATTCTGCGTCTCTGGAGGGGCAGATGTGATTCGGGCAAAAATGTTGTCAGGGATGTATTCCTCGAGATCGCCTCGCGAGAGTGCAGTGACCGCCGTCACACTATCACCGACGGACAGTTAAGCCTTGGCTAGTATTGTAGGGGTATCTTTGTATTGTCACTGACCTTGGGTTGGACGTGGCATTGCCGCCCTTAGTTTCTCCGTGTCCGGTCATAGCTTGTTTAACTAGTATCTTGGATGGCTAGGGCTGTTTCGCGAGGACTTGGACGGAGAAACAAGACAACGCTCTTACAGGAAGGGCTTGCTTGCTCTGAAACGCAAAGCGAGGCCATGTCATCTTATATCTGTAGTTAAACAGCAGGGCGAATTATTCGAGTTCGGGGCGCATCTATGATCTTCTCATTCACCAGCTCTCAGCGTAGGGCTGGGTCTGTGCCTCTCCCGACAAGTATCATCACGGGAGGCACAGGAGGGAGGGAGGGGGAGTGTAAAAAGGTTCGAGTCCAGAAATATCATTGGCTCAATCGATCCATCCTTAAAATCCTTTGTCCTGTGGGCACTGCCCCTGCCGACTTTCATCACTCACAACATCGTCACGCAGTAAATACCTTGGACGACAGCCGCCTGATGGTTCGCCTGCCTGCCAGTGGTAAATCCTAGACATAGGTGATTTCACAAGACTTTTACGTATTACATCTAGTGGATGCAGGTAGGAACTTTAGGTGCTGCTATGTTACAATCGATTCTAGTCGGTGCATGCTCTTCCGCCAGAAGCAAGCATCTCAAGGACGCTGAAAGCTGACTGCCCGGGCGCGGAAAATCCTTTTCCCCGTCGGTGACGCACTGCTTTTTCCCACAGAACCAAGCATCCTGGGAGGAAGCTTGGATTGGGGCGAACCAGAGCCACTGGGTTTGATCTCGGATATTGCAGGTTCTGGCATGTATGTACCAACGTACAAGGTGCATGCTCTTGCGTGTTGCATTATGAAGTACATGTACGAGTTTGCGCCCGCATTGCTGCTGGCGGAATCGTGCATCCTTCTCTCGTCCCCACTAATGCGATTCCGCAGAAAGAATCTGGGAAGGCTAAGAAGGGCATAGCTACAGTCGACCTAGATATCCCTTGTTTTACACCAACCTTGGCAGTAGAAAGATAATGATATATAATTTTGGCCTGAAATGGTATCTGGGGCTAACCTTGCGTGTCACCAAAAGTAGTGCCGCCGACTGCCGCTACGTCACTCCCAAACGGTTAATGCTTTGTATCAGTGAGAGCTGTATCGGTGAGAGCTATTCTTCTCAAAGCTAGGACTGACGACTGGAGAAATGAATAACAGCGTGATATCCAGTGAGCTCCTCAATCACCAAGATCAATTTACACCGATATCTGATTCAATACCTGGCTTGCCCGGCAGGCAATTGCATGGGGCTGTGTACCGAGGTACAGGAGGGAGGGTATCGCCCAGATTGATGGTCGTGTTTAAAAATACAATGGATCTATCCATCCATTCCATTCCATTGGATCAATGTATTAAGTAAAAACCCGCTTGGTAGTGCCCCGCTTTGGTCTGCGACCCTGACAACGGGGCTTCCAATGTGGATGCTTTCCGAAGGCCGTCTCATCCTACTAGGCTGCAGGGCATCAATCTGATGGCCAGGTATCCATTGATAGATCTCGGCCACTTTCAACTGTTGTCATCCAGCCCACCCAGCATCACCCACTAACAACTAGGCGGCGTGCAGCCCGGAAGATAGTAATACCTGTTCAAATGGCGGAACTCGCCAAGAGCTACTGGCGCTCATCGACGCCGTTGACAAGTGAGTGTTCCATTCATTCTAGCTCCCCTCATCCCGATTCTTCTCCTCAAAGAGAATCTGCGTTCCCCTACCCCTCACCCTCATTCCATCATTGTACATTGTCACTCCTGCCACAAATCCTCCATCACGCGCGACTTACTTTCACTCCTGGGAAGTTATGTGTGACCAACCTGTAACTTCACATTGGGTCCCCTGCCCTCCGACAGCTACTAGCCAACTAACACAGCATCGCCCGTTTACCCCCAGTGTCCCCATCGACTTTGATTTCAACTCCCTCTACCGCCTCTTCCTCGGCAACGACCCCGCCCCCACGGCATCCTCCTCCCCGCCAACGTCCACCGCCTCCCCTGGACCCCCGAGATCACCGTGAACCATGACGCTCGGACCATCCACGTCCCGGACGCCAGCGCCGGCGCTGACCCGGGCCCCGCCCTCTCGGCCGCCCTCGCCAAGGTCGTCGACGCCGCCATCGAGCGGGACATCTTCCCCAGCTGCGCGGCCAGCACAGCGAGCACTACCGCCTCCTCGGCGCCAACCACTTCGTCACCCTCGAGCGCTGGCCCTCCCCCATCTTCGGCATCGCCAGCCGCGGCGCCCACCTGACGGCCTACGTCGGCCGCGGCAGGGACATGAAGATCTGGATCGCCCACCGCAGCAAGCGCATCTTTACGTACCCCGGGAAACTCGACTCCTCCGTCGCCGGCGGCATCAAGGCCGACGACACCCCGCGCGAGTGCATCACCGCCGAGGCCTGGGAGGAGGCCTCGCTCGACCGCGATTTCGTCCGGGACAACGTCAAGGCCACGGGTATGGTGTCGTACGTCGGGGAGAATAAGCGCAACGGCACGATTCAGCCCGTGGTGCTCTACGTGTACGACCTCGAGATGCCCGAGGACATGGAGCTCAAGCCCCAGGATGACGAGGTTGAGTTTTTCTCGCTCATGTCGGTCGATGAGGTGCGCAATGCCATGCTCGAATATAAGTTCAAGCCCAATTGCTGCCTTGTCATGATTGACTTCTTCGTGCGCCATGGCATCATGACGGACGAGAACGAGGAGGATTACCTGGAGCTGATTACTCGGCTGAGGAGGACGCTCCCCGTGCCTCTTTCTCCTAGCAAGCGCGTGGTCGAGTAATTCCTACTCTTGTTCACTGACCGTTTTGCATCCCGAAGCGCGATGGTAGAGATAGAACGGAGAAATCCTCAAGATATAGAAAATGGAAATTTTTATGATGTTACATTTAATGATACAGTCGAGTACACTTAATTAATTTCGCACCGAGGCCGCATGGTACAGGTGGTACCTGTGATACATTTTCAGTGCGACAATTGCGACAATTGGGTTCCGTTCCTTCCCCTTGCATACAGACGCACAACACACAGTATGACCAGCTGCCTTATTTTTCTTTTTTGGTCTTACTCATCCTTCTCGGCGTCGATCACGGCGGCAATTTTCGCCTTGAGAACAGCCTCCGCCTTGGCCGGATGAATCCTCTCCGTCGCCCCTTCGCGCATCATCTTGCCCACCAAGAACATGAGCTTCCCCTGCGGGTACTGCGGGCCCTTCTTCCTAAAACTATCCAAGACGTCCCGGTTGCCCTCGACGATGGACTCCGCGAGCGCCGCGTACTCGTCCTCGGAGAGCTCGCGGAACCACAGGTCGTGCGCTTCGACGGACGCCGCGACGCCGCCCGCGTCTGCGAGGTCGCCGTTGTAGAGGGAGATGAGGAGCTGCTTGGCCACCTTGCCGGTGATGCGGCCGCGGTGAAGCAGGTGCAGGAGCTCGGCGAGGTCGTCGACGGGGACGCGCTCGCAGTGGCCGTCGGGGAAATGCGCAGCTCGCCGGCCTCTTCGTCTGCAGGATCCGCTAGGGCTACGCCTTTTTCCGTGGTGAGCTTGCCGAGCTCGTGGAGGATCCAGTTGCCGGCGAGCGTGGAATAAGACTGGATCTCGGGCGGGGGCTGGCTGTCGGCATCGCCGTCCGCGGCTAGGAGGGACCCGAGTTTGTCGACGACGTTGTAAAAGTACTCGACTCGGCCTCCGTTCTCGAGCGTCAGGAGCGAAAGAGCGTCTTTGGCCGTGAGCCCGTATTCGCTGATGAGCGCATCGACCTCGGTATCCGGCGGCGCTGTGACGGTTTGCCTAAGACACTCGACGAGGTCCCGTGAGATGATCACGGGGGCGAGATCGGGATCAGGCATGTACCGATAATCCACCTCTCCCTCCTTGCCTCTCAGCCTCCGGGTCTCCTTGGAGCCGAGCGTCCAACCTCTCGTCTCGCCCGCCACGTGTCTACCGGCCTCCAGCTCAGCGATTTGGCGATCTCGCTCGGCAATGATGGCATCCTCCACGGCTTTGATCGTGTTCAAATTCTTAATCTCGGTCCTTGTTCCGAGCGGGGTCGCAGGGTCGCCCGTTCGCCGCACCGAGACATTGACGTCGGCACGTAGCCCACCCAGCTCCATGCCCGAGACGCAAGCGTCCACCGAGTTGAGCACAGCCTGGACCTTTTCACAAACACGGCCGCCGTTCGGGGGTGGTGGATATCGGGTTCCGTGATGATTTCGATCAGCGGCATTCCCACGCGGTTAAAGTCGATCCAGTGGCTGCCCCCGGCTGCGCCAGCGTCTTTCCCGTATCCTGCTCCATCTGTATCTGCTTGATCCGCACCCTCACGCCCTCCCCGTCCTCGGCCGCGATGCCGTCTCTCGCCAGGAGCGTCAAGTGCCCGTTGCGAGAAAACGGCTCGTAGTACTGCGTAATTTGGTATCCCGCCGGCTGGTCCCACCAGAAGTAGTGCTTCCGGTCGAAGCGGCTCACGGGCTGGATCTCGCAGTTGAGGGCCAGGGCGGCGCGCAGGGCAGGGATCAACGTGTGTTCTTGAAAAAGCGGCTGGCTGCCCGGTATGGAAAGGTCGAAGAGCGCCACGTGGGTGTTTGGGTCATCGTTGGACGAGGCCGTGGCGTGGGAAAAGAGCTTGCGGGCGGTGTTGAGCTGCGCGTGGATTTCGATGCCGACTGTTAGCTCCCAGCCGTCGACGGTCTGGTTGTCGCTCTTCTTCTTTGGCTTTACGCCCTCCTTTTTGTCGTTTCGCTTCTTCCTTGAGCTTTTTGCGTAGAGGGGTTGGTCTCGGGGAGGCGGGAGGTTCGGCTGTGGAAGTGGTATGGAGGAGAGCTCGGGGCGTGGCGACTCTGCGGGATAGGGATGCAGAATGGCTAACTTTTTGCCGAATAAGGCACCCGTTGCGTGACATATGGCCGTCCAGAAGGTATCTGGACAGCCTTGTCATCGAGACGGATGTCATGGCGGGAGAATTACACGAGGAAGATGGGGAAGATCGTGAGTTCCAAGGGTAGCAAATAGCTTGGACTGCATCGTAGCTTGTCGATCGTTGCACACACGAGAAAAAAGCTTCGACGATTGGGAGAGCTTGTTGGTGATTACATAATACACAACTCATTCTCCCATGCGATTTCCATACATTTCAGCTTCTGCACATGCACAGAATGCATCAAAGCCTCGTCGGTCGAGTCCTCATCCATGTTTTACAAGATAATAATAGCATTAACGGAGATGGTCTTTGTTTTTTAAAGTTTGAGCGAGTCTGGGCAACCCCTGATAACGCCGGAAACAACCAGACATGAAGCGCGACCGAAGATGTGGTTAGAGCAGGCGCTGAGCTGGGCTGAAGCCAAGACCACCATCTCGATGGATAATCTAGACCCTTTGATGGTCCGGCCTTGGTGGATTGACCAGACAAAAATCGTCTAAATCGGTAACTGCGCCCATGGATGGTGTAGGGGAGAATGAAGGTGCATCGCTTTGGCCCCCCTCCTCTCCCTCTCCCCTCCCCACCATTTTCCCAGAAGGCCGTGGAGGGTTCCGCGTTTCCCGGCTTGAAACGGCAGCCAGAGTGTCGCTCCAAGGCCATTCTCGGCGTTGGGGCTTTGGGACGATGAGCTTCTGAAACGCACCCGACACAACGCCCCTCTTCCAGCCACTACGGATGAACAGCGCCAGGGCGCTCTTCTTCACCCAACCGACGCCCTCGGCAGCGATCGCCGTCTGTCAGCTCGACCTTTTCGACCCCGGACCGTGGTCTAGACCCTTTGGATCGGTCGCAGAATGCAACTCCATGATGCCCGCGATGACGGAGTCGTCTTCGCCAGGGACCTGGGGGCTGTTTCGAGTCTAGACGACTGGGGAAAGTCTTTGTGCCTCTTGTTATCCACCTTTCTTGTTTTTTTTTCTTCTTCTTCTGATTAAATCTTGATCTTGCTTGAATCTTTACTTTTTGATCTTCAGGTCCATGCTTTTAACTCTTTCTTGTCCGCAAAGGTTATCTTTGTTTAACCTTTCTTCTCCACCTCGAACGACTCTCCACGACCGAACACTGTGAACGGGTTCCATCATCCATTTTCTCACCGAGCGCCGCGTCGCTTTCACGATTTTAACGGCCCTAAAGCGTGACCCCTCCTTCAACTAGCCTGGGGCAGCCATACGTTGAAAGCAAGGCTTCGCCGCCCTCTATTCTCCTTGTCCTTCATGGCACAATCCACGTCTTTGGATTGAGCTTGTTGTGACACCTCTATTCGGCGCCTCATATTCTAGAGTCGTCTAATCCATACAGAGATCTCGCTCGCCCTATCGAACCGTGGTTGGCGCCTGCGCACGTCAGCCCTCAACTTGTGCAACCACTTAAACCTGGGGTTTGCCCGTTCGTGTTCCCTCGCCTTCACTCTCGTGTCTTAAATCAAGGCGAAACAAAAAAAAGTGAAGAAAAATAAAAGGAAGTGAGACCCAGCTCGAGTCTCCCGCCCCTCTTTTTTTTGTTTCTTCCTTTCTTTGTCCGCTCGAAGGGTGGTCATGCCTCGTGACTCCCCTCCGCTTCAGTTGGCTGGTGATGCACCGCGTGAGCATGTGCCTGAGATGACCACGAGCGAGACGACCACGACAAACGTCACAACAGAATCAAAGGCAACGCCCACCAAATATGAGCCTGAATCAGAACGAGAAATAACACCTCGCGATTGTCAATTACCAAAACCCGCCGAGACTGCAGAGGTTGACTCTAAGCAAGATCTCCCCACCACTTCCACGACACAAGACAGTTCGCAACCGAACGCGGAGCCGGCGACATTCTCGGGATCGAGCAGTTTCAGCACCACCCCAGCCATGAAAGATTCTCCGTCCCCAGAACCCAGCGCAAAGGAGCGGAGCCCTAGCACGAGCGGCAGCGGCACCGTGAAGCGGACACCATCACCTTCCGCCTCCCTGCTTACCGACAGCTCTTTCTCCACCTCCAAGACCACTAGCAGCTCAGGCAGCTCTAATGGCAGTGCATCGACTATCACACAAGGCTCTTTCAGCAGGAATGAGCTAGTGGATGATCTGGAGACGCCAGTTGCTCCAGCCAGCAAGCGGACTCGCCGCTCGTCGCGGTCTTCCCGATCACCACCCCACCATCAAGGCCGAGGTAGGCCCAACGCACTCAACTTCCTCGAGCCGGACTCGCCTCTCGTGACTGCCGAGGCCATCCAGCGATCTATGGAAGAGTCGACAGACCCTTGGCGCGCTTCTGGCTCGGGAAACAGGAAATCGCCATCCACCCAAAGCAGCGCATCCTCCGGTTCTTCGCCGAGACGGAGCGATACGTTTTCTGTAGGCGATCACGAAACGGACCGGAGCAGCAGCCCCGAGAATAGCGTGAATGGAGATCCGTCAGGCTCTCCATCATCCAACATTCGCACGCAGTTCGCCACCGATGCGCGAAAGCCGCACCCGACGAACAAGAAATACGGCACCCCGAGATGCCGCGGGGCAAGGCCAACCTACCCCATATACCACCCAAGGAGCTCCAACCACGTCTCGAGCGCAGTACGGCTACGCGAAGCACTTACCCCGGGCTGAAAAGCTTCCCCTCTCCGGTTACCAGCTCCTCGCGTCCAAGCTCTCGCCGAGCCACGTCGGCCCTTCCACGATACAGCCGGTGTACCGCCGCTTCGAGACCATGAACCACCGGATATTACTGCACCTGCAAGACGAGCTGGCGGAGATGGAAGAACAGCTGCATCGCCTCGACACGGCAGACACGCAGACTAGGAGGCTACAGAGTTGCATTCTCCCCGCTTCCAGACGGTCGGACTACCTCGCAGGAGGCGAACTCCAGTGGCACAAGACAGATATCCTAGGGAAGATTGGATTCAAGCTGGAGCAGTATAGTATGCCGCCTTCCATATCTCTACTCATTTCCTACCCTTCTCCGTTGCCTTGCTTACCAGCGTCCTTTCTCTTTAGACCATGTGTTGTCCTCGTTCGAAAAGACGCAAAACATGTCGACGCCTTCCAAGGCCGAAGTCGAGGAGTACCGAACTTTCCTCGAGACGCAAAAGCCAATCACCGAGCTCGAGACCAGATTCCTCGATTTCAACGACGACCTAGTCGCCATTGGCCGACCGCGCTCCAGGTCATCGGAACGTAGCGCCTTTCTCTCGTCCGGTGCGCCCACGCCGATGCCCCGGCTGGCAACGGAGCAGCCCCTTGGGAATTCCCCAAAAGGACGGACATGCGCCATCCCTCAAAGAGAAAGAGGTCGAAAAGACCTCCCAATCTCTCGCGCCGACTATTACCCGCCCCGCGACGGAACCGTCTATCCCATCTCTCGCCGCCGGACTTGCCATCGCAGTTCTCCTTCCCATCCTCGCGTTTCCCACGATACCCAGCTTTTTCGGACGCGCCGTCGTGATTTGCCTCGTGGCGATCGGCTTTTAAACCCTCTCCTTCAAGCGGGTACACTTAGTACCCTGGGAATCGATACCAAAAACGCAATCATTTGCGCGGCAATCTACGGAGGAGCGATGAGCGTCGTGGCTGCCGTTGTCGCTTGAAGCTGGTACGATTCTCAGTGCACGACATGTATAATGAATATTTCTCTGAACGTTTACCTTTCTTTTCTTCTTTTCCTCCCTTTTCTTTCTTCTTCTTTTTTTTTCTTTTCTTTTTCACGGATTTTGAAATGGCAACATTGAAGGAACACTTCTATTTAGGCGCCTCTTGGCTGGGCTTGGACATGCGCAGCGGGGCAAGGATTGGGCGGTTCTGGCTGGCTGGCGCATTATCAATTCGGGCAAAACGAACACGAGCATGATAGCACACCCTACGGGGCATTGTTTTTCTTTCTTTTCAAGTTTTCTTTAGCGTGAATTTTCTTTATTTGCAGTCTTTTGCTTGACGTATCTGACTGAATAAATTGAATGCTCGATCTACCATGACGCTCAGGCTGTGAGTGAGGCGGTACAGTAACTCTCGTGATCCCTGCTTGTAAGCTTGGCTAGTGCATTTTTCTTTTCTTTTTCAAATGCCGGAACTATTCCTCTTCCTGAGTCTAGCTGATGCATACCCGCTCCTAGAAGACAGAAGATTCGAGAGCAAGCTGAAGGTGATGTTGGAAGAAACGGGTCAGCTGGGACGAAAAGCTAAGCCACTACCTCTTTACGTTCTCGTAACAACCGACAGTCCCGTCAGTGTTGGCGTGGGCCGGCTGGATCTGAGAATTTGGAATGAAGCCCGTCCCTTGCAATTGCAAGAGTTGGAAAAACGAGGACAAAACCCCTAGCCTCGAGTTACGCATATCGACCTTTACACATATTACATGGAGGCTTCAATCTCGAGCTGCGTCGTTCAATAAGCTTACCCGTTAGTTCCTATGAGTGTTCGTATATATGGGGGCGGTGCAGCAACCATCACAAAAGGCTCTAGACACAGAATTGTCGACTAGCACAACACGACAACACGACTCAGAAGTCGTTTCTGGCCCGGATAGCCCGAATAGCTGAAAAAAACTTGATCATAGGTTCTGCCTTTATTCTTGGACGGAGGTGGATGCCACGCGAAAGTTGCCAATGCGAGGAGATAAGCCCCGCGGTCGTGGGGAAGCTGGGATTCAATGTTCTTGATCAATTCCGACGTCCATTTGGCTCGCACACTAGGACCATACGGTTCTAGCGGCTACAAGTATTGAATGCATGATATCATCAACTTCTAAATATGTCTCACTTTCAGCTTCCTCTTCGTGGAGGCAGGGCATACCAAGATGCATTTCCGCCTCCTGGCTAGCCACGTTGGTGGATCTATCACAGGAGAAAAGGCTGGGCCCGTGGAATACGGATAGAAGACCACGACGATACTGATGCCCGGAAGCTACGTCGAACCTCATTGATATAAGACAGGGGTTTTATTTGCCATGTGACCATCTCGGGGTCAATCAAGTCTCTCGCTGGGTAGCATAACCGGGAAGCTCGCATCAGAGGGGTCCGGGTTTGACACGAGGCACACTCGAGGAGTCGAATAATGAGTGAGCAGTCTTTAGTGATATCCTTTGCACTTTTGCTGCCGTTGCATCCATGGATATATGAATGATGTTCACAGCCACGAAAAGACAAGCATGTCGGGTTTAAGGAGGGGAAGAGGGACTAATTGTCGAGGGAGAACCGGTCCTGATACCCGAGTCGACGTGGCGAGCTCGGTCGGCAGCGTTTCAGGAGCAATCCTAACGTTTGCTCTGGGCGTCTTGCATCGCTCTAGACGCTTAGTCCAAGCGAAGGGACCATCGTGATGAACTCTGAGGGGTCATGGAGATCTCTGTGCCGTATATTGATAGATGCGTGAAAGGAAGGGGCCGTCGTTTAGAGGATTGGCAAGGCATTCTTGTCCATCGGGCCGTCAACACTAACGAATCTAGCGGGGTAGAAGCTCTCGCATTGATCCCAGAGGATCAAGATCCATTCGAGCCTGTGACGACATTGGATACGGGCTGCAAGGAACAAGTGATGGAAGAAGGCACTAGCGCAAAACCCGAGGTTGCAGCGCCCCTGAGCTGAGGCAAGATTTGCAATTGCCAGAGAGCAAGCGCACCCCATCTTTGGTGGGATTCCGAGAAGAGCGGAATACAGATATGTCAAATCGAAAGAAAACAAGATAGTTTCCGAGGCTTACATGTATGCTTATGGTTTGACAGATGGCATGGTACTCGTCGGTACGAGAAGCGGGAGGGGGCTGAACGATGAGAGATGAGATGGACGATTGTAATCGGGGTGTGAAACGAGCCTTCGAATCATGAAGCTCTGCGCAGGCGTTCAACCACGGAAGCAACAGAAAAAACCGTCGGATACAAAGCGCACAAAGATCCCGCCCAAGCGGGCGAGCTGCAATGATACGTCAAAGGCTATGCGAGTGGGCGTTTTTCCCATTTCTTCGGGATCGAACAATCACCTCGCGTCCGTCGAGCATTCAATGTTCTCTGCAGGTGTGGAAGGAATTTGATAACCGAGTCGCCGTGTCGGCACTTTGGGCGTCTGGCTATCTACTGTGAGTGGTCCAAACCCAAGAAAGTCAATCAACGATCGGCGGGGAGATCCCGCAGGCGGAGCAACGTGGCTATGCGGCACGCTATCCTATCGGAGAAAGATGTCGACCGGGCTTGGGAAAAGGCGGAGGGGAGGAAAAAAAGAAGCCAGAGAGGCGAAGAGAAGGGGGGCCAAAAGAAGAAAAAAGAAAAGAAAAAGAAAAGAAACAAGGGTCAGAAAGAAAGAGCGGAAGTTGGGCAAAGCACTGGTTGATTTGCATTTGTGCTGCTTGGTCTCGGTTTCGTCTGCACTGCTCGCTCCCTCGCGCTCTCGCCCCCGCGAACAGCGCAAAATCAGGCGACCCGCTAGCCGGCCGCTTGTGACTGCGCAGAGGGCAGAGCGGATCGCCCCTGCCTCGCTGTGTGCCCGCCTTGAGAATCCGTCGCGCGGGCTCCATAAGGATTTGAAATGTTCCCCTGCTTGGGTCGGGGTTTTTTTCTTTTTTTTTCTTTTTGTGGTGCGCGCGCCTGGGCTAGTGTAGGCTTGGACGAGGTCATTATAATGTCACGATGGCCTCGTTGTTTTTTTCCTGAGAGTGGTGTCTTGGTCGTTTTTCGTCGTCCATCCTTTATTCTCAATCGATCTTCCCTATTTTTGAAAATTTACCTATTAATTATTGATACCCTTATTAAACACTAGACTTTTGCATTGCAGTCCTTTGTTGCGCCTTCTTCTACGAGATAGCTTCCCTTCGCCGGGGCCGTACAATCGCATCCATCACACCGAACAAATCATCAACCAAAGAGAATCCAAGCTCACCACTTCGCGAGCGCACACAACCCGCCCAAGATGGGTTCTAACGGGAGCCGCCGAAGGTCCCTAGACCAGGACCAGCTTCCACCAGACCACCCTCCTCCATATGAAATCGCCTCTTTAACGATACCCCCAACCACAACGAATCACCGATGGTCAACAGGCTCGCCAGCGCTCCAACCCCAAGCCGCCAGCCTCCTCGCCGGTCTCAGCCGCGACCCGAGATTTACCCTCCCCAGCCCGGCCCCGGCCCCCGTGTACCAGGCCCGCCCGATTCCCCAGCAGTTCCCCACCACGTTCAGCGTTTACAAAGACCCGTTCTCGTGGACGTTGACGATTGGGATTCGAAAGGACACCCCTCCGATCTACGCCGTCAGCAGGCACCTTGCCGCGTCTGATAAGCCTGTGCTTATGTTACATTCCGGCCCCGATGCGACCTACCCCGTCATGGCCGCCATGGACCGGGTGCCCCTCACGCGCGACAGGCCGGTGATGCTCCCCGCTGCCGGGGTCTCGGCAGACTACGGAAGTCATGCTTCGCCCCGAGCTTAGTTTTTGTCTACGAGATGGCGGTACGAGATCGAGACGGGGTACCCGGGGAGGAGAGAGACGTACGAGTGGAGGAGAAGTCGTGGGGATGCCGTTGCCCACTTGGGCCCGGGGTACGGCCCAGGTTGGAAACTTGTACGGCTCGACTCTCGGCCTCCGCAGGGCGCCCCGCCGGCACCCAATTCAATCCAGCGGGTGGCCTCTCTAGCAGAGAGGGCGCCGAGATTGTGGCGGCGTGGGGACCCCATGGCCTGAGTTCGTCCAAGGCGGGCATGTTTGAATTCATCGGGACTGGAGCGTCGGGCATGCTTGGCGAGAGATGGGCCGTCATGGCCGTCATCTCGGCCTTGACGATCCTCGACGCCGAGCACCCCGGTGAAAAAAAAAAAAAGAAAAAAAACCCCTTATGCATGACCAGTTCATGAAGCCTCTGAGCAAAGGCCTCTGATGGGTGTAATTATCTCCCATTCTTCTACATTTTTGAACCCTCAATGTACATAAACAAGCTGCACATAGATATACCGATAGATTTACGATTTCCCCCATGATGGTGCGCGACGACCTTTGCGTAAGTCATACGCGGTAGGAGAAGGAGATGCCTGAGAAGTTGGATGAGGGGCGGGGGTGGGGAGACAAAAAGAAAGGCAAAGAGAAGAAACGCAATTCCCAGACAGTGCTTATTCCTGTCCGCCCTTGTGACGCTGGTATGCTTCAGGTTTTTGGCTCGCCTTTTTCTTTTTCTCGGTGCTGCCGGGCAAATTGTGTAGCGACTGGACGCCACATCCAGCGTGATTGGTGTCGTGACCGTTCGCCCAAACTCTGATCAGAACACTGATAAAGTGGCTTGAGGGTTCTTTTTAAGACCACATCTGGAACGTCGGATGGCTCCGGCCACACGCACGCCGAAAGGACCACAGGGCTATTCACGTTTGTCGATGCCGGGGCCCCTCCCCCTTTTTTGTCATCATCCTTTGTCTGAAAATACGTGCTGCTTGTGGGGTTGATGCTCCATCCCTCTTCCTTCCTGGCCCAGGTTTCGGTTTATTTAAAGGTAGAGGGGGAGAACTTTTGAAATCTCAACCGGCTCTCAGCCCTCTCCAACGCTTTTCAAGGGATTGAGCAGCGCGACAAACAGCTTAATTCAGCCAAGCTCATGGGGATTTTCCAATGCTAGCTCCACCCTGCGATCCAGCGATCTTCGAAATGCGGCTGCCTTTGGCGGTTCTGGCTTCCTTCGCCCCGCTCAAACTCACTATGAGTCATAATGATCCGGTGGGGCCCGGCGTTGACGCCTTTCCTATTTAGGAAAGAAGGACGGCCGAGACGTGCTCGCTTGAATCCGGTTGTCTCCACCCCCGGCGAAGCCCACTCGCGCCCATTCCCTGTCCATCTTGTTCTGTTCCAGTGATCATTGTGATTGTGTATTTGAGGCATCAACTTGGCTCCTCGAATTCGCCTCTCCTTCTTCCCCTTCTCTTCCTTCTTTCTCTTACTATCCTTCTTTTCCCCCAACCCACTTTGTAACCTCTAAACGCTCCCGGCCTCACGTAGAGGCCGTATACAACCTGCAAGGATGCCAACTGCCACCACCCAATTCTGCCCAGCGGCGATCCAGACCTCCTTCGCCTTCTTCCCTCCAAGTCAGTCCGCAAACACCGTATCTTCAGGATAGTTCCTTCGCGCTTGCCTCTACGGGAGGGTCGCTTTTGCTCCCTTCCCGTCCTCGAACACCCTCGACGCGTTCCATGGCGCCGCTGTACCGCCCTTCCACGGCGTGTACGACGGTCAAACTTGGCTCGCTCCCGGCGGTGACTTCGTCCACACAGAGGCAGCCGCGTTTGATATTGAACAATTCCTCGAAAACGGTGACTCGGCCTCGACGGGCCAGTTCGATTTTCTGAACGGTACGTAGCCCTCGAAATGTATTTTGAGAAAGAAAAGAGTGATTGAGTCATGGAGATGGACAACCTGCGCATGGTTATATATATGACCCTGCGCTCGCCTCTCCCCCTTCCCACATCCCATCTTACACTCGCGTCTCAACTTTCTCAACCAACCTATCTCTCGGTGACGTCGACTGACGCGCAGCCACCTACCAGATATGAACATGGACTTTGCGACTCTTACTCACTTCAACGCCCAACACCTTGACGCATCCCCCAACCCCGCCTCTTCGCTCTCCACGCCTACCGTCAATCTGCTAGATTTCACCCCTAGCCCTCTTGCTGCGTCGCCTACTTCGACCTCATCCACGCCCTCCACCGGCTCTCACACCAAGAGAACCGCAACCAGCTCTCGTGGTCCGGCGGAGGATGACGACGTCGCTGTTAAGCGCCAACGCAACACCCTCGCCGCCCGCAAGTACCGCCAAAAACGGCTGGACCGCATCAAGGAGCTCGAGGACGCTTTGGACGACGTGAAACGGGAAAGGGACGAACTACGCCTCAAACTCGCTCGCCAAGAGGCCCAGACCGAGGCCCTGCAGTCAATGCTCAAGTTGAAGGGTGACAAGTAGTCCTGAATTTAGTCAGCAGCATCTACGCTGACTTTTGTTCATATTGTCGGAAAAACAAAAAGGGAAGATATCGAAGATATAGATATACCTATTTTCCGAGTTGTTTTTGGTTTGGGCTTTGAATTTTTCTTTTTTGTATATACGAAGACTATCTTGCTCGCAGGCGTATTCTACCTATTTCTTTTGTCTTTTATTGTACCCTCGGAACTAGGAACTATAAAGAGGTTTTGATGATTTTGGTTAGCTGGCTCAGCACTGGTCTTGATGATAGTTTTTCTTATATTGATGGAAACAGTAATGAAAAAGCAAGCTAGGATTATCACGCCCATTCTTCTTCTTCCTCCTTCTCATCTCCGACTAAATGTGTAAGTGCAAGCAAGCAAACTCTCAGGACTCGGTTTTTCAGACGATGTCAGCTCTTCGTAAGGTCGTGATGACTTCTAATCAGCCAGCCCAGACCAGCGTATGACGACGCAGGCGGTGCCGGGATCATAATAGGGAACACAATGTAATCACAAAAACCGATTGGTGTCCCGAGAGCTATGCGTGATGCTGGGGGTGGGGGAGGTACATGAGATGGTGGGAGTATGATAACTGGGTGTCCTTACCTCTTTACCTGCTGCGGCTCCTTTTTCCGACTCGGTGAGGGACGGTGAGGAGCCACCGGCTCTCTCGACAAGCCGTCATGGCATATTCCCACCTCTCCGCGGTTCGTTTGGCCTCAACAGCACTTGAAGTTGGAGCAGAAGCAGAATTGATGGGTTTCTCAAGCGGATTCTCATTCGTTTTTGTATGCTATCTTTGTATTTCTTCTACTCTACGCGATCATGTTCTACTTAGTCCAACTGCCTAGCTCTGTGATCGTCAATCTTGCTGTCTTGGCCAGTTCTTCCCCTCCTCCGCCCCCTCTATTCCTTCAGCGCAGATCATCTCAAGTCATCGAGACGGTCCTGCGGTCGAATCTCCTCAGCGAGTATCATAGATGATGAAGCGTGATTCATCCTTTCCTAGGAGACATCGAAGTGTGTCTTATGTGATCAACTATGACTCATGTGGTGTAGTGGCCCCAAAGGCTAAGACCGCGCTTTTAGCGGGGAGAGTGTTACCGGAGAGAAGCGCGATAGAGGGCGGGGAGGGAAAATAAGCTGAACTCTGCCAAGCGTCACTGAGGAGTTGGTTGCTCTCGTTATGCCGCGAATGAGGGCGGATAGCCCGGGATGTGATGCTGATTATAAGGTCTATGAGGTGTGAGATGGGGAAAAGGTGTAATATGTATCATCATGATGCATGTAGGACTCATATGGAAGGGATATAAAGGGTTTTAATGGTAGTTTATATTGGCCGCGACGAAGCTCTGCGCCACTTTGAACCCTTTCTCTATGTCTTTTCTCTATTCTTTTGTCCTCTAGAGACGGAAAATGGGGAAACCTGGGAACCAGAATGGGCGATAGATCAAAAGGTCGGGGAGGCTTCGTCTTTGAATCATTCACGCGTTGCAAACATGACTGTTTTCTCGCTATAAAAATGGACTACTCGTTGAGTATCCCTCTTGCGAAGAGCATCCCCAGGTAAGAGTCTCTCTCTATTACGGCCGTAGCAAGAACGGAATACGGGTTGGCATCAGAATTCACCCTGATTCTCTTCTTGTATCACTATTGCCTCGGCGCTCCTGTAACGATGGTTATGTGGTACGTTTGCCTTTCTGGGAAACTCCTTGGGGACGTACGTGCCTGCGGCATGGTGTTGCCTTACCTTCCCCAAGGACTTCCCTAGACACGACGGTGAAGAGTCCCCTCGTTGAATGCTGGCTATCAACCCGACCTCGTAGGGCACCCACATAGTCAGGAAAACGAACATCGCCTTACGCCAAGCAAAAACATGGAATTCACGCGACTAGATGGCTAAAGTAGTAGGCCGGGCATAAATTCATTGAATATTTGTGTGTCATCCATCTAACCTAACCTCAAGAGAGAGAGAGAGTTCCATTGTCGTGGAAACATTAACGTGGTGGTTGGTAATTCCGTCCCCATAGGCTTAGCCTTGCACCCCCTTGAGCACTTCCTCAACTCCTCCACCGTCCAACGACGCGTTCCTTTTAGAATCCCTGGCGGGCAACCTGCTGCTGGGCGGCCTCGATGGCCTGGGCACCGTTGGGGTCGTTGAAGCCGCAGCCCTGCTTGCCGTTCTGGAGAGCGGCGGCGAGGCCGGAGCAGACGCCCTGGCCTTGGCCGTTGTTGGCGCAGCAGGCGATGGCCTGGTCGCAGTCGGCGTCGGCGACGCAGCCGCCGGTGATGAACTGCTGGCCTTGGCCGTTGCCGACGTTGCGGGCACCGGCGTTGTTGGGGATGACCTGCGCGAGCGCGGTGGCGGAGACTGTTGGGAGGGTCACTTTGGTTAGCCTGGTGTAGTGCATCGAGCCCCTCGTTGGAGAGACTACGTGGGGTGGTGTGGGAAGTATGGGAGGAGGAAAGAAGAAATAGGCAAAAGACTTACGAGCGAGGATAGCGGCGAAGGTGATGCGGACCATTTTGGCGGTGTGAAAAAGTGAATGACTCCTGGTCAGTTGATAAAAAGAATGATGGTACAAGAAGAGAATGGACGACGCCGGGCCGTGTAAAAAGAAAGAAAAGAAGAATGGTCAAAAAGGACAGGCTTGAAAGGTTGATGATGGAGGAAGAAGAAGAGAGGCTCTTGATCACAAAATCCGGGGCGAGGCCATCACCTTTTGTAATCAAAGGAGCAAATCAGTCCCCAAATTCCTTCATGGTGATCGTGGGGTCCTGCTCCAGCGCTTGACGCACAGAGAGAGCTGAGGATCAGGCAATCCGGATAAAAAGGCAAATGGGGAGTGGAGGCTGAAAAGGCCAAGGGGAGCTGATCCCAGATCTGATGTGAAGCGCCGGGCGCGTCGGCGATCGGCAACCTCAGAGTCGTCGCAGATCATTCCTGGAGAACGATGGGTGTTGGAGACAGGAAGGGGTCTCTTCGTCTCGGTGAGCCTCGCGTCCATACAAAGAGCTTCCACGCGACGCCTGAAGAAAGTACGTAGAACATGGGACAGGAAGGGGGGCGAAAAACATGTCACTTGGGCGCCGGGATGCAATGGGATCCGGACGAGCTCACACTTCACGCCCGTCGAGTATGGGGGCTTTTGAGGCTTCCCTCCCCTTGCCACCCCAAAATCAAGGTTTCTAGAAAGGGCATTGACAGGTGGGCGAGGCAATAGGTGTGGCAGTCACCGGAGACTTCCGTGTTTGAGCTGGGATGAAAAGACGAAAATAGGAGCTGAGTTGTGACAGCAGCCACACGGGGAGACAAGCACTGCATCCCTTGTTCGTAGCCTACCTCCGAGCGCGGGAGTCGGAGAACACGCGAAGAATGTAAAGTGCAACGTCACTGCCAAGCCCTGGGATAACTCTCCCTTTCCCTTGCGAAAGCCTGTTCACTAATATCTTTTCCAATTGAATCAATCGATGAGGGGGCTGAGGAACGCATGTTCCCCTCGCCTGTCGTCGTAACGGCCGAAAGGTGAACAATTCCCTGGCTTGGGGTTGCGCTTGCGGGGTCTGTGGGGTTTGATCGACGGCAGTCCCTTGACCCGGAGCCTCCGTTTGTCGGTTTGGACGACGGCCAACTTGGCATGCGAGCAACTCCCGGGGCTCGTCGCCGGGCGTCCGCGACCTATTTAGGACATGTTTACGAATGACGCCCTCCGTGGATGTGGTCCTTGAATTGTGCTCCAACAAGGTATTTCGGTCTCCAAGCCCCCGTGATTCTATGTGTGCGGGCGTGCGGGCGTGCCAGCGTCCATGTGTTGGTGGTTTCGAACCTAATCTTGCTTAACATGTACGATATTGAGCTTTCTCAAGTCTTTTCCTGGGTTGGTTTGCCCCCTCACGGACCATCCTCTGGTGCGCGGTTGGTATATTTCGCCAGGCGAAGAGAGGAGGAGGGTTGAGCGATAGAATGATATTACGATACTTGCAGAACAAGGAGACCACCCAATTCTTCAAGCTTGATGGATAATACCCACAACGTCGTTAGTGCAAGGGGTCGGTTCTGTGTGGCGCACGGGTGTTCCCCAGACACGCAAATTGTTTGACAGGGCCTAGTGTGCGCTCCCTGATTGGATAATTTCGATGCACATTCGCCGTCAAATTGACTGGAAACGCCCGCCACGGTGGGTATTGCGTGCGGTATGTATCGGTTCAGCGAGCGAGCCCATGATCTTATCAAACAACTGGCATTTCAAGCTCAAGCTCGTCCCAAAAGTAGAAGAAGGAGATGGAACACCCAAAGGCCCAAAGAGGGAAGGGGCGACTTACCTTCCCATCTTAACCATGTGGCGAAAAACCATCTCAATGGTGTGTCTGCACAGATTGAGCTGTGCAGAAACGAGATGCTCGCGTAGCCGGAGGTCCTGGTTTCGTGTCCATTCGTCCAAAACTAGAGGCAAGCGCAGGGGGAAAGAGGCGAAGGGTGCACGACCGACTTTACCGCCTGAATGGGAGCTTCTCGTGTGTTTAAGCTTGAGAGTCCTCATCACCGGACGAAGGGGATCTAGTGAATTGCCCCAAGCCAGCGCGTCCCAGAGACGATCAGCCGTTGCGGGCGCCTGTGGAAATGCCGGAACATGAACAGCAAAGGGATCGGCATTGGATGCCCGTAGATTCAGCCGGCGACGCTCTCAAGGCTACTTGTACTTACTCACTTGGTCTGATTCTCTGTGCCACTGTTCTGATGTACATATATTCTTGGTTAATAATCAAGAATGCCGAGGCATCCATGAGTAGGTCTAGGGAAGGCGCGAAGGAGTTCGTTCACGAATCGAGGAGATGAATCAGCAACTACGAGGCCACAAGTCCTGCGTTGCCACATCGTAATGAGCGCCAGATTTCACATAGTTTTCGAATGTTGCATCGATGTAAAACACAGGCTTGAAGGCATGTCGGAAAGGGCAATTAGAGACCGGCCTTGGGTTCGTCGAACTAGGATTTGGCTGCACGCAAAATAGTAAGAATTGAGCGCCTCCCATTCGTCCAAATCTTCAAGGGTGGAAGACCACCGACAACGGGTAACTGGACTAACTCCGAGATCTATGCAGGCCTGATTAAAAGAAATCAGATGTTCTATCATCTAGGATACCTGTAGGTTTCACATCGAAGATGGTACGGCATCGTCTGGTATCAACATCCCCAAAACCACGCAAGCATTTCAACTTGGACATCTCCGTCATACGAGTCACAAATCTGGGAGGCATAGTGACTCTTCGTCTGAATCCCTCTCGAGAAGGCAAGCGGAAGAGGGCACGCGTCTTGATTATAGTACATGTCGAGGATGATGGATCATTGTTTTTGGTTGCCTGTGCTTGGTTCGCCTCCAGCAGCCTATCTTGATTCAGTACGTGCTCAACAACGACGGCCGTGGCCGGTATTTGCCAACAGCCCTCTGCCATCTCCCCGGTCGGAGTGATTCCATACCTGGTAGTTTGCTGGCCCCTTTACAAAACAACTTGGGGGAGTCATCCGGTTAATGCTTGCCTAGGGGTCTTGTGGCCGCCACATCGGGCTCCGTGAATCTCCCAAAGCCAAACTGCTGCGCATGATGAATACTGGGCCGTGTCGAATAGGAGGCAAACCGGGGCAAGGATATTGAGCAAGCGCATGCCTAATCTTTCAGACTGTGGGCTTTTCCCATCTCCGTCGTTACATGTAGCCTTGATGTATCCGTGCTGGTCTAGAATGTCACAAGCCATTCCGAAATCGAATATGCTTTCTCCATATGAGAATTCACTCGCGGAGGTTCCACAGTCGTTTATCATCTCGACTCATCAAAGATTTGGCATCCTTCATGAAATGCGATGTGTGTGAATACGCAGCCGTGAGGACAGAGAATGCATCGTCATACTAGCCATTCAAACATGATTACTCAATCCAAGATTTCAAGAGCCTTTCAGCCCCATTTGTTTCATCTCCCTTGTCAAGTCCGTCCACATCAAAAGAGGCCTGTCTGATACAGCCTTCAAGTTCTCAAAGGAGTCAGAGTCTAAGGGCAGCCAACCCAGGTGCCTATCCCTCCTGCCTTGATGAATCATGCATCTTTCTACGACGCCATCACCAAACCCTCCTCTACGCGCGAGTGGGCCATTGGCCTAGATGTGACTGGGTCACCTGCCCTGTAGGTTTGAGGGCCTATCCTTAGCTACACAGAACAGAGTTTTCTTTTTCCCTCCCTAGTATGGCTTTATTCAAGTGCCCTCCCCTCTTTTCTTATTTGATCTCTCCATCCCCTCTTTTCTTCTTTGATCTCTTCATCTCCTCTTTTCCAAACCTATATATCATCAACTCTTTGAAACATCCCTTGCCCAAAACAGCCGAATCCAACCATGAATTCATCTCCAGTCTCACCTCAAGGCCTACACCATGGCTGGCATCCAGACGATGAATATCACAGTCACGGGTTCACCCCTGCCTCAGGTACAGCTTCATTTGCTCCTTTACCAAGGTCGATTGGGCATGGGCAGCTAGATGCAGGATCTCAACGCACGGAAGATGATCCAGGGGTAGAAATCCTTGGCTTGCCGACTTTACACCGTCTAATCGATGGTGCGTATCCATGTCATCAATCAGCTTTATACTCACTTGGCTTCCTCTGGGGCTGGACTGATTCTTGCTCTTAGATTCCACAGATCCTCAAACCAGCCAAGTCCCGGACCAAAACGCCCCGCAAGAGGCACTTTCTTCGGCCCAGCCTACCAGAACTCACAATATCGCCCACTCTCAAGACCTTTGGTTTTGAATGAACCTCTGGACTGGACTTGGGGCTTCAATACTTTTGATAGCCAACCGAGATTTCCCGATGCGATCACTCCCAGCGTGGTGTTGGGACCGGACCTCTTTCCCCCACGGCATGACGATGGTGAGGAATGAACGGGGTGTTCTGAGTCCAACGGACACCCGACTTCACGGCTTGATGCCAATAGGCGCCATCACACGCTTTGACAGAATCAACATACTACCCTTCCAAGACGAGATCCCCATCGACCCAAGGCTTTTCGAGGGCCACCACGGCTCCCCGTTCCAGCCACAAAACGATTTCATGGTAACAGATATCATGGGCAACAGTCTTGCTCAGGAATGGCCCCAAACCCGGAATCGAACCCAGCCCCGGAATCGAACCCAACCCCAGGCCGCACCTTCCCTCCAAGTCATTCCCGGCAACCACCAGATTCAGGAACCACATCCACAACATGATGTTGCTGGCCCTGGAGCAGCGCCTTCGTCCAATCATTAATCGGCTGTAGCTCACGAAAATCATGTAGCTCCAGTACACGCCGTGGTTCCTTATCCCAGCGCAGGTGATCTGCGAAATCACCTCGTTCTCCCCAGTTATATAAACCCTGCCTACAACCTCCCACCCCTTTCTTCCAACAACAACAACGACACACTCTCACCACAGCACGCTTCTGTTCCTGGAAAACCGTCGCCCCTTGCTCAACCACCGTCATTTCTGAGGATACTAAGAGCACCATGCCTCGTGCTACCAAGGACGCCGGTGTGGTAGGTCGCAAGCCTCGACCCACGGTCGTGCCGAAGCCTCTCGAGGAAAGCCTGTGGCATGTTGTTCTGGTCGTATTCTGCAAGGCCTTGTGTACTGGGAGGGAGGCGGGAGTCTCGCAAAACGGCTTGAAGCAATATGCCATCGAGTCAGTGGAGAGGCAGCTCCAGCATCTCTTGACCGCTACCATCACGTAAGTTCATATCCAGACGTCGGATGCCATCAAAGAGATGGACGACTTCTCCCATGATTGTTCTGTGGGATCACGGCGCTGACCAAAGGTGAACTCTAGTGATGGCCAGTGGCGCAGTAAGATCACGACACGAGAAATATACTATGTCACCCAGGCTGACATTAACTACCGTATGTTCACATCTTATCTCTAGCTCCTTGCCCTCTGTCTCCTACCTCTTCCCCATCACCCCTCACCCCACTATATCTTGGGTGTGCCTGGCAACGACCCTGGATGAGACTCTCAAACTGACTCGCCGATTTCTTCTAGTGGAATATTGTATAGAGAATGGCGCGGTTCCTCCGAGTCCGTTGCGCTTGATCCGCCTGAGAGGGTTCACCACCGTCCGGATCATGTCCGCCTGCTTCGAGTGGGCGAATCCATTTGGTCTGGAATACCTGGTGAACTCTTCTCGGACCAGCAGGAAGCGTTCTGCCCCTCCGACGAGGACAGCGAAGGCAGCGAGGCCAGTGAAGCCAGCGATGCCAGTGAGGATAGTGAGGAGAGTGAGGACACAGAGGACACTGAGGGCCTCGAGGATGGCGACGACGGTGAAGAGGGTGAAGCCACCGGCGCCGAGGACAGCGAAGAGGAGCCCGACGCCGAGGGTAGCACTGAGAGCGGCGACAGCGAGGTCGATGACGACGACCAGCAGGCGCCGGCTATCTTTAGGGCACTTCCGAGCTCCCGAAGTCACAAAACCCCCTCCCTGACTTGTCCGACCGCGAGGTATACTACCTGAGGAAGGGCCAGCAGCCATCCGCTGCCATGATGGCCAAGGTGACGGACGAAGAGAAAGCTCACCGTCGCCCCGTCATTCGCCACTTCATGAGGATGAGGAGGATAATGAGCCTCGATATGATTCGTTCTGCCGAGTTTCATTATCCCCCTTCGTATATACGAGCCTGGCACCCCTGACGATCCCAACTCGACGGCGAGTCCTATCGCTGACATGCCGGCCGCCGTCATGGCTGCGCCGGCTAGCCAGAGGGCCGCGGTCAACGCCCTCTTCACCAAGACCATCTTGGAGTTTATAAATAGCGGAGCCGCCTATTATTACATGGTCGGTGACGACTGAGGCTTTGGCGTCTATTCCTCTCTTGTGCTCTACGCACATGTCTTTTAGTTCTCTTAGCTGTCTTTATTTCTTCGATGTTTCCTTTCTGACTCTTGTTGTGTCGTTTGTTGTTATGGCCATGGCTTGATGACTTTTTGTAGGGATTCAACCCCCGGTTTGACCGCAAAGCGGGCTCACTAGTTACTGGATGTAATTATGCCGTCCAATACAGCAGCACAGGAGAGGTACAGGGAGCTGCCTACCCACCTGCTTCCGCAATCAGGCCAATCGCATTCCTTTCTCGACTCTTGACCAGCGCAGAGACCAGATACTGGGCAAGCGAATTGGAGATGACCGGATTCGTCTGGACATTATCCAAAACTCAGCATTGGATCAAGACGACTAAAGTACCCCCAACGATCATATTTACTGATCATGAGAGCCTGATTGACATGATGAGACAGCTTGACATAGCTTCAACATCAGCAAGATCCACTGCAAACAAGAAGCTGTTGAGAGCACTGGAGTAGAGGTAGAACTCAACTTCTCCTCATTTCCTTTGTCTTGTTTCCTTTCTTGTTTGTCACTTATTCTTCTTCGTTTACTACTTTAATCGCCTCTTACTGGGGCTGTAAATATCGTTCTCCTTCTCCAGATTGATAGACTAGAGCGGATAATAGACTTGCGTGTGGATAAAATCAATTTTGCCTGTCCCTCTGTCCTGGGCCACGGACCTCAGCTTCACTGAAGCGAACTACAGTGATTGCCAAAAGTAAGCTGGATTACAACAGAGCATATATAGTTCTGGACGTTGGCTAGAGAATGCTAACTAGATAGTGTATATGATAATGAACGCGTTTCATCAAGTCGTAAAGTATACATACAGATTGGAACAAAAGTGAAGAAAAAAAGGTGCTAACTCTTGAACTCCTTTTGGCCAGTGTATGTGCCTCGGGCCCCGGTTATGTTTTCTTTCAAGCATCAGGAACGCCTCGAGTAATTTCCTTTTGCTTTCTTTCTTCAGTTGGATATTATGGCAATTGCCTGCCTGCTCGTCTTTCTACTACCCTTTCGACAGCCCTCTCACAACACCCTTAGCAGGTTATCTTGAAGTTTACTTGCTTCAGTAATACTTGACCGCCGAGCCAGGCCTGCCGTTGCCACCGTCCCCGTCCGCACCGAAGCCAACGGCATGGTCCAGATCATACCCGACGCCCGTGTTGCCTCCGCTCGACGCGCTCCTCCTCGAGCCGCCCCTCCAGCGAGCGAGGACAGGCGAGAGCCTGGCAGCAGCAAGGTCCTGGTACTCAGCCGCCGTGTAACTACCGCTGCGAGCCCTAGACCCGAGAGCCTCCCAGGTCGAGTAGCCCATATCGCCGCCCGCGCGCCGGATAAACATGCCGTCGTGCGAAGGCCGCGCGAGAGGCGCCAGGGTTCTCGGCGCAAGGATCGTCGGGATCCCCACGCCGACGGCGATCACGGTGGAGGGTAGGCAACTTCTGGACGCCGTGAAGAGCGCCGAGGATGAAGCGGCGCAGCAGGCCGTGGATATTATCAATAGTAAAGGCGAGGACGATGAGGGGTAACGAGATGGCGAGGCCGATACCAAACATGTACTTGGAGACGTAGCCGACGGAGAGCTTGGGCCCGTCGTCCCAATCGCTGAAATTGATGGCAAAAAGGACGAGATGAAGGACATGGGCAGGAAAATAACGGTGACGATGGTGAAGACCATGATGGTCTGGCCCTGGCGGCCGGCGGTGACGGCCTGGTCGCGGGCGAAGCGGGCCTCGAGGGCGTTGGAGTGTTTCTGTTTGAGGTCGAGCAGGTGAGTGAGGCTGTTGTAGATGCGCTCGGCCTGCTTGTCCATGCGGTCCTTGATATCGGTGAGGGAGATGGAGACGAGGCGCGTCATCTCGCGCGAGCGCTTCTTGATGTCCATGACGATGTTCTCGACGGAGCGGGGCACGTTTTCGGTCTGCAGCTCCTCGATGATGATTTGTTCGAATTCGGGGATCTTGGCCATTTGCGCCTCGAGCACCGACGTGATGATGCCCAGCTCGTCGCGGATGTCCTTGACTTCGGCGAGGAGCTTCGTCTCGAGGCCAATGTCCAGCAGCGTGTCCGAGACTTCGATGTCATTGCCCTCCATGCTGTCGCCGTCGCCGTCCCCGCCGCCGGTAATGGACGAGGCGGCGGAGTCGTTGAAGGGCTCTGCCGCGCGTCGCGGAGCCACTTGGCAGAGAGTTCCGAGGCGCGGTTGAAGCGCTTGAACAGCTCCGTCTCCTGGTTGCCCACGTGGCCGATGGAGCTGTCGAACATGTCGAGGAACTGGAAGTGCGGCTCGCACATGAGGTGGCGGCCAAACATGCCCGAGGTGCGGTGGACGATGACCATGGCGAGGTCGTAGACCGAGGCGATGGGGGAGCGGGTTTTGATGTTGGTGTCCTCGATGACGCCTTCGAGGACTTTGAGGTGGTCGTCTTTGGTCTGGTTCCAGCGTTGGGGGAAGCAGGTAATGACGAGGTCTGTGAGAGATGCTCGCGGGTTAGCGTCCATGTACCTTTTTCTTTTCCATTGGCAAAGAAATTCATCCTGCTATGTGACTTACCGCTTCCGAGGATAAAGAGCCACAGTTGGTCGACCATGAAGACTTTGGGATTCTGCCGCTCGCGGAGGCAGTGCCGGTACACGACTTGATCTGAATCTCTGGCGGTGGTGTCGATGCCGTAGTACAGGTACTGATCGAGGGTGCGTCGAGGGTGAAGGGGCGGAACGTGGTTGATGTATGCTTGGATGAGGTAGTGGTCTGGGCCAGCGTTGGGGGCACGCGTTGGCGGGGATCTTTTCTGAAGCGGTGGATGGTGTCGGCCATGTCGAGCTGGCGGTCGTAGGACTCGTAGTGGAGGAAAGGCATCTGTCGTCAATCAGGTTAGACGGGCTGATCAAGTATGCTACATAGAGACCTAAAAAAAAAAAAACACGTACAAAAGCACAATCTTCCCGTTGGAAGCGGCCAACCGAGAAGACTCCCATTTTAGCGTTGCCTGCTTTTGCAAGGCCCTGTTGATGGATTTCGGCGCGGGAGGGTTCCCCGGCGGGCCACTCCCGCGCTTGTGAGGCTTAGGATGCCGACTGGCAATCTGCTCGCCCTTTCTCCTCTTCTTGGTATCGGACCGATCCGACCGTTCGTTAAAGGGGGACGGATCCCGCATCGACCCGAGCGGCGGCGTCTTGGGGGTTCGGGGGTACCCGGCATCGGGGAAAGGGAGGGTCGTTGGGGCGGCGCGTCGCCCTCGCCGTCGGAACCGGGCGCGGTGGCGGGGGCTTCTTCCGAGACGACGACGAGGGGCGACTTTGTGAGGTTGGGGGCGCACTCGGGGCCCTCGGCCTTGGGGGCGGACACGCGCGTGCAGTAGGTGCGCATGAAGTGGGCGTGGGAAAAGTAGCCGCGGTGTTCCTGGTCGAAGCAGCGCTGGAGGGCTTTGAAGCCTTCGAAGTCTTCAAAGTTGCCTTCGATGAATGCTTTGGCTAGGAGGGTCTCTATCCAGTCAATCTAAAGGGGGTGAGCCGAACGTTAGTAGAATGTTCAGTAGCACGAACTGTCCTCCTCGTTTCCTTTTCCCTCAAGTTGCATTGTGGTAGAAAAAGAGAAAGAAAAACGCGAGAGGAAACACCAAGCAAGGTAGAAAGACGGGGTGTGAACTTGCATTATTGGCGGGAAGATGGATCCATCGAAACGCCGGCCGGTGCTTGACGTTTCGGGGGAGAATAGGTACGTGGTCGTACAAGACCTTGTAGACGGGCTCCTTGAACGTCCTCTGCTTGCCGCCGTGAAAATTAAAGTCATAAATAGTCGCGTTGAAGAGCCGGCAAGCGGTCCTCGCGATACCGGGAACCCTTTCGGGGAGATTATTAGGGGCCAGGCGCCGCGCAAGATCGAAATGGCCTCCTGCGCGGCGCAGAGCATGGGAGTCCTGCTCAGGTTATCCTTGATCATGACATCGGCGTGCGGGTCGTCGAGGATGCGGCACACGACGTCTTCGTGGCCAGCGGCAGCGGCCCAGTGCAGGGCAGTCATGCCATTAGAGAGCTGGGCGTTGACCCTCGACTTTGCCTCGATGAGCAGGCCGACAATCTCAGCGTGGCCCTTTGGGCGGCATTGTGGAGCGGGGTCCAGCCGCCCTCGCTGGTGCAGAGGGGTCCGCACCGCGGACAGCAGGTAGCGCACGACATCGACGGCGTTGGTCTCGGCGGCGATGTGCAGGACGTTGCGGCCACGGTTCGTGCGGGCGAGGACGTCGGCGGCGGCGGCGACCTTGCCCGGGTATTCGGCGAGGAGGGCCTTGACCAGGCCGAGGTTGGAGTTGGAGGCGGCCCAGATGAGCGGGGTCTTGTGGTCCCTATCGGCAGCGTTGGGATCCGCGCCGGCGGCGAGCAGGGTCTCGACGCACTTGGCAAACTGCTTGGGGGTTCTTGAGCTTGGCGAGGCACAGGAGGGCGGTCTCGCCGTCGCCGTCGCGGTGGTCCACGTCGGCGCCGCGCTCAAGGAGCACGCGTAGGGTTTCGGCGTGGCCGCGGAAACAGGCGGGGAAAATGGGGGTCACGCCGGCCTTGTTCTGCCAGTCGGGCTTGGCGCCGCGCTCGAGGAGCAAGGCGGCGATGTCGGCGCGGCCGCCCTCGGCGGCGCGGTAGAGGGCGGAGGCTTCCTTTGCATAGCGGGGTCGGCGGGGGCGGCTCGATCTGGGCGCCGTGCTCGAGGAGGAGCTTGCAGATGGGCAGGCAGCCGCGGGTGCTGGCTTTCTGGAGGGCCTGGCGCAGGGCGTCGAGGTCGGCGGGGTGTTCCAGACGGGGGACTCGGCGAGGATCTCGCGCACGCGGACTTCCTTGGCCTGGGCGGAGGCGGCGAGGAGGAGGTGGTGGCGCGAGTCCAGGCCGCCGCTCGTCAAGCTCATTGTGTGGGTTGGTTGTGGGCGAGTAGTGGGGACATTTGACTCGGGTTTCGGATCGAATCTGGGGTCGAAGGGAGTGTGGAGGGTTGGAGGGTGATGGGATATGGGATGTTTCGTCGATCGATCGGAAAGAGGCTTGGCAAAGATCGCGGGCGAGACAATGTGGGGAGGAAGCTTCAAACAAAGGTCGACGGCGGGGGCGAGGACAAGTTGGGAGTTGTGGCGCGGGGCAGGAGCAGAGCACAACAAACTGGGCAGAGGTATTCGGTGTCAAGGTGGGAGAGAGCTCAGGGAGACGAGTTGACGTCTTGCGAGAGAGCAGGGTGACGCAAATGGACGGGTTCTTCGCAATGGCGTGAAAAAAATTGAAGAAACGGAACGAAGAAACAAAACAAAAAGAGCGACGAAGAAAAATAAAAGGGAGGATGCGCATGGGTCAATTTGGATGTCATGTACATGTCTGCCAGGGTGGGAACTCGGAATTAGCTGACGCGACGGCAGGACAGCAGGACGTGCATCTGATCGATGCAGCACGGATCCGTCCCATTTCACGAAGCCTACGAGTATTTGCAGGTGCAGTAATAGAGAACAGCCCCTGATACTGGAGGGAAACTATCGGTCTGTTAAACATCCAGTACATAACACACTGATGGCTCAATTGATCCTGACGGCTCCAAGAGTTCAAACAAGCCTTTTCACAGACATCCGTAGTGGCTCGAGTAGAGCAAGTGGAGCAAAGTCCCAAGATGCCAACCAGCGAAAGTTCCATGGCGGCTCAGGGGTAATCAACATCAGGATCGTGCCCGCGAAGCTAATATTGTTCAGATCCACTTTAATTCTCGACGCCAGCGCCAATTGTTAGCCTCTAGGAATCATTCATCAATTCCAGAGCTCGCTGCTCGTGCTTGTTTCTGTCCACGCACTTGGCACACGCGCGCGCACACTTGGCGATCAATTGGCACGCACTTGGCGGGTTCGTAGAGGGTGGAACGTGGAACTTGTCAACGTAGGGCTGAGAGTCTGGCAAGACTGGCACCGAGCCAAGTTGTATCAGCTACTTGCACATGCGCCGTCGACATACCGACTCGCCCATTTTAATCAATTGATCCATTGATGCTGGAATGGATCTGGGAGGGTGGAAGAAGGATTCATCGCCTGAGAACTAATTATCCGCCACACCATTTGATGGGTCTGTGTCTCCAATGTACATACATCCATGGATCCAATCCCGTACATGTAAGACATTACCTGCACATTCATTGGCACCCGATTTCAACTACACTATCCCCATGCCTCGGCATTCCTTAAGCAAAAAGACCAGTTAGTGATGGAACGCTAGACGGCTTGACGGGCCACTGCAAGCATAAACTCCCACATGCACTGCGCCGCACTGCGCCGTCGTCCATTGAAGTCCCTCCTCTAGAGTACAAGTAAATATAACAACAACCAAGTTGAGCCATCTAACAACCCTATAAAAAGTGAAATTCATGTATAGGGTGAGATTAACTACAAAGATGGATTGCAAAATCCCTAGACTGTCCAGGCGTGGCCTCTTCGACGTAGGTCGATGTGCGCCGACTGCACAGATTGATACCCGGTGAGTGCCCCTAGACTAGTCCTTTCCCCTCTTTCCCTCACTCTCCCTCGCCACCAGCATCGGCCGTGAATGACTGCAGGTCAACGGCCCAGTCCACAGTCCCGGCAAAGTTCAGCTCCTTCCAGTAAGCCCTTCGTGTTTCTTTCGTGGTTTCCGACATGTACGCGACATAATCACCTGGAAAGTCTTGGCATTAGTATATGTTCAAGCATTCCTCCTTCCTGGCCGTCCCCGGACACTCAAGCAAGGATGCGCAATTCACAAAAGGAGTAAGAGAAGGGGCAAGAACAATAGTAAGAGGAGGCGGGGACGGGCAAACCTTTGTAGAGAAGGATATCCGTGTCTGAATCAGCATCGTGAAAGGATCTTCCGCTTCCTTCCTCGATCAATTCCGCAATTTCCGCATTGGCAAGGTAGCCGCTGTCCTTGGTACAACGCCCCGGTAGAGCGTCCGACTTGTTGCGCGAGCCCGTAAATTCACACATGGGTTCCCAGCAGCCATCTTTGGCCATGTGGACGGAGCGTCCATAGCTAGCTTCGCCCACGTAGATCTTGTTGTTGGGTACGCCGGCTTTGGTGACTTGATTTGGAGCATAGATGTTAGACTCAGCCCTTGCTATCCAGTGTTTGCAGAGGCAGAAAAGATAAGGCCTGCGTATGCATGTGTGTACGGAAACTTCAAGAAGGATGACGATAACAACTTGTCAAGACTTACTGATGCTTAAGCTGTTCACGGTCTCGGTCAAGTTCACTAATAAGGTCTGTCAGCTTCAGGGTCCAAACAATCCTTGTGCTGTGACACACTATCCGGGAAACTTACCATGGCTGCGGATACATCTACCCGAATCGCAGCTGTCAAACGCGTCTGCGTTTCCGTAATCCCATTGCCCATGGAAGTCATAGGTCATGTAAACGATGTAGTCGACGACCCTAGCGATACGATCGATAGGGAACTTTTGAAGGTACCAAAACGATCCCGGTGCGGCAATGGATACCGATTTCTCTTTGCCCACCTTTTCCTTGAGCGTGGCAAGGAAGCGCAGGTATCCATCCCCATCACCCTCCTGGCCAATGGCCGGCCCGTTGGCAAAGACATCAGAAGCCTATCGACACCGTTAGCGAAATCACGCACCCTCTAGAGCTGCTTAGAGCAAGCGGTGGCATAAATCCAAGTACTTACGTCGGAATACTCCAAATCAATGTCGACGCCATCGATGCCCTCATCCTCCAGAAACTGGGCAATATTTTCCGCAAAAGTCTCGTGCTCCTCGAGGATGGCCCGGCGGATGACGTCAGAGGTTGCCGACTCCGTCGAGTACACCCATCCACCAAAGGACACGATGCGCTTGAGTTGGAGACTCTTAAAGTCATCCCACTGCTCGTACGGATCCTTGATCACGGGCTTCAGCGTCTCCGAGTCAATCTCTGCAAAAGCCCACTGCATATGCGTGTACTTGTCATCAATATTGGCGTTCTTGGCTCGCAGATGCAGGCACTCGCGCTCCAAATTGAGAGCCTGGTAGTATCCCACCCGGCTAAACGAAGCCGGCGGGCCCGAGTTATTCTTGATGTCTCGCTCGCAGTTGCTTACGCACGTGCTGCGGGCGCCTTGCTTCACCGCGCCCGGTCCAGCGTCGCCCCCGGGAGAGTGGACGGCGCAGTGCGCCTCGAACGGGCCGCAGAACCCCCAGTTGCTGCAGCACGCGTTCAGAGGACACGGGTTCAAGTCCGCCAAGCTGATCCCCGGCGCGGGCCGGACGGTGCCGGGCATAGTGGGCCCGCAAGCCGCGCCATCCTGCGGCGTAGGGAGAGGAGGATCACCCTCGCTGAGGCAGATAGTGTAGTCTTTCATCAGACCCGCCTCGCAGCTCACCCACCCCCACGTCTTCTTGGCGTTCCACTGATCCAGGTCCTTGATCGTGACCCCAAACTTGCCCGCGAGGCCGCTGCACGTGTCGCCGCCCTCGACCACGTACGCCGCGCACGAGCCATCCCCGTTCCTCTTGGGCGGCTCCGGCTTCGGCGGCGGATCCCCGGCCGAGCAGCACACCTTGTCGCCCGGCATCAGCGTCGAGCACATGTCGGGCCGCCACGCGTTGTACTTGGTAAAGTCGGCGCCGGAAATCCCGCACAGCGTGGCGAGTAGGGCGCAGTCGCCCTGGCCGGCTTGACTTCGCGTGTGCGGCAGACGGCGCGTTTGGCGATGGCGTCGCGGTGCATCACGCGGCTGCTCTTGATGAGCGGTGGAAGGGCGGGGAAGAGGCTGTCTGCGGCGTTGGAGGGGCCTCCTCTGGCTCGGACTCGGATCCTTTGCCGGGGCGGCCGCGGGGAAAGACCGTGCAAGGACGGGGTCGCCGCCAATGGCGGCCGCAGAAATACGACCACGGTCATGGTTGATGGCTCCGTGGACCCCACTGCTGCTCCATGGGGCCGCGGCCGCAAGGAGGAGGCTCGTGGCTAAACGCACCATAGTGTCTTTTCAAAGAAGGGTTATAAGAGAGGGAGTAGAGCTTGAAAGCGAGAGACTACCTAACGGTGCACTTGTGGATACACGAGAGAAGGCCGGTGAGGAGATTGCGGATGCCCTAGAGAAGAAAATGAAGGAAGAGATTTAGGAGTCTAGGCCAGATATATATACACGTGAACCATGTGAAGGCTCTGGTTTTCCACATGATAGATCATCGTTCCATCATTGCTCTTGCCTGGCAAGGCTAGTTCTCATCTCTCATGACAGGATATGCCGTTCTGACCCTCAAGACCATTATGTCTAGGATGATAGATGGAAACAAGAACCAACCCAACACTTATAGTACTTGCATGACTGAAGCGAAGACAGAAAAGTGGAAGAAGAGGCCGTGTTATCCTCGGATGTATCAGTGTATCCCGGACCAACCTTCGGATCGGGACATCGTGACTCTTCAGAGACCCTCATTTTATATGGCGAACTTACATTTCTAAAGACGGAGGCAAACCAACACAGCACCTCTAATAACGGCGCAGCCTAGCCGAGGCGTGTGGGTGTGGAGCAGATTCTCCTCAAGATAGCAGACATCGTGCGATCGCCCTACGAGTCCCGTTGCGATATTCACTCTATACAGGATGGAGACTTCATCTTAGGCACAGCGCGGAGATGAGAACCAACACAAAAGGCTCAGGCACCCGTGCTCGCTTATGAAAGCAGGTCGGGATAAAGGGAGCGTGTCAAGCTCTGCACCATCGCGATACTCGGAAAGGGAGGGAGATGGGTGGGTCTTGGGTTCCTCGCGAGACAGTTGAGAGCCCATCCCCTTCGCTTCCAAAATGCATTATACATGGGGCGCTGTCTAGAGCAATAGCCAACAACTAGGTAGGTGACCATGCCTACCCGCGAGACGCTGGGACTGGCCTGTAGTAGCCTTGGCAAACAGAGATGAGGCCCATCGAAAGCAAAATGATAACCCGCTTCCCTCCATATCATTGGGTCTCCAAAAGTCATTTAGTTCGCCTAAAGCGAGCGGCGCAGACACAAAACAAGCAAGTTCGCGGAAGTGTAGATAGAGCAGCCGGCAGCAGTGAAGGCGGGGCTATCCAGTCATGGTTACCGACCTTGTGCATATAAAGTGCTTTCTGTGAGTCACTCATTAACCGCGAGCATGCATGTACACCACATGACTTCCAGAACAGCGCATGCTACGCTGATTCCTAGGATATAAACGGATGGTGTAACCAAGGCATTGGGACTAACATCCAAGAATTCATCATGATGGATATCTTTGGGACATCTGCTACCTACTACCAGCCCTAGCGCGCCAAGGTAACGTGCGCTTGAGGGAAGTTGGCAACTAACAAGGCCCTTCTTCTATACTGGCGTGAAAAAGACTTCTGCCTGTTGGAAACCTGATTCCCTCATTGTGATACTGAATCTTGTTGAAGATGTAGTGCTAGACGCGTTCGGAGCTGAAGAGATCTGGTGTTCTTACGAAGATGCATTTCAACAACGACCTCTTGAACGGATGATCCAAAGACCGACAGCGGCTCATGCCATCAATAAATAGCGGAGAGTTTTGATAGCAAGAGCGAGTCCAGGCAAATAGCACCACAAGCACGGTAGACAACCACCCTGCTATACTACATGTAATCTTAGATTTTTGCACTACTCTGTCTCGACTCTACCAATATGCCACCGCATGGCATCTGAATAGTCTCAGCTGTGATCTTTCCCGATCGCCGGGAACCAGCAGAAACGATGAAGAGCTTTATGTAATTCATCCGTGGATGTGATTGAATATTCGTCCATCATTGATGCCTATGTTTTCCTTGTTCATGTCTACTTGACGTGCCCAACCAACAGGCCCGATTAGCACGAAAGCCAATAACACTACCAAGGCACGGTGTTTGAGGGTCGCATTTATGCAGGGCAAATATGGCTAGAATGGCCGTCTTGCATATTTTGCCCACTGCTTTAATATCATAGGGCTGTTGGTCCTAGCTGTGCCGCAGACCCAGCCACAACTCCGAGCGATATACCCGAGAACACTGTCAGGGACTGATATTACCAGCCGCTTCTGGTGCCACACGGGATATGGGATGAGGCTATAACTTTCTGTTGGTCCTGATATTCACATATCTACTTATGAAGCCTTTCTGAGGTCTTTGTGAGTTGAACGTTACATATGTATTCTCCAGCCTGCGGTTCATTACCTTGTTGCGTTTGCTGGGTCGACACTCGTATGGAACCCCGCCACGGTTTGACGAGGGCCTCAGCCACAGACATATCCATCCATAGATAGATGTGGGCGTTACATTTATCTACACACACACACACACTTACAGACACGCATACATCCCTATACACACGCCCCGATAACATAGTTCCCTACTTCTGAATCACGTTCAACGCAGTCGTCGAGTATTTACTTGGCGTGCGCGCCGATCGGCTTTGACACCTAGCACTGGTCCTTTCCATTGGCCGAACTCCATCTCCTGTGCCTTCATATTGCATCTCTTGCGTCCTCTCCCAAAGTTTGGAAAAGAAAACGTCTAGTTTCCACGGCTAAGCATACCGATCCTCCTTCCCCTTCTCTCTTGGTGTCCTCAGTCTTGAAATGGCGGCTCTAACAACGCCCTTTGAGTATGCGCCATCGTGCACCAACTTTCCCTCACCACAAGGACCTGGGTAGGTGAATTCCAGGGCGTCAATACCACTACTATCGTGCAGGTTCCGGACCAATCCAACGATCGATACTCGGCGTGCCAACCTTCGGGCTGGGATCGGGAGTCACCCGAGAATCGGCTCCGTTTCAGTCCGGCTGTGTGTCCAGCTGGCTGGACGGCATATCACCTAGTAACCATTGCTACGTCCGTATCGGTAGCCCACTGCTGCCCCAGGTTAGTTCGCCGTACACGTGTAGATACACGGATCTTGCTAGGTTGAAGGACGCGCACAAGACTAACTACGCAATCCTTAATCGCACCCTCCAGTGGGCACAAGCTGGGATTCCCGGTTGGAGAACTCCAACCAGAAGGCACCGGGCGTGGTGCCTGCTTTAAGACACCCCTCCCCACCGTAACTACCGATAGCCGGACAACGGCGGACGAGCAGTCGACGGCGACAACGACCGAATTTCGGGAGACTGGGTCATCCGAGGATGCCACGCTGATTCGCCCTGCCTGGTTAATATCCTGGGAAGCGTCCGATGTCTCGACGCTCTCGCCCCCGCCTCCTGCCCTGACCTGCACGGCCAAGGGGTGGGAAGACCCGTACATCGCAACGTGGGTACCAGGCACCAAGCCCACGGCGCTCTGCCTCTCCAACAAAAATGAGGATGCCATCCATTGGGGCCCCTGGATATACTTCCTCTTGATTGGCTTGCCCACCATCGCTGGTGTAGGTCTGCTCTCCTGTATAGTATGCTGCTGTTGTTGTTATCGAAGCAGAAAGAGGCAGGAGAGGGAAGAAGAGATGATGATGCGAGTAAGCCAGAGAGCATCCGGGCCCTCTACGGTGCCACCGAGTTTGGTACCAGCCCCAAAAGTGCTCAAGTAGACAACATGGAAGCAACATGAGACATTACAATTTCTGATACAGAACCAAACAGCCCATACCTTGATCACCTACCCCAACAGCCTCTTAATACATGCAACTACAATAAATGCACACACATAGCCCCAGGTACATCATTGGACCAAGGCTAGAAGGAAAAGAATATAATGACAATGACCTCCCAATATTGTTGGCTTCCTTCCTTAGTGGTTTGTTATATGTGCGTGGATACTCTACACGACAAGCCCGTAACCTCCATTTGACATCAATTTGAAGTTGATACTGGTACCACAACGCTGCACCAGTTCAGCTACAGCCACTACCTAGTGAAAGAGACCATCCGATATTGTCCGCCTCGCTGCCGCGTTCTGCTTCGGTGGCCAATCTGTATGCGGCATCTGCCAGTACATAACCCGTCGCCGAGCCCAGGCGCTCTCCCTTGCCGCCGGTCCTTGTAATACTTTCTTTCGTTGCGAAAGTAGACCATGAAGAGCGCAGCGGCCAGGCCAAAGAGCCCAGCCACACCAACTATGATCCCTATGATGCCCCCACGTGGGAATTTTGGTCGAAGGTCTTCTTCTGACTCGGGGGTTGTGTCATCTTGGCCGGTTGATGCGGAGTCGTTTTCCGCTTCAGATTGTTCAAAGGGGTCTGGTCTTACTGCGCCAGGAGACGAGTGTGTTTCAGGCTTTTGGGTACATGCCTCGACCAAAAGATTGATATCTGAGTATCAACAATATACCTGGTTAGTTTTCATCATGACATTACCGTTTCAGGGGCGGGGGTTTCTTTTGCTTCCATACAGTTCGACAAGTAGTTGTATCCATCCTGCTTGAGAATCCCCACACATTTCTGTGCTTGGGCTGCATCCACACCATTTTCCTCAGGGCAATCCGCATATTGGTTCGTTGAGGCTGTTGAACCCATGCTGGCGAACCCCAGGTCGAATCGGAGATTATCGCAAAGAGTGCTGCTGCTAAACCACTCATTCAGCAGCAGTGGCGGTAACCCTCGGATGTCAGAGACCAAACAACCCATGAGCGTGGATCGAACGTTGTCTAACGAAGAGTAACATCGTCTATTAGCACGGGCTTCCTGCTCACTTTGAGCAGCCATTAATAAAGAAAGAAAGCCTCACAGATGAGGGCGGAAAGGTCATCCTCGTCGCCCTTGACATAATCGCTGTTCCGCAAGCAGCTGATGCACTCCTTCACTCTTCGCCCGACCAAAGTCCCGTCAAAGTCCTCGTCTGAACATATTCTCTGTCCGCTGTCCGCGGTATTGACTACTTTGTCGTCGACGGCTGGGCCTGCACAATACCTCTCGCAAAGGGATCCGGGGCGAAACGAAGCCCAAGCACAAGGTTGGCTTGGAGCAGAAGGACACACAGAATCCAAGAGCGCGCCGGCCGCAATTTTATGGCCAGTGGCGGAGATACCATGGTTGAAGCTTCATCCTCAGCCCATAAGGAAGGGGGAAACAAGTCACGTAAAGATCCGCTGAAGGGGTGTTGGAATAGTCGGCCACAGTTAAGCGTAAAACCTCCGCTTATCGTATCGTACTCGTTGAGTTCGCGTGCAGAGGGGAAGTGGTAAGGACAGGAAGCCCACCGCATTCATGATCTAGGCGTCAGGTGCGGAGGTTCGACTTATTATGTGTATCCCCATCCCCAAAAGTATAAGGGAGCGAAGGGTGAGGGAAGCCTCATTCTCCCCCACACATTGCTAGTTCAATGAGAGCGAACAGGCCTCTAATGATGTCCCTAGGGAGATGTCAATAGCGTATGGGGCTGAAGCGAGCCAATTACTTATACATGTAGGGATACACAGGCGCGTAAGGTGCAATAGCCGAAAGCCTGCCTTCAACACCCCTGGCACACAACAAAGACTACGCATGTGAGCCGGATAATTTCAAAAGTCGGCACATCATGTCAAGAAAGGGAGAATTTTCTTCCGTTTCCTCTCATTATCTCGCTCTCGTATGAGGTAACCTACAGCTTGCTTTAAAACGACATCGGGTCCATTTCCGTCGCTATTCCGCGCGACCGATCTATCGATCTTCACCCGCTGACAAGACGAATGCGTCGCCTCCACACATGGGCGCCAAGAGGGCTGAGATCAAGGGTATACATGTAGGTATAGATCCGGGGTTTAGCTTTCTCCAAGAAATACCTCCTCGCCGTGTCGACCCCGTCAACTCAGCTAGCTACGCAAACACCGATTTGAAAAGCAAACAATCAGGGATCTCGGTAGGCACGAACCCTTTGTTATTGGCCGCTGTGTTCCACAAGCATTGGTACTTCTCTCAATAGGCCCTCCCCCTCAGGGTTCTTTGGTGCCTTTATTCAAGACTACTTTCGGCCTAGCCCATCCCTGCCCTTTTTCCCGCCCCTTTGTACGACCTTCCAGCCCCGGCAAGGAAACCGACCCATCAGTCAGATATGACCAGATAAGCATGCCCGGCTCCCTCCGATTATATCCGCGACCAGATTAGCCGTGACCAGATTCTCGGGTCCCTGCCTGGGCCTCAGGTTCCCCTCTCTGTCTCGCCGACGTGGAGAATCGTCCTCACATTCTTGCTACACCTCCATTGGAGAATCGTCCTCACACTCTTGTTACACCTCCATTGGGGGTTCCTGTTTGCCAAGGTACGGCGAGTCCAAGTTGCGAACACCAGGCGCCGAGGTCCACACCCACGCATCCCATCTCGTAGATGTAGACTTGCTTTTCCCCATGAAGTCCTTGGCCCGTTCTTGCGCGTGCCTTGGAGCGAAGCTGCTAGGGGACCAACTCACCCAGTCAGACCGAAAGTACTTTTGCAAAACAGTTGTTCTTGATATCGAGGCAACATCTTCACTTTCACCTTCTTGAACAAGTGCCCGGTGTTTAATAAAAGACTACACGCATTCGTGAATCACTTGGGGTATCGTCAAATATCCGAAATACTAACATTACATATCCAAAGAGCCACCCCCAAAAAAACATCCATGCCAACGACCACACACCTTTTCATCACTTCGTCCGTGCGCTCCTCGCCGCAACACGCTCGTTCACCTGGAGGATAGTTTCCCGCGCAGCCTCCCAGGGAGTCCTCTTCCCCGTCTCGAACAGCCTAAACACGTGCGGGCTATACATGCCGTCCATGAGGAGCCCGCACAGTTTGCGGTCCCTCCGCCAGAAATTCAAGCCCTTCAGCCCCCAACCGAGGTGGTCCTTGAGCCCCGTCCCCGCGGCCTCGTTGACCCACGCCGTCCACTGCGGCCAGTTGACCCAGGCGGGGTGCGTCCTCCCTCGCCGGGCCAGGTCGCAAATCCACTGCTGGTGATCATCGACCGCCTTTTCCATCTTCTTCCGGCTCGGGAGCTTGGAGTTGCCCTTCCACACCTGCGCGAGCGCCATGGATGCGAGATCATGGGTCAGGAACGCGGGCGCGGGGAGGGCCACGTACCCGATAAAGGCGAGCGAGTCCGGGTATTGCAGGAAAATATATTCTGGTACAGCCGGGGAAGTGGTCGGCTTCTGGATCCGGGAAGTTGATCCCACGCCGAGGTATTCCCCGCGGTAGGGTCAATGCACCGATCGAGACAACTAAAATCGGCCTGGTATCCGGTACACCAGATGACGTCATCAACCTCTAGTACTTTGCCGTCGTCGAGAAGCACCCGATCTGGCCCGACAAACTCGCTCACCCCGGACACCGATTCCATATTCCCGGCTTCCAAGTGCTCGATCAAGGAGTCTGCAATGACGGGAATGGAAAATTTGAGGGACGGTGCAGGCGATAGGCCCCACTCCGACTTGATTGTGAAGCTCCTGTCCTGCATGTCCTGGGCAAATCTATCGAAGAAGCGAGCGGTGAGTTCGGGAAATAGCTTCTCGCAGGTGGCTCTGAGCCTCTCGAAGCGAAGAGTGAGAACATGGTCAAAGGGCTTCCCGTCTACGTAGCGGGGTATCTATCCATGCGAGTTAGTGAAATTTGTTTCAGATGTCGGGATCACAGGCTCGTGGGCAAGGCAAAGGAAGGAAGGAAGTAGCAGGTAGGTAGGTAAGTGGCGGATATGGGTATACGAACAACGTAGGCGCCCGCTCGATGTGAGACATAAATCTTCGATGCACATCCGACAAGTGATGTTGCTGTATCACCTCCAGAGTTTCCTAAGCCAACCACTAGAACTCTTTTGCCTTTGAAACGGTCCGGGCTGCAGGGTGAGAAAAACCAGTTAGCAAGATGAGTCCCCGCATCGCGTCTTCCGTTGCACAAGAAATGCCCCCCTATCGAATGTTACGTGCCATTTGTAGTCCTGGGAGTGTATCCTCTCGCCCCGAAACTTTTGAACGCCCTTGATCTTTGGGATGGAGGGAATGTTGTTGACGCCTGTGCTGATGACGACTTTGTCAAAAAGAGGATTTCGCCCGTGCCCTCTAGCACAATTCGCCAGCCGTGTTTCCGCCTATCACGACGTATCCGTTTTATCGATGTGTTGAGGCGGAACCTCGATCGAAGGTTAAAGTGGTCTGCGTATGCCTCGAGATATTCTATCACTTCCCGAGCGCAAGGAAATCAGACCCGCCTAAAGATGGATGGAAAGAATACGACTTAGTTGTTGTTAGGCAAGCAAGGAGGGTGGCAAAAGAAATTTCTTACCTAGCGGGAAGGGAAAGTCGGTGAAGCATCCCTAATGTCCGCATGTCAGTTGACGGCCGAATAAGAAGCCGACTAGATAGGCAACTCACCCGCTCTTTCGAAACGTTGGCTACAGTAGCTACTATTATGTTAGAGAAGAAGCAAAATATGAAAACTGCATGGCACTCTGTATTCGGGAGGCGGTAGAATATGCTTACAAGGGAGGACGGAGGTCCTATTGTCCGTTGTATACCGCCAGAGGCCGCCTATATACGGGTTCCGGTCAAAGGCGGTGACATCAAATCCTTCTTCGACAAGATTCTTGGTAGCGACAAGACCAAAAGCTCCTATGGTATGTTAGTCTGAGGAGACCATGATATCATCTTGAAACCACCTCTCTCGTTGTCAAGGCAAGAGAATGATCAACCGGATACAAGACATAGTCAACGCCTAGACCACCCACGGAGCGATGAGGGGGTCAGGGCTGACCTCAACTACTGAGCCACGGACCCATCGAAAGTGGGCGCGGAGATAGATGGAAATGGTAGAAGACCTGGACCTCCGCGGGGAGGAAATGGAAGTGACATTGAGCAGTGAGGCTCTATATAAAACAAGGAATAAACGCATAGTTGGGCGTGTTGTTAACTTACCGAGACCAATAACGGCCACAGTCGGTAAACGGGGCTTGGGCATCGTTTCTTATGAGGTGGGCAGGCAACGGATGGCTGACGCAAATATGAGAGAAAAATAGAATCGTAGAAGGAAGAGAGAATGGAGTAAAGGAAGCGAGTGGGAGGAGGACGCTACAACAGGGAGGTCATTGGCCCGCAGAGATGGGACAAAAGTACCCACGTGGTTTTTCTTTTCCCCTGTAGTGTGAGAGCGTTGGACAGTTGATCTCAGAGGGCAGGCACTTCTGATATCGAAAGACGTCGAGGAAAGGGAATGGACGAGCTATTAATGATGGAACTTTGGAAGCATGGGGTAGGTGCACGAGGGAGAAGCAAGTCTACCAAGCAACGAGCCATTGGCTGCATGTAGAGAATGGAGGAGGGCGGGAAGGGAGGAACGGGGAGCTTGGGTCTCTAGGACCCTCCTCGTCAACGAATCTATCCATGGATCCATCCAGGATCTGTGCTCGGTGCGTGTAGGGCGGGCGTGGTGGCCCGAAATAAACTGGCATCGATTACGAGCAGTATGACACACCACACCCATCCCGCTGGTTGATGCCGTTTAGGGTTCGGACCTGACATATCCCACCAGAAATCTACTAACAGGCGCCCCGTTTCACTAGGCCAGGTGGAATGCACGCTGCGTTGGACCCGACAGGCCAGTCGCAGCCCCATCTCACTAAGAGGGACGCTGGCGCCGGCCGTCCACCCCGAAGCTGAGGTTTGATGAACACTTACCACGCCAAGACTGGGCCATCGTCGTGTAGAAGCTCTCGGGCACGTCAAGTTGTTTTCTTGGGAATAGCTCTAATTTAGATTCGAGCCTATTTTCCCTAGGGCCGGCCGGGGCAAGGGGGACTAGTAAAGCTGAAAAACAGGGACGGGATGGGGGACGGACGGGGCGAAGAATCAAGGCAGAGCTACGCCGCTGCCGGTGGCGCCTCTTTACTCCCGGGGGATGCCAGCCTTCAGGCAAGACGGTGCGCCACTGGTAAAGGTGACGGGCCTCAACTGGGGTTTTGCAGTCGCGGCTCATGGTGAAAGAAGGAAAGCGAAAGAAGAAAAAAATAATCAAAAGATACATATCATGCAAAACTCGCGGGTTCGCTCCCATGTCTTTTTAGTAGCAAAGAGACGGGAAGGGAGACTGGATCGAATTAAAATGAGGCCGATCGGGTCCAACGACTGAAGCCTCGACCAAAGCCCCTGATGTCATTCTAGACGTGACAGGATCCATCCGCCTCTTGAGTTCACGGAGGGTTCCAGAGGCGTGTGCATCTCGCACAAAGCGTAGCGGGTCCAGGCTATAGCAGACTATCCCAGCACACTACTCAGGCAACATCTCCCTTAGTTCCCCTTGGGCTTGCTTTTCTTTCGTTAGGCATTCCGAACCGCCCAAGATCTGGCGTGATGCGGATTGTGGATGCCCAATATGGGTGGAACCGCAGGGTGGGGAATTCCCTGATCACAGTCAGATGAATGAGTCGCACAAGTGCGGTTTTCCCGATCGGACGGAAAACCCTGGATAGTCAACATTGAAGCGTGGAGGTGAAGGGACGTTTGAAAAGTCTTCCATGTACCCATGGTCGCGGACTGCCTCGCAACCCATCTTGGCGTTCGACGGGAAAAGGAAAATGTCCTCCCGGTGGACGTGGTCGATCGCTGGCAATGACGAAAGGGATCGGGACATGTCGAGAGAGAGGAGGGAGAGGGCGTGCGAAACCGTGAGGGAGCGTGAGGGAGTGTGAGGGAGCGTGCGAGAACGTGAAGGAAAACACAAGAGGAAGAAAGGGATCCAAATCATCTAGAACGCGCCTCCCCCAGCCACGCACACGCCCCCGCACCCCTTCATCATATCATCGTCCAGCACCGTCCACCCTCCGACCCCTTTGCTCCTTGCAACGCCAACTTGATCATGAGGGAGGCTAAAGAGACAAGGCTCAAGGTAGAGCCGCGCTCTCGAACATGATCTGACTTGACAGAGTTCGAGCCTTCAAATCTTCGATATAGGAAGCAGACAAATTTTCTTCGTTTTCCTTTTTCTTCATTGTTTCCCATTGTCTCTCAATGTTTCCCACGTACTTTCGTTTCATTTTGTATACTCACTTTTCTTCTTCTTCCTCCCCCTTTCCCATCTCTTGTGAACGTGCTTCCTGTACTCCTGCTTATGCGTGCGTGCCTCCCTCCCTGCAGGCTGCCGCGCTTTGTCTCGGCAACCCAAACACGATCCATTGATGCGTGCCTCTAGTATTGATCCGCATCGTCCAAAATGTTTGCGCCCCAAAGTATCCGCGTTTCGAGTGGCTTCGTCTTGTCAGATCATCCGGTCGTACCTGTGTACCAACCAATCGATCGATCCTGCAACATGCACCTCACAATGCCATGGCGTGGGCATTATTATAGCACTTCTGACAAGGCAGCCGGCGCCACAGCATCTGAAAATTCGATCACGCTTCCTCCCTTCAACCATGGAGAACTCGAGAAGGCAAGGAAAATTCATGTCTCCGCCGCCACCCAAACGCCTCTCTCTTCCCTCTGATACAGATCTCAAATTGAAAGATTTGCTTTCTCTTGAATGATATGCATCCCTGGGACGTTGTCTCCGCCAACACCAATCATCATCGACAGGGGTCAGCCACTTTGGCCAAGGGGTGGCATACACTATTCCAGATATAGCTAGCTCGCAAGTTCGTGTTCAACACGACCTGAGCAAGAAGCAACGTCAAGCCACAGCACGATTCAGGGCAGACAAGGCAACTAAGATCCCACGCGATGTTTGACAACCATCTGATGCTTGGGAATCTGAAGCCATCATTTTCCTCTGACTCTTCTGGCCCCTGCATTGCCGGGATCTTTTCTTATTCCCCTAAATATAAAGAGCGAAGACAAGGCTGGGGGTGGTTGGCGCGTAACGCGTCCTCCTCCCGGATAAGATATTCGAAGCCCCGTCTAGGCCAAACAAGTTTTCTTTGGCTGTGTCGTGTCCATTGAAGAAGCACCACCCCTCATATTATGTCCTAATCGTTATGCTGCATTTCGGGTTGTTAACAATCACACGTAGATATAAGGAGTTTATGAGATTGTTCCCTTCCTCGGGTGGAGCTGACTTCCCCAGTACTTCCTCTCTCACGTTCGATCGTGGACCTCTAGTCTTAGGGCTAGCTTGAAGAAGTCGAAGAGAAGGCTTCCCAAGTCTTCCTGCGTGTCTCACGAGAATATCCGAGCTCAGCTGATCCAGAAGATCCCGACTGGCGGGGACTGTCCGGCAAGTTTGGGGCACGCAAGCCGCGTCCAGCCGTCACCAGGAAAGACGTGAGGCTTGGGATGTACCGGGCTACTTATTGGTGGCGCTGTGTTTGGCTTCTTCTTTTTCCTTTTTTACCCTTATTTTAGCTCTGGAAGTGGTGTAAAGAGCGGCTATCCTCGTCTTCGTGCCTGTCTGGCTATACGTCAATACATTAAGTAGTGCACACACAGGAGATGAACCCCGAAATAGTGCTTGTTTTTATATATTAGCGCCTTGGTCGGCAAATACAACGGGACTCTGGGGATGTGATAGCCACTACTTGAGAGCAAGGTGGATCGGCAACAACTGCAAGTGGGTATTATTAAGGCAAGGTCGTGTCACGGCCATATCCGATTTCGATAGGGGAGGAAAAAGGAAACATGACGACAAGAACATGAAGAAGAAGAAAGAGGAGGAGGAGGAGGAGCGCAAGGAAAAAAATGAATAAAGAGAGGCTAGCAAATATGGCACCCATACGAGCCCGCCGTGTTTAGGCCTGAAGGACTAACAGGCCGAAACACCTAAACAACCAACCGCCGGCAGGCGCTAATTGCGTTACAAGTCACGACTGGACCATGTTGCTTTTCCTTTAATCCAACCTGGCATATCGATCTACCTTCTTGTACCTCACCACCTCGGCACCGTCCTCGTCGATTGTCCTCTCGGCGATGATGCGATATCCGCCAATCTTGGGCCAAATCTTAGTCCAGCCAACCCAGTACGCGACGCCCAGCAGAAGCACGCCCCATCCGACAACGGGGAAGACGTAATACGGGTATCCCTCGGCGTTCCAGTCGGTATTCGGAGGAATGAACGGCACGAGGGTGAGGAAGACGTTGCTCAGGATAAAGAGGATGATGATGGGGAGGTAAGTGTGCCAAGGCGAGGTCCAGTTCTCGGATTTCTTGTAGTGGAGCCACAATAGGCCCAGGGGCACGAAGATGTTTATGATGGCCCCGGGATACGTGTAGAGATCGACAATGAAGTTGTAGGCTGGTCCAGGAGGGGGGCCAGAAGCACGATGATGGTGACGAGCCAATGGAGGAAGAGCTGTCATTGATTAGCAATGTTTCAAACTTGGAAGCAAAAAGAAAAGGAAATTTTGCAAGACATGAGGACAAGGATAAATAAGAATATGAATGACAAGACAGAAGTTTGTGTTCATGAAGAAAGAAAATATAAAAGGTTTGTGATGTGTCACAAAAAGAAAAGAAAGAAAAAAACAAGGGCGAAAGAAGCAAGGCACTTACTGATGCTGCTGGGGCGTTGAAGGGCTTGTTCGAAGCCCAGAATTTGCTCGCAGGCAGCAGACCCTCCTTGCCCAACTCCTGATTAAGACGAGCATGCGCGAAACTCACGGCCAACACATTTCCGAGGTTGCTCAGGGAAACAAACACCGGGAGGGTCCTGGCCCCGGCGCTATCTCCAAACATGTTTGTGAAGAACAGGCCGGCAACGATGACGTCGGACTCCACGAGAGCATCCTTGGGAATCGCGGCAAAGTAGGCAATGTTGGCGAGGACGTACAAGACGGTCGCCAAACCGATGGCGAGCGGGGCGGCAATGGCCAGGGTGCGACGGGGGTTCTTCACCTCGGAGAGGACGTAATTTGCATTCTCCCACCCCTTGTAGCTGTAAATGATGCGCAACAGCGCGGTGGCGTAGGCGTACACGCCACCGCCCCCACCGATCCGCGTCGGAGAGGTCAAACGCGTTCTTGAAGTTTTCCGGGTCGGGCACGCGGCGGTGGCCGGCGAGGGCGGCGAAACCGGAAAAGACGATGAAGAGGAGCACGACGACTTTGAAGACGCCGAGGACGTTGAGCAGGCGGATACCCCATTTCGGGGCGACGGAGTGCAGGACGACGGCGAACGTCACGCAGGCGACGCCGATGCCGCGGGCTTGGTAGGTATCGCCGGCGCGGACGCCGGCCGCGTAGAGCACGTAGCGTCCGAAGGCGAGGGAGTTGCCAGAGGAAAAGCCGAGGAGGAGCATCTGGGCTGCGAGGACGCAGGTGGCGAGGTAGCGGGGGCGGCGGTAGACGCGCTCGAGGTAGTTCTTCTCACCGCCGGAGCGGGGATCGCGAGGCCGAATTCGAGGTAGACGCTGAGACCGGCGAAGGTTATGATTCCGCCTGGTAAGTGGGAGTGATTGTTAGCATCGTGACATTTGCATTCCCTGCCGTTTTGTCTCTGCAATCAATTCCCTTCACCATGCCCGATACCTCTCCCACAAATTGATTCGATTGTTTATATCGCATCAAAATCGTAAAAAGAGATAACTTACCAATGACCCAGAGAATTAAGCTTACGCCCACGGAACCGGTGGCGGCAAATATGCCGGATGGTGTGGAGAAAACTACCGAAGAGGGGTTAGCTGGCTTCGCTAGCTCCCTGTCTCGAACCCCCATCCATTGACGCTCCGCACCGCGCCGACGACAAGATACCGGCCCCCGTCTGTTTCACGGGGTCCGCTTTACGGTGAAACAAAGCTTACTTCCTGTTCCGATCATCTTATTCAAAATGAGGAATACCGAGCCGGTGATACCAATCTTTCGCGAGTCCGCGTACGCGTAGTGAATATCGCCAACCTGCTCCGAGTGCGAATCGCCGTGGTTGGCGGCGGCGACGTCACCTCCCGCCTTCGGGTCAGGCGACTTCTTGCCATCGCTGTCGGCCATGCTGAAGAGTTTCCAATGTTTTCCCACGGGTGTAGACTTGCTCTTTTTCACGCTGCCGGGTTGTCGGACTGCTGGGACGCGTCGTCAAGGATTGTTTCTCGTGCAGTCGCGATGGAAGAGCCACAGCCAAGGTGAGATGGGCCTTTTCGCAGAGGAAGCGAGTGGGTGCGAGAAATTTTTAGAAAGACACATGTTGGAGAGAGCCTTTGAGACTTTTATTACAGACTGATGGGACCGAAAAAAATTTAAATACAAGAAAAGTCGTCTTTGAGGGTTTCCCCCACAATCACCTGCCCACATGCTTGGGGCATATGCAATATCTTCCTCATGTGCACTGTCCCCGCTTCCCTCACATTAATGGGTTGTCAATTATGGTTATTTTTCATTCATTCTTACTCGTCGCCTCGGCGGATTGCCGGGCGCTCTTGCATCTTCGACATCAGGGTCCCGAATAACGTCATTATCCAGGCTTGGCCCTGCCAGAAGGATGGAACGAGACGAGAAAGTAAGACGGATCAAATATCGGTAGCATTCTTGATGGCCTTGAAAAGGAAGGCTTCTCGACCGGTTTTGTCTTTCTCTTTTGTAAAAAAACACGACCTTAGTCTGCTTGGGGGATCTTCGCATCGCCATCATTGGGTATTGCGTGGGCGCAAGTGGATAGAAGGCCGTATCCGCACTGGAAGGATCGAATCCCGTGAAATGCCGCCATCGCTGCCCAGAATTTCACCAGTCGTTGGCGATCCCTCAAAAGCGGGCGGCAGACTTGCAGGACGGCACCTTCCTTGTCCGGAAGGTGGCCCCGCTCCCAGCACCGCGTGTTTCCCTAAAAGCTCAGTCGACAAAAGGGCAGCCTCTTGCCACTTTCGTTAACCGCATGGAAAGAACGAACAACAAGCAGCTGCCAATTTTACAGTTTCTTCTCCTTCCTCTGTGGAATGTTGGTTATATGGGGTGACTCTTCACCTATCCATAGATGTCGGTAGGCCATTCCGTCAGTCGTCCCAATTTCGACCTTATTTGATTAGCCGAGGTGCGTTGTGTGTGTGTGTGTGTGTGTGTGGAACTGGCCATGATCCCACGAAAACTTTCCGAGGATCGCGCCTGGCGAGGTTACACTCCGAAGAACGTGACCCAAATACGACCACGATACTACCACTCCTTGCTTGTCCCAACCCGAAGGCCTCCATTGGGTATAGAATGCTTATTCTAAGCACGATGGAGACTCTCCGCGAAGTTCATTGCCGCTTACTCAATCCACGAACGAGGACTGGCCTTCTTACGTATTACGAGTGCCGTTTCTTCGGATGGCTACATCCAGATCCTAGGAGAAGGATGATATTTGTGAATGGAGATAAGGATATCTGTAGTCAGGCTAGGAGACCTAATATCTAGTATCGTCGGTATGAAGGGTATCATAGGCGTCGACGTAAGTTCGTTTCAAGGAAAAGGGTACTAGTCGTGTCAAGCTTGGGAGATTATGCCCTAGGATTGATAAAACCGAATGCTCCTCAAATCCTTCGATATGGTGTTCCGGGTAAGCCATAGACCAGGCGCCTTCGTTATCCGGAGTTGACAACCCAATCTACGTTGGCTTTCATGAGCTGGGATCATAGGAGCTCAGGTCTAGACGTTGTGAAATTTATAATGGAAAATTGTGGTGGTTAGCTCTTGTCTTGCATCATTGATGTTCAGCTAGACGATGTGACTGATTCTATGTAGGATATCGTACCCTGGTAGAGGCTGGCCATGGTCCCAGTGATGATAGTTAGCTCCAAACTATTAGCACTTCCTCTCGCCACCTCTGAGGCTACCACTGGGAACATGTGACTCCAGCTCAGGCAGAATTGAGAAGGTATATACAGTTTGAGGGCATAGGCTTGAGTTGCGACTCATCACGGCCATACCAGGCACCAATCTACCTACCCTAGATTTCGATGGGGCACTACGCTTATTTCTAGGGAACACCTATAGTGTAATCAGCGTTTCCCAGTGATATAGACTGACCATTCTCGGCAAAAGCCAATCAAGTTTATGCTTCGCTACCCTTTGATATTCCCCTTGGCACAAACACGTTTTCAGGCGTGAGAGTTGAGAATGGCACCATGTGTGAGTTACCCGTACGCTCGAACAGCGACATGGACAACATATTCATGGGGCCTTTCAAAATCTAGCTTTCAGCCTCGTCCTTGATGCTGAGGGGTCGAGTGTGGACTTGTTTGACGTGACCACAGCCTTGCGGACAGACATCGGGATACCGGGGCTGCAGCTCCGTCGTTCGCCACATGGTTTTTCCCGGCAATCTTTACCCTGTAGACCTGCATCTCATCATCCGATTCTTCCCGGCTCTTGGCACTTCCTTCAGCCCTCATTGCTCTTCGCCCCAGACCGCGCGGTGAGTCTATTAATATCTAGACATGTGCATCCTCCATCCATATCCATCGACCTCGAACAAAGTAAAGGGCTCATAGCTGGTAACAGGAGGGTTTTAACCTCGCAAATGGAGGGTTGACCCTGTTTTCTTTTTCTTTTCCTCTTTTTCTTCTCTTTTGTTTTCGAAGCTTAGCTCCCACATGGACGGAGTACGGCAAAATGTCCTGCTGTCCCGGCAATTTTGCCACTCCCTCTGTTGCCCTAAACGTGGCATGGTGTGATGGAGCTTCCGGATGGCACCTAGATGCGGTTGAGAATTTAGGCGATGTGCGCCGGTCCAAAATTATCTTGGTGCCGTAACTGGACCTGGCCCACACAGAGTGGTGCAAGCGGCGAGAGTGAGCCGGCCGAGTATCTGGTTTAGCTCAAAGCCTAGTGCGGACGGCCGGCCGGTGTGGGTAGCGACATGCACGTCTCGGTATCTCAACAGGGTGTCGTTGAACTGTCACTCAAAGATAGCATCCACACGGCTTGCGTGTGGGTCAATCTAAGCCTATATCTGCCTGTGCTATACACCCGGCTTCCGGCTTCACGGGAGGTCCACATTCACGGCCGCGAACGCTAGTTTAGTGGAGTCGACAATTAGGGTCTTATCAGAGAGATTTTGTTTGCTCTCTTCCTCGCTGGCAGGAGGAAGTTCTGTTTTCTTTGGTTGATCTTATACTTCCTCCACAATTTATTCTTTTTCTTCTTCTTTTTCTTTTGGCTTGATATCAGAAATACTTAAAGTCCCCGTGGGTGGTGAGTGTTCAGATCGCAGTTGACCTATTTTCTTCATCACTCCTTGATGTGGTGTGGGATAGCGGTGGTGTCTGCTCACCCTATTAAATTTAGCCTAAGATCGTGGAGAGAAGTCGAGGTGCGGCCTCAGGGAGTGCGGCGAACGTGCATCTCGCTCCATGCTGAAATCGAGTTCGTTCAGCCGAAGCTCACTAGTTCAAAAGACCTCTGGTGGTGAACGGATTGCGAAAGTTCGGACGCTAGGTTTATGCCTGACATCAATTGGCAATATGGACTCTATACATTCGGGCATTGCAGCGGCGATGGTGTGATGAGGCGTTGTGTGCCAAAGCCCGGACCGACGCTTCAATGTGTTGCGGACGGGAAAGCGTGGACGCGGCTCAAAAGAATTTAGGCATTCGAGGGCTGAAAGCAAGTAAGATTATCAACAACGCTTTTCCTTTGATTGATCCCATTGTTAGGGAAACGAAGAGAAAAATTAAACAGAAAAAATATCTCAGCCATCCATTAGCATTGTTCGTGCGAGCTATCGTGGTCCCTGGCCAAGACCTGGATAATTTGCTCTTCCGCAAGGCAAGAGGACCCCTCGAAATCAGCTTCCTGGCGAGCCGACCGTACAAGGAGGATTGGACTAGGCATTGAGAGTGGATAATGGCCTCGAGCACTTGGTGGAATGAGTAGATGTATTGATGCCTTGTTTAGGCGAGGTTCGCACATTGTTTGGGTCATGGAGAAAGGAGGTGGGAAGGAACATAGCAAACATAGCAAGGCGATATTGTCGCTAGACTCCCAGGAACGCTGCCAAGCAGCGCGCCCTTAAAGCGTCGTAGCAGCCCCCACGCGTCTTCTTGAAGAAAACCAGATTCTCCATGGAAGGATCGCCGCCACCAAAATGAACCATGGGCCAACATAAGGAGGCTTGATCCTCGCCAACGTGAATGTGATCCATGATCATGCGTGAGATGCATGCGCCGCTGCATGGTGCTCACTCATCCACCTCAACTCTCGGCGTTCCTGCGTGCGTGGAGGACCGGGCGTGACGATGCTCTTGTCTCCTTGTCATTTCCATCACGTTTTGTGGCGGTGGGTAGAGCGGGTGGGCAGGGCTATGCTGTGCTCCCGGTGAGCCAATGCAGGGTTCTTGACCTGGGCTTTTGGGACGGGAGCAGGGACCTGGGTGCCAGCAGGATCGCAGATCTTTGGGCCAAACGCCGACAGATGATCTTGCGGAGTCACGGTGGAGTCTCTGCTCCGGAATGGCCTACCAGGAGAACATATTGTCCCTGTATCCAAACAAAGGGGATGGGTGCCTACTTCGTCGGTCATATTTGCTGGAAGGGATCCGGTCACAACAGAATCCCCGAATCTTGGCTGTGAACGTGAAGCGAGAGGGGCCACGGGCCCAATACCTGTTTGGCAGGCGACGCGGAATTGGGACGTTGGCACTAGCGATAACAACGTTGGCACCATCCCTGCTTGCCATCAATTGATGACCCACAATCAACATCAGCACAATCACCCCTTACTCATACCCGCCATGGCCGGATCCAGGCCATGTGAAGGAAAGGGTGTAAAGTTCAAGGACGAGAGAAACCAACAGGAAGGAAAGATAAAGGCGAAGAAAGCATTCCTTCCAGCGGAAAAGCTTGGAGTGGATGGAGTTGAAAAAAATTAACGATACAATCCTGCAGCTTCAAGAACAGAAGATTAGGGGACGCATATTCCGAGCCGAGAAATAAAGAAGAAAAACAAAAATAAAACAAAATCGGTACCTGCATCCCGCGGCACGACCTCGCAAGACCGAGCTACCCAGATATGCGGGATAGAGAGCGAGTACAAGTAGACCTTGCCGATTTACCGCCGCAGTGTACATCGCTTTTCACTTCATCGGCCAACTTGGAGTAACACGCACACGGGACGGGGTTTCAGGTTGTGTCTACCATGTCATTTTTGCCGCCATGGCCGTGCCGGGTTATCTTCTTTTTGTTCCCAATTCGTCACTATCACTTCAAGGTTGATTGAAATCCTTTTTCGTATCGCGGTCCTTTGATGTTCCCGGCACCGAGTCCCCTCTGCACACCCCCTGTTCCTCTTGGGTACGTAGATAGTTGGGATGGAAGCTCGGTCTCTGTCCCGCTGCCTGTTTTATTTTGGTCCCCATGCTATAATATAGGCCCGCCACCGAGATGCCCATGCGGCTCCCTGGTATTCTGCACCTCCCCAACCAAAAGTCGAGCTGAGCTACTTGATATACCTAATATAGGAACGCTGGCCCGGTTTCCCTCCCTTTTTTATGGTGCCGGGAAAGCCAACAGCCCGGCCCTCGGTGTTGCGTACGTACGCACTGAGTATGTTGAGGCGGGAGCGAGAGACGAGATGAAGTGGACGTGACGCCGATTCGTAGCTAGAGCCGTACTACCGGCAAAGGCTCGCCGCCCCCTACAGACGGTTCATTTACACCAAAGGTAGTGAAAAACAGGCTGGCTTACCGAGTTCCTCCTCTATGCAACCTGGTCTGTCTTTCGTTCCCCGGATAGGTCTCCAAGACCATTCTTTTCTTGGCGTCACCCTCCCCCTTGGAAGCTAGCCCGGATCAATCGGTTGATGATGCTCGAATTTCCTCAGCCCGGCATCAAGTTTAATTTCACCATCCTGCCCCAGTCTGACCACCGCGGTCCCAGCACGCCGTGTGATGCCCATTGTCGTGAGTAAGCCGCCCCTCCTTGGTGTCCTGCCTGACCCCCGGGTGCTAGTGTGGCACCCCCGCGCGGCGGACCCCGGCTTGTTCCATGCCTTCCTTCCACGCGAGTCGTCCCAACCCAGCCGATCTCCTCCTCAACCGGACCCATGATTTTTGGTGCTCCAGGTGTGGCGTGGCGAGCCGAACACGGCTCAGAATACGACTTTACGGGCATATGCGGCCGCAGTTCTGTCAGCGAAACTTATGCGTGCGCCGCTGTCCAAAAGTTGATACCCTTTTTTGCTCACTAGTTCGCCGGGGAGGGCTATCGGGCATTTCTATAGCACTTTTTTCGAGGGGCCCGGGAGAGGATGAAAATAGAAATTTCGTCTCGGTCAAGAGAGGGCGGGCCCGGGCCTTTGATACAAAAGCAGCTTGCCACCCACTCGAGCTAGACACCATCACACAGCGACACCACCCAGCGGAGAATTTTCATCAGCCTTCTTTGTGTGGGACGCGGGTTTCAGCGAGTACTAGTAGACTCAAGGCAGATAGCCGAAGATCCAGCGTGTTTCCCTACCTGTTCTTTCGTTTAGTGCTTTTGTCATTCGTTTTTCCCCACCTAATTTTCGTCAAAATGCTCTTCTCTGCTGTCCTTCTTTCCCTTCTTGGGACCACATTCGCTACAGCTTCTCATCGTCGAGCGACCAATGATCACAAAATACCCGACCGTTTCATCATTAGGGTGTCCGAGGTACTATCTCTTTCTCATCCATGCCCCGGGACAAAAACCTATGCTACACCCTGGCATGTTCAGCACGCATAAAACTAACTCTTCGAATAGGAGACGGATTTGGATACACTAGAGTCAGAGATCCTGTCAAGGCCTGGCGCTACCATATTCAAGCGTTTTGAGCATCAGTTTTTCAAAGGCCTCAGTGTTGTGTCCCGCGATGAGAGCATTGCCTCCCTCCTTGAAATTGCTGGTGTAGACCAGGCCTGGCAGGCGGGAAATGTGATACTCGACATCCCGGAGGTCAGCACGACCCTCAAGGCCGCGCAGGACCAACCAGAGGGCGAGGATGTTCCTTCGGCATCTACTTATGATCTCCACCACTTCACTGGCGTCGACAAGGTTCACTCCGGAGGCATCCTTGGCGAGGGCGTCAAGGTGGCCGTCATCGACACGGGCATTTTCTATAAACACCCCGCCCTTGGTGGTGGCTACGGCCCCGGCTTCAAGGTTGCCGGAGGCTACGATCTCGTTGGAGGTGGTTATCCTACGGCGCCGATTAACCCCGACAACGACCCCTACCCCGAGACGAGAGATCCCGAGTTGTACCAGAACGACCACGGAACCCATGTAGCCGGTATTATTGCCGGAAAATCCGATTGGTAAGTCACTTCCCCTCCCCTCCCGCTCCCTCCCGCTCCAACTTTTGCCTCGAGCCAAGGACTTACACCCAATTCTAGGTTCACCGGCGTTGCTCCCGAAGCTACCTTGCTATCGTACAAAGTCTTCGGACACACCAACGTCGGCGACGAAGAAGTCTTCATCGACGCGTTCCTCAAGGCGTACGACGACGGCGCCGACATCATTTCCGCCAGCATCGGCTCGCCCGGCGGATTCAGCGACAATGCGTGGGCCACCGTCGCATCCACGCTCGTAGACCAAGGCATGGTCGTCATCGTCGCTGCGGGAAATAGCGGCCGCAGTGGGCCGTTCCTCACGGATACCGGCGCGTCCGGCAAAAACGTGATTGCCGTCGCCGCCATCGAAGCACCCCACAAGCCCGGCGACTTCCACGTCACCACCAAGTTCCCCAACGGCTCCGGCGGCACCAAGGACGTCATCATGCCCATGATGACCAACTCCGACCCGGCGGCCTTTGCCCAAGCCAACGGTCTCCCCATCTGGTCCCTCGGGCGGGGCTTCACCGCCTGCGACGAGCTCCCCTCTGACGTCCCCAACCTCGGGTCCTCCGTCGTTCTTGTGTCTCAGGCGGACTGCCCTTACGGCACCAAGGTCAAGAACCTCGTCGCCAAGAACGCCCAATACATCCTCTTCTACAACGACAACAAGGTCCTCCAGCCCCCATCGAGCTGTACCCGGGGGTCGAGCAGCCCTTCTACTCAGGCATCATCGAACAGAGCGCCGGTGAGGCCATCTACCGCGTCCTGGACACAAACGGCACCGTGACCGTGGAGATCTCGCAGCGCCACATGGAGCACCCCTCAACCTCGTGGATCCCAACGGCGGCAAGCCCACCCACTTCACCAACTGGGGCACCCTGTACGACCTCGACGTGAAGCCTTCCGTCGCCGCCTACGGCGGTCACATCTGGAGCACCGCGTTTGACTGGCCGGGACAGGGCGACTTCGTCCCCAACTGGAAGTGTTTCGGCGGCACCTCGTTCGCCACCCCTTATGTTGCTGGTATCGCTGCTCTCTGGATCAGCCGCTACGGCGGCCGCAGCGTCCACGGTCCCGGTTTCGCCAAGGAGCTCGCCAACCGCATCATCTCGAGCGGCCGCACCGTCAGCTGGGGTCTCCCCGTCCAGGACGACGACGCGCCGAACCCGCACGTCCCACCCGCTACCGCGCTCGCTCCGGTTTCGCAAATCGGCTCCGGCTTGATCGACGCCTGGAAGATCCTCACCTACACGACCTCTCTCAACTTCGAGGCCTTTGCCCTGAACGATACGGCCCACTTTAGGCCCAAGCACTCGATCCAGATCAAGAACGGCGCCCAGGAGGCGGTCACCTATTCCTTTGGCCACCAGCCCCTGACCGCCTACGAGGCGAGAGGTCCCCAGGCCCTCTTCATCGCCGCCTACAACCAGCTCAAGACGATTGATCTCGAGGCCGAGGTGGCGCTGCCGGGAGAGATTACCCTTGGGGCTGGTGAAACCGCTACAGTTGAGTAAGTACACTTCGGTCCCATAGCGAAGAAGAAAGAGCCGTGTGACGAAAGGCAGTGGCTAACAAGGAGAATAGATTTACCTTTACTCGACCCGTTTATGCGGATGAGTTCAAGATGCCTTGCTACAGCGGAAAGGTCCTCGTCAAGAGTAGTGTGGATGAGGAACTCGCGGTGCCATATTTCGGTATGTTACCAAGACGTTATCGCCCTGCGAGGCGGAGAATCAGTAGGCTAACATAGAATTTCAGGTGTCGCATTCGATCTCAAGGAACAGTTCCCGCTCATGCTCGTCCCTGGCACTCCCACCGTAGAGTCGCTAGGTGCAATCTCCAACTACACGTTTGAATGGTTCGACAAGACATACACTACCCCTCAACTCGCCGTTGAGCTGCTCTACGGAACGAGAGAGCTCCGGTTCGACGTAAGTTCCAACCTGCTTTTGCGCGATGTGTTCTTTTCGGGCGCTAACACGAGATTTCTCCCTCCAAATAGTTCTTCGAAGACGGCTGGACTGAGAGCAATTGGGTCTACCCGCCCGTGGTCGGCCAAAATGGTTACATCGGCTCGGCGCTTGACAACTGGGAGGTTCTCACCCGTCAAACTCCTACCCATCGCTACAAGTTCCCCATGACCAACTACGCTCGCTCGCCCACCCGTGCCGTCGAGGACTTTACCTCGCGCTTCTTTTCTTGGCAGGGCGAGTTTACCGACGGCTCCTGGATCCAGCCTGGAACTTATAAAATTCGGGTGGCGGCTCTCCGACCCTTTGGTGACCCTTGCCAGACTGAGGACTGGGATGTTTGGAACGCCCCGCCCATGGTGGTTAAGTTTGCTGAGCCGATCGAGGAGGAGGAGCCATAGTGGTGAGACTCGAGATCCTATTATAAGAAAGACAGACGAGTCTCGACGCCACTAGCCCTTTCTTTTGTTGTTGAATTTTCTTTTTCCTTTTTCTTTGTTAGGCATTGCGAGGCGTTGTTGATGGGACTACATTACCACACGGTCAATCTGGTTTCTTTTGTTTAGATGGAACGAGACCGGACGGTTTCGAGCATATACTCACATATAAAAGTAATATATAATTATAAGTTCGGTATAAGCTTTTTGAATAGTGTGCGCGATGATATGTGCTGCGAGGATGACCGAATCGTCGAATGTGCGGATGGAGTGAGTCTCGGCCGAGATGGCAAAGTACATATACATCTAAATGCTTACTTGATGGTAGGACTACGAGCTTCCAATGTTTATACCGAGTGGAATAGGTACAAGGAAGACAATAACATCCGTATTTTTATCAGGCTAAACAGACAACAATTAGCCCTCTCATCCTCCACAAGGTCTAACAACTGCCTCACAAGAAAACAAACGGGTACATATCACAACGAAGGAACCTTTTACTAATTTGGTCGTTGATATGTATACATACCTATGCACATAGATATATACTTTAGTTACAAGTTGGTAGGTCGTAGCAAATGTCCTAACGAGCCAACGTGCTCTCCAGCAGTCTAAAATAGAGACATAAAATAAATGAAAACAAGAATAACCCGTGTTGAAGCTGTCAAGACATGAGGACGAAGAAGTGAAAAACTGATATGCTAACGAGCCCAAGTAAAGGGGCCGCGTAGGTGCGGACCAACAGAGATGCGAGGCGAGAGCAGCACAACTAGAAGGGGCACAAGCCAACCCATTCTCTTGGAGGGCGTGTATTTGGCTTTGTTCTTTTCTTTTGTCTTATCATGTTATCTTTCCGCCCCTCCCTCTCTCCCGACCAGCAAAGCCGTGCCATTCTCTACTCGTACACGTAGCAGAAGGGGCCGGGGCCGTCAACAGAGCTGAGGATGTCGCGGATGGGGTAGACAGTGTCGGCAATGACGCCGAGGTCGACGAGGTCATCGAGGGACTGGGCCCTGCCACCTCCCATCATGCTGGTGCCTCCTCCATGGCGCCCCTGCGGGTCTCGTAGTCCTGGGACTGCCAGATGGTCCAGATGCGGTCAATCATGGCGTGGTGGAGCCAGAAGGAAGGCTCGTTGGGGGAGATGTAGAAATCACCACCGGGGTCGCCGGAGACGGTGAAGTGGCCGACGCCGTGCACGCCGGTACCGCCCTGCATGAAGTTCTGGAAGGCAAGGATGTCGTTGTAGTTGACGATGCTGTTGACGATGTCCTCGGTCTTTCCGTAGGCCATGCTCAGCGAGTTGGTGATGTCGCGGCGGATGCAGCGGGGTTACTACCGTAGCCGTCGGCCTGGGGGTTGCGGGCCGGTGCGGGCCTGACGACGGCGGACATGGGGCCGAGGGTGACGACCATGCTGGAGGCGAGGGGTTAGCAGGCTTTTTCAAGATTAGGTGTCTCTATGATCGCGGCGCTTTGGTTTCTCCACAATGCAGAAGGAGAGCTAAGCGCAAACGCGAAAGAGCTTGTTCAGGGGGCAACTTACTCCTTGAAGGGACCGGTGGAAATGCAGCCACCGCCATCACCGCCGCCTCCGAAACCTCCGCCAAGGCCACCACCGAAACCACCGCCACCGCCGAACTGGCGGCCTTCCACGCGGCTGCGCTTGTTCTGGGTTACGGGGCGCCGTTTCCGCCAAGCGAAGTCTCGCTTCCGTCGAAGAGAGGCGAGGAAAGAGGATCCTCGGCCCAGCGGCCGTAGTCCCAGTACTATAGGTGCAAAAAAGCGTCGATTGTTAGTCAAGGTCAAGACGCAGAGTATGGGACATAGAGGTGCCTGATAGATATCAAGAGAGGGTGGGGAAATAGAAGGTATAACTTACGGGCTGGGTTCCTTCATAGCCACACTCGGTCCTCATGACGTTCTCCCAGGCCCACACGTAGTAGCGGTGCCACACGAGGAAGTTACCCTAATCAGAAGAGCAAAATAGTCAGCACATTGAACAGATACACCTCGTTCTCTCTTCTCGCCTCGGTTTTTTTTTTTCTCTCTTCCTCTTTCTTCCTTTCTTGTCTCCAGACTTTGAATAACTCCATGCTTCCCTTCTCCGCAACATTTATTTTCGGGGTCGCTCGATCAAGCCGGGGCTCAAAGACAAGGGGATAGAGACATACGGTTCCATGGATGGAGAGGGTCTGGTTCATGTGAACAACGACAAAGTCATCGTAGCGGTTCTTGGCGCCGGGGTAACGAGCGGGATCGAGCTTGGAGGGTGTGTTCAGGAGGCACAGCACTCCGTCGAGGTAAGCCTTGCGCTCGGTGGTGCTGATATCTCCCCTACATAGCTCACATTTACATGTTAGTGGTCACAAACTCGAAGAACGGCAAGGTCTAGGGAGGTTGCTATGGTATGAAAAGTTGAAGAAAGATGAAGTCGCGCAAGCAAGCAGGGAAAGAAAATATTGGATATTTGCGTCTTGAACCCGTGAAACATAGCCATATTCAAAGTCAAGTATAGGATAAGGAAGCGGAGGCTGGGAGGTTGTTTCACACGTACCACTCTCTGCGGACCTTGAGCTTGTCCTTGCTACACGTGGTAGAGCTCTCAATGACGGCGTCGAGGGCGGCACGGCCCTTGGTCTCTAGGTCATTGACAGCATCGGCCGCGACGAGGCCGGTCAGGCCGCGGCGGCGAGAGCCTTGAACAGACGCATTCTTCTGCTTTGGGTGGGCTCGTGCGTGGGGATCGGTTTTCTCCTTGTCCCGGGTTTCCTGATGGGTATGACGCGCGCCCGTGCAGATCACTCAGGATATTTCTGCGACGAAGTGGAAAGAGGGAACTTGACGAGGTGCACAGGACAAAGAGTAGAGGGGGAAGGAGGTGGAATGGGTGAGGGAGTATTGGTTCTTTTATAAAATCGGGCGCCCGAACAAGGTTTTGGGGATTTAGATGAGGACGGGAATTCAATGTACCACCCGTATACTAGCATGTCAGAGTTGCTTGCCAGTTTCTTTTTTTTTTTTTTTTTCGTTTTCTTTTTTCCCTTTTTCCCCGTCCTCTTTGTTGTGTGGTACGGGTATGGTTTGCGGATCTATTCGGGACGACCCCAGGTTTTTGCTCCATTTGGTGGATCAATGCAAATCCAATTTCTGGGAGAAAACACTGAGCTGTGCTCTCGTTGTTTTCTTTATTTTATTGTCTTTTTCCTTCATCCTTTCTCTTTCGTCCCACTGCGCTCCCTTTTTCTTCACACCTGTGCCCTGAATATCCATTATGGACTCGCTCAACATTTATCTTCCTGTGCCCAATGTGGGCTGTTTGTATTTTCCTTGATGTATAGTTTTGCTGTCCACGTAAAGTGTGGGACTGAAGGTACATATTGCCAGAGATCAAATTGATATTGCGAGGGGTGTAAGTCGCAAGAAAGACCCATCAAACCTTTTATCCTATCCTGTTCTGTTCCAGACACGCGCGGCGCGGGGAGAAGGGGGTGTGCGTGGGTGTGTCAATGTGGAGAAGAGGGAAGTGGATTCTCCGGGGAGCAAGACAGCCTCGTCGTGTGACGGAGACGAGATGAATTGAAGGCGGTTCAAAGCTCGAGGGAAAAGGGTTTGATAATTAGAAAAGGGAAAGGATTAATTGGTCCAGATGGACTTCGCGTTAAGATTTGTGTCCGGCCCGGATCCTCTTCCAGGCACAGCACGGTTGCTTTATGGATGGAGCCTTGAAGCCAAATTGATTGCACATGGCGAGAATACGGCCCTTGCGCTTTTTTCTCTCTTTTTTCCTCCTTCATTTTTCCTTGTCCCTTTTTCTCGGGGATTTCTTTCCTCTCTCCTCCTCTTTTCTTCTTTTCTTCTTCTTTTTTTCTTTCTTTTTTCTTTTTTTTTTCTTTTTTTTTTCTTTTTCTTTCCGTTTTCCTTTCTTCCACACTAGATCCCCCGGTGACTACATGTATGTCCGCGACGTGACAGTGGCCAGCAGCGCGGTTGCGGAGCGGGCGACCGGTGACCGTTCCGCTTGTCCAGCTCCGCTGTGCAACCAAACGGGGCTTGCCGAAATTCGTTTCATGCTTCCTCTTGCGGTCAGAAATCGAGATTGACCAGACCAATTGAGCTACCAACAAAAGATTCACCAAGATCTTCTTTCAACCAGTACCAAAAGATACCAACTTCATCGCAGGCCCATGGGAGGTTGAAGGGGCGACTGTGTGGGAACTCAGCCAACTCATACACCAGGGCCAGGAGTGAAGGAGGCTGGGGGCAGTTCAGCAACCAGCAAAATGAGTCTGTCACCCATGATCTCGGGTGAAGATGCGCTTGCGCACAGCGAGGGCGCTCGCCGTGTGTTTCTGCGTCACAGCCAATTCTTTTGTGCTAGTGGTGTGCTGTCAGCCCGACATATAGAGGCAGAGTTCAGTACACACGTACGCTTTTTGCATTGCTCTCCAATAATCGACTGTCTTCGAGTGAGCTGTTTGTCTGGGTCGGCTAACACCTGCCATATCACCTCGACCCGCTGTCGCCTGTCCGCGTTATAGAAAGGGGGTAAAAGAAAGCGAGGTAGTGGAAACGAGAAAGTGAGGAGCATAGGAGGACAGAAAAAAAGAAGAAAAAGGAAAAAGAAAAAGAAAAAAAAGAGAGACCAGAAAACAACTGGAAGATGTTCAAATGGGGAAAGATCAGACTATCTCTCCAACCATTCCAGCACATTGGGTTCTGCGGGGTAACTTGGAGGGGGTCAGCAAACCACCATTCGCTTCGCCGAAAGAGAAAAAAAAAGAAAAGGAACCATCATCTGTACATAGCTCTATGGATGTATTGATTTGACCGTTGCATTGGGCTGGCCTGGGATCTTCATCGCTTCCCAAGTAATGAGCGGTCCACGTTCTCACCAACCGCGCTCCAGATAATACATCCATACATAGCCGTGGCGTGCGACCAGAAAAAGAAAAGAAAAACAGAAAGGGCCCCTGTTAATAAACAATTGAGTGTCCTCCTCCTTGCCTTCCCCCAAACACCTTTGCTCGTTTCCCGGCTGAATGAGCCTAGCTTACGCGGCCGGTTCGCACACACTTAATAACTAGAGTGGCCGTCCTCTGTTCCCACCGTCTTTGGCTTTTATTCCTTCCGAACAGCCGAGAAGATGTGCCATGCTGCTATAGATGCATGGCGAAAAACGAGCAGAGAGAAGAAGAGAAAAAAAAAAAAAGGAGCGGATGAAACAAAGCCATGGGCATGTGTGTGGCTCTGCGAGGCGAGCCCGGAAGTTCCCTACCCAGTTCCTTCTTGGATGTTTGACTGGCCCACTTTTCTTTTCTTGCCTAGTTCCTTCCCCTTCTTTTTTTTTTTCTTTTCTTTTTCCCTTCTTTTTCTTTGGTCTTTCCTCCCCATATTCCCTACTTGTCACCCCTCTGCTGTGCCTCCGCTGGACACACAATGGACCAAACGTAGGCCCGCGATTGAAAATTGCCCGTGAGGACGATCCGCGCTGAGAGGTGGGTCTTAGATTGCTAAAGCGCTGTCAGCAGCCCTTAGATATTAAGCTTAATCTCCGCCGTGTGTTTCGGGTGTCTTTACCGCCCGCAGCGCCCTCGCAGGGCATAGGAGCTAGCATAGCACATGTAGATGCGCCGCTGGCCATGTCACCTCCTTCCCTTGCTGTGGTCGCTCAACTCGGCCAGAGCCACGAGTTGCTCTTTCCGGAGTGCGGAATTGGAAAGAGCAACCATCTGTCTCCTTACAACTTCGCGCGGTGGGAGGAACCAACGGCAAAGGGAAGAGGATGAAGATAAGGAGCCCAGATATCCGAGGCAGGTGTTGTGTCCTTCCTTTGATTATCGTAGTGCTAGTTCAGCGTACCTCTTGTCCATCCCTTGCCCTGCGCAGTAACAAAGAAATTTGCGCCGCCGATGCGCCAGAATGGTTGAGGGGTTCAATTTTTGCCCCCTTTGCCACGAGTCATCTCATCTATCGACCGTGGGCACCCTCCACTCGCTTTGGGGTTGGAGATCCATCTCGAACCACCGCGGAATGGACGGCCCCTCCATATCTGAAGCCAGCCGACTGCGACTGTTGAGGGAACCTTTTGTCCTTTCCCAATCTTCCGCCCTGAACCCTGAGCCGGGAACGGGCGACCGCCATGAGCCTACGGGAATTTTGACCGATAATAGCCCATTTCGAGCCCGTCAACCCCAGTCCATTCATCCCTCTGATCGGCCGGCCACCAACACCCCCTCCTTTCGAACGAAGCAGCTACCCGGAGGGTTTGCCGGCGATCCCCTTCTCCCACTAGAGGGGTTGGCCACGCGAGGAGATGCCAGAGAAAAGAGAACCAAAAAAATAAGACGAAAAGAAAAAGGGGGAGAAGCCCGCTCTCCAAATGCCAAGTCTTTTACCCGCCCCATCCTTCACTTATCCTGAATTCGCAGATTGACACAAACCCTTCTTCCCATACACACCTCAACTTCTGGACCTTCATCGCCATTTTTATGACGAGCCAATCGATTGACTCGCATTTGATGGCATCTCTTTCAAAGAGCGTACCTTCGAGCGAGAAGGTAATGGTTCCCGGCGTTATCGTATTCTTTCCCCCATCGGACCTTTGCAGTCTCGTGGCCCAACCTTACTCACATCCACCCCCGGTCTGCTGTCCGACAGCTTCCCCCTCCTCTGCGTGCCTTTCTCTTCCATAATCTACTATGATGCACCTGGTGTTTTAGCACTGTCAATATGCAGGTTGCGCGGCCAACCCACCTCTTCTTAACCTAAATTCGCCTTGGGCGTTTCGTCCATAGGCGTGCGTACGTGCGAGAAATCTCATGTGCGACTGACCCAGGCGTTAACCACTGTGGAAAGTCTACGAAACCTATCGTACGGCGTGCCTGAGTAGGGTAATAGCGTCCTTAATATTTCCTGGTGCTGCGTTGTCTTTTGTTTTTTGCTTTTCCTTTCTAGTTGCATGTGTCTATGTGTGCAGTCAAGCAAATCGAGGGCCTCAGTCAAAACCTTGATCAAGTTCTCCTAAGCTAATCGCCCGAGCCTCCGATGCGTGGGCTTTATGATCCGCTTCGGTCCTCCGCCTTTGCCGGAAGACGAGGCTCCACTTTGCTCGGAAAGCCCAACCTACCGAGATTGCTGACAGGTGCGCAACGTCCCGATATGGGTGAAGCTAGGATACCTAAATCAAAGGCGAGTGCGCCGAAAACACGAGTAAGCAGACTAAGGTGTTGGAGATCAGAAGAGGAGGTTAAAACACCATGGGGACACCTTAGCTCTCCCTCCACGCTCTGATGACCCTTTATTTCGAGCCGCGCCCGCCTGTGCGCCATCGTCGCCCAGAGGCATACCTTGGCAGGGACGTGGGTTCCGTCACACAAGAAAGGCCAGACACCGGCCGACTTCAGATGTAGTCGTTAAGAGGGGCTTGCTTTCCGACTTTTCCCCACGTGCAGCCAAGAGACATGGATCGCCCCATGCCAAACACGGTGTTGGCGCTGTGTGTGTGTCACCGCGAAGAGCGTATAGGAAGACTTCGGCAACGGCAGCCCGGATGTCCCTCCCACCGGGTCCACTCCTTCCCCAGACGACTTACCTATGCCCCGGAGTCTAGATGCGGCAATGTGCGAGCACTCACTACCACACTTCGCCATGCCTTGGTTGGAAGGGTGTTCATTTTAGTAAGAACGTCTTGGGGAGCACTTTTCTTTTCCTTTTCTTTTTCTTTGCTGTTCGTTATCAAAAACGGAAAGGGAAAGAGGATCAAGATGAAAGGCTCCTAACACAAAGCCAACGCTTTGGGGCCCTTCAGCGATACTGAAAGCTTGAAGCCCGCTGCTATTACGAAAGGGGGATGAAAATATATCTAGAGTCATCGAAGTTCGCAACTTTCCATGCTGGCGCAACCCAGGCAAGCCTACGTGTGCACTTTGGGTCTGGATAGGCCTAAATGAACTTGCGTCTCTCGCCATTTCCTTGTTCCAGCCATGTGGGGTGATTACCGACCTTGCGGAGCTTTTTTATTTTGCGAGAATACAGTGCTTCTCGGCCGGACAGAGGAGGGGAAAAATGGGGGCAGAAAAAGAACGAGAGACGAGAGATAGATAGTAAAAGCATGCATCTCGTACTGAGCCTTGTCACTCAATACAAGATATATATCTTGGTGCTATAAGAGGCCCTCTGTGTGCGCGACCGATATCCAGCAAACCTATTTACCCGGCACTTGTGCATCCCTTCCCCCTCGCTCTACCGTTGGCCATCCTTTCTCACCCTCTTGATCTCTTTCCCGGGCGATATTTACCAGGGCATCGCGCTCTTGGCACCGCCTCCCCACCACTTGGGGCAAGGAGGGTGGAGGGCCATGCTCCACCTCTATATTGCTGGTGCATCTGTCAAATATGTAAAGTACGTGTCCCCGGGACTGTGTCGGGTGATTGGGATGACGCAACTCGCCTGGGCCATCAGGTCGTCTATCTCTTGCCCTTTGCCTTTTTGCCCTTGCTTTTCTTTTTCTTTTTCTATTCTTGCCCATCTTGGCCGCCACCCATCTGCAGAGGTACCTCCGTTGCGCCGCAATCTACCCCGAAGGAGGGGCCGGGCGACGAGTAGTATGGGAGGGAGGAAAAAAATAAGAGGAAGCGCAAAACCTTCTCATCCCGGTCTGACGGGTGTGGTGGTTCTAGATGGGGCCCGCCCACCTTTTTCTTTTGTCGTCGTAGAGGGTGTTGATGTTTCGGCCCCGTGCCCGTGGTCGCGGTGGCTGACTCGCCAGATGCTGGGCTCCGACATACCAAGATACGGCCTTTTGGGGCCTTGGTCGGTGTTGACAAAAGATCGAAGGAAAAGAGGAATCGGCTTTCGGCACGGAAAGCTCGGCATGTGAGTCTCTACTTGGTTCACGATTCAAGGTGGCCGTGAGATGGGGGAGATGTCATCGTCGGGTTACATGATAGGATCACTGCGTGGCAGCGAAGTAGCCCGAGGGCATGCGTAATGCTAAACGGTTTTTCTCTCCAATACCATTTGGTACTGGTGGCGAGCAGCTAACCGAGGGGGATCTAGAGAAGAGAAGGATGAGAGAAACAGGCGCGTGTGGCTCTTGGTCCTCGGACTTACACTGAGTTGATTAACTACATCATTCGTTGACTATTCCGAGAGAGAAAGAGGAGGAAGATAAGAGCGGATCTTTGGCAATAGGAGGCGTTTATTCAATAGAAAGCCATTATGTATCCATAGTAAATACGACAGTTTGTCGATGCTGCGTATTCTGATATCTGTATGTCCGGCTTGCCTTTCTTTTCCTCCCCTTCCTCCGCTGGACATGCTTTCTCGTCTCGAGTAAGGCTACGGATCGGATTGGCCCCCGATCATGAGGTTAATAAACCATATCCGATCATGGGACTTATCTAAGGTCAACTCGAGGAAGCCATCGTCGCTGTACGTCTTCCAATCGCTCATGTAGATTTCTAGGTGGCCACTAGTGCGCAAGATGAGCTCTGCCAACGAAGTTTCTGCCAAGTCGCTTGTCAGCTGCTGCACTTGGATGTTGAGGTCGACGGGCTGGCAAGTGTCGTTGGCCTGGCGGGAAAATTTGTACTCCAAGCGCAAGATGTAGTCGCCCCCTCCGACCCGTTCAGCCGGAAGTACGCTTGATCATGGCTCAACCTCGTCTGGACCACCGGCGCCTGGGCGTCCACCGAGGTGATGGTCTGTTGGGCCCAGCCAGAACGCATCAGGGAGGTGAGAAACAGGGGAGACCAGGTGGTCGGGTACACCTCAGGATTGCTAATCACCTCAGGATCGCTCATCAAATTTTTCTGCGGCAGGCTCTTTTTGTCCCTGACCCGAAACGCGAGGCCAGCGTCTTTCGGCCACCCGAGGCTTTTGGTGATGTATACCCTTGACAACGTCTTCACCTTGCTAAAATAGCGCGGATCCACCAGCACCGGCTTGCTACTTATCGTCACGTGCAATCTGTCAGTCGTTCTAGCTGTGCCGGCAAGCGGGAGCGCGAAAATCTTTGTCGGCGTGGGGCCGCACGAAGGTTCCTGGCCCGGTCCCGGCTCCAGCACGCAGTCTAGCGGGAGGAGGTAGGTTTCAAACAACCCCGGGAGCTTGACGACGGGCCGCTCGAAAAAGAGGCCCTTGTTCGTCATGGAGTAGTGCGAGAGCGGGCTCTCCGCCCAGCTCTGGTATAGCGGTACCGTCCCCACGCGGCCGCAGCGCGCAAAATCCGCTGGCGACGACGCAAACACGCCGCCCTTGGTGCTACGCTCCTCGAGCCCGTATCCCCAGGCAAAGATGGACTCGTCGTCTGTGGTGCGCAAAATCTCCTCTTGCAGCCGGATAAACGCATTATCGCCCTCGCCGTACAACATGGGCATGTGGACTCCGAACAAGCCCATCAAGGAGTACGCCACGTCCTCCCTCCTCGTCGCTTGCCGTTTGGCCGCCCAGCTCATCCTCTGCGCCACGCTCGCCTTGGACAACTCGGAGCGGCTAAGGATGTACTTTTCGGGGATGCCCGTCAGAGTGGAAATCCGGGCTGAGAGGCACAGCGCTTGCCTCGCTGGGTCCGACGATCCCGAGAAGCCGCGGGTTTTGAAGCCCAAGTGAGTCCACCGGCGGTCGTAGAACATGACCTCGTACGGGGAAAGAAGCTCCTGTAGCGTCCAAGAGCGCGTGAACCACCTACTATGCGTGGGGAGCTTTAGCGTGGCATCCGCACCGCTATAGGAAATGTCGCCTGTATCTGAGAGATAGGCAAAGCAACAGACCGCCCTCTGGTACCACTTGCCCATCGAGTTGATGGCTTCGGACAGCTCCGTGCTGCTCGATTTGTCGATGCAAATCGTGTCGATCCAAACATAGCCGATATTTTGCTCCACCGCCCGCTCGCAACAACCCGCAATCTTGGTGTCGTTTTTCATTTTGGCTGGGCCATCGGGCCCCTTTACGTGTGCGTACGTGAGCTCATTATCCCCCAGGTATGTGAAAGAATCGCATACCGCGGAAACGAGTAGAAACCTTCAGGATCGCAGAACCGGTATGTTTTGGCATCCAAAAGGCGCATCTTTGGGAACTAGTTCTCAGTGTCCGAGGCAGTCGATGAAAAGAAGAAGTAAAATGGGATTTCTTGGGATGGACCTGTTCGAGGGCAAGATAGGATACATCTATTCCAAGTGAGGCTGGTTCCCCCAACCCGCCGTGCCAATCATCGATGTTCTTCCCCTCACTGCAGAGGTTACCCTCTCATGTCCCTCCACTCTTGGGAGGCTTCGATGGTGACAATCTATAGGCCTCTTTCTTTGTACAGCCACACACAGGGATGCGGGTTGCGTCCAAGATTTTACATGTTGGCCGGGGCAGTGCGTGCTTGCGGTGCGCGAATTGTATTGACAGCAAAAAGTGGAAAATCTTCATTTTGATATAAGTTTGATCTGCAGAAATGGAGAACGAGTGGAAAACCCCAAACAGGCAGTGCAGCAACGAGTAGACAAGGTAAAGCCGACGAGACAAAAACACTAACAACCAGATTACGAAACTTTTGGACAACAGAAATCCTGCGTCGAGTATTAATTCAACAAAGTAGCCGCCATGAATGCAACAAATGGGGGAAAAATATATCCGAGGACAATGTAAGTTCCCAAAATCTCCCACGAGGACAACGGATGGACGCAAGGAAACCAAAAACTAGGAAGGGGCAGAAACGAAAAAAGAAAACGACAGAACGCAAGGAAATGAGAAAAACAAAATGAGATGGAGAGCCCTTGCCGAGAATTTGCAATCATATAGCTAAACTGGATAATTCAGACGACCACCCTGATGTATATCGACACAAAAATCACATATTATAAGACAAAAGGAGTCGAATCCTTTCAGGGCACCAAAACAACGAGGTCATACGTGGTACCAGCTCGGATATTGTCGATCCTGGCAGCAGGGAGGGTCTCGCTCCCGCGCATGACCTTGACTTCCTTGACACCGCCCGAGCGCCTAACGTCGAGGTTGAACGTGGCACCACGGAAACGGCGCGAGATTTTCATCGTGTCCCAGTCTTCGGGCAATTGCGGGTCAATCTGGAGGCCGGCTCCATCACCCTTGAGTCCGCAGAGGCCCTCGAGAACGACCCTGTAGATCCACGACACGGTACCCGTGTTGAAGAGATGGCTGGAGCGACCCGCCGTGCGAGGGAACTCGTGCCATGCGCCGCGGTAATAGTTGGGTACGTAGATCGGCAGCTGACCCCGCTGGAGGTAGTCCTCCTCCGATGGGCCGGGGAGGAGCTGGCGGAGAAGCTCGTAAGCGCGGTCAGTCTCGCCGATGCTGTACAGACTGTGGATGTAGAAGACGGCTGCGTGGTTGTATACCGCACCGTTTTCGGCCGAACCGGGATGTTTTTGCGTGACGCGGCCCACATCCTCGCGCATGCCCAGGAATGCGGGCGCAAACATGACGACACCGTAAGGGGTGTAGAGCTGCTTCTCGATTTCCTTCATCATCTTGGCTCGCTGGGCCGCGTCGGTGGCGCCGCTGAGGATGGCAAAGGACTGGGGTTGAGCCAAATGCGGCCCTGGGGATCCTTCTTGATGCCGAATTTGACGTTGTCGTCCGTGATGCCGCGCGCGAACCAGTCGCCGTCCCAGAGGTGCTTGTTGGCGGCTTTGTTGACCTCGTCCGCGCCGGCGCGGAAATGCGCCGCTAGTTCCTTTTATTTTGGTGATCGCAAATTGACGCCCACAGCTTGAGCGCGTAGCCGGTGGCGACGGTGAGCCATCCCGATACGCCCTTGCCCTTGTAGCCCACCATGTTGAGAGGATCACACCAATCTCCCTGGGCGATATAGCTGAGACCCCGCTCGTCGCGCTCGTGCAGGAGCCAGTCCATGGCACGGCTGAAGCGCTCAAAGACGGTGTAATTATCACCATTTTCAGTCTTCACACGTTGATCGAGGAACGCGTAGTCTCCCGTCTCGGAAAGATAAACCTCAAGCGTCAGAGGAAGCCACACGCAGTGATCCGTGTGGGGGACTTGATTAATGTATTTGAGTTCGGCACCCTCGACGAGGATAATGCCGTCGGGCATGGCACCGCTCGCCTCTTGCTGGGACAGAGCGGTGACAAAAGCCTTACGGGAGACTTCGGGGCGGATATAGTTCATTCCCATGTTATCTTGCAGGTAGTTACGCGTCTGGGGGTCCGTCGTCAAGCGGTTCACGTCTCCGTGGTAGTACACTTGGCGGGGCAGCCAGTTGTTGACGTAATTATCGAGGGCTGGGTCGGGGGTCTGGATCTTGAGGCAACCGCGACCTCGGTGGATATAGGCGGCATACTCACGGGCGCAGCGGTCAAATGCCTCCTTGCTCAGATATCTCTCCTTCATGGAGCGGATCTCGGCGTCATCATACGCGGGGCCAAACAGGAAACGGAATTCACGCTGTTCACCGGGCTTCATGGACAAGCGATACTGAACTACGGCAACGGGGTTTCATACCGAGCATCTCCGCGGGAGAGCTCGTTGTCTTGAAGTGCTGAGGGGGCGTGCAAGCCTCCCTCACCCTCGAAGGCCTGGTGATTCGTCTCCCACGAGGTGGGCTTAGTCTCACAAAGGAGGTAGGTCTTGTCCTTGAGATACTTGTTTTTCCAGTAATCAGCTACCTTTTGGTAGGGCGTCACACAAGACCCAACGATCGCGCCGAGGTCCTCGCGGTACTCGGCGGATTGGTTCATCCACGACATGTAACCCAGGGTGAAATAAGGGTAGACGCTGATGTTACGCTCTCGGCCCGTCATATTTGTGACTTTGACGGTCCAGAGCTCGGTTACGTCGTGGGTGGGGAGACTAAGCGTCATCTCCACCCGGATGCCGAGGTGTTCGGTGGTCCACCGAATGTCGCTCTGGCCGGCGGAGAAGACGAAGCGTTCCACGGGAGCCCGGACGGGCTCGTAAGGGGCCGAAAAGATCTGATCCGTGGCCTCATCTTTGACGTAGACGAAACGGCCGGGGTGATGGGCGTAGTAGTTTTGTTCAGGTTGCATAAAGGTCTTGGCCTCGAGATTGGGGGCGTACGAGTATTTGGCGGGCTCCGGCTGCATAAACTGGGCAACTGCGTAGCCGCGACAGGTTGCCTGGATCATCATCCCCTGGTTCCATAGGAAGGCGCCGGCTTTGGGCATGGCTGTGGGACTGGTGAGCTCATAGCGTTGGCCATTCTCGGCAGGTTGTAAAAGCGGCATTCGCGTCATGGCGGGCAGTTTGTTTGGCGCGGCAGTGGGGAGACTTGGGTGGGAGGGAGGAATGAGCGGCGGTGGTAACGGCGGCAGTGGCAGTGGCAGTGGTGGTGGCAGCAGCAGCAGCGGTAGCAGTGTCGATAGTGAAAGTGGGAGGGGAGAGGAGTGGACGGTAGTGGTGGTGGTGGTGGTGGTGGGAGTTAGTGGTGAGTGTCGACGTTTCGCCTTCTGTTCGATGGAGGGGCGTGGAGGAGATGGAAAGGGGGGATTAAGAAAGGGGGAATGGCTAGTGAGTGGAAGCGATGGTGATAGGGGATGAGATGGGAGAGCGATGGCGATGGTAGTGATGGTAATGGTGGTGGTGTGTCTATAAAGTAGACCAGCAGACATCAAGCAGCTGCAATAAGAAACGTTGGAATGGAGGGGGAAATATGACGATGTTTCTTCGTGTTTTTTATTTAGTTTTTCAATGAATCTAAAGAAAGGAAAGAGAGACCGTCGTACATCTTCAACGTGGAAAATTGTTGAGGAACGAGGTTCGATTTAGTGGATTGTGGAAGGTGCGGTGGAAGGGAGGCGTGGAACATAATGGCAAGCAGGGCCCCTGTTCCTCTGGCGCACTCCCGGGCTCCGAAAGAAGGAGTGAAGCGAGGGGGGACATCCATGGCAGGAGTGAGTAATACCAGAGCTTGTACTTTGTACGTTGGTACGTACATGCCAGAACCTGCAATATCCAAGATCAAATCCAGTGGCTCTGGTTCGCCCCGAGCTTCCTCCCAGGATGCTTGGTCTGTGGTCTGTGGGAAAAAGCAGTGCGTCACCGACGGGAAAGGATTTTCCGCGCCCGGGCAGTCGGCTTTCAGCGTCTTTGAGGCGCTGATTTGCTCGTCGCTGGATGACCTGAAGGCGAGTCATCACCCTCCTCCCCTCCCCCTATACGAGCGAGGGAAAATGCCCTGTTCTCCCATATTAAAAACATAATACGGCAAGCACGCCAATCCACACACGCACGTCTCGTACGCCTCCCTCGGACGCTAGCGTCAGGGTCAGACACAGAGGCTAGACAACTCCAAAAGGGCCAACTCTGGTACTCCGTACATGATTGTCGTGACTCTGGGACTGCCGAAACCCACGGAAGGATCCTTGGCGCTGCAAATGCAGAGTGCAGCCATCACGTGGGGCGGGCCCAGGTCTTGATGGTCTTTTGCAGGTGTCAGGCCTGGTCGATCTTTCCCATGTTGTGCTTTTTCCCGCCTCGTCTCGAAGCTCGTGGACCAAATTATTGCGTCGTTGCGCCGTTGGCTTCCCTTGATCGGCTCACGAGCGCTTGTTCTTGAAGGCCATTTTGACGTCGTCAGAGGGCGGGCAACCTGTTTCCCTGGACGCGGGTTCTCGCATGACGAAGGGACATTGATACCCTATTTCGAGGTACATGACATTGATGAATTTGTTCCGCATTGCGTCCCTACACTACATACACGAAAGCAGAAGCACAAGCACAAGCAGGAGCCGGCAGTACCTGTCTGTAAACAAGCGGAAGCGGAAGCAGGAGAATGGCGAAGCGCAGGGCGGGTCTCAGAGGCCGCCCTCGAGCTGTGCGGAAAAGGAAAAAGGAAAAAGGAAAAACGGCCAAACACAAAAACCAGTAATCGAGCACTGACGGACAAGTTGTAGTTGATTATCCTCGTGCCTAGCTTGTCGCTTGCCTCGCTGGACCGCTCTGGATCAGCATTTGGCGAATCCCGAGTGACACATTGCTACACATCTCACGCACGCAGCGCTGTACTGTACTTGGAACGCAGGTTTGGCCGAGCAGGATCTTTTTTTTTTTCTTTTTCTTTTTGCCTTTCATTCCATGTCGCCTGCTCACTTTCTTATCCTTTGTTCTATCGCTTTCGATTATCATTAATTAATTCTTTTTTATCTCTTGCTGATTGTTCCTAGCCTTCCATTTTCGTTCTCGGTCCCAGTGGTAAAGATGTCCCGAAGAATACTTCCAACAAGGGGAGATCTGAAGCATTTCGTGCAGTACCTCGGACGTGGTTAATTATGCCACACCCATTCCAGCTCAGTTCGCCGTGAGATCCGCCACCGCGCCGGCGTGATCTCGGCCGTTGAAACGGTTACATCCCCACTGGCTCAATCCGCATCCCCGCTTGGCGGAGATCACGGTAATTCCTCACGGTTTGGACAAGTGACGTCGAAAAGTTAGAGACGCGGAATTTTAAGCTATGCGCTAAGCGTTCTCCATATTTTTTGCCTTTGTTTGGTCGCCAACCCTCAGAGAGAAAAGCGAGCGAAGGGGACAAAGAGAGGCACGAGAAGAAACAAAGGAAAGGGCGAGAGAGAAAAAGCGGCCAGCGGACAGGCCACTGATTTGCATGTCTCGCTCGCTATTACCCGATCATGCCAATAAACATGCGGGTCCAGGGAACACAACCTTCGTCCGCAAGCTAGTCAGCCAAGCCATACTTCGTACATGTGGAAATCCGGAGCACTAGTGCTCAATTCATCCAGAGATCCATTGGCGTGCATTGGTGGGTGACCTCGAGACTCGGGGCTCGAAGAGCTCTGTGCGGGGGTTTGATGCTTTCTGCCCACGAACGAGGTAAGATTGATGGATTTGGCTACACTAGAGGAGGTAAAGAAAAGCAGCCCTAAAATAGTGCGTTTGCGACCTCCGCTAGCGCGCTGCCCCCTTGAAATCCCCGATCCCTCCAGCGCAGGCCCAGTCGATGCCAGAGGCAAATCTGGGACAAACCATCATGTGATGCGAGTTGGCAAAACGGTCGGTGTGGGCCTCGCACCAAGCCTGGTGCTAACGGAAGCCAGGGCCGCCCACGCAGAGACATGCACGAAGAGAGAAAAGGGGAAAGAGGGAATCTTTTTAGCGTGGGGATTGCGAAGAGGGCGGGGGCAGCACCACGAGTTTCGCGATGACCAATCTGTACCATTCAAATTTGTATCGGAATGGTATTATCGATTAATCACACAAATCCGGTCGTGGACCGCGACGATTATCACGAGGAGTCAGTCTGTCATCCCCTCGACTCCTGGCTGGCCCACCCTTCCGTTCCCTCCCTCACCCGGCACGGGTGCTGTTCTGGCGTGTCCGGGGGTGATTTGGTCAGTCAATCACCCAACGATGGCAGAGCCCAGCTCGGAGCATTCTTTTATTTCCCAGGGGCGTGGCGAGGTGTCAGCCGGTGCGGTGGTCGGAGGGCGTCGTCACCTGGCTGCGAGAGCGGCATTTATTGTCGCATCGGCAGCCCCGATACAATGGGGCACGCACAGCCAATTGAGCTACATGGTATGAGCGACACGACGAGTAGCGGTAACTTGAGCATCTGCGCGGGAGACAAGCTGGGTTCAAGCCAGCCCGACACCGCTCCACGTCCGCCAGCTCTGGTGCGCTCCACCCCCGGGCGAGGGCATGGGGGTTTCCCATCATTTGAGAGCGAAAAGCCCACTTAACGGCGCCGAAGGGGGTCCCGCCTGGACGGTTCTCGGGAGGATACCATCGGCGAGACAAAAGTTCAACTAGCGACGGGGGCAAGGGAATAAGGGCAGCGACGAAGTGGGGGAAGGAACGAACAAACACAAAAAGAATTAGTTGAATAATCCCTCTGGAAAGACACACATAATAATGCGACGATACACATAACAATACATGTAAAGAAAGGAACCGGTCAATTTGATCAGCGTTTTCGTCTGATGACGTCCCCTTGCTGATGCGATGGGCCAAGCAAACCCAGCCAGGTCATCAGATCCATCGTGAACGAACGTGCGTGCGCAGCTGGTCGCTCAACCGTCCACATCCCAACCCGACCGCAAGAGGAACGGACCACGTCGCCTCCATTCCAGACTGGATTTTTGAACAGTCCGAGACAGCATTGAAGCTGCTTTCATAGACACCAGTAGGTAGACGTGACGTAAATTCAATCTAGACTAGGCAGCGTGGAGACGATCGAGAGGGAGCTGGCCAAGAACAAACAAAAAAACAAATCGCCAAATCATTGAAGTCAAGGAACCACGTACGTTCCCCCTCTTCCGGTTAACGGCAGCTTCAGCGACTGATGCAAAACCCCTGAACGAGCATGCGCCCCTTTCCCCAACTTTTTTCTGCTCTGTTTTACTCACTCACCGCCATTACCGACCATGGATGATGGCACCAAACCATTTGGTTTTCGAAGCAACCCTTGACCGCCCATCGTGCTCCTGGTCCTTTGGATCGGGTGGTCCTCCAATCAGGGCCTTGGAGCAGGGTCTCCGATTGAGTTCTGGCCTCTCGATCGGGCACAGCATTGCGAATTATCCAGATGAAACGTGCTGAGCAAATCGCCGGGAACAGAATCGTCTCGACTTGCCATGTGATGCACGATTGGTGCTCTGGCCCAGTCCGCCGAGGTTCGGGGGTTTTTTTGTCAAGAACGCAAAGCGTCAAGTGCGTGTGCTGACCGGCCAGACGAACGGATCCGTCGTCCATCGATGGTGCCCACCACCCAACCACCGGCGCACCTCATGTTCGATGGCTGGCCCTGTTCTTTACCCCTTTCCTTGTCCCTCCCTCCTTCTTTGATGATCTCTTGCCCCAACCCCTGGTCCCCCAACCATCTATCGAGCTCCGCACTGTAATATGTAATAGTTGATTAAGGTACGGAGAGGGAGCAGTCAGGGTCAAAGGACCCTGCGTTGTTCAACCATCTGGCAGTCTTTCCCAAAAGCTTTCGCCGCCAGTGAGATATCGCCATGAAGAAAAGGCACAGAGACTCAACTTTCATCGCCAGTGTCTATGCCTGCAGGAAAGTAGTGTAAGGTTGACGTGCCATGTGACAAGAGACTCGGCCGAAACGATCCAGTGAGGTCGATCCGGCAGATCTCCAAAAGTAAGTGCTGCCTGCATCAATTAACGGGCGCAATGAGGAACTGCATCAATCGGCGTGCCCTTATGGTATCGCGTTGGTTGCGAGGAGGCACACCATATGGGTCGATCTCGCCATGCAGAGCCGACCCTTCCAACCCTTCTCTGCCTCTGCTCCTTTGAGCCAACCCATCCAGCCACTACGTATGTACGGAAAAGTGTCAGCTCATATATTGAAGCCAAATACGGCTCAAGCGATGGAAGCATGGAATATTTGGGACCAGGCTCTCGATATGGCTGGGCGGTCAGGCTGGGGTTTCGGTGTAGTTGGGCTCAAGGTGCAACGCCGCCGTGCATTTGGGTTTGATATCATTGATGCCTCTGGCCTAGCGCATTTGGTTGTTGCATCTTGCTTGGTTTCTTCTTCTTCCAATTCTCCCTTTGTTTCGGTCTCTCGCCACGTCTAGCCGCCGCAACATCCATGACGGTCATATTCGTTGATTCCCATCCCCAGCCCTCCGCACGTTCGCCAAAAGTGAAGGGGAGGGGTGAGGACAGGATCTCCCCGGCCGAGCGTGGAGAGGCAGTAAGCTCTGCCAAGACCCTTTGCTCCCATCTCGCTAGCTCGGGCTATCTTCCCGCGTCAAACTACTGCAGGAGCGTCGAGACAAAACGACAGCCTATTGATTCCCGTGGAGATGGAAGATCCTCTCCGCAAAAACTTTAGAGTAGTATTAGCCCGGCGCAAGCGAGCGACAACCATCCCGTGTCTGTCACGATTGAACCTAGCAGAGCAGGCTCCGTGACATGGCTCGTTCAATGGCTCCCAACTCCTGCTTCTGGCCCGATCTTCCCCACTCGAGCCTGGCCTTCATATTGACGTTATGGACGTTACTGTCCTACCCATCCTGAACCTGCGAGAGCACCAGGCTACCCAATCGCTATCCTGTTTTATTTCAACACCGGGCACGTCGGCAAACAAGACTGGCCGCTTCTCTCTCGCGTATATCCCGCCTCCGAGCCTGGCACATTCCACTTCTCTCCGCGCTGCCCAACCTAGGCCCCTATGCTTCAATCAGAGGTCATTGGAGGAAATGATGTTAACAACTGATGAGGAACAGGGGAAGGGATTTACAGGTAACCGAGAAGTGACGGTCGGCGTGTTGTGCGTGCGTATATCAAGTGGCGCTATCCGCGATTGCCCTATTGTACGACCTTTGATCGCTCGAGGACTTCGCTCCTAGCCTTGCGCAGTTTCTCATTGCCAGTGATAATAGACACACAGTCCACATCTTTCTTTTTCCATTTTCTCCTTCCGAGGTTGCTGTCTCACAAACCTAGCGTTCTTACTATGGATAATTCGAAACCCGAGTATCTCCCTCCCAGAGGCGAGCGCGCCGCTCGGCATAGCAAGGAGGTTCCTGGAGGCTCTGCTGTTACCCAACCACCGCCAGGCTTCCCGTTGACTCTGTCTTCCCCTCTAGCATGGACTCGAAATGAGATGGAAGGAGATGCGCACAAGTACATTCTGAGACTGTCCGACGAGCACATTTTCGCCCTGGAAACTGGCTTGCGACGCTTTGGTAAGCGGCTCAACATTGATACCTATCTCTACATCCTCGTTTTGAGGCGGAACTTGCAAGTCTAACAGGCGCTTTTAGGCGACTTCCCAAGGCAGGGCGACATCTCTGACGAAGACTTTCCCTTGCCCAATGACTTGGTACGCGAGCTGCGAAGGATCTCAGATCAGTGCTACCGCGGTCCGGGATTCGCCGTTATCAAGGGCCTCGATCCAACCAAGTATACTGCGGAGGAAAATCTCAAGATCTATGCCAGCATCGCGGCCCACGTGGCTCCCCACCACGGCTTTGTGAACCACGACCGCACCAAAGTGGTTGGTAAGCTTCATCCACAGCGCCACCCCATGGATTCGGATACCGCTTGCTAACCTATGCCGGAGCGCAGCGTACGTCATGAACGAAGAAAACGGCCCGGGCTCTTCAAGGGCCCCTGGTTTTACTAAAGATGCTCTGGTAAGACTTGCCTTTACCACACACCTCGCGTGAAAGTGGTCGTTCCTGACGCAGAAATCTGTCGTCGCCATAGGCTTTCCATACCGATTCTAGCGAGATACTTTCTTTATTTGCCATCAATGTCGCGTCCGAGGGAGGGTCAACGTTGATCTCAAGCGGTTATCACCTGTACAACCAGTTGGCGCAGAGTAACCCACAGATTTTGCATACGCTTTCCGAAACTTGGGTACTAGATACGTGAGTTTTCCCTTGGCAGCTGGATATGTCTCCCTCCATGAGCATCCTAAACTAACGCAGTGCGCGACTTTAGCTTCCAAGACCCAGCAAAGTATCCACCAATCCACCGAGCAATGTTGCACGCCGCGGATGCCAACAACGTATGCTTCACTTTCAGTCGCTACCCTATGACGGGGTACAAGCAGCGGCAGCGGGACCCATCCCTCCCTCCACTCACTGAAGCGCAACTCGAGGCTTTGGACACCGTTCAGCATATTTTAGAGGAGAACTCCATTGCCCTCCCTTGGGACAAGGGCGATATCGTATTCATCAACGACATGGCCATTTTCCACGCTCGCACAGCATTCCAGGAGCAGGAAGGCTCCGGCCGTGAGCTCGTGAAGCTTTACCTCCACGATCCAAAACAGCAGTGGCCCGTTGCCCCAACGGCACAGGAGAACTGGAACAAGCTCTTCGTTCCCAAGAAGCAAAACAACGCTAGCCGGGACGAATGGAACTTGGTCGACAAGTCCGGAGAGAATTCTCTTTCTAACGGATGAGTTGCCTTTCGGAACTGCATTCCCTTCTGCGGAAGTGACTTTTGGACATTTGATCTCATCTTCCCGTCCTGGCATCCCCCAATTTGTTAACTCATTCCTCCTCTTGCCACTTTCTTTTTCTTACACCGAAAGACCTTGAACTGCTTTGTTTAACCAGCGCATGTTTTCTCTTTCAATACATTTGCACCAATCTCTACCCTTTTTTCTTCTCCTGATGACTTTCATGTTGGCCTCGATTGCCTCGCCTTTTCCCCCGTCCTAGCCTCGCTCCGATGATGAATTATGAACTATGCCTGTAACACTGAAGGGTATATATAATCTGATCGTATTCAAAATCCGCAACATAGTTTTGAAGGTAAAGCAATATAAAGTGCACGTTTGATAAATTCCAAGGATATCTCTAGGAACGCCTCTCCGTTTCCTAACTCGTAAGAAGGTCCTCCTCGGTAAATCCATCGACGTTGTCCGGTCTTATTGGCGTCCATACCCGTTCGAAAATCTGCTGGCACCAGTAGAGTGGCGTAGTATACATACTTTTACCTACCCACCTCTGGGGCTGTCGAGACGCGATTTGGATTTCGGCTTGAAGAAGACTGATGAACCTACGCTTCTCAGGGCTGAAGGGCATTTGACTGTTGAGCAGGCACATGGGGTTTACTCCGTCGTAAACGCGGTGGAACCAAGTCAAGAGAGCTAGACAGCTCTGGGTATAACCTTCACTCAATGATGCACCCCGGTTGGTGGATTCCTAAAACATGGTATGAGTGGAGTCCATCGCCGAGACAGAAAGTGTACTCACGCGAAGGTTATGTCTTTTGGCGTAGTCCATGACATCGCCGAAAAGAAGTTCAAAGTTATTCAAGATAACCAACATGGCGAGTACAACCTCGCACCGATGATTGTTCTTGTCCTGCTTTTTGCGGCCTCGGACATCAACTTGAGGATGTCTTTCCGCAGCCCGTTCAGTATCCCTTTGATAGCTATGTGGTCAATCTGTGTGTCCATGATAGGAGTGGCGGGTATTTGGCCATTCCAGGGGCATTTAGGATCGCTGGTCGGTATAAAGCCAGGGATTTCGCCTTTCAAGACTGTCCACGGCTTTTCAATGAAGCGTGTGGCAGTCCACAGTGGTAGGACGCGCTCAAGTATTGCACGATACTGCAAGGGGCGGAGAAGTTAGCAAAAATGTAGATGCTCTAGGGGATCCAGTCCCCCATTGACCAAAATACCCACCGGATTCTGCGGGTCTTCCTTTAGTATCTGGTTGATAAGAGCGAAGGCGCTTTTTAGAAGCGGGGAGTCAGCAGTCAGCTGTTCCAAGCAGCGACCTCCCCGTCACGATGAGCCTTTATCATGTTACGCTTGGCCTCCTCCATGTTGGTAATGAAATATGGCGGCATCACCAAGCATTTCCCTTCCGCCTCGCCACCGCTGTGCTGCTTCCAATCCGTGGCGTCGCCATATGATGCCTTGTAACGCCCGATTGTAACCCAAAAATCTATTCCGCGATTCTGGGTAAGGGTGATCCTTAAGGGTTGGCATCCAGAAATCGCCGAGTTGAGATCCCGCAACTTGCGACCCACCCATTTTAAAAATGCGCCATTCCTCGTGGAGCCTAGGTTGTCCGGGGTTGTTAGAGAACATCGCAAGCAGCTGAGGGGCATTTCTCATCATACCTAGGCGATGCAGCAACAAATCAAGAATAATGCATTTCTGGCTGGGGTTCCGGCCGGGGCTAGTCGCTGGCTCCCAGTGGTGGTCAGGCTCACGGTGGTGGTCAGGCTCACGGTGGTGGTCAGGCTCACGGTGGTGGTCAGGGTGGCACTGAAAACCAAATGTCAGTTTCACAAGACTAGCCACGCCTATCCTACTTCACCTCTCACCGAAAAAGACGCGGGAGTCGGCGTGGGGAGACTGACTCTTTTCTTATTCTTGTGGCATCGATTACACGCTCTGAGTTTTCGGATGTTGTTAGCGTTGTCGCGCGTTGCGGGTGATAGAGGGCCATGTCGTCGTCCATGCGTAATGGGCTTGGTACGAGCATCGGGTGGACCTCCAAAATTGTTTATGAACTCCAGGGGCTGCTGGGGGAAAATGATGAGGAATTAGCAAGAGAAAATAAATCTAGGCCAGCTCTTTTTCCGGGATAGCGTTGACCAGCTGCTCACCTTGATGTTGTGGCCAACGTTGTGTACCGGAAGTTGCGGCGTTCTCGGGCCAAGTACACCGGCCTTGCCCTTTTTGCGTTGGACTGTCAATTGCAAAGCAGGGCTCGGTACTCTTGTGGCCGCTTCGTCATTCTGCGAGCACGCTGGTCCGCTCGTAGAAGAGTACAGCATGTGGCCATCACCGGCTGGTACGTAGAATCCATGTCGGGATTGAACATTCAGGGGGCAAGAGATAGCGGAAGTAATTGTGATGAAGAAGTTGTCCGGTCGTCCACAAGGGATGTTGCATGCGTGGAAAAAGCATAATAGTTTGTCGGTGAATCCACGCCACAGGGTTCATCGACACACCCGACAGGGGCAGAAGGAATTTGTATTTCCATTTCGGCGGCCACATGGCCAGGAAATCCAAGATAACCCTCAAGATCCCAGTCGAACGGGAGTTCCTCATCCGCAAGGGAGGACTCTGATGCCCTGCGTTTAGAAGCGGTCTGCCGAACGCCATGGAATCTGTCGTCGTCAACTCGGGATGATGCCATAGTATTGCTGTCTTCTAAGGATAGATGGATGTGTTGGCGTCAGAAACGGTGGACCAACTTTCGAGGGGGATGTGGGGTCGACCGGCCGGGTTCATATAACACAAAACATTTTGGTCGATCAGCCGGTGAATGCTGGTCAATAGCAATTCATAAAATGAAAACCCCGGTATGCAGCCGGTCATCTGAAAGTCCAAAATGGGTGGGGTTTTGTGTCACCTCAATTCAACAAGTCAGCTTATGGCAGCCGTGTGGTCCAGGCTCCAGGCGGTTCATACATATGAGCGGCATTGCTGCCCAATATCTCTCTCACTTTCGAAGACGCGACGGCCTCTCGAAGGTTGGTTTCGGTCCTCATTAACATTAGCAATCGTCGAGAGGGACACCAAGTTATTGGATTCCTTACCCCGCGTTCGTATTGTTTAAGAGCCGAGTGTCCATGGGTCCTCCTCGCCCCGGCCGGTTCAAGAACGAAGACGAAGGACCCGTGCAATGAGCTCTTTCGATTACCCTCGAGATGATAGCCTCCACGTCCGTCGCGCCACCTTGGAGGATCTCGAAGACATATCCTCGGTAGCACGCGAGGCGTTCCCTGACGATCCAGAATACGACTACAGATTTCCAGCCCGTAAGGAATACCCGGACGACCACAAAGATTGGATTACGGAAGAGTACAAAGAATATCTAAGCCAGGAAGAGAAATATATCGTGGTTATTGCGACCAGCACCGAGAACGATGGTAGAGCCGTTTCTCTTTCGGTCTGGGACAAGGCGGTCCATCTTCCGCACAGAGGTGGGGGTAAGATTGCTCGCCTCACTAGTACCCCAGGACGATGAATAGAAAGTGGGGGAACAAAGCATGGCTCGCCCTGTGAAACCAATATAGCTAACCTTGAGAGGTGGACAATAACAGACTTAGGCGTCCCAGACGATGCACAGTTGCCCGCCAAAAGACGCGATGTGGATGCAGACCACTTTCGGGCATTCAAAAGGGATATGGAAAAAACTTTCAGATTTTCTTCGGTCAGTACGGCAAGAAGCAGATCCACTTATGGCTACTTTGCACACACCCAGCCTTTCGAAGGCGAGGCGCCGCGACTCGGTTGTGTCGGTGGGGTTTAGACTATGCACACGCGCAAGCTCTGCAGACGACGGTCTTGGCAAGCCCGATGGGAAAGCACTTATATCAGGAACTCGGCTTCGACCTGCGCGACTCATTTTTGTCGGGGCTGCCGATGAAAAAGACCAGAGGCTGACGATCTGGGCTTTGGAATATCTCCTTGAAAAGACCAGCCGTGCCGATCAGCAACTCGGTCTCTTAAGCCGCTGCTGGCAGAAAATTTGGCGATTCTTGATGGGGCTAGGCAAGAGCCAAGAAAGCCCGAGGAACCTGCCACGCTATGAGAAAGAATACATCTCAGGTAGCAGAAACTTCTGAGGATCTATAAACCGTCCTGTTTCCCCTCCCTCGCCCCGCATGCCTCACTTCCGGCTCCTCTCCGACCCTAACTGGGACATCGGTGAAGTCTTTCTCCTGTATCAGCTACTAGATTTGCACCTCTCAGTTTCTGCCTCCAACGGAGTGTAGCTCCGCCACTATACCGGCCAATTCTCGGTCATCTTACTACGAAACGGGGCGCATGCATCACTGGCTACCATCACCGCTATCCATATTGGGTACGGTGAAACTTCAACGATTTTTCGTGCCATGGCCATGGCTTCTATTGCGGCGGAGAGGGGGTTTTTGTTCCCTTTCTTGGATTGTGGCAAAAGAATGTTGAACCTGCCCGTCGAAACTGGGGTATAAAGAGCCCTCGTTGGAACAGTGTCATTATCTGTGTTAATATAAACGGAGAAGCCAGATCAACCGATATATGTCTAAATCGTTCATTTGAACTAGTCTTGCTTGCGACACGCTTGTTTTTATTGTTCCTTAGACATTCGTTTATTTTAACACCTCTTTTTCGTTCGACATAAAGTTCGTGAGAATGTTTTACGGATACGAGATTGACGATTTGCTCCTTGGTCTCGGGGCCTGGGCAGATGAAAGCCCGCAACGGCGCCGGCACTTTTCAGCGATGAGAGATGAGGATGAGAATGAGGACCTCAGTCGGACTCACTTTCGCTCCTTTGATTCATTTGACGATAGCATCAAACGCGTTGATAGTGAAGGCGGCGACGCTTACCCCGACGCCTCGTTCACGCTGCATCGCTATCTTTCAGAGCGGGCTACAACCACCCTCGAGGAGACTCTGTATCTTCGCACACTCCATCTAGTCCCATGAAATTTCGCTCATATGGCACGGGCGCCCATGGCTATTAGTGAGCCTATGTGGCAAAATACACAACGGTCCCCGATGAAAAACATCGAAATAGGTGTCATCTTACATCGGTTGATTTCTCAAGGTAAGAAAAAGAGTTTCCAGTCATGATCCGCCCTGTTATGCTTGACTAGCCCTGATTTACTTACATATGCGCTTTAGCAGAGTGCATGCGACGATGTAAGCACGCAAGCACGCAAGCTTTTGTTGCCGGCTGCGGGCAAGCAAGCGTCGCAAGCCGTGCCGAATCGAGCATCGGTCAAGGTTTCTCTCGTGGCACGACATGCTTCTTGTGCTGGCACGAAAGATCGCCGGCGCCCATGTGGAGCTTCACGTAAGGCGACCGGTCGCCTATGAATATATTGCACGCCACATGTGGGGAGAACGAATCGTGAACTCGGAGCCTGGCGTTGAGGCCGACTGGATGGACCGCAGCCCCACCTTAAATGCATATCTCGGTTCGCAACTGTCCCGAGGTAGAAATTTGAGGCGAGACAGGGTGGGGAGCCTGGGGTATCGAGGGTTTCTTGTCTTTAAGCTCGTCTTGTATCACTATCACTGGCCGATCTATGGTGGCAGCATATCCGTGGATGTCTTGGTGGTGTTTTGTTTGTAATTCCAAGTAAGTTTCATGATTGGGCTAGTATTGAACGGGGAACTCCCGCCTAGCTTAACTCTTCCCGGACCTACAGAAGTGCGGGGAGACGCGGAGGAGCGGCGCGGGATTTTTATCGCAGCTACTAATTGATCCTCTCTTCTCCTGTCAAACCCCCGAGCCTTGACTCGACACGTGGTCTTTTGGAACGTGCTCCTCATTGCCATTCGAGAATGAAAGGGGAGAAGAAAAAAGTGACAGCCTGGCCTTTGTCCCAATCCTGCTGGTTCAAACGAACGAACCACCACACTGGACCTGCCAGCCTCAATTACATTGTGGATGATGTGATGATTGATACCCGACATGCGGGGTCAGCGTCACACAACCCCGCGCTGCCCATGACCTGCACGACGCACGAACGCCACGTGGAGGGGCTTACAACACCCCTTCGAAAACGAGCCGTCTCATGACGGAAATCGTTCGGTCTATCGCTCTTTTCGTAACCTATGAAAAGAAGCCCCGTATTAGTTCGCCTCATTATTGAATGGTAGAACCTTTTTGCCCATGCAGTACATTTAGATGGTTGCTTAAAATATCTTGCGCCTCTTGGCTTCCTTCTTCGACGCCGGCATGTTCCCAGCCGAAGCAAAATGTGAGGATGAGATCTTCGGGGTTTCCGCTCGATCCTAGGGAGATGATGTTGGTGGCCGTGCTCCCGTCCTCCATGTCATAGTCTAGCCTCGAGGGTGCCCGCAGGGTGCACGTCTCTCTGATCGTGGTTGCGTGAGCCACGCCAGGCTCGAAGTAAACGATCGCTTCGATGGATGTTTCGGCCTCGGATAGGATCTCGCACCCCGACACAACGGGCACGAAGTCTTGGGGTCTCCGAGCCTTGTGCATCAACCCGGCCCAGGCCTGTGCTGCCGTCAAGACCGGATGGGCCCCGAGCGGGTTGATGGGCGCGGAGTGTGCGAGATTGATTGTGACCATTGTCCCGAGCTAGTAGAGATATTGGAGTCTTGTGCCAGAAACTAAGGGACTATAGATATAGAGACTCGTGATGGTATCTTAGCTGAATAATTTCAGCTATATGGCAATGGTTACTGAGCCCTTGTTTATGTTTTCACCTAAAGATGAGTTGTGAAGAACAACTTGGCAGGCCGGACTTCCCCACAATGTCCGATAACCTGCTCAAGATGGTGCATGGCTGGCGGCCGGCAGTATAAGACAATGACACGAATAGTTGGGAACGCATGCCCCAATGAGCTTTGAGAGAGTGTGGGGCCGCGTGGCCATCCGATCCGTCGTCATTCAAAAGTCTGCGTAGAGATAGAGTTGCCAACTTCGCGAGGTATAAGTTGGGTTTATAGAATGTCTCAGCGGTACTATGTAATTGGCTCCACTTGGCTGTTCGCCTCATGGTATCTGAGGCAAGAACTTTTACAATCGGTCACGGAGATACAGCGGCAAGAATGGTCGTTATAAGATCGTTTTGATTGTAGAAATAACACGTGATCCAGGCGAGGCAAGGTGACAGAGTGGTTAATGTGCTGGCCTGCTATTTCTAGTCAGCCAGTTCCTTCGGGAGCGTGAGTTCGAATCTCATCCTTGTCGTCTTCTTTTTCTTTTTTTCTTTTTCTTCGGTTGACCTTTCATCCTTATTCTTGCATTTGATATGTCATAACGCGCCTGAACCAAACGAATCATGGGCGACACGTGAGTCTTTGTTAGGTTTTGGGAGAATGCTGGCGTACAGCATGAGAGCGGGCTGCCTTTGATCAGTGCAACGGCTGGTGTGGCTTGCCTCATGGCTGGGAGCGGGCAGGCGCAGCGCAATTGATGGCACAGGGAAAGACAGGAAATACTGGAGCAACAATGGACAGATAAATACAATGGATCTATAGGATACCTCGGCAGATGGCAGATTATAATTCTTTTTGCCTTTTCCCCTCTATGCCCAAACAGATATATTCTAGTTACAAAAGAAAATTTTGGAAATGACTTGATGGCTTATGCTCGACTCCAATTCGGGATATCACTACTAAATTAAGATTGAATGCCGACGAGTGTCTTCCCGAGTGGAGAAAGCACGGCGAGGATAATGCTTTTGTTGTGAATTCATAAAGAAATTGGCCATGTTGTTGTTGAGGGCCTTGGGAAGGTGCTCGTTCAGGACAATCTGGACGAAGGCGAGCTCGTCAATTGCCAATTTCGGGGCAACCTTGGGAGACTTTTGCGGGACGATTTGGGAGGCGGTTGCCATATCCCCCATGCAGGAGGCGATGGTGAGGAAATTTTGGTCGTCGGGCCCTCGGAACTTGTTGGACATTGCATGGCGGACGTTTAGGGCTTCGCGGCCAAAGGCGTCGAGACACGCAGACTCGGGAGTGACAAACTAGCAATGACCAAGTTAGTTTTTTTTACCAGCCCCTCCAAGAAGCACTTCCAGGCCGCCACTTACAAGAAAGCTAAACTTGTCGCCAGCCACGGCGCGAGCAAACTTCTCCACACCGTCTGACTGGGCCCAGCGGGGCAGGAAAGCCCGCAAGACCATGGTGGGATCGGTCTCGTAGAAGCAAAACACCCTTTTGCGGGCCTCGGCGCCCCATTTTTGCAGCGCGTGGTCGCAGAACTGGGTCCGGATCTCGTCGAGGCGGCTGTCGTTCTTGTCCATGTCGACGAGGTCGGTGAGCTCGTGGGACGAGACCTTGCCAAGCATGCGGTTGATGCGGATGTACGAGCGGAAGATGGAGCTGCCTTGGCCTCCGCGGAAGGGTGTGCCGATGAAGACGAACCCGGACGCGGAGTCGTAGATGTCGGCGAACTCCCGAAGACCGGCTGCCATGGTGAAGGCCTAAATAGTGAATGTTATGGTTAGCGCCGGTACCTGGCGGGAACTGGGGTGGGGTGGGTCGGTGGCTTGGGAGGGATTGATGTACCTTGGCGGCGACTAAGCCCCCAAAACAACTTGATACGAATAAGAGTGGCTTTCCAGCTTTATCCTGTAAGTGCGCGAAACAAAAGACAAAAGTCAGTCCTTGATTCCCTCTACAATGAGATCGAATAAAATCGAGTTCCATGGGATTTTGGGGGAATGGGGCCAACATACTCCTCTCCGGGCACGCGACAAGTGGCTCAGGAGCGTGTGGGCATGTGTGTGAAAGTGCTGCGTGGACGCGCCATCGTAGGTATTCGACCGCCAGTCATAGGTGAATATCCTCGCCGTGGGAAATTGCGCGGGCAGCATATCATCATCACGTAGCCAGTGCACGCGCCTTGAGCTTGTGTCTCCCTCGGTAGCGTAGGCCATGTATGTCCTCTCCGATCGGCTGTCCAGGCCGTGTAGAGCAACGATGCTATTCGGGGTGGTGAGAGGTTAGTTGGATTGCCGATAAACGTGGTGGTTGCGCACGTGTTGAAAAATCAAGGTGCTTACTCCATCGTTGTTGGCCGATTGTCTTTAGGCCATGTCTGCGTGAGCCCTAGAGGCTGCGCGTTGGCGGCCGTTGCGGATATCACCATGATGACTGTGTGATTTGAGGGAGGAATGGAGACAAGGGAAAACAGCTGGGGGACAAAAAGAAAAACAAAGAAAACCCAGGTTTAGTTCATAGAGTGCATGCAAGCGATGGATAAAGATGGAAGGGACCCGTGACTGACGATTTTGAAGGGAAGCGGCACAGCAACGAGGGAAATATATAGACAAGTGCTCACGAAGACTTCCAATGCTGCTATTATTGTCGGCAGTGCCTGATGCAGATAATCTTTTGACCAGGACTTCATCGCCGGTCCCCACTTTCATCTTTGGATTTCCAATGTTGCTTTGCCGCGCGCTGGCGTTTCATCCCAACGTTTGTCCAAATTTAGGATTTGCGCCCGTATCGCGATTGCGAATTACATCCCCAAGTCGAGCGCATTGTGATCTCTTATCATTATGACACAGAAAAGCGGCTCCTTCCGCGGCTGTCAGGATTATCTCGGGGTTCCTTCATCGGCCGCTAGAACGCTTTGTCGCATGGTTGAACAGTGGCTCCAACCCGATCCTTCCACCCTTTATAGATCGCGCGTGGCTGCGCCTAGCCAGGGAGGAGCAAAACCCCCGCTAAGAGTCTATCCCGTTAATCGCGATCATTGGTGGATTGAACCACATCCCCGCCACGGCAGGCACTGATCTTCGCCGGGTCGACTTTGGGCCCAGCGCTGCGTCTACCTTCTTTCAGGACTGGGCCCCGTTTTGTTGCAACAGGACCAGCGCCTCCAACACCGCAAACACCGCCTCGAGGGATGCGTGGGGCCTGGCGCCGCAGCATCACGAAGGGACGTTTTCTTATCTTTCCCAGGGTTCCGAAGAGGAAAAAAGTTGGGTTGGGAATATTCCTTGATCCTTCTCGGTAATTGGACACACGAGCAATCCAGATGGCTCGACTTTTCGCTATCAAGACAAGTATATAATATTAACAAGCCTCGGAAACGACGGTACTGGCAAGAATGAGAAGGGGTGATAACGGCTGGCGCTTACTATCTCCGCCTCACGCAAGATGGGTCCTTTCAAGCTCACCAAGTTTTTCACCCCCAAAAGTCGTGTCGTGCACAAGGAAAATGACATGGGCGATTCCTCCTCCTCGATCAAGGACTTTTCATCTCAGGAAAATGTCCAGGAGAAGGAAGGGTTGGTGGCGGAGACGCCCTTCAGAACCGTGCTCCTCGTTGTTGCCGCTATTCTACCAACGATGATTGTTGTTTCCTTGGTAGGTCCATCACATTCTCGTAGAAGACGTCTACACATAAACACTATACTTTATCGAAGAACTTGGTTCTAACGAGAAAATTTCTCAAGGACCGTATCATCATGGCCACCGCAACCCCCAAGATCACGGACGAGCTCAACTCCATCCGCGACATCGGCTGGTACGGCAGCGCCTACCAGCTCGCCTCCTGCAGCACCCAGCTCTTCTTCTCCCGCCTCTACCAATACTTTGACAACAAGATCCTCTTCCTCATCTCCGTGCTCCTCTTCGAAGCCGGATCCATCCTGTGCGCGACCGCGTCCGTCTCCGCCGCCGTCATCGCCGGGCGCGTGGTCTCCGGTCTAGGATCCGCCGGGGTCATGGCCGGCGCCATCGCCATCATGATCCCCCTCGTGCCCTTGCACAAGCGCGTCTTCTACCAGGGCATCTTCGCCTCCATCTTCGCCATCTCACCCCTTGTAGGCCCGCTCATCGGGGCGCCTTTGCCAGCGACGAGCGGCTCACCTGGCGTTGGTGTTTCTGGCTCAACCTGCCCGTGGGCGGTCTCTGCATCCTCATCCTCCTCTTCCAGCGCATCCCGTCCGCCCGGAGCGCCGAGAGCCCCCTTCACTTTCCGGTGCCTCGATCCCGTCGGGACCGCCCTCTTCGTGCCGAGCATCGTGTGCTTGCTCCTGGCGCTCGAGTGGGGTGGCACCACTCACCCTTGGTCCAGCCCTCGCATCGTCGCGCTCTTGGTGCTCTTCGGCATCCTCTTGATCGCGTGGTACCTCTCGCAGCACTTTGGCAAGGAACACGCCACCGCCCCGCCCCGCATCCTCTTGCAGCGCAGCGTGGCCGCCGGCGTCCTCTTCACCATTTGCTTCGGCGGCATCATGCTCTCCTTCCACTACTACATCGCCATCTGGCTACAAGCCGTCCGCGGCCTCAGCCCCGTCGAATCTGGTATCCGCACCCTGCCCTTCGTCGTGGCCTTTGTCTGCGTGTCCATCCTCACCGGCGCCACCGTCAAGTTCGTCGGCCACTACGCCCAGTTCCCCATCGCCTGCGCCTGCTGCATGGCCGTCGCCATGGGCCTGGTCACGACGCTGCGCGTGGATACCGAGGAGGCGCCCCTCACGGGGTTTCTCATCTTTTTGGGCGCGGGAATGGGGCTCGGCGCCCAGATCCCCAGCATCGCCGCGCAGACCGTCCTCACCTCCCCAGACGACTCCATGGGCTCGAGCCTCATGATCTTTGGCCAAAACCTCGGGAGCGCCATCTTCCTCTCCGTCAGCCAAAACGTGTTTCTGCGCTCGCTCATCTCCAATATGTCGGGCGTCGTGCCTGGTGCCGGCGCCCAGATCCTCGCCGGCATCGGGAGCACGAGCCTGCGCGAGACGGTGCCCGCTCGGCTCTTGCCCGCGGCGCTGGAAGCGTACAGCGCCTCCATCGTGGCGACGATGCGCGTGCCCCTGGGTATCGCGTGCGTGAGCATCATTCCGGCCTTGGCGTTTGAGTGGCGGAGCGTGAAGCGCCGCGAAAAGAAGAAGGAGGAGGAGGAGGCGGACGAGAAGGTGGTTTCCTCTGAAGAGGGCCCGGGGGCGGAGAAGGGGCTCTGGGCCGTCGAGAGGAAGCGTGACGTGGGGGTGTAATGCTAAATTTCCTTTGGAGTAGGGTGTTGGGGCGTTTGCGAGTTGGTGAATTATGAGAAACGGCAATGGCTACGTGCATGCTCATAAAATAGGGAATATTAGACTGATCAAATTTTGAAATAAGAAAGCTCATCCGAGATAGTTTCGACCGTTTCGTAAATTACATGCAACTGTCATACCCCTGCCCCGCACACTTATCTCCTGCCTTTTTCCCTCCGCCTGATGCATCGTCCAGATCTCTCCCCTTCAACCCGAACAACATGCCACAGGGTACCAAAATCATATATACAAAGAAATTAAAAATATTCAAGCCCATCTAAACCCCGTGATAGCGCTTCCACCGGGAATCAGCTGGAGGGCAAGCTACCCCCACCATCTTCTTCCCCATTCCTCATTTTTCTCTTCTCACCACTATTCATGGAGTGGCTTGAGCGTTGCCCTCAAAGGTGATGCCGCGGCCGTCGCCGGGGTTGGGGTTGCCAGCGCTGACGGTGACGGTGACGGTGGCACCCTCGGCCTCTTCAGTCACGGTCCTGACCTGGGTAATGGTGGCAGCTTCTTCCGCCTCGGTGACGGTGCGCACCTGAGTCACGGTCGCGGCCTCAGCTTCCTCCGTAACGGTCCTCACCTGCGTGACAGTCTCGGCCTCGGCTTCGGCGGTGACGGTACGCACTTGGGTGACGGTCTCGACATCTGCTTCGGCGGTGACAGTGCGGACCTGAGTCACGGTCTCGACGTCCGCTTCGGCGGTCACAGTCCTGACCTGGGTGACGGTGGCCGCCTCACCCTCCTCTGTCACGGTAACGGCGGGGGCTTCGACAGTTTCAGTCCTGACGCGGGTTACGGTAACGGTGTCGGCTTCTCCGGAAACCGTAACGGTTACTGCCTCGCCTTCCTCGGTAACCGTGACGGCGGGAGCCTCGACGGTCTGGGTTCGGACGCGGGTGGTCACCACCGCCTCGCCCTCCTCGGTCACGGTGACCGTGGGAGCTTCGACGGTCTCGGTCCTGACGCGGGTAGTGACGACGACCTCTCCCTCCTCGGTGACGGTCTCGCCCTCGGCCGTGACAGTGATGGTCTCGGCTTCGGCAGTTAGGGTGGTGGTGCGAGTGAGGACCCTCTCGCTGATGCTGGTGATGGTGGCCGTCCTGGTAATGTATTCGGTCTCGGTTTCGGTGGACACGAGACCACCCGCCTCGGTGACGGTAACGTACTCGGTGGAAACAAGGCCGCCGCCCTCTCCGGTCACGGTGGTACGGACGTACTGCGTCTTGGATACAGTCACGGCCTCGGTTTCGACCTCGGTGACCGTGACGGCCTCGCCGTCACATTCTTCGCCTTCTGCGACAACGGTCTTGGTGACGGTGACTTCTGGTCCCTCCTCGGTCACGGGGGCCGCCTGCTCCGTGGTGGTGACGTATACAATACGGGTGGGGCCTGGGACTCCGGAGGCGGTCTCGGTGACGGTCACGACCTCAGCAGGGCCGCCTGGTTGCAGGATGACGGTCGTGGCGGGGCCGCCATTGATGACTTCCGTTACATATCGGTTCACAGTCTCGGTCACAAAAACGGTAGAGATGGAGGTCACGACTCGCTGCGCGAGGGCCGCGCCGGTGACAGCGCTGAGGCTGAGAAGCTTGCGGGTGGCTACCATGGTAACGGTGTTGGATCACGCGCTAGAGGTGAAGCAAATAGAAAAAGATAATAAAAAAAGAGAGAAAGGAACGAAAGAGCGCGTAGGGCAAGTAAGGTTGGTAATAGGTAGGTAGCTTTTGAGGAGAACGAGCGTAAAGGGCCGCCGAAGAAACTTCTACAGGTCTCAGCGAAAGATGTTCGCTAGAGTGAGAGCTGATCAAAGGCAAACCGAGACAATGCGAAGGAAGGAATGGTAGCGTTCTACGCGGGTTCGGAGCGAGTGGACAGGAGACAAGCCAGGGTATATCAAATTGAAGCAAAGGGCGACCCCTCCTTTAAGTGAGAAGAGTAGATTGCGTCCACTTTGATGGACTGCTATGATCATGACGGTATATAGCTGTCCCGATCCAAACATAGATCCACTTTTCAATAATCTTCAACAATCCTCCTCGTTTTCTGCTTTCTCTTTCTCTCTTCTTTTCCCAATCTCTTCCACACGGGCAAGGTTGACCGCATCACGGGTAGGTTTGCGGCTCGAGTTCCCGAAGTGCCCGAAATCAACCGCCAGCAGGGGACCCTTCCCACACCCCCTCAGGTGCCTCCCCTTTCTATTGTGATTTACTGATATACCTGCTGGCGAGCGGCGAGCCAGGCACTCCCTCGGCCATTTGTGTTGGACGGCATGAGACGGACTAACTCTTTCGCGGTGTGGATTCCAGGAACATACCGGAAGAGGGGCCGAAAAACGGGAGAAGAGACACGGGTGCGTCACTGGTTGCAAGGGGAGGAGAGAGGGAAGGATTGAGACCTCGACGCGCAAGTCAGTGGCGAGGTGGTGTGCAGGGTTGGAGGAAGCCAAGCATGGCCGAAAGCAAAGAGTCCGCAAAAAGAGAAGGAAACAAAGAAGGCCAACGGGTGTTTAGTTGCTGTAGATGGATCCATACATGGGTCTTGGAGGATAGGGCCTTGGTGCTGAAGTATACCGTACAAGGGAACATGAACTTGCAAGGGGCGGACGAATCATGGCCGTCCCGCGCAGTGCAGTGCCAAAGGATGAGGCAAAGACAATATGGCCGGTTAGTGGGGGTTATCGATTCGGTTAAAAAGGCGAAGAGGGCCATTGATTTGACTGACTTCTTGGCAGGTTAATATTCCCGGGCGGGATGATATTCATCACATATGAGCTGTAGATCAATTCACCCAGCAAAGAGGGAGTGGGGCAAATCATGCTCGTGCCTCTTCTTCCGGCCTCGATCGCGGCCTTCCAATCGGCTTCCTCCGTCCACTCGCTTGTCACTGGAAGCTTGAAGCTTTCCCCTTCTCGTTCCTTTTTTTTTCTTCTTCATTTTCATTTTCTCGGACACTCTCTTTGCCCGCTTCGTCTCTGCCCCTCTCTCTCTCTCTCTCCAGTTCATGCACCTCTCAGTTATGCAGGGAGCAGCACTGGGTGGTGTCGTGTATAATTTACCCTTTTATGTTGTGATATAAATAGAAATAGATCATGAAAGAATCACCTGCCCGGGTGCGTTCTGCTGGCACAGAACCCCGCCGTTGATCGACAAAAATCAACAGACACATAGCAGAGGCGGGGGATAGATGTCGCGGGTGGGAAAAGGGACTCTAGGCCGAGATGATGCTCCGTCTTCCGTGATTGTGTCATGGCCGGTCGAGTTGCCGCAAGGGCCTAGTCAGCTCTTTATCTATCATCCACATCTATGAACCGTTGTGGATCACCGATACTACGTTTACCATGTTTTCAAGCTTTGTGTTTCGCTGAGCCGCCCCGATAACTGACCCCCTTCGAACTTTTGGTTCATTTTGGTTCATTTTGGTGGCAATTTTCCTTGCCGTCGCGCCTCGGCCGTGGTCAAGGTATCTGCAATAAATCATGATCAGGCGTCCGTTCGTTCCGATAGAAGGAAGAAGAGAGAGAGAGAGGTCAAAAAACCAGTTTGCTCATCATTAGTCAATTTGGTTCGGCTAAGTAGTGGACGGATCTGAGCATGCAAATGGTGTAAGCTTAATATTTGGCGGGAGCGCCTTGCTGCTGTGCCTGATGTTGGTGACAAAATGTGACAACGGGTGGGTGGTTGCTTCATGTCACTGACAAGCCTCATGCGGCAGACTCTCCCACGGCAGGCCGTCTCGCTCGCTTTCCCGAGGAGGAAGCAATATTTGCAGATTTGTTTCGTCTCGTATCTGGTTTCCCTTCCCGGGTTCGATTCCGTTGGGAGGATGAACACCGGGTCATTACGAGGCGAGGTTCGCGGGCCTACATGCTCTCATGAATAGTATTGCGAAACCATCATCAGGCCGTGGCAGGCGGGAGGGAGGAAGGGCAGGAAGAGGATGAAGAAGAGGGCGGGTTGGTGATTTCCCCAATCGCAAGCTCACAGTCTCTTCGTGCACGCCTGGGTGGTGGAGGCTAATTTCTAGCAGCGGGCGGCCAGTGCCTGCTTGACAAGCAGCGTCGGCGGTTGAGCCTCAAGCTAAACCGAGAAAGTGTGCATTTTAATATGGATGAGGACAGGCGAGCCCATGGACGTTGAGAATTCTCGACGCCACCACGCGATCGTCTTCGTGGCCCCCCTGGCTGGCTCAAGGTGGGGACTTGGGTTTGTTGCACGAGTTTACATTGAGCTAGGCCCAACATCCGGGTCAAAACACCACACGTCTAGTTGTGATTAATATGGCTTATCTGCACTTTTTGTTTTCAAACCACCTTCAAGTCTTTGCGCCGTTGGCGGCGTGGGTTACTGATCGGGGGCCCGTCTGGGTATGATGTAAGTCATGAGGGCTAGACTTTCCCACCGTTACAGTATTGATGCGTGCAGCAGGGCCGGGAAGCGAAATGGGGCTCATCTTGGTCAACAGGGTGGTTGCTCGGTGGCGGAAAGGTAGATACGAGTAACCTCAGGCATGGGTTCACCCAGTCCCCGCATGGCCTGAACTCGCTGGGTTGCTGCTGCTGCACCTTTGACCTTTACAGGAGGAGCTTTGCGAGGTAGGATAGCCAAGGATAGACAGGGGTGCCACGAGTCCTCCCTCTTTTACGTATCTTGCACAGTGGTCTATGGCTAGGTTCTGTCTATCCATGGCAACCTGCCCCGGGCTTGTTATTCCTCTGGCAGTTGCACAGACATACGGGCGACTGACCCTGGGCCGGGACTTGTGCCAATGCGACAAGGTGTTTCGTAGCCTCATGTCACCTCCCCATTCCCTTAAAGGTTCAGCATAGCACTACTGTGGATGATCTGGAGGCAGGGAAGTTCATAACGGACCGGTTTCTCCTCTACTCCTGTTATCAAGGCATCACCTCTCGTGAAGCAATGTCTAGGAGCAAGCACCATGTATTATGAGTGAAAGGGAAAGAATGGCAGTCACCTTAAAAATGATGTTGACTTCTTTAGGAGCAAGTCCACATGGCGTGTCAGCCACGCGCCCCGGGGAGGAGAGATAGAGTTACTAGCCTCTTGCCGACCAGGAACGCTTGAATCTAGACGAAAGCTTAATTCCGATCTACACTATCAATATTGATATCGCCCCCTGTGGCGTGAACTAACAGCGTGCGGATAGTGTTTACCGTACCTGAAAAAGTTTTGTGTCATATGAATTTCCAGAGCATGACTCGTCCATCGTGAGTCGTACATTGATCTATCGACGTGACGAGTTTGGAGCTGAGCGAACACTAAAGATGTCTGCTTGTTCTGGACACCGCAAACGGTTGATCGCGGTAGTTCCCGGTACGCTGGGCTGAGTCTCTTCCTTTGCTCCATCCAAGCCTCGTGTTGCCCCCGACTAGCCCAGACTACACGACAGCTCTTTCGCCCGTTTCGTTTCGTTTCGCGTCGACGATTGCCGTAATTTTGAATCGCTCCACAAGCATCATCCGATTCCACCGTCAGCCTATTCCGCATTCAGCGCTTGGAAGAGACCCCTGGCCAGATCCACTCTGCACCTTGCGCACAAGACACACGCCCACACAGGAACTCGTTTCCGCGCTGCCCAATGGGGCCATGGCGATTTGTCGGACCACCAGATCCTGCGAGAATTTGATCAATGCCTAATACCTCCGCTCCCAAAAAGAAATCCACTCCGCCGAGAAAGAGCTGAACCCCACTAAAGAGATCAATCGGGCAAAGCCGGTAATCGACGCGGTGGCGCATGACCACGCCATGGGCTCATACAATCAGGCCATGAGGTCGATGCATCGAGGAAACGAGCGTGGAAGCTGCTAATTTTCTCGCGCGAATTCATGTGAGAAAATAAATCGACATGGATGCATCGTCGAGAGGGAATGCAGTTTTCGGAAAGAACGTAGATGACGTATGAGACGCCTATCGAATAAAAGCCTGAGGAAACCCCATTCCATGAAAAACTGCGGCGTGACTCCGACGAGAACCCCTCACAGCAAAGCATCGACTTACACGCACCCGAACTACCCGTTTTCCCACCACCCGACATTCGTTCACCATCGTAATAAACATTGAATCTTCACACAGCCATCGCACCCCACAATGACGAACGATACCCCTCTAACAGCGCCAAAGTTGGCCGCGAAGCCTGCTGTTCGCACTCGGCACATCAGCCACATCAATCGCGAAGACTTGTACACAAATCTCGAGGCCAGGATCCATTATCTGCATAGTTTCCTTGATTTCAACAGTGGTAAGTCTGCTTCGGTGCCCCTCCCTCCCGGATTCTATGTCGCTCGGGGACTTTTATGCTGACCTACCGGTGTTGGCTCATCGTAGCCGATATTGACGCCCTCATCACCGGCTCCAAGTACGTCAAGGCGCTGATCCCCGCCGTGGTCAACATTGTCTATAAGAAACTTCTTTCCTACGATATCACCGCTCGCGCTTTCACGACGCGCAGCACAAGCTTCGAGGGTCCCCTAGATGAACAGCCCGACGAGAATAGCCCCCAGATTCTGCACCGGAAGATGTTCCTCCGGGCGTATCTGAATAAGCTCTGCACCGACCCCTCTAGGATGGAATTCTGGGAGTATTTGGACAAGGTTGGGTACGTGACAAGCGAAATCCCTTTTAAGGACTTTGATCCTATTCCTTTCCTTGAACGGGAACGGGCCCCTGCTAACACACGTTTCTGTTTAGCATGATGCACGTTGGTCTCGGCCGCGCGCACCCTCTCCACGTCGAATACATTCATCTCGGCGCCTGCTTGTCCTTCATCCAGGATATCCTGACCGAGGCCATCCTATCTCATCCCAGACTCCACATCCAGCGCAAGATTGCTCTCGTCAAGGCCATTGGCAAGGTCATATGGATCCAAAACGACCTCATGGCCAAGTGGCATGTGCGGGACGGCGAGGAATACGTCAGCGACAACAGCGACATCGTCATCGAGAAGGAAGGTTACCTCAACGGCAAAAGGTGCTTGATGACGAAGAACTGGCCGACCTACCGCCGACTTCTGGTGTGTGTCCTTTTACAGGTGTGTCCAAGGGCATGCAATCGTTAAAGGTGTCGGAGGAGAAGCCGGCTGCCCCGGTTGCGTAGTGAGGCCCTTGGGACAGGGGAACTAGTCCCTTTTCAAAACTCTTCATCCATGATATCCCCCCTTTTCGGCATGCATTCAAGGAGTCAGGCGTTAGTTGTAGGTTACTAGTTAAGATTTGCTTTTTCTTCTGTACAACAATAATATTTTTTTGACGCGTATACATTTTCCGTTGTATGTCGGTATATATCAATTAGCCTTGACCTCACTGATGATTGATGTCATTTTGCTAGCCTGCAGATATTTCAAAGAAGAGAATCGTTATTGTTCATTGCATTGTAAGTATTGCTATATCTGTTTTCTGGTCATCACTGGTATCTCTCCGTCACACTCAATTTTCCCCTTCCTTCGCTTTAGGGACAGGCGGAATCCACGCGACGGCCACGTTGATAGCCACGCTCACGGCGCCAATGATCCATAAGGCTGTGTGGTACTCCTTGCCGTAATGTCGGAAAATGACGGCAAAGATCACTCCGCCGAGGTTTCCGGTGGCGCCCACCATTCCCGACAGGACGCCTATATTGACGCGTTAGCATGTACATGGAAGACGTTGAGATTGGCGATCGGTATCCGGTGGGAGAAGAGAGGGATAGATTTCAGGCAGGTTGACGTACCATTTGCATACGGATGGACATGAGGTACGACGGCAAAGCTCGCACCGTTGGAGGCATCCATAAAGAAAGCTAGACCCGCAATCAAGCCAAACATGGTGGCCTTGTCGTGGGGATCCGATAGACCAATGGCAAGCTCAAAGACACCCATGACGATGCCGAGGAAGCTCAACCACAGCTTCTTGCACCATACCGAGTCGGTATAGTGGTAGATTATATCGCCCACGATTCCACCCGCGGGCCGGAAGAGCACGTTCAAAAGACCAAACATGGCGGCCCATCGCCCGGAAAGGGTTTGGCCGAGGTCGGGAAAGTTTTTGAAGTAATACGACCCGATGATGGAGTTGATGGCCAGCTCACCGCCTGTAAGATTCAAAGTTAGTACACCTCCTTCTTCTGACCACGCAGCCTCTCGGTGTCTAAAGAAAACATACCAAACGAGCATGCGTAGGGCGCAGCGAGAGCAAGGGACTGCAAGGAAAAGATGACGTGGAGGGTTCTGCGGAAGCTAGGCGCTTCGACAATTTCGACGCCCGCGAGCCCAATATCTGTGGCCTGGCCCTGGTGAATGGAGCCCGCGGGGACTTTTCCACATCTTTCTTTTCATTCTCCGAGTCGTGGCTGAGGTGCAGCGTAGCAGTCTCAGATGGAGGCGTCATGGGCTGCTCCGCCTCCAAGGCGAGATGCCGCTCCGACCACTTGCCCGTTGGGGTATCGTCGCAAAACAGGAGCATGCCGGCGGCTGTTGTGACGACGATGACGAAAGGTAGGACGAACGCCACACGCCAGGCCACGCGAGGGGTGAGACCCTGGGAGTGCACGAGGGCGTCGAATAGAGCGGGCATGACAAAACTGTAGGTGATGGTTAGCGAAAGTGGTTCGCAGCTGATGTTTCCTCAAGAGCAAGAACGTACTAGGTGATGCCGCCGCCGGCGTTACCCCAGCCACCTGCCAGGGCGTTGGCGGTCCCGACTACATTCTTGTCGAAGAATCCAGTACACCAGACTTGGCAGGGGACAAACGTGCCACCGAGGATGCCCACAAAAATCGGATGGCAATGAGCCCGGCAGGCGTGGTGACGGTGGTGGCAAGTGCGGTGGGTATCGAGCCGACGAGTAGGAGGCCGGCAAAGACATAGCGTGGCCCAAAGCGGTCGCAGAGAGGGCCGGCGATGAAGCGCACGAGGAATCTGTAAGAAAGCAAAGATGTGGTCTACATGTCAGCCTCCGGCTTACAGTTGGCTAAGCGTGTGAGTCAAGGACGAGAACATACGTTGCGAGAAGGGCCACGATATTAGAGTTGGCAACATCGGCTTGTGTCATTTTCAAGTCATTGCGGATGCTGATTGTTAACTGTACAAGGATGTTAGAGCAAGACTCCCGGGCGTGATCATGGGGTTATTGCGTACCAATGGCGGGAACGCGTACCACGAGAGGAACGCTACCATGAATCCCAACCATGAGAAGAAGAAGACTCGACCATAACGGTCAAAGGGATTTAGGACAGGTATGGACCGCGCCTTGTGATTGAGTGGGTTGATGGTGGGTGCTTGAACGGCATATTTTAGCGTGGTGGACAACATGGCGTCTTGCGCTTGTGACTTTTCCCAAGTTGATGCTCTTCCTGTCGATATCCTTTTACCGTGATTTCGGAAGGTGAGCCTGTTTAGTGTGAAGAGGATGGTGCACTATCCACTAACAGCCATGATCAATGTCAAGGTGGAAGGAGTTGGACCAAGATATATCTGATTTTCCTATCATGATGGGCTGCAAAGATTCAAATCGAGCCTTTCGCTGCTTCGACGTCGCACCGCTTTCTGCTACCCTTGTATCAGCGCCTTTGAGCGACAAGCCTCCGGCTCCCAGCCAGATACTGGTTAGAGATAGCAGTATCTTTCGTTGAAGCTGACAGGGCGCACATGCAAGCTTCAATAAGCCGGTATACGTCAAGATTCGAGCCTCAAAAGTATAGTTTTCGTGGTTGGGTTCCGATTAGTGTGGTAGGTCTCCGGTCGTCTCTCGTTTGCTTGTGGGACAGCGATAGTGCGAAACAGCGAGCCACGTTTTGAGCATCTCCGCGGAGAAAGCTGCGCATGGATCTTATATACCGGGATGAAAGGATTTTGTTATCTCGCATAAAATAAGAAGGAAAAAAGTGGAAGTGCCAACCCGACTACTAGGGGGGCCTTCAGGTCGGGCCGTGGGGACAGAGATAAGCGTTGCGGGCGGCAGAGAAGGAGTGTGTGGAGAGCTGGAGGGATTGCCTTGTGATAAGCGTCACAGCCACAAAAAGACAGGTCGATCCTGGACAGGCTTCAATCAATCGAATGGGCTGAGGGCCGCTGGGCGGAGCTGGGGCCCTCTTTTCGAGATTCTAGTACCCGGCCGGACAACGGGATGGTGACTCCGTCCCAGGGAGAAACAACTCACTGAAGACGAGAATTGATTGCCAGCATCGCGACCAATGACATGAGTTGGCTTATCAGTAACACGATCATGTGATCAGCATTAAAGACTGCAGTGCACGATGATTGATCGCAAGCCTTGGAACTAGACTAGTCCGTCTCGGGCAATCTTGATTTGAGCCCACCATGCCCACAAAATGTCGGCCAAGCAGGGCTTTCCGCTAGCTAGCCCGAGTATCGGGCATGAGAGCCGAGTAAAGAGGGTGCTGGGACGTTTAATCATCGTTTCGATATCAAGAACCCCCACTTACCGGAGGTGTTGCACAACAGGCGAGCCCTATAACCTTGGACTTGTTGGTATTGAGTGGTCTAAACATGTCTGCCAAGTGAGAGAACCTTTTTCCCTCTTTTCTGATATCTTTGCTCTTGGAGATAACACGATCGTGCGTGGTCGTTCTGTTCTATCCAGCCGGGCAATATCATGAATCGGGGTTGAATGTTTGATGTCGCCTCTTGTACTCGCGTCTTCTTAATCTAGAGAGGCAGCCATGCGTGTATATGAGAACACTACTATTTACAATCTAACGTGGCTATTGATCCTATCACCAGCTAATCGAATTTGTCGTGACCACTTTTCTCGGCACGTCCTGGGGCTTTCTAGCCCTCCGTCCCTTCTTGCACCCCTCGAGCTTCTGATCCATCCGTTCGAACGGGTTACACGATTCACTGCTCTTCGTCTTCCACCGCGAAGTGCCCAGCAGGGCATCAAGCTCCGGCACGGGAGGAAGTTTTACGTAGATCCACCCATCCTCCCTCTCCTCGACCGGAAACGTCGCAATATTCATGGACTCATCGTTCGAGCACTTGCCGGCCTCGCTACCATTCAGCTCAAAGTTGCGCTTATGGTGGGGGCACGAGACCCAGTACTTGCCGTCCCCTTCTCCAATGATGCCGTCAGACAGGATAAAGGCGCGTTTGTGGGGGCACATTTGCTGGGAGGCGTAGTAACCACCCTTGACCTTGAATATGGCCAGTTGCGTGTCCCCCGCTTTACTTGAGCCGTGGGGAACTCATCAAAGTGGCCAACCTGGATAAGAGGTTGCCACGCCAGCTCAGACCATTGGTGGCCCTTGAAGTCCTGTTCCGCGGCTTCGCTAGCCCAATATGCGGGTCTCTGCTGCTGCCGCTCCGTCACAATCTCCACCCCTTCCACCTCCTCGTCCGTGTTGTCAAACTGCCTAAAGGCCTTTTGACGCTCGGGGTCCTTGAGGATCTCCGTCCACTCACAGAAATACCCGTCCACGAGCTCCTGCATCTGCCGCTCCATATCTGCGCCTATGCCGAGCTTGTCCTCCACCACGACCTCGCGGAGATAGTCTATGCCCCCGGCAGGTTCTCAATCCAGCGAGCTGTCCTCTGAAGTCTGTCTGCCGTGCGGATGTAGAAGATGAGGTATCTATCCAGGAGCGGTACGACTTCCTCTGGTGGCACATCCTTGGCAAGGAGTTCCGCATGGCGGGGTTTCGCACCACCATTTCCTCCTACGAATATGTTGAAGCCGTTCTCGGTAGCGATGAGGCCGAAGCTAAGGAATTCTTGTTAGAAATCGTGATTTTCGCAGCGCCATTAGGGAAATTCAACAGTTTTCGTGTGAATGATGTGGTCTGTAAACTTACTCTTTGCTCTGTGCCTCCGCGCACTCCCGCACGCATCCGGACACGCCACCCTTTAGTTTGTGCGGCGCGCGGAGACTCTTATATCGCTCTTCCACGCGAATGGCCATGCCAACGCTATCACCAATCCCATACCTGCACCAGGTAGAACCGACGCAACTCTAATAACGCTCAAGGTTAGACATAGAGGAAGAGAGAATACACTTGGGGGTCACGGAATCTGCAACCTACCTTGACTGTCCTTAAAGATTTAGCATAGGCGTGGCCGCTTTCCATCCCTGCGTCCACCAACTCTTGCCAGATCGGAAGCAGATCTTGCTTCTTTGCACCAAATAGGTCAATGCGCTGACCGCCGGTAATCTTACAGTATAGATTGTGTTTCTCTGCTACCTTTCCAATCGTTATCAATTGGAAAGGTGTGATTTCGCCTCCGGGTATGCGAGGCACCACTGAAAATGTGCCATTCCGCTGAATATTTGCCAGGAACCGGTCGTTTGTGTCCTGAAGTTGGTGCTGCCGTTTCGACATGACATGCTCGTTGTAGAGGCTGGCGAAAACGGACCCGATGGTGGGTTTGCAAATCTCGCAGCCCAGGGACTCGGGATCAGTGCCAGCCTCACGCATCACGTCTTCTAGAGTCCGCAACTGTTTGACGGCAATAATATTGTACAGGTCAACGCGGGAGTGTGCAAAGTGAGGGCATACTACGCCGACAAGCGTTAGCTATTTTAATCCCTTTGGGGTGGAAAAAGGGAAGAAACGTAAACGCACAGTGGTTTGACACTTCACGCCCGAGATCTTTCAACGTGCGGTTAATGATGCTTTGAACAAGCGGGAGACAGCCTCCGCAGCCGGTTCCTGCTTTTGTGCGAGACTTTACATCTGCTAGGTTCTTGCACTCGCCGGACTGAATGGCATTCACGACGTCGCCTTTCGTTACGTTGTAACAAGAGCATACCTGAGTATCATCCGGACTGTCGAGGGTGCTCTTGTTAGCGACTGAGAAGCAAAGGTAGACCTGTCACTGGGGAAAACATCTCTAAGAAGGAAGATGATACATACAGATCTGAGCCATCATCCTCGGCTGCACTTTTGTTGCCCAGGATAAATTGACTTGGGGAACTTCTAAAGGTGTACGGTTTCGCACCATTTGCGCAAGCTTCGCGTAGTCGCTAGTATCTCCAATCATCATCCCGCCTACCACGTATTTGCCATCCAAGGTGAACAAGTACTTTTTGTAGACAGCTCCAAAGGGGTCCTTGTATGTTAGCGCCTTCACCGGAGGCGCCCCGCTGTGGCAGGTCTTTGGCTCTCCGGGAAGCGTTCGTCTCAGCCCGCTGGCAAATGCCGGTCCATCGCGGTCGGCGAAGAAGTCGCCAAAGCTAGCCACGTCGATGCCGAGGAGCTTTAGCTTGGTGCTGGGGTCTATGCGCGTGAATTTGCGTAGTTCTTGTGTGCGGCCGTCGGTTAGGTTGTAGGATAGTATGTCGGCCATCTCAACTCCGGGCGCGATGATGCCAAAAGTTTGATCCTTCCAGCACGAGCAATCTCCGATGGCGTATATATCGGGAACCGAGGTTTGAAGGCTTCAAGTCCATGTTAGAAACTTTAGATCTAGACTGTATCCTCGTCACAAGACACGTCAACTTACTCCTCGCCCACCACAAACCCGCCAGTTTGGGGTCCAATTTGAATCCCAGCACTCGCCGCCAAGTCATCCCTTGGCCTTACCCCGATCTACTATTGTGTTAGCTTGGTCCGCGTCGATGAAGTCTTTTGTGGTGGGGCGGAGAACAAACCGCAAAGCAGACACAGCTACAATCTATTGACTCGCCATCCTCGAATGTGATACCGATCACGTTGTTCTCGCCGTCGACATCAACACTGGCTATTCGCTTCTTGTGCTTGACCTCAATGCCGAGCTCGCGTACCTTTTCCGTGACGAGGTGGCCCGCATCGGCGTCTAGTTGCCGAGCCAAGAGATATTCGTTGCGATCAACGACGGCTACTGTAGAAAAAGACTCAAGATCCATCATAGCCTTTGCAGCCTCCAGACCAAGGAGTCCACCGCCCACCGCCGCGCCTACCGTTCCCTTGTGTCTGGAGGCAAACTCGATGAGAGATTCGAGGTCGGCGATTGTGCGGTATACGAAAACACCGTTCGCATCGTAGCCGGGGGTGTGCTTCGGCAGCACCGCATCCGATCCTGTGGCGAGCACTAGGATATCGTAAGGCACCATGTCGTTGTTAGAGGTCAAAACGCATTTCGTCTCTGGTAATATTTGGGTCACGCGAGTGTTTAGGTGGTAGTTTAGCCAGTCATCGCCGAATGATGTGTACTAAAAAGAGTTGGTAGAAAATCTTCCATTAGAGATATGCACGCTATACAGTTTGGGATGGCGCGTGAGAAGGCTGCACTTACCCATTCCTGGGGATTGAGGTAAAGATTCTCGATCAGCCTGTGCTCAAAAAATGTCGACAATCCTACGCGGTTATACGCGAGATGAGATTCCTCGCCAATGACTGTAATGTCGTATTCTCTCTTCTTCGCATCCAATTTTGTGAGTTTTTCTCTGTAGAGCCGGACCCATATTAGTCGCAGGGTTGCAGGATTGCAGGACGTGTGTTTTGACACGGCCTTGCTACTTACAAAAAGGCCATCGCGACCATACCCAGGCCCACCACAACAATGCGTTTTCGCACAGCGCCTTCAGATCCATCTTCTGGGGGAGTAATAACACCATTTGTATGATAGCCATTCGGATAACTACTCGAAAGGCCATCTTGGTTACCTGCTGGGAGGCCATCATCTTGTTGGTGATTCTTCGCGTCTTGGATCATGATGCTTTGGTGGTTTTACACTCTCATCTACGCCGACGATGGATAGATGGTACAACTGAAAGCAGATGAGGATCCTCAGAAGTGAAAGAGAGAAGATGCCTATGAATTCCGAGGACATCAATGACAAGATGGGGGCATAACCAACTTGACACTTCCCACCGCAAGGGTTCTTGGTCCATTTTTACCAGACTCAGCTGTCGATAGGTTCAAACTCGTCTTTGTTTCTAATCAGGCGAGTGTGATTAGTCTATTTTCCTTCCACTCCTCGCCCCCAAGATTGGATATCCGGGGTGAGCCATCAGAAACATCATGGACGGGTAGTGGAGGGAGGCAGATCGGCCCCTGATAGCGCCCCGTCAGACAGGGCCCTTCCGATTGGCTAGTCTCGATGGCAGCGTCGCCGGGACCAATAAATGAGCGCGTCGCTCCACTTCACTGATAAGGATCCTGGATTAGGGTTAAGGTTTCATGAGAAGCCGCGTCCCCGACGTAGACGGCGATAATTCTGACGATAAGAGAGGAACAGTGGGTCCAATGATAAGGGAAAATCGATTGGCATATATGAAGCGCGAGCTGCACCTCTACCCTCCTCCGCGGAGATGTCGAAACTCTTCTCCTGTTTTCTTGCGTCTAGTAGGGTCAGACAACATCACAATCTTCGACCCGCCTTTGCTAACGCCCGCAAGAGTGAAAACTCAGTCGATATCGAGATAAGACCAAAACACACGGGACTCCACGACTGATTAACTTTCAATTACGTCTTTATTCACCTTATCTGACCTTGTGCCCCCGCGGAGATGTAAGCGTCTGCTGTGGATTTGCTTTATTGCCAGATAGCTAGAAAATTTCTCCCACGCTCATGCCGGGAGCGGCGAGAATCGGCGCCGGCCGGGCTCGCAAACTCGTGCGGGCAAAGCCCATTGGGAATTGCGTAGCTTTCAAGATTATTATCTGCAAAGTTCGATGTTGCTATCGGGAGTTCAAATTCTGAAATCTAGCCATTTGTATTTGCAACACTGGGCGGGCCCTGCACTCGTTACCGCAGCCTATCCTTTCTATTCTATCAATTGACTTGTGCCAATGGCTACGTTTATCTTTACCCACGAGATTCTCTCTAGAACGTCCAACCCATGAACCTCGAGAATCATTGCGTTGTTGTGTCTTCATACCGGTCGTGCCCTGCCAGTCTTCGCGGAGACTATGCTCTTGCTCTTGCCGTACCGTTTAGCACAGCCCTTCCATACCCTGTAAACTCACACACCACTATTTCGCCCCAAAAAGCCACCAAACGATTCAACATAGGTGCTTAGGTACCATAGTTTTGGCCACCATGTTGGCTGTCGAGCGCCCATTTCCCAAGCTACCTTCGCCCCCTTCTCGCACGCCGGCCTCCTCGGTGCTAGACAAGGATAAGGACACACCAGACAACCATGTTGCCAGAGATGGCCGTTTAATTCGGCTGACCGGTGTGCATCCCTTCAACGCGGAGGCTCCGTTGACTTCCTTATACGAAGAAGGTAAAGCTTGAGCTTCGCGAGAGGACGAGAAGGGCAGTGAGCCGTTCATCAATGTGAGCTAACGAACCATGTATAGGTTTTCTCACATCGGTGGACCTATTCTACGTAAGAAATCATGGTCCGGTGCCCCAAGTTCTCGATGAGCAGGTTCTCACATGGGAGTTCAGCGTTGAGGGGTTCGTTTCTCTGATAATATTTGTCGTCGGCATCGACGCTTGTGCTAATACGCAGTTAGATTGGTTGAGAACCCCTTCACAATAACCTTGAAACAACTGATCGAGGAATTCGAGCAAATCACCTTACCCATCACGCTAGTATGTGCTGGAAACAGACGCAAAGAGCAAAACACCGTCCGGAAGACCAAGGGATTCTCCTGGGGACCTGCAGGGCTCTCCACTGCGCTGTTCACGGGAACTTTAATGGCCAACGTGCTGCGTCGAGCGAAACCCCTACGACGTGCTAAATATCTTTGCATGGAGGGTGCAGATAAACTCGTGAGTTCTAGTCTCGTTGATGGCATCTAATACACGCTATTTCACTCTCCTGGTTGTTGTACAAATTTTGAGAAAGAGGACTGGCAACTAATACCTTGATGAAACAAACTAGCCCAACGGTCATTATGGCACGTCATTAAAACTCAACTGGGTCATGGATCCCAACAAGGGCATCATGCTTGCTCACGGAATGAATGGTGCGCCGCTCCGCCCAGACCATGGCCGGCCACTCCGCGCCGTTGTCCCCGGCCAAATAGGCGGCCGGAGCGTTAAATGGTTGAAACGGCTAATCGTCACGGCCGAACCCAGCGACAACTGGTACCACTACTATGACAACAAAGTGCTTCCGTAGGTTTCCCATCAGATAGGGTACGGAGGAAGCGGCCCCTCGCTAACTACATGTATGATCCAAACAGGACGGTGGTCACGCCGGAAATGTCTGCGGCGCAGCCCCATTGGTGGCGGGATGAAAAATACGCCATCTACGACTTGAACGTGAATTCGGCCATGGTGTACCCACAGCATGAAGAAGTGCTCGACTTGACTCTACCGAGCCAACTATATGCTCTTCGGGGCTACGCCTACAGTGGGGGCGGGCGTCGAGTCACTCGCGTAGAAATATCTCTCGATAGTGGGAAATGTGAGCCATCCATCTATCAACTTAAGCCCGATACCGCCGTGCAATGCGCTAATCTCAGTTGCCGTCGAGGGTAGCATGGAGACTTGCAGAGGTAGAATACCCCGAAGATCGCTTTCGGGAAGCGGAAGCTGACATTTACGGGGGCCGTCTCGACGTGTCTGACCGGGAGACGTCTTTCTGCTGGTGCTTCTGGTCGTACGACGTGTCCATTCTCGAGCTGCGCAACTCGGATAGCATCCTCGTCCGGGCGATGGATGAAGCCCTCGCCTGTCAGCCGCGGGATATGTATTGGTCCGTCCTCGGTATGATGAACAACCCCTGGTTCAAGGTGACTATCGAGAAGGGCGACCAGTGGCTTCGCTTCCACCATCCCACGACGTTGCTCCCGGGCTCGATAGGGTGGATGGATAAGGTCAAGAAGGTAGGAGGAGACTTGCTGAACGGGCGGTGGGGAGAAAGGGCAGTCGGATTCGAGGAACCGCATACCCCGCCAGTGGAGGAGGTCATAACCATGACGAACGCGAATATCACCAGGATCTTCACTTTTGACGAGTTCAAGGCGGAGGCTTCCCAGGAGAAGCCGCTGTTTGTTGTCGATGGGCAAGTGTACGATGGAACGGAATATCTGCAGGACCACCCGGGAGGCGCTCAGAGCATTCTCACATCAGCCGGAGCAGACGTGACTGAAGACTTTATGGCTATCCGTACGATAACCCCTCCCCATGTTTGCTTTTAGACAATCCGTATCAATGATGCTAACATGTTCATGCAGATAGTGAAAACGCAAAGGGCATGATGAGAAACTACCATCTGGGTAGTCTCGACGAAGATGCTAGGAAACGCCTCTCCGGTGCAAACGCCGCGGAGGATTTACCAGCATCAAGAACCGAGTTCTTACATCCCAAACATTGGGTCAAGGCCACTCTAGGCGAAATCGACATAGTGTCTTCAGACACAAAGATTTTCAAATTCAAGTTCGGCAGTCATCAAGCTGTGGGACTTCCCATTGGGCAGCACCTCATGCTACGCATCAAGGATCCCGCCAGCGGCGAAAATATCATCCGCGCGTACACGCCCGTGTCAGAAGGCGCGCAAAAGGGGTCGGTTGACCTCTTGATCAAACTCTATCTACCGACAGCTGCGCTAGCCGGGGGCAAGATGACCACGGCGCTGGATAAAGTGCCGGTTGGCGACGAGGTGGAGTTCAAGGGCCCGATCGGCAAGCTCGAGTACCTGGGTCGGGGCCAGGTCACCATTAGTGGAACACCCCGGAAAGTGTCGTCGTTTGTCATGATTTGCGGCGGCAGCGGCATCACGCCCATCCTACAAGTGTTTAGGGCGGTGATGCAAGATCCGGAGGACACCACATACTGTACCGTTCTGGACGGGAACCGCCGGGAGGAGGACATTCTCTGCCGGGACGACTTGGAGCGTTTGGCGGCGTTGAAAGTGGATGGCTGCAAGGTAATTCACACGCTCACGAGTCCGTCGCCAGAGTGGATGGGGAACGGGGAAGGCTTTCCGAGGCGTTGTTGACTAGGGAGGCTCAGCCTACGGAGGGAAGGATAGCGCTCATCTGCGGGCCTGGGGCGATGGAATCCATGGTTAGGGAGTTTCTGGGCAAAATGGGATGGCTAGAGGGTGATATGGTGTTTTTTAAAAAGTGTTCGCTACAGTCTATCAAGTACAACCACAAAAAGAAGCCAGCGAATCTTGGCCGAGCAGTTCCAGTTCCAGCTCCATCAACGTGCCGATTCAAATTTGTTCTAAGATGCATGCAAACAATAGATAGGAGATGACAAAGAGTGATACAACAAATGCAGAGGGTATCGCAACGCTAAACTATTCTCAGGCACGTATTAAATATTAAACGGGAAAACATGTGTCGGTTTTGTAGAACCACAGATAGAGCGTGCGCATACGCGCCTACGCATATCGCACGGGCATCTTGCCCTTTCCTTTTCCTTCGTCTGGAGGAGGGGTGACGGAAAGAGTGGGAGGTACCGGGGCCCCCGCCGCTTCGGGCTCCATGGGGAAGGTGGTCTCGTTGTCGGTGGTGATACATCTGCCGGCGGCGCGGCGCGGGAGGGCCCGGGCGATGGGGTTAACAAGGGCGAGGGTGCCGTCGGCATAGGAAGTACGGGGCAGCACCGGGGTTGGGGCAGCGCCCGGAACGGCGAGGGCGGTGGTCATTTGCGGGGAGCGCCGGGCTGAGGTGCCGCCCAGGCCTGGCCAGGGCCAGGCGGGGGTACATAGGAGCGGCCAAGGGGGCCCGATGATGTGACCCGGCGAACCATCCTGCTTCCTCCTGCCTTTCCAGCAGCAGAGTCCGCGGCGACGGCAGCAGAAGATACCGAGGCAGACGGACACCGAGATGGCGGCCACACCGGCGACGATAATGATGACGAGGACGGCGATGCTGAGGCCCGACACGCCGTTGTTCCCGTAGCCACGAGACCCGCCACTGTCAGAGCAGCTGCTGTAAAGGGGGCAGCTGTTGGCTTGCGAGGAGCCGGGGAGGTAGGCGCCGTAGCTGGCAAAGGGGACGATGTCCGAGGTGGCGGTAGCGGAATCGGAGGAGAGCGGGGCGAGGCCGATTTGGTCGTTGACGCTGTCAAAGGCGATGTAGGTGGAGCCGAGTACGCTGGAGCCGAGAAACCAGCCTTCGTCGTAGTACTCGTCGTAGGAGGAGCTAGAGCCCGTACGGCTGGCGGTGCTCTGGATGCCAAAGAGGCACTTGTCGGCCGGGTTGCCCTTGTCGTCGTCGGCGGAGGCGTCGACGTAGTCGGGCAGGACGTCGCGGGGAGGATGAGGTCCTTGTAGGGCACGCGTAGAACGTACTCGTCCTGCTCGCCGAGGCCGATGACGAGCTCGGCGGGGGCGTCGGGGATACCGGCGCAGGGGACGATGGCGTATCCGGACGTCCTCTCGACGGCGGCGCCGAAGCGGGTCCAGATCTTGCGGGCTAGGGTGGCGGGCAGGTCGGAGACGTAGGAGGAAGGGTCGATGAGGACATAAGGATCGTAGCGTGACAGGTTGCTGATGATGGGCTCCGAGATGTCGCCGGCGGTCTGGCTAATGTTGACGGAGGCAAGGGTGACGGCGTAACCCGCGTAGGAGGTCAGGTAGCTCGAGGTGGAGAGGATTTGGAGGTCGCCGGAATACCGGGCCTTGTCGACGGCGCCGAGGAGGAGGTTGCTGTTGCGGACGTCGCTGCCCTTGTCGGCCCAGAGGCTGAAGCCGAGGGAGTTGATGAGCCCTTGGTCGGCGAGCTGCAGCAGGATGTAGGGGTCGTCGGAGAGGGCCCTCCTGGCGGGGCCGAGGCCCATGACGCCCCTCATCTCGGTGGCGGAGGAGGCGAGGCCGAGACTGGCATCTTTGAGTTCGAGGTCGCCGACGCGGACGGTGTCATAGAAGTAGTCTCCGCTGACGGTGGAGTCGGTGGTGCTATCGTAGAAGTAGTCGGCGGTGCCCTCGGCGTACGTAGAGGATTGGTTGGTGAGGACTAATGGGCAACAACAAAAGAAAAACAGCTGGTTAGCCCTTGTGCACATATCTTGCTAATTGAACAATTCTTGTAACTTACAGTAACCCCAGTCGCAACCTTTAAAGGTGTCTTCGCAGCCTTCGGCACTGGGAACCCAAGTCGACTTGAGGTTGACGCTCACAAATACCTGAAACTCCTGCGGCGGGGTGCCGATGGTGATGTTGGTCGCGTAGTTGGCGGGGAGCAAGTTTGGGATGTGGAGATCGGCGGCGTCACGCCTTTCTTGCGAGGACGCGGGCGAGATGGCGCCGTTTGTTCTCGTGAGAGGGAGGCTGATGTAGGCGGAAGCGGTGCTCGCGCACAGGGCGGCGGCAGCGGCGAGGATTATTGACCGCATCGCGCCGGTGGTTTTAAGAGGAGCTGGATGCGAAAGAAAGACTGAGGTGGGAAGGCATGCCAGGGAGAGAAAGAAAAAAGAAAGGAAAAACGAAAGAGAGGAAGAAAAGTGAGATGTGCGTGCACACTCTCACACGAGATGGTTGGAAGGATCACGAAAGGAAAGTCAGGAGTTTCGTCCGGGGTCGGGAGGGGTGCCCGCCTGGTCTTTATTTTTGGTCGAGTCGACGATGACCGTGCACATATATACCCATGCTCGCTTGCAAGGCGACCAAGGGCCAAAAAAGCGGAGGGATTCATTTTAGCTCGTGAAGGGAAATTAAACGAGGCGCGAACGGCGTGACATCGGCCGAAATGGAATCGTGAGAAGAATTTCTGGTCTGGCTCAGGCAGGTGCTGCAGACTGTAGGCAGCCATGGGCCCTGTCGGGGCAGAGCCGCCAAACGAACAAGCGTTTGAACACCTTGCCAGAGGATCTGGAAGAATACGAGATGACTCTTCCTCTCCTCCAGGCAGGTCCCGAAGAAGAGGGATTCTCCTCGTGACATGTTCGCATCGCCGGGGTGCGGGCCTGGCATTCACGATGAGGGCTCGTATTGGCACAGACTAGTTAATCGTGGCAAAACCAAAAATCGCTAGACCAGGTCGGCGATAGCATCCACGATGGAAAAATGCCATCCCAAGTTGATGCGGCATTTCGGCACCAAGATCGAGGGGCGGACAGCAAAAGCGCACTAGAGGCGGGAATGGCGAAGATGGGAAAAGGGGCGGAGTGGGACCCCAGAAAGCCAAGTCGAGCGTAGCGTCGAAAATTCCTGTCAGCGGAGCGAACCCCTGTCTGCCCTGCCTGTTCCTGCTCATTATCATTGGTGTTGGAGAGGCAAGGGGTTTATTCTTGGAGCCCATGCAAGCATCGTTGGCCTTTTCCTTTTTCCCCGACTCCCGCAACTGGTGGCGTTGGTTGTTGAAGAAGTCTTAGCCAAGCCTGGTTCGTGGATGACATTTTTGACAAAGCAATTGAATAATTCCCAGTAAAATCAATCAATCCATTGATAATGTATCTCCAGGTTGCCTACAAGACGACATCCCCTCCACCAGACACTATTGTTTGTCTCTAATACACGTAAAACACCGTAGTCTCGTCGCTGCTCTGGCGCATAACCCGGTTCCGCCTCAGCATCACCAGCTTCGCCACCCACGCCAGCGCCGCCGTCGCCACGCTCACGCCCGCACTCACCATCATGGCCAACATGTACTGGGGCCCGTGGCTCTTGGGCCAGAGGTACGGCGTCCACACGAAGCTGACGTTCATGATGGTCGTCACGATGCCGATCGCCGCCGCCTTCTTCTCCTTGGTCTGCCCGCACACGCTGCCGCACCACCCGAGGATGAGGCTGTTGACCCCGTACGTGCCCGTCGTGAAGATGGCCATGGCGATGTAGCGCCCTACGATTGTGGGCGCGAGCGGCGCCGCTACGAACCCGGCCACGGCTACGGCTTTGGATGCTGTGATGTGCCACGTGCGCTCGTTGAAGTGGCCCGAGGACCAGGAGGCCAGGATCGTGACGGCGCCCGCGATGAGATAGGGTGGGCAGGTTAAGATGAGCGTTACTGTGCTGTTTAATCCGAGTGTCTCGACGACCGTGGGGAACTGCGCGTAACGGGCTGTTAACCTCTGGCACTCTCCATAGGGGTCAATGACTAGAGAAGCAAAGGGAAATAAAAAGAAAGGGAAAGGGGAATTATTCGAGGAGACTGTCTCAAGAATGCTGAAAAAGGTAAGGGATATAGGGGATAAAGAGACGTACAAAGTTCTTGAAGCCGTTGGCCGCAAGGTGCATATGCGCCATGGCCGAAAACAGCCAGACCATCGGGTCCTTGGCCGCCTGCGCCAGCCCAGCCCTAGTACTCGTCTGGCCCGCGTTATCCACCGTATCAAGCTCCATGCGATTAAAAGCAAGGTCGCGCTCCTCCTGCGAGAGCCACTTGGTCGTACGCGGGAAATCAGGCAGCCAGAAGAAGCCGGCGATGGCGACGGCAAAGGTCACGACGCCCTGCAGGATAAAGAGCCACTGCCACCCCTTGAGGCCCAGGGACCCGTCCATCCCGTGGAAGACGCCGGCCGCGATGAGCCCGGCGAAGGCTGTCGCGAGCACGTTGCCCGTGTACAGGATGGCGATGCGCGTGGCCACCTCCTTGCGGGTGTAGAAGACGGAGAGGATGTACACGGCGCCGGGGTAGAAGGGGCTTCGGCCACGCCGAGGAAGAAGCGAGTTAATAGGAGGCTGGTAAAGTTGTTTGATAACGCGGTTACGGCGCTGACAATGGCCCATAGCATCATCATGAATCCCTAAAGGAGGGGAAAGCACACCAAGAGGCTCTGGTTAGTAACTCGATCAAGCTACCTTTCGGGCGTTAGAGGAAGAGGAGGCCAAGCTGGAGAAATAGCTCACCATATACCGACTAGGTCTGGTCCGGGTAAGAAACATGTTGGAGGGTATCTGGCCCAGAATGTAGCCGACAAACAAAATCGACACGCAAGTTTGGTATTGGGCACTGGATAGGTTCAAGTCCCTTTCGAGATGATTCAGTCTGGCGAGGGCAATCGCGTTTCGGTCGAGATAGTTGAGCCAGTACATGCTCCATAGCATAGGCTAGCAATTGACCAAAACGGTTAGAATTCGTTGACAGAGGTGCGTTGACCCTGCCGCATGGCAGCAGAAGTCCGACGGCAGAATATCGCAAGGTGAGTATCTTGGCAGGGTCTAGGAGAGTTCACGTACCATGATCCACCTATCGAGCTTCTTCACCAGTGCAATCTCCTTTGGATCCGTCTTTGCGTGCGCTCCCGAGTAGTCGATCTTGTCAGACTTGGGGACAGGCTTGCCGCCATCGGACACGGCATCGGTCGAGTCTTCCGCCACCACCAGGATTTCATCCTTTTTGACTTTTCTTCCGCCATCTTGGGCTGCTGGTTCACCTCGGGCGATTTTTGTTCAGTCATCGCTGTATTCTCGAGCTAGGGATCTCGGCGTTTGGGAGAGAGCGACAAAGAGAGCGACGAGAGAGAGAGAGAGAGCGAGCCTCGACAAAGCTCGAGGAAAGAAAAGTTCCAAGCCGACCATCGACGGACTCGGGCTTCCGGGCCCTTTTTTACTTCTATTCTTCTTCACGGCACCACTCTCACCTTCGTCCGGCAATCTCTGTTACACGCCGCCGTCAGCAAAGCAAAAGTCCCCGGTGCGTGCGAGAGAGCGGGAGGCGAGTCATCCAGACACAGATCTCCCGGCTCGCCAACCCAGACCGACATCTCTGCAGCGCATTTTCCGTATCACCGCCCGCTGCCGCCGTAAAAACTTGGCCCGTAAAAGCAACCAGCACGCATGTTCCCGAGGACCGGCCGCCTTGGCACGTCAGACTGATTGCTGTACTCAGGCCCGTGAGGGGACGCTGTGTGGTCGGCTTTTCCTTAGGAGGGGCATGCGTGAGTAGGGTGTAGATTGGGGGTGGAAGTTGCTGGCGATGCGTAGCGTACATGTGCTTGCAATGATCTCTCCTCTCATTGCTTCTTTCTGCTAATCTCCAGACGTGTCTCAACCTCTGACCACCACAGTGGCCCATCCGCACAAGACGAGCGGCGCGCACCCACGTCATGCAGCAGCGTAACACAAAATAAGCAGTCCCGAGTGAGCGAATCATTTTGAGACTCTTGTTGCTTATATCCTTGGAAAACAGACCTACTATTGCCCCGACCCGCTGCAGCGATCGTCCTGCGGGTGGCGCCGATATGTCACTGCATGGATGCTCTTCTTATGACCTCCTCAGCCGTGATGTCTTCGCATCTGATGCGATCCCTTGCGTACCGCGCATTGCCACCAGGGCCGCAAAATGGACAATGATAGCCGATGATAGACCGGGCATACGTGCAGCTTCAACTTCTATCACGCGGGCCGGGAGATCACGTTCATTTTTCTTTTCATGTGAAATCGTCCTTGTAAAGCGTGGGGAAAAAGGAAGGAAACTAGATCTGGCGCACTGTCGGTCAAACCTCAACTTGAAAATACAAGAACCAAGTACACAACATTAAACTCTTCGATACCGCCGTGTCTACTGCGCCTCTCTCGCGAGCTCTTGGCACGATCCTCCCACATGGCTGCTCTCCACGATGAAAAGGAACCAGTGGGGCCCAACCTTTGAAAATCGCTCGATCTCCATGTGCACCGATACCCACGTCGCCTTGACTGCGAATTTCGCGCACATGGGCAGATGGTATTAATCAAGCGTGCTCTCAGGCAGGACTCTAGTCCAAACCTCGGCCTCGTTTGAAACCCTGCGGTGGTCCTCCGCGTGGCGGTGCAGAACGCGCATTTGCGTAAAAGCAGGATCCCGTCGCAGTGCGTCCTCGCCAGCGACCGCACATTCCACGACATCGCCTTAGCCCCAATCCTCCCTTTGGTGTGGCGTCTTGTGTGAAGGCTCCTTCCACTAGGTTCGCAGCTCAGCCAAGGCGCACTCGCGATGTTAATGGCTCAATCAGTGCGCCGACTTGCCCAAGCCGCGATAATTCAAAGCCACAGCCCTTGGCGAGAGGTGGTATGTGACAAGGTCGAAAGGCCTAGGACTTGACAATAGAAGAGGGAACATAATATCCCTACGAGATTAGAGATCTGTGTTACTCATCTACTAGACTTCTCTTTCGCTCCCTACCTATTTCATGCGGGTTGCGCCAAAAGGAATCCAGGCTGCAAAACTCACATATGGGTTTGTACACGTGATGGGTAGATGGGATTCCACATTGGTCTCCCTATAGATAATTCATGGGTTAACTCATTCCAATGATGAATCGGGTAACTACAAGCGTTTCCTTAGGCTCGCCTGCCAGCGCAAACCGTCGCCCTCCACGTCAATGGAGATCTGAAAGGAAAATGCCTCGACATGGCCCTAGCCAAACGTAGAAAAGACACGGGAGTAAAAAGAGTCGTTCGTGGGGCCATGGCTGCAATTGCGTGGTTTCCTGTCATCCAATAGATCGGTTAGGTTCTCGCGGGATTCGAGCCAACAGGCCAAAACCTGTGATGTTGGTTGGGCAGAACCCAAGGATCTGGAACAGCGGTCCGCCCCCAAGATCAACTCGCCAAGCCACAGGGCCCCTATAGCACGGATATTAATCCCCTCCAACATTCCCGCGTGTCCCTTGTGACGATGAGTCTTAATTTCTCTTTTTCCCTCGTGTTTCTTTGGGTCTGGTACTCATCAAACATCGGTATGCCCCCTTTTCCTCACTTCACCACCGAAAGCGCACATTTCCACCAATTTTTCGGTAAATCGCTTCTCGTCCTCTATTCTTCACGGTCTCCGGTTGCGAATGGCGCGCCCTCCAAGCTCGTCCAAGAACCACGCGTAAAACAAGATACCCATTAATCAACACACCCATGCGCGGGCCCATGCGGCGCATGCGTAAAAGAGGCGGTCAGCGCCACCGCGACCGCGGCGCAAGACGACTCCGAGAGCACCGACGAGGAGGCGCCCCTCGCCGCCCGCCTCGGCCTACAAAATCGCTCTCGTCGTACGGATAGCCGTCGTCACCGTCGTCTTCCTCTTCAACGTCATCTGGCTCGTGCGGGCCCGAGTCCAGAACGGGACGACCGGGGGAGTGGGGACCGCTCATCGGGGCACGTGCGACGCCGTCGAGAATCTCGGTACTAGGCTTCACGTTGTCATCAACGTGCTTTTAGTCGTCGTGCTGGCGTCGACGACCACCTTCATGGGCCTGGCCTGCGGCCCGACGAGGACGGAGATTGACGCCGCTCACCGGAAGCGGCAGAGCTTAGGTGTGGGATCCTTGGGGCTCGGCAATCTCTCGTGGATTTCCAAGTCTAGAGCTTCCATCTACGTGGCGTTACTGCTATCGCTAATGCCGATACATTTATTGTGAGTCTAAAGCCCGTTCTTCTTCTGATTATACTCTGGCGCGATTGCTAAAACTATGGCAGTGCCAACTCGGCTGTCTTCACCACAATATCAGCCAATGGGTACCGATGGGGGTGGTAGATGAGCAGTTCGTCCTCAACCAGCAGCGTGGCAGCCGTATAGTTGCACCCGTAGCAATATCTGGGGAAGACCTCCAGAGTTTCAGGACATAAGATCCTCGCTCGCCACATATGCTACCTTGAATAACGAGGAGTGCATCAAACAATACTCCGACGTATATCAGGGCGAATACCGAACAGTTCTTGCCGTCACCGAGGGTACTACTGCTTCCTCTTCCGACCGTGATAGCGGCTACCTTTTCCACCACGGGGTGTCGCACGTCGGCGACGGCGCAGATAGCTGGATCTGCCTTGGAGGGCAGGCCCAGCAGTCAGCGGACGAAGGATGCGGGCTGGGTGCTTCTAATGCGCTTTCTGCGCTTGGCATTGATTCCTTTGACGGCTGGAAAATCTCTGGAAAGACGGTCCTCTTTTGTCTAGCAGAACCACGAGAGGAGCCCTGCGCGTTGCGGTACTCTGGCGCTATCGCCGGCCTTGTCACCGTCTTTGTCTTCGTGATATTGGCTAGCGCAGTTTGCATGCTCGTGTTATTCAAAAGTAAAGAACGCCCGCTCATCTGCCCCGGTGAGGCGGTGGAATCGTTCTTGCGTGCGGAAGACGAGACGACCAAGGGAATGTCTTTGGCGAGCCGGCTGAATGTGCGGGGCGTGTGGAAGAGTCCATCGTCGGGCAAGATGTTTAAAAATCTCCAACATCGCGCATGGAGGAGCACGGGAAATGCCTGTTGGATCCTGCTCTCCTTTAGGTATGCACCTCTCTCATTTATTTCATCCTGGTTTCCTTCGTTTTTCTTCATGATAACGACTCTGGCTAACTCCGCGTCACGCAGCGCGCTTCTGGTGCTGAGCCTCGGCCTCGCATCCATCGGAACCACATTCTCCAGGATCTCGGGCCAGCCCGGAAAAGAAGGCAAGTTCTTCGGCAACTTTGGCACCTTTACGAGCGACTTCCGGCTCCTCACGCGCGGGGATTCCCACCTCGACATCCTCGCCGTCGCGGCCATCGCCAACATACCTCACATCGTACTTGCGGTGACGTGGCTGAGCGCGCAAAACCTAGCAACCTCTGCCTTTCACGCCCGGGACTGGGCCTCGTTCGCCGACAAGGCGCAGAACCTCATGGTGTCCGATCCCAAGGTGAACCAGAGGGGCCTGTGGATACTGGGCATGCCGTGGCCGTATGGCGTCACCCTCTGCTTGCTCCAAGCGCTTCTGCACTTCCTTACTTCGCAGGCAATTTTCGCCGTCAAAGTCGAAGCCTACGGGCCGGATGGTGAAGTGGATAGAGGCCACTCGGAGTCCATCGTGGCAACCTCTCCGGTCGCCATGATGTGCGCGCTGATAGCATTGGTCGTTTTTCTGCTACTCCTCGCGTGGATCGGTAGCCGCCCGGTCCCGCCTCCTGCGCCCCTTGTCGGCACGTGCAGCGGTGCGATAAGCGCATCTTGTCATCCAACCCGCCGACCTTTTGATATGGAGTGCGAGGCTCTAAAATGGGGGTCGATAGGACGGGCCACTGTGCCTTGGCATGCGAGGCGCGTGTTTACACGCTTCCAATACCTGGGCACCTTTATGCATAGTTTCATTTAGCGTTTTTTATAGATATAGATATTTTCGTTCAAACACCATTCCAACCATAGTATATCCTCCATTGGCACATTCTTCTAATCTTGGTCTTGATACGGTTATGATACCGGCGATGGACATACGTAGAAATGTGACAAGTGGTATCAATCATATGCATTCATACATTCAGCACAAGATGTAGCTAGCTAGCTTACGTTGCGGGCTTTCTGCTCAGTAAAGAGACAAGAAAAAGACGGCCATAAGGCCTCAAGAAAATTGGGGAGAATGGAAAAGAATGGAAGGAAAAAAGAGTAAAAAGAGAATGACAGGACCAAAGTTTGGAATCCAGCAACCCAAAAAGACCATTTGCGCCCATCCGATATCATATGTGTGTAAACCGAAACCGAGAGAGCCCAAGTGGTCATAAAGTTGGAAGCACAAAAAGAAAATCAACGAATCCGCGAAACCCTTTCCTCCTATCGTACGTGATGGCATCGGTGGTATCCAACACCTCCTCGGGGCGCAAAAATAATCAAACATGTCCACAAACAAAAGAAAATCCAATCGACTTAATCAAACAAGCAGAGGTGAAGAAAGAAAAAGAAAAGGAAGAGGAGGGCAAAGTCGAAAGAGTTAGGTTCGGTGGGTTCGGTGGGACGTTCGAGACCCGGTACCACGAGACGTCGTCATGGTCCGACGAGGGAGCCATCGGCAGCGACCTCCTGCAGAGCGACCTCGTCGGCGGCCCTTCCTTCCTCCATGGCGTAATCCTTGGGCCCGGTGAGCTTGCGCACGAAGAGGCGCAGGGTGGGCATGGAGGCGGCGATGATGGTGACGGCGGGCTCGGCGACGCCCCAGATGGCGAGCTGCATGCTGTCGCCGGTGCCGCCGGGGGTGATTTCGAGGAACTTGGAGCACTTGACAAAGGCAGCCACGGCGGCACTGTGAAAAGGGTTAGCAATGAGCGGAGTAGACAGTGAGGGTAGAGGGTAGAGTAACTCACAAGATACCCATGCTCATAGCGATAGCGCAGCCAATCTTTTCCTTGGTGCTGAGGTTCAAGGGCAGGAGGATCTTCCAGGGAAGAAGCGCAAAGGCGAGATCGAGGATACCGGAATAAGCTGAGAGGAAGGCGAGTTAGAAATTTCTCTCGCGAACGAACAACGAACAACAGGGTTCGGGGAGGGAGGGCAAGTCATACCGCTAACAGCCATGCCGTAGGCAATGCTGATGGTGGGGTTCCAGCACTGAAGCTCGACAGAGTTGTCCCAGAAACCCTTGAGAGGTCGGCACTGGATCCAAAAGATGACGGCGGACATGACGAAGGAGACGTTCATGGTGACGATGGCGAACCAGAGGAAATAGGTGATCCAGCTTCGGTTGTTAGTAATGCCCAAGAGGGTCATGGCGAAGGAGGTCTTGCTCCAGGCCTGGCTCAGCAGGGCAAGCGTCGTCGAGAAAAGCCCGAGGATGATGAGCTTTTCAAAAGTGGCGGCGGGGTCGGCAGGGATCTCGGTGGAGGTGGCAATGTCTAATATGACGGTGATGATGATTCCGTTGGCGAGAAGTGCTAGCTAGAAAATCATATGAAGATGCGAGGTTAGATAGGCGCAGTGTAGACCGTATTACGCCGGAGCGCGAGGGCGAAACTAACCCAGGATGAGAAGAGAACGAGGTCATCGCGATGGAGCCCCTGGCCGCGATACTTGTAGTAGAGTCGAAGGGTGATGAAGATGGTCGCCGAGGATATCAGGATCCAGAAGACGCCCTTCACGGAAGGGTCAACTGGACGGGCCTCCATGGTTACTGAGCTGCCGTGCGTTTGCTTGGCTTCTTCTTGTCCTATTTTGTTCTTGTTTTCAAGGCAAGGAATGAAGATGCAAGGGCGAAAAGGAAAGAAACGAAACAGTCGTTTGCTAGCACTGCTGCAAATACGCCGTCCAACGGTTTAGGCTGTGGTAAAGATCATTTGTCGTCGATTGGGCTGCGCAGAGCCACACAAACAGGATGGCGGACGGAGAGGTGGGCTGCCAAGTTGGGACACGTTGTGGAAGGATCGAGAGATCGAGGGCAAAACAAGCGGATAACCTGGGTGTTCGGAACCAAGGGCGAAGAAATGGAGGAAGAAGAGGGAGGATCAGGGTCCAGATGAAGAAAGATGTCCTCTAGTAGTATGTAAGAAATCATTCGTGCCGTGGTGGACGAGGCAGAGGGTGAGGCGACCGGCCTATACCGGCAACCCGGCAAAAGTGGGTGACGGAGAAGGGGGCCATTTGGAGGAGGGGGTGTCTAGACCAAGCTTGGAGATTTTTTTCTTCTTGTTCTCTTGGGTTTTTACAAATGTTCTCTATTTTCGTCAAACCTGCATCGCACATCGCATTGGCAAAGGGGATAATCTACGGTCTCAAACCGGGGCGTGAGAGTCGAATCGTGCAGGATAGACGTCCATCATTGGCCCGTGTTGGGGAATTCACGGCGGTGGGATTTGCACGTTAGGTGTGAGATCGCCGATGCTCCGACATCCGGTTTGGGGTGGAAGTGGAGAGTGCAGAAGACAAGACGTTTACGTCTACGCCAAAAGGCCAAAGCGAAAGGTGCCAGCATGAACGACAATGGGCAAATCCGGATATGGAAAAAGGTGGGCCGGCCACGCACCCACGCACTCTTTGTCTGCGCTGCGCTGCGTCGTCTGGTGGTCGCACCAGCGTGTTTCAATTTTTTCAGATAAAGCATCAATTGAAGCCGTATCCAAGGTTCCTCTTCGCCCGGAGTAATATATGGGCTAATGCCATCCGAAAGACGGCCCCCTTGTTCCCCTTCCTTCCGATGCCAGCACGAGGCAGCTAGGGTAAGATAGGGCAGAAAGACGGGACTAGTGGGGTCATCCGTTGTGTTGTTGTAATTATTACACGCCTTGAAGGGCGGATGGCTGATAAGATGAACCCAACTCGGGCTAGTCCACCATACCATTTAATCTGATGATGCTTCGGTCGCAACATTGAACCTGTATTATGATCCTATGGTTCTTTTCTTTTTTTCCTTTTGTACCCACCATTGTAATCGCTTTTTCATTTCCATATACAACGCCCGATGAGTGTAACCCTTTGGTCGTTACAGGTACGCATCAATTGCTGCAATGGCTGGGTGCGATGCAATGGTAGATGCGTGCGATGGCGCTCGACTTGATTGTGATATGGCTGTGGATTTGCGTTGTGCATGCCTGAATTTTGGTTAGGTTTGTCAACAACCTCCCCATCCCCCAGATTGATTGCCATGCAGGCTGTAGCGGAAAGGTTGGTGAGGATGGACGAAAAAGTTTTCGCCATGTCACATACAACCGATTCCGGGGCTCGATGAAACGCCATGTTTGATACATTGACCTGTCCGAATGTGGGTGGAGGGGGACGGGGCTGGGGCTGCTTAGTCTTCTGGGGCATCGATATCACACTAGGGGCAATGCTACACCTACACGGACGTGTGTCGCATCACTCTGGTTTCTTCACCCTAGACGGAGTGAGCCTACATGTACAGAAAGCAGATGTGAGAAAATGCCAAATGACCATGGAGGAACCCCGCAAAGAAAAAGGCCCAAATGAGGGGAGGGGGAATCGTAGAAACGTCAAGAAGGGGATTGACCTAGAGTGTCATATCAATGGAACTTGACAGCGCGGATCCGACTCTTTATTCTGACGATGCGATCCGTGGTTCTTGAGCGGGGTCCCTGGTTCAAGTTCAATGGTGTGTCCCAGCGCTGTTTTGGCGGGGAGCCAGTCGTGATTGAGCATTGCCCATAATGTGTGTACCATACGTGGAACAAATCCACCAAATAAGTCAATCAAACCCATCATCTGGATCAATTCATCGACCATGTTCCAAAGGCATCCGGCATATATCGTCGATTTGTGCCTATGTTTGTCGTGGACTAAATGATCAAATTGATTTGAAGTGAAAGCGGATGGCGCCGCCTGTCACTTGTCATTGTCGGAGCTTATTCGGTAGATCTAGTCAAGCTACAAAGAACGGGGTGTGCTTGTCGCCTTTCTCGGTCTTGCGTCTGTCATTCCATGAAGCGAAGGGCGGCGATCAATCTGCACTCTGATGAACTGGGAGCTTTTTACTGTCTCAAATGCCGAGGAATTCCTGTTTCGTCAGTCACCCCGCAGTCGCCCGCCGACAACTATTTCTGACAACGGGTCTTCGTGCGTTGCGCTGGCCTTTGTTGTCCGCGAGCTCAATGGGCCAAAAGTCGACCGCAGAGATGGATAGCCACATGAGGCGTATTTGTTCCCTTTTGTTTCGTTAGTCACTGCGTTGGGTGTAGTTCATCTTAGACCACATGAGGCTATCGCTGCAGTTCTTCTCTTCTAAAGACATGTCGTCGTCGGCGAGAAACTAGAAATCGTCGAGTGTCGCACGGTTGCAATCGTGGGGATCGACCCGTCTTGGTCTTGTTTCTCGTTGCACTCCTCAGCGATCCCGAGCACACTCAACGTCGATCAACCTCCTTTGTCGCGGCCGGACGTGAGTGCAGCTGAACCCGGAACATACTCATGGCTTCAAAATGGAGAAGAGGATTCTTTCGTTGACCAAGCTCGACATCAGTCCTTGGTGGGCCACCTGGCTGGCTGATTCACTAGAGTTGGAGTCCACGCCAGTCCGGTTTTGGTATGCGATTCAGAAAGAATGAGCCCCCAAGGTGGGGATTGTAGTCCTTCATCGATGAGGCAGCTGAAGACTTTTCTCGGCTGTCCCAAGTCCTAATGCTGAATTATGGGGATTGCTCATGTCATGAAAAGCTGAACACGGCAACCCCCATCCAGTGCATCGTAAGGAGAAGGAAGAACAAAAGTCAATATATTGGCATCTGCCTTGTCGCCACTCGGAGTTGGAAGGCACATGCCGTTCTTCTTCAAGCAGATCCCCATTCAGCAGCATGTGACATTTGCGTTGGTTGGTGTGTCATGAAATTGCCCTGGACAAACGGGGAGAGTGGGACGAGACAAGAGTGGGTGGCACGGAGCACCCGAGAGGAGAAAGAGAAAAAAGAAAAAAACGACTTTTCGGAGATAGGTTAACCTTTGAAACCCCCAAGCTAGTGAATCAGATTGGAGGGAGATGTGGGCAGCAAGAGTAGGGATAGGGTGGTTCGGGACCGCCTCCCTGGCACATGGCCGCCTTGTCGCGCGCGGGGTGCCAAGCCGACCTGCTCCCAAGCAGTCCAGCCTCGAGACCCTGTCGTGCGACGGCTGAGAAGAGGAACCCGACCGCTGGGTTCGCTTCCTGGCCGGAGCGCATGGCAGGCAGCGTATCCTCGCTGCCCGCTTGGGAGGGGGCCAAAAAAGTAACAACCTTTTCGTAATGGATTGCTAACGGGAACATGTCCCCATCGCTGATGGGAGTGGGAGGTGCGGTGCTGGGTCGAGGCTGCTTCGCGATCTCCGAATCAAGCCGGAAGGTCGGCCGGCGCGGCGCCTATCAAAACCCTGCACCTCCACGCTTTTACAGTTTTCTCTGTGAGTCTTGGCTATGACTCCTCCCTTTGACGGCCGACCCTTGAACCCTTCCCCCCTCCCTTCTTTCTCTTTTCTACACCGAGCCGCGGACCTCTACTTCCACTTCCACCCCTCGAGGAGCCCAGGGAAGTGGATGACATCCGCTCCGAACGCTGCTGCATGTGCCAAAAGAGGGGCAGGAAGAGGTGGCAATATCGAAACGCACATGGAGCCGCAGGAGCCAAGAATCCTGGTTCCGCATGTGGGAATGTTGCATGTGCCTCGCTCATCGCCGCGTGTGATGGGCAGGAACGGGGGATGAGAAGGAGATGCCAAAAGAAAGTGTGACCCCACCGCATCCCGCACATTTGTCGTGCTCGAGAGATTATGATTACCTTGCATTTAATTTCTTGCGCCGGCTCCTCCGAGGACGAGGATAGGGAGACACGGGAGACTTGCGGTGGGGAACGCGACGAACGCTACGATCTGATCTGTCCAGTCTCTCGGTAACCTCGCGGTGGGGGCATCAGCTCGGTTTGGTCGGGCATCTTGCTCCTGCTAACGAGAGTGCACGGGACGGGGGCTGAATACGGTCTAGGAGCCAAGTAATCGTTGGTCAGGGATTGTTTTAAGGTTAATTTTACTTTTTTGAATATCGTGACCAATGCTGCTGAAGGAGCCGTGGGTGGCACCATCATCTTGCGTGACTGGATCATTGCCAGTTCCGCCTGCTCATGCGCACATGTTTTACATATCAAAGTCGGCAAACTACTCGACAAGGACATACTTTCTAAAGCCAGCAGGAGACCAAGAGAAAGAGAAAGAGAGAGAGAGAGAGAGAGAGAGAGAGAGAGAGAGAGAGAGAGAGAGCAGAGGTCAGAGTGGGGAGAGGAGAAAAGGAAAGGGGGCTGTCTGGGACAAGGAAAGGACCATTGAGCCATCTGTCGTCAGGTTGGTAGTCAAACTGATGCTGGGCCGGGTCCAATGGCTGGATTCAGATGTCATCCGGGTGCGGGGCGGTCAACGCCAAGAAAGCTCGAGCTGTAGTGTAACAATCACGTTTGCCTTCGCGATGTCCATTTCGTTAGTCGCCATCGCTGTCCTGTCCCAACCATCTGCCGTACGGTGAGTCGCGTGCCATGCGAGGTGCCTTCGGAAGCTGCGGTGCGGAATCGGGGCGCGGAACCAGGCGCGTCCTGGGAGGTTGACGAAAGCGTTGCTTTGGTGGTTGCTTTGTGCGGCCTCAATGGGTGCTTGCAAACCACTTCCAAAAAGAATAACGGCCATCCCGTTCTGTTGTTTGTTCGTGGGGTGGTAATTCGGCGATATGTAGACTTTGGCGAGCGAGGGGCAACCGGGCGCCACTAACAGTTCCCGGGATGTGGGCAATATACGCTCGAGAACCCATCCGCCTCCGGGCCCCCGTCAATGCAATGCCAAATTGCTCGTTTCCCCGTCTCCAGAACTCCGGCGCAAAGTTAGCGCCATCCTTTCCAATTTCTTCGTTTTTGAAATTTCTCGTCATATCGCCGTCCCCGTGCAAATTTCCTTTTTTCTTCTTCGATATATCGGATGGCCGGAGTTTTCCCCCTTTCGCTCGCAAAATGGACCCGGCTCTTGCGCTCACGTCGGAAAAAACGTGCTCTCTCTTACCGTCTTGGCGGGCTTGGCGACGCTCTGTTAGCGCACATTCGCGAGCATCTGCCTCCCATGCCCATGCAGCCAAGACTATTGCAAAAGCTGAAAAGGAAAATGTGCAAGCCAGGCTCACGTTGCGTGCGGCTCCCCGCCCTCTGCTTCTGTATCCCCCTCCCCCAAACCGGTGCCACCACCCCCAAATTCCCCCATTCTTCGCTCCCAATATCCCTCCCTCCCCTAATTGTCCACGACCCCGGTTCGTCTCGAGTCGCCCTTGTCCGCCCTCGACAGCTCCCGGCAACCCTAGGGCTCCCCGACATGGCCAAGAAACGCCCCATTTGCGTTTTGAGCAGCGCGCGCTCCGTGATTCGCCGCCGTCGGTCTTGGCCAACGGCCATCCCACGCTGGACTGGTCGATGCTTTGGTAACTTGGTGACCAGAAGTCTTGGCTCGGCCGCGGGAGGAGGGATCCCAAAGGTATAAGTATTACAGCTCGGCGCCTTTGCGCCCAAGAAATTGCGTGCTCGCCGCCCTGCATTCCACCATTATCGTCGTCCGGCTCCTCCTCACCTACCCACGCTGTCCAACTCCGATCAGCCATGGCGGGCCTCGTTGGCTGTCATTTTCTTTTTTTCGATCCACCACCAAGTGTGGATATCGCCATTCAGCGCCGCCGCCGAGTAGCACAGCGCCAGGATGGGGATCCGCCGTGGGCTGCCTGCGCGAAAGACTTTTGTATGATGGAACCGCTCGTCCGAGGAGATGGAAGGAAACTCTAAAAGGAGACCGGATATCCGGCACGCTGGCACCACAGACTTGATGCAAACTCTCTCGCGCTGCAAGCTCATCCTCGATCTGATCTGGCTCCAGGAAACCGACAGCAAAGGGCACAAGATCAGCACACTCCCGCCCCCGCAGTTTTGACATCGCCGCGGAAAGCCTCGGAGAAACAGCACCAGGTCCCCCTTTTGTTGCTTTTCCGGTCCTCCTGCACCTATTCCCTCGGTTTCGATTTGCCGTGGCACCGTACCTCCGCGTGTGCGCATACACACACACACACACACACCTAATACGTACACAGCTTGAACGACTAAAGCAGTGATGGGTAATCCGGACGAGTTTGCCCCTCCGCGGGACGATGAGGAGTCTCTGACCCTCAATGTTGACTGGTCGATTGAGGAAGAACGCAAGGTCAAGCGGAAGTGAGTTTACAACACCTTTTTCTATTATTCCATATTAGTTTGTGCCATTTTTGGTTTTGTTTTTACCTACCTCTTTTGTATCCCACCGTTATTTGCACAATTGATTGTGTCAGCGTTGATGGACTGTCGTCAAAACTGGATGGTGGTCGTCGTCGATGGCGCTTCGGTTCCTGGATTTCCGCGGACGCGGTTTAGTCCACTCCGAACCGCGTCCTTATTTGCTCCCCCAATTCGAAAGGAAGAATTAAGGTTCCGATCTAACCAAACCCTCGGGTGACGTGCAGGCTCGATTTTATTATTATGCCCCTCCTTACGTTGGGCTTTTTCTGTTTGCGTAGGTGGACCTCCTGCAATCCCCGCGATCTCCCGCCCTCTTTTCGTGCCGACTTATCCGGCATCCTTGCGATTCCGGGCCCCGGTTGGCCTTGCGTGCTTGCTTACACATGCGCCCGCGCGGGTTGTGCAAGACGAGGCAAGGAATGAGAGAAAAACGACGGGGCGCGAAAAAAAAAAAAGCAGTGAAGATGAAAATGAAAAACGAAAGAGGGCCGGGCAGATTCTGCGCGCGCGGATGGCGTAGCACATGTGAAAACACACAAGCGAAGATGAAAGCTAACTCGTAACCCCGCGCACATGCAGAGCTCGATCGCGGCAACATTTCCAATGCCATCACCGATAACATGATGGAGGATGTCGGCATCACGCAGAACCAGTTCAACGTCGGCCAGCAGATGCTGTCCCTCGGCATCGTGCTCTTCGAGATACCCTCCAACATGATCCTGTACCGCGTCGGCCCCGGCAAGTGGCTCACCCTCCAGCTCTTCCTCTTCGGCACCGTCAGCACCTTCCAGGCCTGGCAGAACAGCTACGGCTCCTTCATCGCCTCCCGCTTCCTCCTCGGCATCACCGAGTCCGGCTTCATCCCCGGTGGCCTCTGGACCCTCTCCACCTGGTACACCCGCCGCGAGACCGCGAAGCGCGTCATGTTCTTCTACTTTGGCAACCAGTTCGGCCAGGCCTCGTCCAAGCTGCTCGCCTACGGTATCCTGCACATGCGCGGCGTCGGCGGCAAGCCAGGTTGGTTCTGGCTCTTCGTCCTCATGGGCATCTTCACCATCTTCAGCGGCTTCATCCTCGGCTTCTGCCTCCCCGACTCCTTCCGCAACCCTTGCAGCACTTTCCTGCCCGGCAAGTCGTGGTTCAGCGAGCGTGAGATTCACATCCTCCGCACCCGCGTGCTCCTCGATGACCCCATGAAGGGCAAGAAGAAGAAGAAGATTGGTCGCCCCGCCTTCAAGAAGGCTGTGAGTACACCCACCCCCGCTTTCTTTTCGCAATTGCATTTCTGCGAGGTAAATTGCTAACGTTGCTCCATCTAGTTCACCAACTGGCGCCTCTACGCTCACGTCCTCATCACTCTCTGCAACAACGGTCCCCAGCGCGCCTTCGATACTTATGCGCCTTCTATCGTTAGGAGCTTCGGATATGAAGCTCTCAAGAGTAATGCCATGGCCGCCGTCGGTCTTTTCATCCAGATTCCCGTTTCGTTCACTTTCAGCTGGATTTCCGACCATTTGTAAGTGTTCGCCCAAAGTGGAAGATGGGGGCCACCAAAGAAAATGCGGCTGCTAACTAAGATTGTCTTACAGCAACCGTCGCGGAGAAACGGCCATTGCCGGTCTCAGCATGCACTTGCTCGCCTACATCTTCAACCGCATCTTCACTGAGCTTAGCAGCAAGGGTGTCAAGTACTTTGGTGTCGTCTGGACCCAGACCTTCGGCACATTCTCCCACCCTCTCAACATTGCCTGGATGTCTCTCGCCTGCGAGGATTCGGAAGAGCGTGCGCTCGCCATGGCCATGTAAGTTTTAATTACTCGACCCCCTCCCCCGATACCGGCCTGCTCTAAGAATCACAATCACTAACCTTTCGCTTTCCCACAGGGTCATCATGGGTGCCAACACCGCTGGTATCTACGGCGCCCAGATTTTCCGCGAGGACGACAAGCCCAAGTACCGCCGTGGCTTCGGTATCAACATCGGCGTGCTCACCGTCGGCCTCAGCATGGCCACTGCCCGATGGATCGATGATTTGTTCCGCCGCAGGAAGGCCGCCAAGCAGCTCCAGCTCGAGCAGGAGAACGGCTCCAACGACAAGGCCGCCCGCCCCAGCGATGTGCAGCCCGCGCCTATCCTCATTGGTGACGACAAGAAGCCCGTCGTCGGCAACTAGAAAGGTGTGGCTTTGCAGGGAAATGCCGACTTGCGGCACAAAGGCCACGACTCCCTTGGGGTTGTGGTGACTTTACTGCTCCAGGACCATTTTGGTTCCTATGGCTTGTTACGCGCGTGATAGATACCAGGTTGCCTTGTTGAACGGGAAAGAAGAGTTGCGTGATTGAATCCTTGATCTTATACGTGTAGCAATGACATGCGTGTGTTTTATATACTTTCTTCCTTCTCGAAGAGGTCATTCAAGAACAAGATACATCTTCTATAATTCCCGATCACAAGCACTTCAAAAAAGTTTTCCTTTCATCTTTTGTTCGATTCTCGAGATCGAGCTCTATACAATAGTGTCACTCTACACATAGTTTTTCCATTTTTCGTTGATCTCGAAATTAATTCACAATATACCGTCCAATATACCGTCCACGTCTTGTACAATATAAAAGCTATGGTGATTCGGTGCTGTGTCGTTTCCACATTTGTCTGCGCACACCAGCCACTGTACCTCGCATGTTCATTTGTTAGAGGTGGCTGGCATTCGGAAGTGAAATGTCATTCTCTAACTGGTTTGACGAAATCTTCTCCCAAGAAAGCGGCTGGTTTATGGTTATTATGCCTGACATAGCGTTCTACATGTTCTTTGAGACCGGCACACGCCTGTCCAACGGTGTAATAAGCTTCAATGTCCCCATTTGACTCGTCGTGCGACCGTCTGATTGGCCTAGGCCGTCATCCCTTGACTCAACTCGGACACCAGACCAATCATAACGACGTGCGTGACGAGATAAATGCGAGATGGGGCTGACTTCGGAGAAAACCCACCTTGAAGACGAAACCCATGTCCATCCCACTAGTGTTTTCAAGCAGCCCGAGAGCGAGCGCACCCTACCTTTCGAGAACGCACGAAAGAGGGAGACTGAGAGAGGAACCAAGGCCACAGATATGGAGAGGATCGTGTCGAGCAATACCGTACTTGTTTGAAACGGAATCCCCAAACACGATTGTACAACCGACCCCTCTTACCGTCACGGGGACAAAAGAAATCTGGAGAAAAGAAAAGAGTAAATCAGCCAAAGCAGGCTCTCCTTCCTTTATACCAGCAACGCAGATCGGCTAGCAGCAATGTCGCCCTCACCACCTCTAGACGGTGGTGCACAAATCACACCCAAAACGTGCGCAACATGTGGGAAGCAATATAAGAGAACGAGCCATTTGAGACGCCATGAAGCTGTCCGTTAGTCAACACTCGGCCCACATCCCCCCTCTTCCCCCGGCCCCTCACCTGTCCTTTCCTGTTACTCGTTCGTGTCGGCACCCTGGGGAAGTACGAATACGGAGATGGTGCGGAGATGATGCGGAGATGAAATGACAGCGATCTACCACTCACATAGAAAGACCCAATAACGGTGAGGGCTAACTGAGCCTGGACTTTAGATGCGGCCATGGAAGGGTTTAGGTGTCCGTATTGCTCTAAGCATTTTGGTCGAAGGTACGTCCCTTTTCAATCTCCTACCCTTTGGCTGTCTTTATCGTTACCCTCGATACTCCGCTCCCCCTTTTGGGAATGCTGCCAATCCCGGCACGATGCGGTGCATTGGCAAAAGTAGCGAGGGTATGGGCCAAGCAACTGCATCCATAGATGTGTCCAGCCGTCCGGAAATTGGCTCCTTCCAGTGGATTGTTTTGTATTTTCTGTCCCCCTTTGGCTTATTTAACGTTTGGCGGCTCTTTTTCCAGGGACGTCTGCCGAAAGCATGCTCAGGGCTGCCCCCAAAGAGATACCCGAGAAAGTCCACCGCCAGCGAGGCGGGGCCAGCGCCCTCGCGCCTGCGACGTTTGCTTCCATAGTAAATCGTCCTGCGATAGCGGCCACCCTTGCTCACGATGTCTATCCCGAGAGCTCGAGTGCACTTACAAGCGCCTAGAGGACCCCACTCTCAGCAACGATGAGCTGCTGCCCCGAGCTCGAGGAAGGAGACAGGCTGCTCGCCGTCCCCTTTTCCTCGGGCTCACCAACCCTCACGCCGGCTCCATGGTCGAATCCATCATCGACGAAAAAGACGAGGAGCTGTACCCGCCCCAGGATATCCCCGAAGGGTCCAGCCACGCGCAGCACACCCCGGAAGTCTTGGAGGATTATCCCATGAGCTACGGTAGTTTCCCGTGGGACATGAGCCAGTACAGCCTGGAAGACTATTTCGAGGGCCTGGACGGTGATCTCCTCTTTCAAGACCTAGGCTCCGGCACACCCAGCTCCGGCACCGGCCCGGACCTCGTTTTCGACACCCTCACGTTTTGCTCGGCGCGTATCGTGGATTCCCTCGACCGCTTCTACAAATCTACGCACGGCCCCAACAGCAGCGGCGGCTGTATCACCTCCGTAGGCGACCCCGCGTTCGACATGGCCGCCATCCAACAGATCCTCTCGGCCGACAACCTCAAGTCCCACCTGGCTGCCTTCTTCCGGTGGACAAACGTCGTGCTGCCCACCGTGCACCGCCCCACGTTCGACCTCGACGTCGCGGACCCCGCCCTCGTGCTGTCCATGTACCTGTGCGGGTCGCTGTACCGTCACCCGCGGCCCACGCCCGAGCGCCAGGCCTGCTACGACCTCGTCGAGGAGTACGTCTTTCGCCGGCTGGAGGAGGCGGTGGACCGCCAAAAGAGCCTCGCTACCCCCGTGTGGAAGAACGAGGAGCTGGTGGCCCTCATGCAGGCGGCCATGTCCACGTACACGCACCTCTGGCTCATGAGCACGCCGAAGCCGCGGAAGAGGAGCCGAAACGTGCGGCTGCCGGCGCTGTTGGCGGCGATACGCACTCTTGGGTTTAATAAGTTGCGGCATGTGGTGCCGACGGACGTGGCCCTGGATTGGGAGGACTGGGCATCGCTTGAATCATGCATCCGGTAAGATGTAAAACCTTTTTCTTTCTTTTTCTTTTAATCCAATCCTCAGCTCATCAACCCACTGCCATCTTCTGACATATCTGTCCCCGTTGGACCTACAGCGTCGCCAACTTCACATGCTACCTAGACTGGCAGCAAAGCGGCGTTTTCCACTGGCCCCCACTCTCGTCCATCTACGAAATCATGTGCGACATGCCGTGCATCAAGGAACTGTGGGTGGCCAAGACGGCCGACGAGTTCCATCAACTCTTGGCCCTGGACGCGGGGGCGTCCCTTCAGCGCGGCCTCACGGTGCGGTTCTGCATAGAGGGGATGTTGAGCGACGACTGGGCTCGCACGCATCTTGCTCGCCTCCGCACAGTCACGGTGGCCGATTGTTGCCTCCTCGTCACAGGTGAGTAAGCCCGAAACGTCGGTTGCTATCGCGTCCCACGCGGTCCAGCCCCGCCTTCCTTTTTCCCTTGGAGAGGCCTCCGCTCCTTAAGCACATGGAAGGGGCGTACCGAGTTAGAAAGCTGTTCGCGCTAACGTGTCCAATCAACCGACCCTAGCTCTCCACGGAGTTGCCTTGGCCGCCACGCTCAACTGCATGTTCCCGTTCGTGGCGCCCAAACTCCACCGCGCCACGACCCGGTGGAGGGAGCTCTGGGACGACGCCGTGACGCGCATCGACAAGGAGGCGCTGAAAAAGAGCGGCATGGTGGGTCAGTCGCCCGCCATCTGGTTCGTCGTGCGGTGGCTCATTGAGCGGCTGGCCAAGGACGGAGGGGCGGGGCTCGAGTACTTTGACTCGGTCGGCCACGACTCGGTGGAGGTGCTTCACAGGCTCTTCCGCGAGTTCGCGATCGAGGGAAAGGGATTAGATGGCGGGGGAAGAAGAAAACGTGAGGGTATTTCGGTGACGAAGAAGAGAAGAAGAGAATATAAAAAAACGGCGCAGTTAGAGCTTGGCACGATAAGACAAACGGGGCGCTGAAGCAGAGATCACCATCGCCATTCCATGTACAATAGTTCCGCAACTCAATTCCTCGTATATTCTTCCACTCAGTTCTTGTCTAGACAATACCCCTCAACCAGCGGATGTGTCCCCACCTGTGTTGTCGCATAAACGGTTGTAAGCTGACGCCGAGATGCCTTCCATTGGTCAGCGCAAGCGTGATCAACGACTCTCAGAGCCAGTCAAACTCCCAAGATTCACCAAGCGCCTCCGCTGGCTCCTCTTCGAGAAAGGCTAACCCCGCCGTGCAGGTGCAATTGATTTCAAGTGCTGAATGAATAATCCATCCGGATTGATCGATATATATCAGGCCACCCACTTTCCCAGCAAGAACAACGGCTCTTTTCGCTTCGATCGTAGGCAAGCATATATAAAAAACGCCCGAGCATAAAACGCGAGTCTCTCTTTTCTTTCTTTCTCACAAACCATTCACAATGTCTCATCTTCAATACTACTCTTACGAGGGGTTGGCCACAGGAACAGGGACAACTATCACTATAACCAAGCCGTCCGCGTGGGTGACCGGATCGAATGTGCCGGCCAAGGTGAGTTCACGGCCCTACTACCATTCACTCATTCGGTGGATGGTAACTGCTCATGTGATATCCGATAATATCTAACTCTCATCTCAGGCGGCTGGGATCCCAAGACGGGAGAAATTCCGGAGGATATCAACGCCCAAATTGACCAGGCCTTCAAGAACGTGGAGCTGGCCCTCAAGGATGCCGGCGGCAAGGGCTGGTCCCAAGTCTATCGAGTCAACACATATCACATTCCTTTGGACGGCGAAGCTCTCGGAGCCATGGTGGGGAACATGAAGAAGTACATGCCGGACCATCAACCCATCTGGACGTGCGTAGGAGTTACGAGGCTTGGGGAGGAGGCCATGCGCGTCGAAATAGAGGTTGTCGCCCACGACCCAGAGGGAAGCGCGGCAAAGACGAGCGCTTAGTTGTGGAAGATGTGAACGTTAAGACTGAGGGAGGCATGGATGACTGGTTTCGTCACATCTAGATGGGCATAGGCGGATTCATATACACTGTCTGCCTTTGAAGCCGCTCTTGTTGAAAAGGACAAAAGGAAAAAAATATATATACATACATGGGAACGAGTGAATAGAAAAGGACAATTGTGGCATCAAAAATTGTATAGACCTCCCTCGCTGAGCTGAGTTGGGGTCTCTTTGCTTCCCTTTCGTGGCTTACGTATTCACCTCCATGTGGAACTTCTCAGAGACTGCGAGAATGACCTGAGCGACAGCAATGAAAAGAATGGAATTTTTTATTGATTTGTCAATTGGTCACCACGCTAGCAGGATGGTGGGAGGAGCCGCGCTCGTCCCGTGCCCGTCGGCGTCGGCGACATGATCAACCCTCTCACCGGAATACGATCTTGGAATCGTGTGCGATTGGACCCTTGCGAGAGGCGAACTGACGTGGATCGGGTTTCGGGTTTCGCGGACGAGAATTTTTGAATGCAAATGGGACAAACATCCCCAAACCGGAATCAGCCCCGACGCAGAGTCGACCTGAGCCTCGGCACCTCGCTGGTTTTCTTCTTTTTTGTTGGGAGCATCTAACGATTTGAAATTGAAGAGGATTTTGTTCCACTCTATGTGGCTACTAATTATCTTTGGCGTATTTTCCACATGTAGCACGTGTAATCGAAGAATGGGGGTATTGTGCAAAGATAGGACCTCCATCCAAGCTATCACGTCAGTAGGAGAACTGCACATCCCGCACTTCCAGGCATTGCTGATGTGATTTGATAGCTCCGCATGATAGACTTCAGGTTTGGATAGCAGTTCGAATAGTTCAATGTCCAGTGCTCACTCAGGATACCGAAACAAAGGTTCAATCTGGTTCGAATAGGGCCTAGATTCGGGTAAGCTTCCAGTAGCTGCAGTAGACCAATCCACTGAGGACGGCCGAACAAATCGGCCTCCCCCTGAAAAAGCCCGAAGCACCAAGACGGCGCTAGTTCGGGTGGTACCTTGTCGACCCACCACGGCCGATGACATCAGCGCCTAAAAGCCCCGTCAACTCTCCGTCATGGATAAAAACCCGTTCAGCTGCTCAGCAGCATTGCTTGTTCCGAAGCACGAAGCACGTCTTTCCCCCACGCAACCCCTCAACTCGTCCCCGGCAATATTTCCGCTTTGCCCAAACTAAACACTTTGCAACATTAGAAAAAGAAGAGAGAAGAAAGAAGAAACAGAAACCCCGGAAACAATGGCGTCCACGATGAAGGCTTGGCATTTTACCTCGCCGGGCACCATCTCCAAGATCCTCTCCCTCGCCGACAACACTCCCAAGCCCGCCGACGAAGAGATCAAGAATGGCCGGATCCTCATCAAGGTGGCCCGCGCCTGCATCAACCCCGCCGACTACAAGGTGCCCGAGCTTGGCCAGGTCTCCAGGGCCCTGGTATCCTACCCCAAAACGCCCGGCATGGACCTGTGCGGCCGCGTCGTCGCCGTTGCCGACGATGTGCACGACGTCGAAGTCGGCCGCCTCGTCATCGCCCGTGTAAACCCGCTGGGCTCACGGGGCGCTCTCTCCGAATACGCCATTGCTGAACTGGACGGCTACGGCACGATCGCGGACGATATCGACTTGGACCAGGCGGCGGGCGCGCCGACGGCCGCGCTGACTGCGTTCCAGACCATTGCGCCCTACGTCAAGAAGGGAGACAAAGTCTTTATCAACGGCGGCTCGGGCGGTGTGGGCACGTTTGGTATCCAGATCGCCAAGATCCTCGGCTGTCACGTCACCGTCACCTGCTCCACGGGCAAGATCGACTTGTGCAAGGAGCTCGGCGCCGACGAGATCATCGACTACAAAAGTGCAACGTCATCGAGGAGCTCGAATCGCGCGGCGAGCAGTTCGCCGTCGTCGTCGACAACGTCGGAGACTCGCCCGCGAACCTCTTCAACGAATGTCACAAGTTCCTCGTCCCTGACAAGAACGGGGGCTACGTCTTCGTCGGCGGCCATGTCGGGAACCCATTCTCCTTATCAAGGCCAGGTTCTTCCCCACCTTCTTGGGCGGCTCCAGTACCAAATTTACTACCTTCTTCACGCATAACACGCGCGGAGGACTCACGCAGCTGGCATCCTGGATGGAGGAGGGGAGGCTCAAGACTGTGGTGGATAGCGTCTTCGAGTTTGACCAGGCTCACGAGGCGTTTGAGCATCTAAAAAGGGATCATGTGTTGGAAAAGTAATTGTGAAAGTGGGCGAGGTATGATTACGACGAAAGGACGAAAATACTGGGGGAGAAAATATGTGGGGCCGTTTTGTTGATGCCGTGTAACACTAACTAACCGTTATAATGTAATGCTTGGAAGTCTCATCATATTTATAGCTACATGAATTTATGCTACGCCTGCCATGATCGACCAAATTGTATCCCAGACTGTCCCCTACCCTTCGTGCTGGGGGAGAGCCATCAATTTCCAGATAGAAACCCCACGTGTCCCTCCTTTAATTATTCGATACCCCGAATCAGATCCGCGGCTCGCTCAGCAACTGCATACGCCGTTGACTATAAATCTTGTTAGTCGACAAAAGGGGGCCCACATGGTCGGGCAGAGGATCTAAGCTTACCTGGGTAGCGTGGGTACCCGGAATAATGGGCCAAGCGGAGGTATCAACGACGCGGAGGCCTTTAACGCCCCTCACTCTTAGTTTCTCGTCAAGCACGGTGCCCATCGGCGCTCCACAGCAGCCGTGCGCTCCCCCGGAGACATGGTATTGCGTATAAACTCGGCGAGCTCCTCATCGGTTTCGACGTCCGGCCCGGGGGTGTTTTCGACCGGTTCCAGCGGGGCCAGCTCGGGCGCGGCCATAATGGTGCGGGTGACGCGGATGGACCCAATGATGTTTTCCAAATCGAGCGGGTGCGCGAGGGTCCGGTGGTCGACGAGGGGCGCGTCCCAAATGTTGGTGGAGTTGGCGAGGATGACGCCGCGCGAGAGGGGCTTGACGAGGACGGGCCGGCCGCCGAACCCGGCTTTTTCGTCCACCGCCTGGTGGTTGGTGGCGAGGCTGGCCATGAGGAGGCGGTACTGCCGGGCGTAGGACTCGACGGTGGCCTCGGCAGCACCGGCGTGGAGGTACTGCTTGGGGTTCTTGCACTTGTAGGACGAGAGGAGGGCGCGGGCCTTCTTGGCGCCGTGGAGCAGGGGCATGGAGAGGAGTAGCATGTTGTTGTCCGCGGTTGCGGTGTAGTAGCCCGTGTTGTTGTTGATGAAGAGATCGTACTGCTCGTCCATCCACGTCTGGTTGGTCTTTGCGAACCACATCCGCTCGTCAAAGGTAAAAGTAACTGGCCAGTCATTTTAGTGAATGTCGGGCTTGTGGGGGAAGAACAAGTAGGATGCTGAGAGAGCTCAGATCGTCTACTCGTCAGAGGTGTGTAAACGGAAGCTTGCTCTACTTACAGTTGAAACTGGCTGTGTACGTCGCATGGTCTTGGTAGTTCTCCCCTACTGGCACATCAGAGACGGAATCGACGCCGAGAGCCTCGGAGACGTGCTTGGGACCGACGCCGGAGATCTGGAGGAGTTGCGGGGTCTTGATAGACCCGGCCGCGACGATGACTTCTTTTCTCGCCCGCACGGTTTGAAGAGGAGCACTCGCGTCTTCCGCGTACTAGAGCCACAGATAAAAGAGAAGAATCAGCACAGTAACCTCTAAACTCTAAACTCTAAACGGTCAAAGAGTAGTAGGGACACTCAAAAATAGGATGTTAGACACAAAAGGGGGTCAAGCAGGGCTAGCATACCTCTACTCCAGCGATTTTAGTGCCATCAAACAGAATTCTCGTCACGGCGTTATCAGCTAAAAGTGAAGATTCGGGCGCTCTTTGACGGGGTCGTAGTTTTCGCGCTTGCTATAGCTCCTCGTGTAGTCCTCCGGGCGCGTGGAAATAGGGAACCAGATGCTGCCCGTGTTCTCGCCGCTGCCTTCCTCCTCCACCATGGGGAACCCGAGGGCCTTGTACGCCTTGATCCTGTACGCCGTGCTGGGGAGAAACTGAGCCGGGTACGTGACGCTGATGGGGCCGTCGTGCCCGCGATACGAGTCGTCCCAGGTGACGTTGCCCTGGCGGCGGTACTCTTCCGTGGGAGGGTGAAGGTTTCGGCCTTTTTGTAGTAGTGCAGCATGCTCTCCCACCCCCAGCCGTCATCGTCCAGGTAGCGGGCCCAATCCTCGAAATCCCGTCGACTTCCTCGCGCAAAGATCTTGCCGTTTACGGCTGAGCCACCGCCAGCAACCTGTTTATTGTAAGTTTGGAGTAATTAGCATTGCCAAAACATGTATTCTTCACTATGACCGGCCCGATTTATTTTTCCGGTGTTCGCGCGCATTCTCTAAAACGTACCTTGCCCGTGTAAATGGTGATATTCCGGCCATATAGATTTTCCATCGGGACCGTCGTGATATTGGGCCAAGTGTAGGGAATCTGGCCCGGGGTAAGCCGGTCAAAGGTTGGGGGACGAGCAAGGAGTCGAACTCGTCTTTCCCATCCAAGATCGGCCCAGCCTCGATGACGAGTACCGACACATCACTGTCCTCGGAGAGGCGGTTTGCGACAACGCAGCCACTCGTGCCGCCGCCGACAATCACATAGTCATACTCCTTCTCGAGGGCGCGCTCGACGACGATGGCGTTAGCCAAGGATGCCGCAAAGACGAAAATGGGCAGCACGTTTAGGAGCATCGTAGCGACGGCGGAGACTCCTGTCGTAAGAAGCGGAAGTTACTAATATGCTGGACGCCTCCGAGGTGGAGAGTTTCGACTACATGCTCCCTCCTACGCGCACAGAGGCCAACGGGGCCTACATGTATTTAACAAAGTGCAGAAACCACCAAACGGACAAGCCACGACGGCGAAAGAACGAGTGCCGTCGCGATCGAACCTCCACCCCTGCAGCAGGAGCGGTTGAACCGGACCTGGCTAAATCTAGAGCCGCTCGTCCAAAGGTGCATTCGGCATGCGCGTAGACCGAATGGTCGGGGAGGGGATGAGGGGTAGCACGGCAAACGGGCGAATGGCGGCCGCTGGAGGAGCCAGGTCTAATCTATGCCGAGTTTTGGGAGGCTCTCTCTCCCCAGGCAAATAAGAATAGATCATCGCATCTCTGGGCTCCAGTCGCCAAGCTTGGGGTCGAGGATCCTTTCCCACACTTTGTTCGAATTCCTCGCTTCCATGCGCTTCGCGTTCGCGGCCACACAGTCGTGGTTAATTACGAGGTTGAGGATTGGTTCGCTTTTCTGAATCAAATGATGTTGTACCGCAGTTTAATCATCTACCTGCTGGCCGGTTCGTAGACTTGGCACTTGGCTATAGTACTCAAGACTCGACGAACTAAACAGAATTGACCAGAACTCGGTAATTGGTGGTTTCCGTCGTTTACTCGAGTGCGGAGTTGTAGAGAATTGAAGCCATGGTCTTGTAAACCAAGGCTACGTAATCTATGTTGAGAGTTTCCGTCGCCAATATTGAAAGCATTAGACCATTGTAACCCAATGTGCGACTCCTACCAAAGAAAGCCGACCAGGAATAAACGAAAAAAAAAACGACATTGAAGAATAACCATCTCGGGAACCTTTCGTCTATCTTCGCTGGAAAGAGAGATCGTGTGGATGATGATCAGCCCGAAAGGTCAAGCAGGGCGGACGCAGCTGACAGCTGAGAGCTGAAAGACCGGCAAGGGTGTACGCAATCAACTCGCCTTCGCCCATTGCCCGCCGTCAACTAGGAACAGTGACGTCGATGACTACCGCCTCAGACCTCTGGTGAGCCTTGACGATCTTATCTCCCTCGCCATGGGATTTATGGTTATTTTACACTGCCACCCTACTTGCCCCAAAGCAGCGTCATGTCGCGCCCCCGAGGCGTTTCTGGTGGGCGCCAGCTGTGGCCGTAACCTTGGCACGGGCGTCATCGCGAGACTTGTCGGGAGTCTTGGCGCTTCAGCCCCAGCACACGATTTTAGGTATATCCAAAAACGGAATTATTGATTCAAGCGGACAAAGGGTGAAGAAATACTAATACTGCTAGTCCAGTCCAGCTGCGTTTTGCCCCTCCACCTCTGGCATCAATCGCCATTCGCTTTCGTTTCTTTTCCTTTTCACAAAACCTCGGTTTCCTTCTCACAACGCCCGATATACACTTCGCAAGCAGGCAAGCAAACCTTCATCTCCCGAACCTTCCAAGCGGTGCGTTCCCTAGTACTCGGCCCTCATCAACACCATCGCACTGGGGAATGGCGGCCCAATGGACGCGGATCCGCTGAAACCGACGACATCCGACCATGTGTCCACGGCGGATCATGAAAAATCGACAAAAAAGCGACACAAAAAGCTTGGGACCCCTGGATACCTAGCATCTCTGCGCTACGGCCTCGCCACGGTCGCCGTCTCGCTCTGCATCACCATCGGCCTGACCATCGCCGCCCACGTCCGCTCCGCTCCCGAAGATGGCTATCGCGTCCTGTGGAACCTCGAGTGCGACAAGGCACAGAATGTCAACATGTACTTGCACTTGGTGATCAATATACTGAGCACTCTGGTGCTCGGCGCGAGCAACTATGCCATGCAAGTGCTTTCGGCGCCCACGAGGGCCGAGGTGGACGCGGCGCACGCCAAAAGGCGATGGGTCAACATTGGCGTTCTGAGCTTTGGGAACCTATGGTATATACGAGGTTGGAGAAAGTGGCTCTGCGTTGCGCTTGCCGTGAGCAGCTTGCCGGTTCATCTCCTGTGCGTTCCTCCCTTGCTCTCCCCTCTCCGCGCTTAACTCTATGGCCCAAAGCTCTCCCATCGCCGGGCTGCTTCCAAACTCTGCAAAGCTAACACAACCGTGCGACGTCTCTAGATTCAACTCGACTATTTTCTTGACAACGGCTTCGAATCAGTACTTCGTCTATGGAGTTTCCGAAAGCATGCTCGCCACAGACTCGGCAGACGCCGATGCCGGCGACAAGACGAGAATTATATTCAATAGCGGCTTGAGCATGATGATGAGTTCCGACGAGGCCAAGATTCGGAAAAGCGCCAGCACCCAGCTGAGCGACCTCTTGCGACTAGCGAGCACGGATAGCCTCGTCCGCCTGGAGAACGACGAATGCATAGCCGCCTACGCGCGGATCCCCCAGACCGACACGAGCAACCTCTTAGTCGTCTCCTCATCCGAGGCCTCCAGCGATTACACGTCCTGTAATTGGGTAGGCGGCTTTGACTCGGGCTACAACACGGATCCGTACAAGTGGATATGCGACAACACGGGCGGCAACATTGGGGCTAGCCAGTACTGTTCAGACGTCGTCGGCCAGATGCGGGCCAACGCATCTGACTGGGCTCCGTTTGGGGACCCGTCCAAGTACTGCCTCGCGCAGCGGACGGACCAGGGCTGCGCAGTCAACTTTTCCACCGAGCTGGCAGGCATTTTCATCGCCTTTGGCGCCCTGAAACTCATCATTATAGCAGTTGTCGCTCTCAAGCTGAGACACGCGCCTCTCCTCACCCTCGGCGATGCCGTTGCCAGCTTCACGACGCGGCCGGATGTCCATACCGAGGATATGTGCTTGGCCGAAATCTCCAGCTTCCGATCCGTGTTTATGATTAGACGCTGGCCGACGGGAGTGGCAACCCCGTGGCGGAGAAATCTACGGTTCAGGCTTTTCTCGCCGGGCTGGTTTCAATGGGTTTCGTGCCTGCTTCCGTAAGTTTAATCGGGTCTTAAATACCTCCCTGGCCGTTCCATCTGCGTCTCCATCTCCCACTTTTTTCCTGCCCCCTCAACTGACGAGATAAAACTGTGTTCCGTAGATATGGCGTAGCGCTATTCTTCTGCATCTACCTCTTTGAAATCGGCCGCACCGGCCTCGAGACCGACAACTCCTTTTCTGGCGCCATGGCCCTCGGAGTTGGCCTGTACGATCCCCGCGCGGCCATCGGCCTCGGCATAGACCTCCCCGAGTCAGGTGCATGGGCTCTCGCGAGCCGCACCGTAATCGTGAATGCGGGACAGGTTATACTCTCCATCATATACTTTGCCTATAATGCCATCCTCACCAGTATGTGCACCGCAAGCGAAGCTGCGCGCTACGCCCGGGTGCGGCGGGGGCTCCGTGTCTCTTCCGGGCCGCGAGGCAAGCAGAGGTCTACATACATGCTGCAGCTGCCCATGCGCTACGCTCTGCCCCTTCTGGCCTTGAGCGCCGTGCTGCACTGGCTCGTGTCTCAAGCCATCTTTGTACTGCACGTGAGGTGGTACGCCACGGATGGTAGCCTGATAGCGGCGGATGAGCGGGCCCGAGTCGGCCAGGTCGAGTGGGAATTTGGGTATAGCCTCGCGGCGATCTTTGCCGTCGTCGTCGTCAGCGCCGTCCTCATCGCGTCGCTTTTCGTCTACGGGCTAGTCCCGTTAAGGTCCGACATGCCCTTGCTAGGAAATTGCAGTGCGGCGATCGCTTCTTCGTGTCACCCAGCCCGACGGCTTCGCGACCCCTCGTACGAAGGCGACGCGGATGATGTGGAGGAGAAGATCCAGTGGGGTGTCACGGTCGAGGAGGACGGAGATGAACCGGGGCATTGTGCCTTCTCTAGTGGCCCCGTTACGGCACCCATAGAAGGCCGGCTGTATCGATAGATTTTAAAGACTTCTAGATTTTGTCACGATTATGAATTTAATGGTAAAGAAGGATGAATAGCATAGCAATATAAGTGTCAGTATTTCTCTTTATTTGAACTATAAACGAGTCGCTGGAGGCACAAGCGTTAGGTTTGACTAGATTTATCCACGTCCGGTTTCCGTCCGTAGACGACGTAACTATTTTGGTTTTGCAATATGTCAGTACATCAAAATACAATGGCGGCCGTAGAAGGGCAAGTCTTACACTGGAGTGTACGCGTGGATGAATCCCAATCTCAGCTCTTCCCGCGCACCTGCGCAGAGCGTCTGAACCTCTTCAGCCGTCCAGCCCAGCGCTCTATGCAGGAGAGCCATTGACAAGCCCTCAAGGTTTGCCTCGATGTTGTCAAAGTAGAGCTGTCCGATATCCTTGTAGTATTTGTCCCGGGGCCACACGCCCAGCGGCCACTTGAATTTCCTTTCCACGATATCGACGAACCCTGCGTTGGCGAGGTATTCTTTGTACTTGGCGCACTGGTCGAGCGGTCGGCCAAGGATCCTGCTCGCCTCGCCACATTCGGCGCCGATCTTGTACATAGAAGAGTCCTTGCTCAAAGTCTCGTCGTCCGAGGTCCAGGGCGTGTAGACGTCCTGGAGCTCGAGGTAACCGCCTGGCTCCAAGGCCCTGTTTCATAGATGTTAGCTGACTAGTGCGTCGATAATATGGTCCGTTCCCACCACGGTCACTATCTTTCTCGGTATTTGGATTTCACATACGCAAAAGCCTTGTCGATAAAGGCCTGATAATCGGAAAAGCAGCCTGCGAGAACGCGGCCAAAGATGAAGTCAAAGGGCTTCTCCCAAGTCCAATCTTTTTCAACATCGTCGACTTCGAACGAACAGTTGGGGGTGCCCTAAAAGAGAATTAGCGCACCAAGATAGATAAACCGGCGCCCACCCACGAGGACTCTAACGTTGGCTCATGGACTTACAAGCTTGGCTGCATCCTACTCAGATCGACACCAATCACCTAAAACTCATGTAAGCGTTGATTTGCCCCGGGCGAACAGTTAGCTCACGCCAGCATACCTGGGCTTCCGGATGGGCATCGGCTACATGAAGGAAATAATTAGAGCATATTTAGCCAAGGAAAGTCTAGAGATAGAAACGCACCATAGTCGATTGCCCAAACACCTGTGCCGGTTCCGACGTCGAGCACGCGCTTTGCGCCATCCTTTTTCGGTGATAGGCACAACTCGCCGCGCAGGGTGACGAGCCAGACGTAACTTTGGAGATCTAGGCGGATTTGATCCCACGGTCAGTAAACGTAGGCGATCGCCTGTCCTGTTTCGATATCACTGTGAGTCGAGGCAGAGAGGGGTTCATCTCCATACTTAGGCGTTCTGTCTCTGTCGAGTCGTTCGGGAAGGCGTATTCTACCCAACCATGTCAATGACTACTCCTAAAGGTCCTTTTGGCGCGGTTCAAGGACAATGCAAGTCTTACTCATGGAATGATAAATCCGTCCATTTTCTTCCTTGTATTCCAACACGGTTGAGCGCAAGGAGGTGAGCGACGAGGTAAGAGGCTAGACGGGGATTCTATGTAAGTTGACGCCGAGCGATAGGAAGGCATCTAAAAACTAGAATCCATCCCCGTCGCGATGGTGACTTACGGCCGAAAACGTCGACTTGCCGTCGCTTAGATGGGGCTCCGCCTCGATCTAAACAAGCGCACGATGTCAAAGACGGTTAGCCCTACCGGGATGCTTGACGATCAACCACCATATCGCCCCCTTGGGTGTTCCTCCGGTAGCGGGGTAACATGCGCGGGCCGCTGCGCATCATCCCCCACCAGCCCTTGGCCGCACGGGGGAACCTTACAATGTCATTTTGGAGGTTCTCCATGGCGATGCGTTCTTGAAGCGGATTGCAAGCTTGCTATCTTTGTAGCAATTGGGCTGCGCGAGAAGTAGAAAGGTTCACAAGCAACGACAAAAGGGAGCGCCCGAGCGAAAAGAGGGGGACAGGACGGGTTAGGAGGTATGATTTGGGAAGCCCATTCTGTCCAGGATGTGGCGTTAAGGGGAGTGTGCCCAATCGCCACGGACCAACATCCCACATCCCACATTTCACATCCCACGTCCCCCATCACCCCGGTGCCTCTCCGCCATCTCAAAAGGGACGCAAGTGGCAGGGATTTCGGGGCTACATCACATGACTGCAGCCAACAGGAAGGAGAAGGCACAATTGGCGAAGTTAGAAATCATGGGCTCGGACGCCGAGGCCCAGCTCACGGTTGTTTGCTCGAAAGGAGCAAAGCGAAGCGACGAGTGGCCTTTCAAAAGTCGGCATCTATCTTGGCACGCTTGAATCCACCTCACAAGGTGCCTACATCCAATGATTGCCCGCCTAGTTTACACGACCAATGAGTCTAGCTCTCAGCTTCATAATAATCTCTGCTCGGCCTTTTCACTACCCTTTCTTTCTACTTGCATATTTCGAGGCCGTATGCGGCGCTGCAATAGGTATGTATTGGGGACAAATAAAGTAAGAAAAAACAAAAAAGAAGGAAAGGGTTGGTGTGGAGGAGCCGGCCGCTTGTTCGGTGACAGGGTATTCCCTGCTTTGCATCAAGAGCCCTCGCTCGGGTCCCTGTTCACATTTTCCCAGTCAGAGAACACGCTGCCACCAATTTTGATAGTTCCCGTAGCAATAGGTCGCCCAATTCCTTCCCTGAAGCTCACGTAGCTGCGATAAACCGTGATCTTATGGCTGGAGGCTTGCGCAAGGCGGTGCCCCAGCTTGTCAATTATGAGCTGGTGTTCATTTCTGTCTCATCACCATTTTGATCAGTCCCTCATAGTCGAAAACGCAACAAGAACGAGCGCGTGCGGATATGGAAAAACATGTTTCAGGACGAAATAGGTCTCGAGGGCAGGGCTAGAACGTCTTCCGACACTTACAATGGTTGAAAGCTCTTCTCAAACATGTCCTCAAACACCGCGACAACGCCGTTTCTCAATTGTTTCTCGCTCAGTGGCGGAGTCAGTTCCGCCTGGATGCGGTCAGCCGTGAGCTGAATATTTGGAGGCATGGTCAAGATATGGTCAAGGTGTAGCTCGTTCTGGGAGCCGTAAAGATAGAATGGCATTCGGTCGGGATAATGCGAGTGCAGTGCACCAGATGATAAAGATTCTTTGACAACAACATGGATGTTGGATAGTCTGAAAGTCGTGATTAGTTGAGCGCCTGGTTTCCCGGGAATTCCCTCCATCATGCGCCAGTCAAGGTCTGAGTCAGGCTTAATCATGTCGTCAAGGTTAGCCAGGTTCCCGTTCGACATGGTGTACAGCTTGGTAGGGTGTTGTGCGCGGAGCGCCTTGAACCTGGCATGCACATTGGGGGAAGTCTGCCGTGATGATGAGTTGCCAGCGATGGCTCGCCATGTGGAACATTGGTAGGTGGACAAGGAAGATGTTGTCGAGGCCCTGCATAACGAAAGCGTGTAAACCTGGCTTGACTTCATTGCGGATCTTGCAGCGCTTGATCTCCTCCATGGCAACATGTCGAAACGAAGATACTAAGTTGTTCAGGAACGGCCCATCTGAGGTCCACGGGCACATTGTCACATTGACCAGGAATCTCAGGTCACCGCGGGTGGCTTCTTGGCCATCCGAGAGCCGTAGGCGCTTTTTAAAGGTTTGTAAACACCTTCCGTACGCCTCTTCGGCAAAAACGGACGAGGTTAGTATCATAGGCTTGTCCGCTATCGTGTCTTTGATGGAGGAGATGGAGAGTCGAGAAAATATACGCTGGTTAAGGTAGTTGGCCTCTCCCTAAAACCAGAGCAGACAAGCCAGTTTGTGGTAAGCAGAAGATCGCTTCTCAAAGTCGTCCTAGCGCACGAGACGGATATGTCTGATGGAACTTACTACGTTTGTGTTTGGCTTGCCGTGAATCTTGAAGTTGCACGCGAACGCGTTAATCATCAAGTCTCCGCCAAGCTCCGACATGAGATCCCACGAGTCCTTGTTCTCGTAAATCTGCTCGTTGGTCGGCCCGAGAATCTCATCCCGTATTCTCTGCTTGTCTGCTTCAACTATCTCCCTGCCTTTGCCCATCCGCTCGCTGGGGAGTTGAACGAATGGAACTACAATCAGGTCGTCATCCGAGTCCGTCATGGTTGCCCAGTGGCAATAAAGCTTATAATCGCGAAAGAACGTTAAGATGTAGATCATCAGGGGAAGGGCGCTTACGTCTATACTACAACCTACCTTGGTAGAGGTAAAAAGGGCTTCACCTAGCAGCCGGCCATATCCTAGCTGATGAAGGCCAATTGTTTTGTGCGTCAACCAAACAGCTGCTGCGGTCGCGCCAGCCTTACTTCCCTCAACTCCGTAAGCGCCCATATTCTCGACTTGATCATGATTGTGGGAGACGATCGGGCTCGTCCAAGTGATGAGGTATCTCGTTCGCTCATCCCGGTAGCATAGTCCCCCGGCGGCGTAATTGAGATAGCCAGACCTAGATAGATGATTCAAGACGGTGCGTTAGCTTGTTTTATGAGGCCTTGGATCAGGCAAGAATATGACTGGCGATGTACCTACTTGTGCGGATCAATCGTAATGCTATCCGCGTGGTGGAGATGTGTGAGCTGGTGTTCGGTATAGCGCGAGAGAGCCATGGCCGGGACATATGGCATGCGGCCGTCGGTAGCTTTGCCAGAACATGAGCTCGTTATTGAAGTGAAGAGACTGCCCCATTTTTCATGGCGAGGAGGGACTGATGAACCTGCTTTGTTACCATACCCGTGGCTCCCGCAGAAGGGTACCAAGGAGGACAATAAACCACCCCACGTCTGGCTAGCACGAGGAATAGCAAAAGGAATTTCCTTCTCACGCTTCTGGCGGGGAGAGAAGTCCACCATCGAGGCAAAGTAACCTCCCCAAGCCGCATCGCAGTGGATGGTAAACGTCAGGCCCTTTTTTCATACTCCTCGCGGATCTGGACAATCTCAGAGACGGGATCGCAAGCACCGTGTTCGGTGGACCCAGCAATGGCGACAACTGCGAACACGGGGATCTGCTTTCGGATAAGCGTATCCAGCAGAGCTCTGAGGGCCTCCGTGTCCAGGCGCGCCTGCTCATCCACAGAAACCTCAATGAAATTGGCGGAACCGATTCCGGAGATGGCTAGAGCGTTGGTCAGATCATCAGCTAGTACCGGAGTGCTAATTGGCAATGCGATATACCGAGCGATGTTGCGCAAGAGGGGGCCGTAGTGGAGAGAACTTTCGCAGGGTTCACAGAGCTCGGAGACGTACCTCCATTCTTAGGCCACGAATAGTGCTTAGTGGCGCCAAGGAGAACTTTCCCAGGTGGGATACCATATTTCGCCTCTAGAACATCCTTGCCTGTCGTCTGGACTAGGTACGGATTGAGCGCACTTTGCAGGAATGTCGAAGAAATGAAATATTCTGCGGCCAGGCGCGTCGGTAGCTCCAGTACCGTGGACGGTTTAAGATTGAGAAGCTCCCATACAGAGAGTTGCGTAAATTGCTTTCTAACTCCCTGAGATGTTTCTACCTCGAATGGAGGCTCTGAATGTTGAAGAAAGGATAGTGGTCCGTCGGCGAGGGTGGCCTCCCGCAGAGACAAGGGGTAAAACTTGAGGTTTCGGACTATACGTCAGGTCAATATTGTCAGCGCGATCTGCTTGAACAAGGCGGAGAAGATGGCTTGGCCTGCATTCACACTATTATTGCCTTGTGATTCCTTCTCCTAGTTACCCTTCGCTTCATGATGATGCTTACAAGCCCAAGTGGCCTCGAGATTTGCAACAGAGCCGCCCTGTTGGTTGGACCAAGTTAGCATACAGTTTGGTAACAGACGAGACAACGAGGGTCACCGCAACGTACGGAAGTCAAATGACCCCAAGGCGTAACATTGCGGTTCTTGTAATAGCCTAGCATCCTACACAGATCCTCGCCAACCTCCTTCTCGAGCTGAGAGGTCAACGCACTGCCCTCCGTTCCCACGTTGTTCGGGTTGTGCAACATGGCAGCCACGTCTTACAATAAGTCAGCTTCTATCGTATAATTGATGATTTCGGAACTATATCATGTTCAACTTACAGCCGACTATACCCGCAAGTGTGGTATCCATACTCATGTGGCCATTGTATCTAGGTGACCAAATCGGAGTAGAATGCTTGGCCAGATTCCGGGACAGCTCTCGGACGTCTTCCTTGAACTTGCCAACCCTATAGGTAAAAGACTCCGCTGACTGCATGCTGCGGAGGATAAAGGCAGGGTCATGAGGAAACAGGCTCCTCCTAGCCTCGGCATGGTCCGTCAAAACGCTGTTGAGCATGTCCCTCAGAAGACCAAGGTTCTCGGCGCGAGGCCCCAAGAACCAGGACCCAACTTTGGCATGCCAACTTCGATTGAGATCTGTCTCCGCCATGGGAACTTGGAAGGGGTTAACTAGGTAATTCTGCAAGGAAGGAGTGTAGGCTATGGTCGTCTTTAAGGGTGGGCCCAAGGCTCAAAGCATAGGGCGGGCAAGATACACAGTAGGGACTCTTACTTATAAGCCGGGGCAATATCGTTAGAATCGAATAAAACGACGCCGCTCACGCGCAACCTTTCATTTGACTTTTTCATGCTGATCTTCAGGAATAAACCCATCATCAGCAACTTCAAATTCGACGAGAGCTAGAATCCTATGCTCAACTTGCGAGGCGCAATAGCGGCCCGACAAAACGCCGGGGAGGGAAAGGCATCTCGGGTCAATGACGGATGCACGCTTATCCGGGGTTCCGGCCAGTGGCTTAGGCCACTATGTCAACCAAAGCACAAACGAGGGTATGAAGAAAAGGTTTAGCCTCCGTTTCATGCACATGTGTTTTATGGGCGCTTGGTACAGGCTACTCGTCATCACCGGCGAGGTACGCTCGAGTTCCTCAAGCTCTCTACCCTATCCACGAAAAGAGGAAGAGAGAGAAAAAAAGCAAAGCAATGAAAACAGCAAGAATTCGGCTCCGTTTTTGTTACAATGTAGTTTCTTTCCTGGTAGTGTCGCCGAGTAGTCCGAAATTTCAATTGGCCGAGTGTGTGAGAAGAGGCCTGAAAAGGCATCCTGAAAGGAAGAAAATAGATTCAAAATTAGGCCGAGAAGTTTTGATCGGGCTTGTCGGAAGAATGGCATTTGGTCAGATTGGATAGATGTAGATCGTCACGCCCGGATACGAATCCAGTGGCTTCAGCCGATTAAACCCTCAGCTCTACAGAGAAATCAAGTGACTGTCAAAGTAAGAAGATTACATCTTCGCTCTAGGGCTAGAATGATAGAACCCGGTACAACCGATTTCGGGCAATCTGGTTCGATTTAGATAGGTCATATACTTTTCTCACTTCAGTCCTCGGAAACATATCTATCTCCTCTTCCACCTACGCCTACGAGGCGCATATCATCTGTCACGCCGGGGATCTCGTTCTGCACCCATTCGTGACCCCCGCCGCTATTCACGAGAGCCCTCCCAAATCCCCCTTGGGCACTTCTCCGTTGGATTTCTCCCATCCCTCGCCGAACAGGTAGAGCGGGTCTACCGTACCGATGGCGATGCTGATGTTGGGACCTGTCTCCCGCCGCCAGTACAGAAAGGTACCACACTCGGCGCAAAAGCCTCGGGCGTTGCCCTCTGTGCAATAGTAGTTTTTAATCGTATCGGTAGGCGTGGTCCAGGTCAGAGACGAATATGGAACCTTGTGGTAGACGAAGAAGAGGCAAGAAGTGCTCCTTCGACACTGCGTGCATTGGCATGTTCCGCTCTGCCAGGCGTTAGACCGGGTGGGTATTTCAAATCGACGGGGAAGGAAGGGGGAAAGAGGGCGGCCCCGGCATGTTTACCAGGCATCATCTTACGGCATCAGTGAAAGAGTGGTTCTCGCCGAAATCCACTTTGTAGGCAATCCTTTTGCACTGACAGCTGCCAGTGATGGTTTTGGGAAGAGGGCCAAGATCAAGAGTGTCCGACATGGCGAACAAGGTCGACTTTCGTCCGATTTACTTGACTACGACGGTCAAAGTGGGGATGAGGTAGATTTTAGAGAGACAACCAAGATGCAGAAAGTGGGTGTTGATTGTTTAAAAGACAACATGTACAGAGAGGAGGATTCGAGGGTCCGTGAACAAATAGGCGGATGGTGGGTAGGATTTATAACAACTCCGCCCACTACGACATCGTGCATCGAGTCATTCTCACTTCCTTCAGCGTCACTGAATCGGCTATACAAAATTCTAGTCTTTAAACTGTCTGATTAGGCAACCTTGAACCGCATTGAATCTGCACGTGATTGGCACGCTCTATTGATGTTTGCAACTTTTATGGTAGCCAGTATTCTACCATGGGCGGCATCGGGGCTTCTCTTATCCCGAACAGGTAAGCAAGCATTGTCGACTCTCTGACAACGTTGACTGGAACGCGCATCGAAGGTTTTCTGTACATCTCAAAATCTCCTAAAGGCTTCCATCGTAAGACGGAACCTCGCTATTAATTGTCGCGTGGCTCAAGTCTCCTCGCTAACGCCCCCCTTGACCTGTAGCCCAAACCCGGACAACGAACCCCACCGCCGGCTGCGAGTGGGGCCAACTTTCCCCGTACATAGACCGGATCCATTGTAGAGTTTCCTGTCAACCGGTCCATGTTTGACACGCCTATCGACTCTGGAATAGATCCATTGATAAATACATCATCGATAAACTCCAAGGCAGACAGGGCTCAAGAAGCCCCAATCTTGGTGTTCCATCAGACCCTACCAATGCCACGCTATTTACATGTGTGTCAACATGGGATATCGCCAAAGTCTCATTTTCTCATCAAATTCTAGAGAGTCTCGCAGTGGCTCTATATACATTCTATTCATATCACTACACCACCAATACGACCGTCCCTTCCTATCCTCAGTGTGCCATCCCCGCACTTCGGTAGCTGTAAGTGCCTCCATTTTACCCATGTTTCATCTCTCCCCGAGACTAGTAACAGTAAGCTGAAGAGATACCTATCCTCAAGATACGATCCTCCACAGTCAGGGCCCAAGGACATAAGACGTCTTTCCGATAAATACTCGTCTAGCAATGTCTCAACTTGCACGCGTTTAGGTGCTTGGTGCGTGTTGGTACCAGATGCCGGGAAACGTTGCAAGTGTTCGAGGTTTAGGTCTGGAAGATTATAGGGCTCTGGGAATCGCGCTTCTATGTGCCCTCGACTTGGGTCAGACCCCGGCAAACTAGCCCCACTCGTTTGGCCGGCTTGGTGTAGTGTATCCTCAAAGGTTGCTGCCTGGATCCGATGGGTCCTCTCCATCCGGCGCCGGGATTGCGTCTTCTGGGAACAGTGCGTACTGTAGCCCGTCGATGAGAAGGGAATGGTCAAAATCTACTACGCAGGCCCCGCTCCTCCAGTCCTGCGCAAGCTGCTGCACGGCTCCACCCTCTCCCGTAATGTCGACGGCGATCCCAAAGGTCCGACTAGGGTCTCCAGCTTCGCAGATTTGCGCGGCGAATTGATGACCTGAAAGCGCACCGGAGACAATGGCATCGACAAACTTGGAAACGAGATCCATGACGCTGGTCTTATCGACGAGCTTGCCAGTATAATGGGTCATGATCACAGAGGTTCCGAGTCCATTGTACTCGAAGCTCTCCTCGCAGTTCGGTGCCACTTGAAGGGAAGCGAGGACGGTTGTGAAGCTCAATGTGAACTCGTCAGTCAGCGCCACGGGGTCGTCATCAGCATCCGTCAACCCCCACGCCGCTACCTCTAAGCTGGAAGGAATAATCTCAGGTATGATATCGGGTGCGCATCCGGGGTCCTGTCGCGCGTGCAGCGGGCGCGGAACCAGTGATATGGAGTTGGGGCTGGGGCTAGCCGCGCCGGCGATGAAGAAATGCATAAGCCCATAACAGAGGAAGATCCACGACATCATCATCGAACGAAGCGCTCCGATGTGGCCCGAAGTGGCCCTGGGTTCGCTGTGAAGTTTCTAATGTTGGGGCACGGTCGGGGTTGATGCGATCTGGTTAATACATGGATGATGCGGGGTGATAATAATATCCGGGGTCCGTCTTGGTTGCAAGGAAGGAGCAACGCTCAACGGCAGCCTGTAACCGACACAGCCAATCAGATCGCCAGCCTCCCAATGCGAGGGAGAATATAAAATGGGCAACTGCGCCTCCCTTCCGAATCCTACAACCAACGGACTTGCTCAAGCTCCCTTTTCCCTACTACACATTTTGTTTTCATCTTGTAGCTTTAGTTCTGCTCCTTGAATTTATCAAAGATCATCACCATGGCACAGTCAGACTCGAGGGGACACCTCGAGGGTGAGGATGACCCCGATCTCGTCATGATAGACCGAGACGACGTGAGCAACTACAACCCCGAGCAAATCCTCCCCCAATCCCCAGAAACAATCCGAGAGATAAAAACCTGGCTCGACCCCACGGCGTATAACATTGCTGGCGGCGAGTACCGCAAGCACCGCGCTTCCCACGTAGCAGGTACCGGCACCTGGCTCACCTCCACGCCTACTTACCAAGAATGGCTGAATGGCACTGAACATGGTCTTCTTTGGCTTAGAGGCATTCCCGGGTCCGGAAAGTCTGTGATAGCAGCAAGGCTGATTGATGAAATTACTGAGGCAAACCCGGGATGCCCTGTCCTCTTTTCTTCTTTCGCCAGATCATCAACGCCAACCACACACCTCGAGCTCTCCTGTGTGACTGGATGGACCAGCTTCTACAGTATAGCCCGCCTCTGCAGGAGCAGTTGGCAACCTATGTTGAAAGCTCTAGATCGCTGGACAGCCTTTCTATTGATGATCTTTGGAGGGATCTGCGTATGGCCTTTTCGCGTCTTCCCGGCAGGGTCTTTTGCGTCGGAGACGCGCTTGACGAAATGGACCGTGGACACGACACCTTCCTCAAGACCCTTGGCTCCCTAGGTCAGTGGCGTCCGGGAACTGTTAAAGTCCTGATTACGAGCCGCCCCGTCCCCGCTGTAGAGGCCCCTCTCCGAAACATTCCTTGTCTCCATCTCCGACTTGAGGAAGACCAGGTCGACGCCGATATCTCCACATATGTGCGCTTCGCCCTATCGCACTCAGATATCCCGCGAGGTCAATGGCAAACCATTCAGGATGCTGTTCCTGGCCGGGCAAATGGCCTCTTCCTCTACGCCAAGTTGGCAATGGATGCCTTCCTCGAGCCTGGTGCTCAGATTGCCACAGTCCTCAACCAGTTACCCCAGGATCTCAACGCCCTGTATACAGATCTTCTAGCCGAGCACGCCCGCCGGTCGGGAGTGTCCCCACACATACAACAGCTAATCCTTCAGTCCGTAACCCATGCGATACGGCCCCTACGTCTGCTAGAGCTTGCCGAGATGCTTCGTGTCTGCGGCCCGGATTCAGGCGCGCAGGACCTGAGGGCCACCAAGGATCTCATCAGGGCGGCGTGCGGTCCCCTCTTGGAGATTCTGGCCGACGAGACTGTCTCTGTTGTTCACCATTCCTTTACCGAGTATCTCAAGGGTACGACAAGAGGCAAGGGCGACCCCGGTTACCCAGTGCTCGAAAGGGAGTTGCACACGCCGAGCTAGCCCTTGCGTGCCTTCGTTATCTGCGTTCGGCATGCGCCGGCGCGACATGTTCTGACGACAGCAACGACAGCGACTGGGATCTAGACGAGGGGTCCATCTTCCACTCCAACTTCTATTCGATTAAGGGCAAAACTTCACAAATCCCGGAAGGTGTCAGCGAGAGCGAATCGAAGTTGAGGATTAAGCATCCATTCTTCGACTACGCAGGGAGATATTGGCACCACCACGTCGTCGTGTCCGATGCAGAGGGCTCGGATCAGACGAGCGTAAATGCCGAGATCCACGGATTTATAAGTGATAAGGGCCTTTGGACGACCTGGTTACGTTATCAGTGGTCTCGAGATAGAGGCGGCGCGAAGTCCCTCTCCCCACTTCACGTTTCAGCGTATCTGGGCTTGGTTTCCTTTACCAAAGAATTACTCAAGACCATCGACGTTGACGTGAAGGATTCTCGAGAGGCAACGCCAATGTAAGCACCCCCGACCAATGCAAGGTCTCACAAAAGTGACGTTGTGGCTGCATGTATTTGAGTTGAATGCGAACTGACGCCGGTTCCTAAAGATGGTGGGCCGCTGCTGGCGGGAACGCAGACATTATTCGCATCTTGATCGCCGCCGGAGCCGATCCCGACACCCCAGAATCGCGAAGGGGCCTCAAGCCGCTCCACGAAGCCGCCTGGCGCAACCACCACGAGGCCGTGCTCACGCTCCTCGAGGCAGGCGTCGATCCCCTTACGCCGAAAACAAAGGAAAATCCCGGGCGGAGGTGCGGAACTAGCGCCGGCACGGTGGGCGACACGCCCTTCATGTACGCTTGCGAAAACAATCACGTCGAGTCCGTCGACGTCTTCCTTCGCTTCATTCAGGATGTCGACGCCGTCAACGACGGATTGCTCTCGGGCGCCGAGGGGGCAAGGCGAGCGTGGTGGAGCGTATCCTCACCCACCCCGGTGTCGACGTCAACGTCAAAAACTACAGGGGCACGCCGCTATTCCTGGCGTGTTCCACCCATAGCGCCGCTACGGTCGAGCACCTGCTGCGCGCCGGGGCGGATCCCAACCTGATGTGTGAGAGCCGCCATCGCTCGGGGTTGGGTATGAACGCCGCCGACGACCCGTCAAAGCCGCGGGGGCATACGAGCCTGCTCAGGCTTTGTCGGGTGCATAGTCTCTACGGTATACCCTCGTCAGGTGGGGAAGGGGATGAGAAAATATTGTCGCTTCTCCTGGAAGCCGGTGCGGATATATATCAGTGTGCCTATCCCGGAGGCGCAACCGCCCTCCACGGCGCTGCGCACTATTCTTCCGTTCTCACGCGCCTACTTCTTGAAGCGGGGGCCGATGCAAACGCTCGCGACTCGAGCGGTCGCACCCTCTACACTACGTGCAGGACGTGGACGCCCTGGCGTGCCTGGTTGAGCTAGGTGGTGCCGACATCAACGCGAGGGATCGCAGCAGCAGCCCGCCGATTTTCCACATCATGATCAGTTATAGACACGAGACCATTCTCAAACTCTTGGAGTATGGCCCAGACTGTAACATCGTGAACAAAGCGGGCAGCAACGCCCTTCACGTGGCATTGGAGCGGTGGTCGAACCACCCCGACATCATCGACGCCATGCTACTCGCGGGCGCCAATCCGAACGCTCGGAATCGCGCGGGCCTGACGCCCATTCTTTCCATGCAGTCGGACCAGATCAACCTGGATTTGGTGGACCGCTTGCTCGCGGCAGGCGCCGACATCAACGCCGTCGACAACGCGGGCGCCTCGTTCCTTTTCCGCATCTTTTCCGCGACCGGGTCCAGGCTAGGCGCCAAGACGCGCGCCGAGGTGAAGAATGTGATTCAAAATGTCCTCGAACGAGGAGCTAAACCCGCTCCTCGGGACTTCAAGGGCCGCACTGTCCTCCACGTTTGCGTCAGCAAAGACCGTCTGGTCGGAGGGGGCGTACCTACGCCTGGGGGCCGCCCACACTGATAGAGGCCGCGCTCTCGCTGGAGCCCGACATTCATGTCGTCGACCACGCTGGGAACGGGCTCCTCCACGCGATCGCGGCAAGCCCTGCGAATCATAAATCCCACGATTCGCCGAGCCGCCTCGCCTTTTGGAAATGGTTGGTGGATCAGGGGCTTGATGTGAGCGCGCGGAACCACCTCGGCCGCACGCCGCTGCACAATCTGTGCATCGAGAAAGAGTCCTATAACACAGGACGCAAGAGCACTGGGCTCCCAATCGACTTTGTCATTTCGCAAATGTCCGATGTCAACGTCGCCGACGTGGACGGCGTCACGCCTCTGCATTTAGCCGCGGTGTCGAGCCAGCGGTATACCGTTAAACTCCTCGACGCGGGGGCGGATGCCACTTTAGCAACCCACGAAGGATTGACCGCTCTCCACCTCGCTGCACGCGCACGGCTACCTAACATAGTCGGAATCCTTTTGGATAACTTGCGGCATCGGCAGAGGTCTTCGGCGGCTGCTGACGCACCAGAAGGGGGACCGAACGATCCAACAACAGGAGAGACACGCGAACCGGTCCTCGGCGTGAACGCGCAAGTAGAGACCACCAATTCGGCGTGCATCACACCCTCGATTTTGCCTGCCGCTCGGGCCGGCCGGAAACTGTCCAGCTGCTTCTCGACGCAGGTGCGGATGTCAAGCTAGGCAACGTGTTTGGCGCGTGCGCCTTCTTTGAGCGGGAAAACCAGCTGTGGCGCCACCCCGTGCCCTCGCAGGATGGAGAGGACGGCAGCCCCATGGCGATCAAAATGACTGACGACGGTCGACCAGGTGTGGGTGAGAAGCCGGCCACGGGGAACTCGGGAAAGTTGCTACCGGCGGAGACGACCCGACTGGACGAGATTCTGGAGATGATTATCGCTCGTGGAGCAGACGTGTCGGCTCTCTCGTACGATGTGGGTGGCGGAAACGTATTTGCCCAATCAGTGCATAGTGGCAACAAAGATTATACTGCCGGCTGCTTCGCGAGGGAACTGAGCAAGTGGGAGGCCGAGACGGGCAAAGCGTCCCGCTATTCGACGGAGAATCGACTCTTTGCCAAGTATATGAGGCCGCGCGTAGAGGAAGCGGCCATCCAGGGCGTCAAAGAATGTGGAATGCTTCGAAGTGGCAGGAGAACTCGAGACATCTTTCGCCACCTCATGGTTCGGAGAGAATACCGCCTCGTGGAGGAGATGGCGCGCGTTGGGAGCCCATTTTTGCCTGTGGCAGAGCTGAACGAGGAATGCAACCTCTCTGTACTCATCGAAAACGGCTGCGCCTCGCTCCTGGATACAATCGGGACTTTGGCTGGGGAGGAGAAGCTAAAGGACGGGAGCTGGCACGCGTACGGCGACGAGACGAAACCCGGCTTGTGGTACGCAAAGAGAGATCTAGCCAACGCGGACAGCCAGGGCTGCAACCCGTGCCCGTTCCTCATTGACGCGCTGGACTGCGAACTGCCCAACATGGCGGTCGTGCGCCTTCTCGTGGAGAAGTTTGGCGTGGATGTCAACGAGATGTACCACAGGAAAGCAAACTACGACGGCAAGTACGTATTTGGGCCGGTCGATTCCCCCATTCATACTGCTGCTGCTAGCACGACATGGTGGCATGTCCACCAGGCCCTACCGTACCTCATCCAGGCCGGCGCCGACGTGAACGCGCGAAACATCCACGGAGCTACTCCGTTGCATGTGGCGACGGGCGAAGGGGACACGCGTACGGGGCTGTTCGGTTTTGATGCGGTCAAGATATTACTTGAAGCTGGCGCCGACGTGAACGCGGTCGATGCAAAGGTCGAACCTGTTTGGCGCTCGCGGCGCAGCACGATGCTGGCATGGCGGAGCTTCTCGTCAAGTACGGGGCAAAAGTCGCACGGGAGGAAGTCGATGCAGCCGTGTTCCACAAAGAAACCCGTACTCTTCGACTCCTTCTCTCCGCGGGATTCGACGTCAACCTGGGCCCGGAGAAGGCGGACTCTGAAATACCACAGCCGCTACTTTTCAAAGCTGTCCACGGGCTGGGTCGTGCGCTCAAAACCATGCCTTTGACAAAGGGACGCGAAGTCGTTCGCATCCTTCTCGAGCACGGGGCCGACCCATTTGCCAAGTTCCACGAACGGTTGGAAGCCAAGCACAAGGCTGCATTGACAAGCCCCCGCCCAACAATCCATGTTCCGCAGGGGTACCAGGAGCTGACCGTCTTACACAAGATCTTCATGTCGGAGTTTACGGTCGACTTATTCCTCGAGTCCGAGAACTTGGACGTGAACCATCGCGACGCAGAGGGTCGTACATTGCTCCACGCAGCGTGTCATCACGGTGCTGGGCTGGACTACGTGCTGGCCGCCGACGATGGTGGTGACGTGGAGGGCATCGCCCTCGGGACAACCATTTTCCAACGCTTGGTAGCCCTCGGTGCCGACCTCGACGCGACAGACAATTGTGGAAGAAATGTCCTCCACCATGTGATCGGAAACGAGAACGTTTCTGGCCTGCCTTATGGCTATGGGACCAGGTTTAGCAAGGTCGAAATGGCCTTTGCCGCCCTAGTCGCAGCACGGCCTAACCTGGTCAACGCAACAGACAGCCAAGGCCTCACGCCGCTCCACTACGCCGTCCAGCGGGCTACTGAACAAAACGAACCCGAATACGTAGCCCCCTCCTCAACGCCGGCGCAGATCCCCTCGCCGCGGATAATCGCGGTGACACGGCCCTCCACTTCCTCGCGCAAAAGCTCGACACGCCCACCCTGCGCGACCTCTTCATGGACATCGCCGGGCCGCGTGGGGCCGACGTCAACGCGCGGAACGCCCAGGGCGAGACGCCGCTCTTCGCATTCAGCTTCCGGCCTCCCAGGACTTTGTTTCAAAATGCACGCTTCGGCGGCTTTTGTGGCTTCGGCGGCGACGAGTCCCCTCGCGAGCCCCCAGAGGCGAAAGTGTTGCCTTTGCTGGTCGAGCTGGGAGCTGACTTTTCGGTGCGGGATAACAAGGGGAGGGGCCTCCTCCACGTCGCGGCGAGCGGAAGTGTGGATCGCTTCAAGGAGCTGATGGAACTGGGGTTGGATCCGATGGCAGAGGATAACGCGCAGCAGACTGCGATTGACGTGGCAGCGGCTTGCAGTAACACGGATATCTTGGAGTTATTTCAAAACAAGAAGCAAAGGTGCACGTAAGTCCGGCATCGACTTGGAGGTTTTGGGTGGCCAGACTTATATCGTGTATTGATATACGTATATACACACATACACATTCACTTACAACTATAGACAATCAAGGCTCCTGTTCCTCAGCAACCGCGCGAGGAAAAAAAAAAAAAATTTTCAAGAGCGTGATTCTGGCTAGTCAGTCAACCCTGAACAAGCTCGAGCCTATCCAGTTGTTCAAGCGGAAACAAGTCGAAATCTCACGTTATCATACACTTTTAACTCGGGACCATCGCTCGGAATGGATGCCTCGACGATGATCGATATTCATTAGCCTTTCGCGATACTATGGAGCCTTTTCGAAGTCCGACGTTGAGGCTAGAAGTCAAACACGCCCCGTCGACGCTAACCAAAGTGGGCCATCACCGTCACTGACACAGCAACGCGAGTAATGATGATGCGCCAAGCTCGACATACAGCAAGAAGCTTGGCTTGGTCTGTGCCCTTCAGCTTCGAAGGAAAGAGCATGGTGAGAAGCTTTTCGATTTCGGATTTCGCAGCTCTTCTTCTTCACCTCATCAACTGTCCGGTTACGATCTTGTGCACGCCTTTCAACGCAACCTTGACCACTCGCACTTCACCAGGAGAATAAAAGAAGCCGCAAATACTTCCTCGTCCACATCTACTCAAAAAGAAAAATGGCAACTGCTGTTGAAGTCGGGACCACTGGCCTTGTTGTACGTTGCTCACCCACCCACACAGCTCTCACCTTTCCGAAAGGAAAAGCTCACGCCGATATGTGGCCCCATCCATAGATGAGCCTGTCTCGCGCTAACCTCCAGTCACTTGCAGGGCTCCCACATCCTCAAGACACTCCTGGCTCATCCAGCCTTCTCCACCGTCCACGCGTACTCGCGCAGGCCCCTGGCGAACGCCAGCCCCAAGCTCCAATCCGTCACCAACACCGACTCCGATGCCTGGCCCGCATCATTCCCTGCAGGTGCCAGCATTTTCTTCTCGGCGCTCGGCACCACCAAGGCCCAGGCCGGCGGGATCGAAAACCAGCGCAAGATTGACCTGGACCTGAACCTCTCCCTGGCCAAGGCCGCCAAGGATGCCGGCGTCGAGACGTACATTCTCATCTCGTCGACCGGCGCGGATTCCACCAGCCGCATGGCCTACCCCGCATGAAGGGCGAGCTCGTGGACGGTGTCAAGGCTCTGGGCTTCAAGCACACCGTCATCTTGAATCCCGGCTTGATTCTCGGCACGCGCGAGGATAGCCGGCCCCTCGAGGCGGTGGCGAGGACTATCGCCGGTTTCCTGGGCGGCATCTCGGGTGGCGCGCTCACCAACTCGTGGGCCCAGGATGCGGACACGATCGCCAAGGCTGCTGTCAGCGCCGGTGTGCAGATCCTGGATGGGAAGAGGGAGCCCGGGGTTTGGGTTATGCCCCAGTCGGAGATTGTTGAGCTCGGTCTTACGGGGTGGAAGGACCCCGCAGCTCCTACCGAGAGCCAGTAGATATCCATGTTTTGGCGGTTGAAGAAGAAGGCAGCATAAAATATCACCAAATGCGACGAATGTAGGATTCAAGGGTAAGAGCCTGGCCTAAGCAGGCGTAAACGGGATATAAGTACAACGCTCCACGCAAAGACAATTAATTACTCATAATGTTAAACACATCAGTTTCGTTGTTACATATACACTTTGTGATAAATGTTGACGAGGGAAGCGTCTTTTAGATCACCTCATCTCATCGCAACGTTCGGTAGAACTTGAAAAAAAGATGCTCGGGGGTTATGCTGTGCAGAGTTGACGTCGCTATACCGAGGTATATACGTTCATCCCCTCCCCTTGTTGGCAGGATTCGACGGGGCGCGGGACAATTCCTTGGCTTAGTGTGCTTGCCCACGCTGTATAGAGCTGAGATGCTCGGCTTAGCTCAGGAACATCAATCGATCCTCTCATCAATTCAGTCACTAGGCAGCAACAATCCACCAACGTCCCTCTAGCCTCGAGTAGACGTGCTTACGATAAAAGAGGGAGAATGCAGGAGAGAGAGATGGCACGAATCATAGAGTTTAGGAAATTCTCACAGCTCCCTCTCGAACTACAGGATAGAATATGGTGGTTCTTCGTCCCTCCCCGACTGCCCACAACGCACCGAGCCGAATTGGGTGCGGAATGGCACCGGTTGCAGCGACAAGAGGGCCAGGTGCGCCATCACCGAAGTATTTATCGCCGAAATATTCATCTCCACTGGCCCCGCGCGAACGGCCAGGAGCCATGTGTCGACCCTGACTGTCCAGATACTGCGATTGCGACGCTCATGGATGTCAACCTGTGGGCGCGGACCTGCGCGACCCGCATCGCCAGAGAAAGGTGCCCTCGCGAAGAGGTCATCCTACAACCTGCCTTGGACAAGCCCCAGGATGGTCACGGTCCTGAAACTCGGCTGGGGCCCTCCACCCCCAGGATTGACAAAGCCAACGACCTCATCATCCTTGAGCCGAACTGGACACATCGTTTAGAATGCGGACCCGTCAACACCGACGCAGTGCATATGATGACTTACCTTGCCATCGCCCAAACCATCAGCTACAGCATGCAAGGCGTCATCAAGAAGCTCATGGACGGTTTCGAGCCCAAGATATTCTACATCATCCTCAGTCCCGATCAAGTCCGCGCTGCCGCCGAAAAACCCTGGCCTAGCTCGGGTTTCCTCACATTTCCGGCGACCCTGACGTCAGGTACGCTGCGTCTGCGCCTCAGTGATTTCCTTGCTGCGTATGACTGCGGGGCCCCCGATCCCGGCCCATTCAAGGGTGAGGGAGGTCGAGAGTACTATGAGATTTCTCTCGGTGATGTGCGGCGGCTCGGCGGCTTGAGCCAGAGCGTAGCGCCCTTGGCGGCGGTTCGCCATCGTCGCTTGGTCAGGCCGGACGATACCATTGTATCTGAGGACACTGTGGCGTACCGATTCATGACTTGGCGGGAGAGTGGCGATGGCAACCTCTTGTAGGCTGCCCGAGGGGCAACGGCCGGTCCGAGTGAGTCTGCGCTGCTAATCAGTACTCTCTAACCTCTCCTCGCTGGCTAGAAGTCGTGGATTTAGGTTCTGTGACCCGCCCCAAGGCCACAGCTATGATACTGGCTTGTGCGACTCCAAAGGATCGCGCTACTTCATCACTGAGACATAGAAGCGGTTGATGGAACAGAGTAATTAAAAGTTACATGTAAGCCTTTATTTCAAAAGGGTGGTTCAAGTTTTCTAGGTTCCGTGCTCCCCTCCCGTGCTCGGGAGACGGAGCGGAGCAGGCGGGACGCCATGTATTCCTCAGCAAGGGACGTTTTCGTTTTGACAAACGTCCAGCAATGCAATAAAGATTTTTGTTTTCTTTTAGTCCGAGAAGTATTGAATACCAAGCCCAGGAGGCACACATTCACGTCCACCACTTCTAAGTCAAAGGATTCCTTAAGACTAGCATCACCAAATTATCCACTAACTATAACGGCATCCCCGCATCGAGCCGGCGACGTAGAATATTCTTCGCTCGCCGCACGCGAGAGGACTTGGCGAGGATCGTTTTCTCCAACCGATGCGCACCAGCTCGCTAATTCGAGCAGCCCTCACCTTTGCGGACTAATTCATTTGACAATGACAAGGTAGCATTCGGGCGTACCAGGCGCTGACGACGACCATCCTCCTCTCCAGTCCGAAGACTCCAAAACGAGGCGGCTAAATTGCCATAAATTGTCCCTCTTTTTCTTTCTCTTTTTTCTTTCTCTTTTTCTTCGCTGTGGGTAGCGGGTAGTCAACCAGATCGGTGTGGCCTCAGCCGTCCGTCCCAATCGCAATAATCCCCGGCCGCTGTGCCTCTGTCATGAGTGGGCAGCACCGGCCGGAGATGCTCGCCCGGTCCCCTAATTGCTGTATTTTGCCCTCCTCCTGCTGCTCTTTCGTCGCCCCCCTCGCGACAGGCGGCCCTTTTTATCCAGTGGGCTGACATGCCGGGACGAGCGTGGCTTGCCGTAGCCGGACCCGCCGATTGTAGCAGTCGCGCTCCATTTCCTTGTCTTTAGCCCCTGCGTTTGTTTTCGCGATTAATATACGTCACGGCAATAAGGAAGATAGAGAAAGGCCACTTTATGCACCCTTAAATTGGAAGCCATTTCGCGGATCCATTACCGCTTTGCAAAAGTAGCTATGAGTGCACAGAGAAACAAAGAAAAGGAAGAAAAGAAAGGAAACAACGAAAAAAAAATGACGGTTAACGGGATGGGCCCGGATAGTGGAGCGGGGGTAGATGCGTTCCAACGTCGCCATATATACAACTTCAGTGCATCGCCTCAACCACATTCCACTTCCCACAAGGCCTGCTACGGTATCTACTTCGAACTGAGACAATAGGGACCAACGAACAAATCCCGCGAAATCGAACAAAATGGGACGTTCTCTACTCCAGTCCGCGACCATCGTGCTCGCGCTCGTCCTGCCCTTTGGCAGCGCGGCGCCCCGCGGCCTTCATAAGGCGCGCGTGATCAAGGAGCCCGGCGAGCTCGAGGAATCCTACGACTACGTCATTGTCGGTGCTGGCACTGCCGGCCTCACCATTGCCGACAGGCTCACGGAGGACGAGGACGTGACCGTTCTCGTGGTTGAATATGGACTGTTGAGTGCGTTGGCTTACCCCTTGGAAATGAGTTTCTGGAGGGGTTTATCATTGCGATTGGCTAACTAGGTTTATATTATTATTGTAGGCGACTCCCCAAGATCGCGACCGTCCAGGGTGGTTTCAGCGGCATGGACTCGGCTTTCATGTTCCCGACCCAATCCGTCCCGCAAGTCAACCTCGGAAACAGGCGGACCGCGGTGCTGGCTGGCAAGGTTGTCGGCGGCAGCTCCGCCGTCAACGCCATGATGACGATCCGCGGCTCCAAGGGCGATTACAACCGATGGGGCAACTTCTTCAGCGACGAGTCCGAATGGAGCTGGGAGGGCCTCCTCCCGTACTTCAAGAGGGCGCTCACGTTTGTCCCGCCCAACGACGACGTCGCGACCGAGTCGGAAATCATTTACGACACGAGCTACTGGGGCAACAGCTCCGGCGTGTACACGTCGTGGCCGTCTTTCCAGTATCCCGGAACCGCGGCGCAAGTCGAGGCCTGGAAGGTCATGGATGGCGTCAACTTCACCCCGACAGCGGCTCTGGCGAGACAGGCGTGTTCTGGTACCCCCAGTTCATGGATCCAACGCTCGGTGAACGATCCTACGCTAGGACCGGACACTACAGCAACCTGGATAGGTCCAACTACCACCTCGTCACCAACTCCAAGGTGATTCGTGTCGACGTGGAGGATGGCACTGCCACCGGCGTTGCATTCCGCCCGGGTGATGATGCGGCTGGTGAGGTCACCACTATCGCTGCCAAGAAGGAGGTCATCATATCCGCCGGTGCGGTCCACACTCCCCAGATTATGCAGCTGAGCGGATTGGGTCCAAAGGATATTTTGGAAGAGGCTGGTATCGAAGTCAAGGTCGAGCTTCCCGGTGTCGGCAAGAACTTCCAGGACCACCCCATGCTGACTGCCCGGTTTACTCGTGAGTACAGCCCCGATATACACTGTCCTTCCTAATCTGCCCATGGAATCCAGGTGGGATATGGTGAACGGGGAAAAGGAGGGCGAAGAGGGTGATTCAAGAACAACAAAAAAAAAAAAAAAAAGAACAAAGGGTTTAAATTAGGAAACAGTGAGAAGGACGGGTGAAAAGTAGGAAAATTCGTTGGAATCTCAGCTAACTCCCAAAAACCTTTTAGTTCGCAACTTCAACTTCTCCCCATCGGGCAGCGACTTGGTCGCGAACGGCGAGTTCCGCGACTGGGCCAACGAGGTCTGGGAGAAGAACAGGACCGGCCCCTACTCCATCGCCACCGGCAACGCCGCCGCGTGGCTCTCGTTCCCCACCATTTCCGAGCGGTACGAGGAGGTGGCCACCCTCCTCGAGGAGCAGGAGCACGCCGCATACCTGCCCGAGGGAACGGACGAAACCGTGGCCGCCGGGTACGCCGCGCAGATGAAGTCGTACGCCGAGGCCCTCCGGAGCAACCACACGGCCTTTTACAACCTAGTGTTCACGTCGGGCCCGTCCAACGGCATCCTCGTCGATCTCCACCCCCTCAGCCGCGGCACGATCAACGTCGACCCCGCGGACCCGGAGGGCAGCGAGCCCCTCGTCGACTATCGCGCGCTCACCAACCCCCTCGATTCCGTCATCATGGCGGATATCCTGCGCTACACGCGCAAGTTTTACCTGGAGAATAGCGTCAACGCCGAGTACGAGGCGGCCGAGTCGCAGCCCGGCGCCCGCGTGCAGACCGACGAGGAGATGGCGGCCTATCTGCAGCAGACGCTCTCGCCCACCGAGTACCATCCCGCGGGCACTTGCGCCATGATGCCCCTGGAGCTCGGAGGTGTCGTGGACGAGCAGCTCAAGGTGTACGGTGTCAAGAATCTTAGGATTGCCGATGCAAGCATCATTCCCACGCTCCCCGGCGCCAACACTTGCCAGACAGTATACGCTATTGGCGAAAAGGTACAGAACCCCTTTTTCCCCTGCCCCTATTCACGTACGAAATCAAGACATGGAGCACGGATGCGCTAACACTGGTGAATGTAGGCTGCGGATCTGATCAAGGCCGGAGCATCGTCTGGGGATTCTGAAGAGGCCGAGGAGGAAGCACCGGAGGTTGAAGAACCCGAAGTTGAGGAGCCTGAGGATCCGGAGACTGAAGAGCCCGAGTCAGACTAACTTGGGTCGGGCAGGAGATGGATGGCTCATCGAAGATAGGTCTATATTGTCATCGCTGTACATAGAAGAGAGGAAGTAGCACAATTCTTGTCCCGTCACAATCGAAGACACATATTCACCCACAAGAAGTGGTAGCCCAGTCAGATAACTGCCAAGGGCAAAAACATGGGAATCTGATGCAGAGGATCAACTTGGTGGTCATGATCCGGCATCCTTCCGAGTTTAGTGAGCAAGCCTCTTTTATGCAATGTGCGAACAATAATAGAAACCAGCCACCCCCTGGAGCGGGCATCGCATCCAGTCGGGGGTCATCGATTGAAGTGAACCGGCGCATCTCTTGGGCCGAGAGCGGGGCGGACGCTGTCTGATGTTGAAGGTGGAAAAGACCGTTGCCAGGGTTCATTGGCGAACTGACCTGCCTAAGCCCGTCTAGTGGAAGGGAGCGAGGTCTGCCTTGCTTGCTCAGACGGGGAAAGCGAGGCAGGTTTACCAGGAGCTGGGTCGCGGTGATCGTGAGACTCTGGTGGATCCGGCCCTGGCGACCCTAGAATGGAAGCTTCCAAGGGAGGGACGCTTTTTTTCTCGCGAATACGCCAATAGTTCGGCGGGAGAAGACGACCATTGATTTTGGTGGGGAAGAGCACGAGTACGTGTACGCACAGGTACAGTTCGTTGTTGCTGTGTCGTTCGTCGTGCAAAGAAGGAAAAAAGTGGAGAGGATGGGATGAAACGCTCCAGTCAGCTAACGTGTATTATCTAATCATGGGATGGCTCTTTTCGCATTTTCGCAGCACCCAAGCCACCCCAAGCAACCAAGCTACCGGGGTGCTCCTGCACGATGCCCCCTGCCGTGCCTGTTTCAGAAGCCTCCTCAGGAGCTCTCTCGTCCCTACAAGTGCTGCACACTCAAACAAAGAGTGTTTTGTAGATCAGCCGGCGGTTAGGGGCCCAGGACGAACAGCTGCAAAAGCGTCCCCCGTGCACATCATGTTCAATGCCTTTTTTACTCCTTTTTTTCGAAGATGGGCAGTCCGTGAGTCTGCCTGTCGATCCTTGACAAGGGATTGAGCGATCCTAGACTAAGCTTTTGAGGGGAAGAGGGGAACAATTCCAAGTTGGTCGATTGTAGAGGTTTTCCTTTTTCTGCTCAATGCTAGCCCGCTTACTTGCCCCATCGTGACTTTGCCGTTTGGCCCCTAACGCCATCCAGTAGCGCACCTTCCAAAAGCACGGCGCTCCGGTTGAACCTGAGACAAGCTGGCAGCTGCCACCAAGCTCACTTTTGACAGCCTCCCGTTTCGGGCCTGACCCACAGATCGGGGGAGGGAGGGGGAACAAGGTCAAGGAAGGCAACACCTTGGACATGATTCCTTTTGCTGCCGCTAAGGTGAAAATAAAAGCCCAGCTCTGTTGGCGCCGGGGATGGAGCCAGTGCTCTCTCTCTTGCTCGTGGAGGCGCTGCCCCAAAAGTCTGAGACGGACTCCGTGAGGTGAGGGAGGGGGACAATTTGGCCACTAACGTCTCGAGTTCTGGGTTCGCCGCTTGCGAGTTGTGCCGACTCCGAACCATGGGGCGTTGGTGATGGTGGTTGCTCCCCGTCTCCTGAACCTCGGACTGCTGATCGCGGCGGGAGGTTAAAAGTCTGGATGGTTCCCGGTCTATTTCCAGTCGAGCTTCTTTCTTCTCCTTTCCTTCTCCAGGCTGGTTGAACCATTCCCACGATAAGTCTTGCTTCGTCCCTTTCCTTCTCTTCCTTACTTTCTCTTTTCTTCTTGGATTCTTCGATTCTTCCCCGGGCATCAAACCACCGATATCACACTCGAGGTCCTTGGTTGCATTGTTTCGTTTCCCCTCCGAGTACGGTCTTGATTGATCTGCATCCCCGCGCAATCCTTCAGATCAGTGATCGATCCGAGAATCATTCTTTTTGATCGCCATTTTTTATCCTCCGACGCTGGTCCAGGGCTGTAGAACATTGTTTCGATCCCTCGTCAAACATTTCGACCTTTTTCTCATTCTTTTTTTTTTTCTTCTCCCGCTCCTTCTCTCCGAAGTCTGTTCCAGCTCCGGAGCTTGTCGAGTGCCTTCTCCACACAAACGTTACTTACACCTCATAACTCCACCACAATGGTTCGCTTCTCCGTTGCCGCCCTCGTCTTTACGGCGGGTTTCGCCGCAGCCCACCCCGCAGCCTTCCACCAGGCCAGCGGCATCTTTGCGCGCCAAAACTGCGCGGCCATCAAGGACCAGCCCGGGTCGCAGAGCGTCGGCACGGGCTCGGCCCAACAATTCATCACGGGCCAGTGTTTATCCGCGGCCGATTGCGCATCCGGATGCTGCGTTGCCCAAAATGATGGCAGCGGCGAGTGCAGGAACCGGATCCCGACCGAGGAACGCGGGGCTACCTGCGACTTTGTCTGCGGCGGGGCATCCATCCCGGCCAATCCTGGGAACAACGGCGGCACCGGTGCGGGGGCCGGCGGGAACACGGGCAATGCTGGCAATAACAACAACAACAACAACAACAATAACGCCGGTAACAATAATGCCGGTGCCGGTGGCCAGTGTGCCAACGTCAACACCTCGATCCCGGGGTCTCAAAACGTCGGCACTGGATCTGGGACGCAGTTCATCACCGGCCAGTGTCTCTCGCCCGCCGATTGCGCCTCGGGCTGCTGCGTCGCTCAGGACAGTGGTATTGCCGAGTGCAAGGCGCCGCTCCCAACTGCCGAGAAGGGACTGAGCTGCGATTTTACCTGCGGCGCGGCGGCGAGCTCCTCAACCGCGGGGAACAGAGGAAGCGGAAACAGGCAGACCGGCGGCGGTAACAACCGCAACAGCAACAGCAGGAACAGCAACAACAGGAACAACAACAACAACAGCAATAATGGCAATAATGGCGCGGTCACTGCCCCCGCCCCCGCCCCTGGCCCCGCCGCCCAGGGTACATGTGGAAACGTTGACCAATCGCTGTCGGGGTCTCAGAATGTCGGCACCGGAGCCGGAACCCAGTTCATTACGGGCCAGTGCTTCTCTGCCGCCGATTGTGCCTCGGGCTGCTGCGTCGCGCAGAGCAGCGGCATCGCCGAGTGCAAGGCGCCAATCCCCACCGCCGAGAAGGGGCTCAGCTGCAATTTCAGCTGTAGCGCATAGGCTAGCAGGGCTGTTCTGGAAAAGCTGACAGTTGCTAGCTGAACAACGGACGGATGCGGATGGGGACGGATGGGACGGATGGGGCGCGAGTGAGTGGAATTTAGTTGCCAAAGGAGGAGGAAGAGTTGGCTTGTCAATCAGAGGGGACTAGTCCCAAGCAGACTTTATTATTCGCTGTACCTTTCAATATTTGATTCTTATTATACTTGTATCCATCAATTGGAGTTGACTTTTTCGATCCATGGCACTCTCTTACAAAATATCTTACAAAATATCTTATTACCGGATTCGAACGGGCTAGAATTACCCCTGGCTACTTTGGACTGCGTTGGCGCCGAGCACAGCTAGGGCATGCCGAGAGGGGCTAATCTCTTTGTATTGATATTTTCTTGGTAGATTTTACGTCATTATTTCCCTATAAGATTGGTTTACCGGTCTTCTCAGTGAGAGGATCAGGTGAGGCTATTAGTCTTTACGCTTGTTGGCCTTTTGTTGTGAGGCGATGATCTTGGCCGCCGCTTCCTCATTTGCGTTGTTCAATGTTCTCAGGGGAAGTGTTGTGGCCGAAATGCTAGTGGCACGGGGTGTTACTATTACAGCGTTGTAGCTGGTCGTATTGGAGCGGAGGGAATATAATGAGTTTTTCATGCGAGAACAGGCATCAAGAGCAAAGGCCACTGTTTTTTTTCTCTTTCCCTTATCGTTTATTCATTTGGCGCTAACAACGCTGCAAGTGATTTTTTCTGTCCTTTTTCACATTAGGAAACGAAATGATCCATGGAGGTAGTCCATCTGCGCATTCTTCTTCAGACCACATGTGGATGGGGCCGAATGAATGAGGCGACAGGTTGAAAATGCGACGATACAGCGAAGGGGGTTACCTGCACTCGCATCCCCTATTGGCTCAAAGGACAAGGGACGTGAACAGGGGCCTGAGCGGAGCCCGCTTTGCCTGTCCTGCTGGCGGAAAAGGCGCACTGGCCCTCTCTTAATGGCGTACGCAGGTACAAGTGCGGTGGACAGTGGTCCGTCCGGGCAGTCATCAGGTCAACTGCGGGTGCTCGTGCTCGTGCTTGTGCTCGTGCTCCTGCTCCTGCGCAGAGGCCTATTCCTCCTTGGCTCAGCAGGCCCCAGTGTGACGGCCCCGACTGATCACTGATCAACGAGGGACAGCATTGAGTAATAATCCATGAGCCTCCTCCCATCCATACTGCATACCTTCCCCCACCCACTCGGCTCGCCAAGTAGGTTGGCTCGCTCTTGGCTTCGTGGCTCATCAAAAGTTGTCCCTTGAGCCCAGTGTAATGATAATCCGGGTAATTCTTCCGATGCCCACTCTTTAGTGCAAAGCGGCGTCCGAAGAAAGCAGCCTCCACGAGTCGCCAGCCAGTTGGTCCTCATCGGGAAAGCATCGAGACAAGACCCCATGTCGTCAATATGCTAGATGAAGGACATATGGTGCAGATTGGCATCGATCTCTCGGGGCAAGTGCTCGCAGTCGGACGACGACCACCATTTTGTCTTGTGGAGCAGGTTCAGAGCAGTGGCCATCTATTAACCCTAATCCAGCTCAGTTGAATTGGGGTTAATGCAATCACCAGGCCTGGGCTGTGGGCTGCCACCGCTCAATTTGAGCCCATCTTTCAAAGCAGGGCCCGTGGGTGTTTTTGACAGCAGCCACAGGTCAATTCCGTCCCTTCTAGCACTCAATAGATCCCTTCAACCAATGTTTATTGCTGGGGTTGGCCCCTTTCTCCTAATGGTCTTCATTAAGATCATCATGACATGTAACGGCGAACAAGGGATATAGACATGGAGAATTACAGGCTCTGAAGATTGCCCAACCCGTTCTTTCTATCTTTCTTCTTTCCCCCTTCTTCTTCTTAACTTCTTCTTACACTTGAAATTGTTTCCATCTTTCTTGAAAATTTCTCTTCTTCTTTTCGGTGAAGGAAGATGGCGACGAAGCTAAACAGGAAGGTGACGACTCCTTTCGCAATTGGAAGTGTAATCTGGGGTCATCTTCCCTGCACATCCAATGGCGTCCCTGAACCTGGAATTTAGGGTGCCGAGAAGCCGGAACACGAGCCAAAGGAACGTCTCCTCCGACTTTCGTCTGGCGTGGGCGACCGGAATGGAGACCACGAGGCCAAGCGATTGCAACCAGTTAGCTCGCCTCGCCCCTTGCCTCGCCTGAATTTGAGATCGAATCAACGAGCGAGGAGCCGGGGGTCAGGGGCAGAAGGCGCAGAAGGGGGCATTCAGGCACACCCGCCCGTCGAAAATAGAAGTTGGCCCCCATCGCGAAGACCGGGGGGATGCCCAGATGGACGGTCCGGATCCGGTGTTCTCGGCCAGAGGACGGTGGGTGGTACAGGAACATATACCAATGGTAGCCAGAACATCAGTCAAGAGGTACTGATACTTGATTTCGACGGGGGTCGGGAGAATTTGGCCACCAGCGTCCATTCCGAGGGTGGAGAAAGCGAGGCATGGCATTGGTGCTCAGGGCCCTTGACGACAAAAGGGCACCCTAAAAGTCCTAAAAGTGCCCGTGCAGGGTTGGTGGTCAACGTTTATCGTGCCATCCCCTACTGCCACCATGCTCAAAGAGGTATCGCTTGCTCAGGGGAAAATGTAACCTTGGCCAACCTCCACAGCCAACGGCGGCTTTTCGTTCATCGAGACTGGTGATGGAGGGGAGAGACGCCCTTGGCTTAATACTTGGCTTAATACTTGGCTCTCGGCGCATTCGCTCCCCAGCGAGGCGAGGGTCACTACCACCGGAGCGCTCGAGCTGCCCAGCAAACACCATTGATACCACCGTTCTGATTCCTTTCGCGCTTTTTTTTTCTTTTTTTTTGCGTCCGCATCCAGTTACCCTCGCTTGAGCCCAGTTCCGCCCAGTCAAGATTTGCCCTCCCTACCCTACCGTAGCAGTGGCAAAAGGACGGTTCGCCGGCGCGATGAACTGCTCGCGGTCTAGCAAGTCCCCACCACATCGGTGCATGCGCCCAGCCAGCGCCGCTCGTATTGGTCCCCCTTGCCTCCGTCCATCATCTTGTTTCCTCCCTCTAGGACGTCGAGGGTACGGTACATGAAATGGGCGTGCGCGATGGGGCTAGACATTGTAATAAATATGGCGGTCCCCGTTTCGTTTGCATCTTCGAGAGAGAGAGAAGAGAGTGTTCCTTCACTTGGTTCGCGAGGTCCAGTCGGAGTGCTCGTTGTCGTTCGTTCTTTGTTTCCCTGTTTCCTGCTCTTCGGTCCTGGTTAGCCAGGCCCTTGATGGAATTTTCCATCTGACATTCGTTCATCCATATCCTTTGCTAAGGATAAGCCATTCGTTTTTCTCGACGTTTCTCGTCTGAGAATACCATAGTCCCGGGAAGATCTAAGTCCCGCCACACTCGTTGAACACACCGAACCCCCACGACCCCAGACCGAGCCCTATACCAACACCATGCGTCCCTCGCAATCCCTAGTTGGCGCGGCCATGTTGGCTGCCGCCAGCGCGGAGCAGTGTGTGTCTCTCAAGACCAGGACCGAGATGAGAGGTCGTCGTAACCACGACTCTCGCGGTCACCGAGATCATTGACTGCCCCGCCCCAACCGGCGATTTGGAGTACCCCGGATGGGAGAGCTTCTTCCCCACGGTGAAGCCCCTACCACCACTACCGTCACCAGCACCTACGTCGTCACGACCTGCCCTCCCAAGGTCACCAGCTGCACCGTCGGCGAGACCACCACAGTCACCGTCACCAAGACGTGCGACGACGACGACGACGAGCCGGAGCCCACCCCCGAGCCCTCTGCCCCTGCAAGCACCCCGGGCCAAGAGCCCACTACCACCAGTGACTGCGACGACGAGGAGCCAACCCAGCCCCTCCAAGCCCACCAGCTCGGACGACGAGGATAGCACGAGCACTGCTGGCCCTGAGCCTTCTTCCACCGACTGTGATGAGGAGACCCAGGGACCCGAGCCCTCGACCACCGAGGCGGAGGAGACCCCTGGCCCCGAACCGTCCACTACCGACTGTGACGAGGAGACTCCCGCACCGGAGCCCACCACGACTGATTGTGATGAGGAGACCCAGGGACCCGAGCCCTCCACTACCGATGTAGAGGAGACTCCCGCGCCGGAACCCACCACCACGGATTGTGACGAGGAGACCCAGGGACCTGAACCCTCCACCACGGAAGTCGAGGAGACCCCCGGTCCTGAGCCTACTACTTCGGACTGTGATGAGGAGACCCCTGTGCCGGAACCCACAACCACGGACTGCGACGAGGAGACCCCCACACCCGAGCCTACTACCTCGGACTGTGACGAAGAGACTCCTGCTCCGGAGCCCACCACCACCGAGGTAGAGGAGACTCCTGCACCGGAGCCAACTGCTACCGATTGTGATGAGGAGACCCCCGCGCCGGAGCCCACCACCACTGACCGTGATGAGGAAACCCCGCACCCGAGCCTACCACTACTGACTACGACGAGGAAACCCCGTGCCTGAGCCTACCACCTCGGACTGTGATGAGGAGACTCCCGCGCCAGAGCCCACCACCACCGACTGTGATGAGGAAAGCCCCACACCGGAGCCTACTACTACCGATTGTGATGAGGAGACCCCGCGCCGGAGCCTACCACCTCGGACTGTGATGAGGAGACTCCTGCCCCGGAGCCTACTACTTCTGACTGTGACGAGGAGACTCCCGCGCCGGAACCCACAACCACTGACTGTGACGAGGAGACTCCTGCCCCCGAGCCTACTACTACCGACTGTGACGAGGAGACTCCTGCACCTGAACCCACAACCACAGACTGTGACGAGGAAACCCCTGCGCCGGAACCCACTACTTCGGACTGTGATGAGGAAACCCCGCACCGGAGCCTACCACCACCGATTGCGATGAGACTCCCGCACCGGAACCCACCACCACTGATTGCGACGAGGAGACCCCTGCCCCCGAGCCCACTACTACCGACTGTGATGAGGAGACTCCGGCCCCTCAACCTACCACCACTGACTGTGACGAGGAAGAGGCCACGCCCACTCCCGGACCCGCTACCACCGAGGAAGAGGAGCAGCCCACTCCCACTCCCACCCCCAGCCCTTCCACCACGGCCCAGGAGGAAGAGGAGGAGCCATCCACCCCCACCCCCGAGCCCGCGACCACCACCGAGGAAGAAGAGCAGGTCACCACCACCTCCACCACCTCTACCCCGCCCGCGGTGACCACCTACGTCCGAAACTACCCCGCCGACATCGTCGATCAGCTCCGCGATGAGAGCATGCAAAAGCTCAAGGACTACCTCGCCAAGAACCCTCCCAAGAGCGGCTGCACCCTGGAGAAGGCCAGCATCCGGCGCGAGTGGGGCGACCTCTCCGACCCCGAGCGCGAGGACTACATCGGCGCCGTCAAGTGCCTCCAGGCCCTCCCCGCCAAGACGTCGACCCGGGAGATCCCCGGAGCCCGCAGCCGCTTCGACGACTTCGTGGCCGCGCACATCCTCCAGACCAACTACATCCACAACACGGCCAACTTCCTCTCGTGGCACAGGTACTTTGTCGCCGCGTACGAGAAGGCCCTCCGCGAGGAGTGCGGCTACGCGGGCGCCCACCCGTACTGGAACTGGGACCGCTACGCCAAGAACCCCGTCAACTCGCCCCTCTTCAACGGCAACGCCACCTCCCTCAGCGGGAACTCCCCGCAGCGGCCAGTGCATCACCACGGGCCCCTTTGCCAGCATGAAGGTCAACCTCGGCCCCGGCAGCTCTGTCAAGTATAACCCTCGCTGCCTCACTCGCGACATCAGCACCGCGTACGCCAAGTTCACCACGGTCGAGTACTCGTACCCTCTGATCGCCACCAGCAACACCATTAGCAAGTTCCAGGACACCCTCCAGGGCAGGAACCAGGTGCACGGCGGCGGCCACTTCACCATTGGCGGAGACCCGGGCAGCAATGTCTTCGCCTCTCCCGGCGACCCAGCCTTCTACCTCCACCACGCTGGTGTCGACCGCATCTGGTGGATCTGGCAGCTCCAAGACCTCAACACCCGCCTGAGCGCCGTCGCTGGCTCGGTTACTGGCTCTAAGAAGACCGGTACCCTTGACGACTCCATCAACCTTGGTGTCAACGGCGCGGCGAAGAAGATCCGTGACATGATGAACACCATGGATGGAGACCTTTGCTACATCTACTTGTAGGTGAAGAGTGCATCAGGCGGAGTTTGGAGTAGGTTTCACTCTATGATCGACGATCTAGGAGTGCTTTTGGGTTGCAAACACGAGCTTGATGAGCTGAGGATATCAACGTCTTACACTCCTTATTTATTACTTCATACTATCCTTAATGTCTAACTTTTATAATATTTTTTTCCATACATTCAATATATATTTTTATATGTACATGATCACTATCTACTTGACTTGACGAGCACTGTAAGAGAGAAGGCGACTTCTTGCATACTTCTACTCCCCTCCCTTCTCCTTGACGATATCGGTCTTCTGAATTGTTCACGGTGGGGGCCAGGACGGTACTTGTGGACTCCTAGCGCAATCCGTTTTCAACGACACCGGTAAGATGGCCGAGCGGTCTAAGGCGCCAGGTTAAGGTTACCTTAACGAGTAATTCCTGGTCCAGGTAACTGGGCGTGAGTTCGAATCTCACTCTTATCACAAATTTCTTTTTTGTTCCTTTTTGTCCACCTCGCGATCATTTCGCTCAATTTTCTACTGCTTCTTTTGCACAAATTTATTTTGGGCTTCTTTTTACTGCGTTTTTTTAATTTTTAATTTTTAATTTTTAAAAAAATAGAAATATGAAAAACAACAATGATAGGTTTTTAAACGAATATGGAGCTGGTTGAAAAATGGTTTGAAGATAGATTAAGAATTAAGACGAACAGAACAGCTCGTCACTTGGAATATATATAATGAATGAATCAACGGAATGAGAAACGCCCTCATTAGGTCGTAATGAAAAGAAGCAAGCAATGTATCCCACTTGTTAAGCCTCGGCTTGAATTTCCGCAGCAATTTTCTCGGCAAGCATGTAAAGGGTTCCCATGGGGTGCCCGGGCATGATGATGGGTAGGACGGACGCATCCACGACCCTCAAACCCTCGACACCGTATACCCTGGCCTTGGAATCAACGACGGCCAGTTCGTCGTCGGCCTTGCCCATCTTGCACGTTCCGCTAGCGTGCCAAATAGGCCTAGCACCGCCCTTGATGTAGTTGAGAATGTCTTCGTCCGTAGACACAGCGGCGCCCGGCACGAGCTCCGGGGTGGCCTTGATGCTGCCGAGTGAAGAGGTCTCCCACGCGGCACGGGCTCGCTTGAAGATGGCGACGGCGACCTCGGCGTCGGCGGGGTCGGAGAGCCAGCCAAGGTCGATGATAGGCTGGTCAAACATGCTGTCGCTAGAAATGGTAACATTGCCACGGGAAAGGGGATGAGCAGCGCGCCCGAGATGTTTCCGAGGGTCGAGTCCGGGCCGCCGGGGAACGCGGAGCCAATGTATTCGACTTCGGGCCAGTCGTCGTCGAACTCGGCGAGGAGGGTCGCGGTCCGCTGAGACCAGTTGTTCTCGTCGACGCGCGGGAGCTTCTCGAAGGAGAGGTAGCCTCCCGCGTTGCTCAGGGGCCCGAGGCGTCGTCCAGGTACTGGCGCCTGGCGATCTCGGCGCCCTCGAAGCTAAAGGTGGAGAGCGAGCTGGTGGACACGCTGATTCCGTACATGACGTCGAAGAAGATTTGGTCCTGGAGATTCTGGCCGACGCCGGGAAGATCGGCCACGACGGGGATGTCGAGGGCCTCGAGGGTTTCGCTGGGGCCGACACCTATTGCCTACGTGTTAGCGGAGATGGAGAGGGACAAGAGATATGCTCTGGGGCCCCCGCGATTACGACGCGCAGAGGCGAATTGTGCAACGTACCGGAAACCATGAGCAGCTGCGGAGTGTGAAAGGCTCCAGCCGATACAATTACTTCCTTGTTCGCGGAAATGGTGTAGTCAATACCCGCTGTCTTGACGGTGACACCGGTAGCGCGGCCGGCATCGAAGAGAATCTTGGTGACTTGGGTGTGGGGGTACGCCATTAGGTTCGTGGTCTTGATGGCATGAACGAGGTAATCTTGCCCGGAGGATCTCTTGGCGTCGGCTGTCATCGTGGCCACGTTCCACGCGCCGTAGCCGGCGAGATGGCCACTGCACTGACCATCTGGGCTGATGGGCATGTCGAGCTCCTGGAGGCCGGCGGCGATCCACGTGAGCGGGGGTCGACGTGATTGGAGTAGGAGATCTCGATGGGGCCGTCGCCGAACACGCAGGCGTTATAGGTCACGGTGGCGTTGGGCATGGCCCTCTTGGCGTTATCGGGGAGGTTATGGTGCGTGCTCTGCTTGAAGTAGGGCAGGACTTCGTTGAAGCCGTAGCTCTCGTCGCCCACGAGCTCGGCCCACTTGTCGTGGTACCCGACGGTGGCCCTGTGGTAGGCCATGTTGTTGATGACGGAGCTCCCGCCCAGCGTTTTCCCTGGGCGTAGTGGATCCGCCTGCCTCCCGCTCCGGCCATGGGCACGGTGAGGAGGCCCCAGTCCATGAGCGGGTTTGGCGAGTAGGTTTCGTCGACGCTCGTGAAGCCTTGCGTGAAGGCGTAGGCCGGGACCACGCTCTGGTTTCCGTTATCGATTTGGTAGATGCCGCCGGCCTCGACTACCGCGACGGAGGCGGTCTTGGCGAGGCGTGCGGCTATGGCTAGGCCGGATGTGCCCCCACCAACGACTTGAGGTTTTGACTGTTAGTATGGCTGGCACTTGTTAAAGGGTTGGAAGAGGAGATACAAAGGGCGGCCAAAACCGCTGCGCGAGAAGGGCGCGGGCGCGAGGAGGCTAGGCGGGGACGGATATCTTACCCACGTAATCGTACGCAGCATCCGCGAATGGTACGGCAAAGGCACTCGCCGGCAGACGAAAGATGCCTTCCATGTTGTCGGCCCGCGCTAGCCGGCTGTCGCCGCGAGGGTGAGGATTCCGGTCAAGGTGAGCATGGCGAGAAAGTTTTCAAGTCTCGGTGATGGCTTGTCGGGGTAGGGAAGGAAGAAGCTTGGCTCGACGCAGCAGAGGAATGATATAAGGGGAACCTGAAATGCTGATCGACAGGCCCTCTAAAAGTACTGACGTTGTCCGTTCACTACGAGATTGGTGGACGGGGCCAAGCACGCGCAGGGTCTCGAAGGGGATGGGATGACAAGACACGATCCGGCGACTCGGAAGCAGGAAAAGGGAAAAACGAAGCAACCTTATAGCTCGCATCTGTCACTCCCCAGCTCCCCATCCCATGCAAACGGCGCGGGAAAGAAGGGAACAATTAATCAATACCCCGGTTGGTTGGTTTTTGAAGGTATGTTGACTACCATTCCCGGCGCCAACTTTTCCTCCAAGTCGTGGCCCCCGGCCGCGGGAAGTGGGGATGGTGAGATGAATTGGCTTAAGTGACAGGCCTCTATTCTTCCCCACTGGCTAATCCCCTTCTGGAAACCGGCCCCCGGATCGTCTCCGCGGCCGCTATCAACAGGTTTTGGGACTTATTAGGGGCGGGATGGGACGGTGATGGGTTTAATTTGGGGGATGGTGTATTTTGGGGCCCGCGCGCGCGCCTTTTCCGCGCCTGAGAGCGAGGAGGGCAGGAGGACCAAAGGGTGAAGAAAAATAGACCATGACGCCGTCAAGCACTAGCATCGTCCTCATCCTTCCTTTGTTCGCTTCCGTGGTAGACAATGGGCTAAATGCTAGACAAGCGTTGAAAATAAGAAACCAGGCAATGGCTTCATCGTGGACGTCCGCCGTGGACAATGTTCAAGCAAAGCGGAACGCGTGGATCGGCTCGACGCCTGCAGCCGCTGCCACACAAAGTCCAGAAGGGTTCCATAAGTCTTGGCTCGCGTCTACTGCATACACAATGGTACAATTGATCCAGAATTTGTTGTCTTCGCCCTCCGACCCCCTTGGCTTCGGCGAACATTCCACTTGACGATGTGCGTCAATGCGCTCTGCCTACCTAGGGCCCAGATCGACGCAGGCTTACGCAATGCTGTGGCCATGGGGCCTCTTTTTGGCTCAATAGTATCCTTGCAGCTGTCAATTTTTCGGATGCCCCTGTTGTCAAGGCACAGGGATCATTCCCATTCGCGAAGAGCGAGGGGAGATAAATCGTCGACGGCGTACAACGGCCTGGCTTGGGTGCTTTCTACCAGCCAGAGAGGGAGACGGGAAGCGAAGAAAAGGATGCCCAAGATCTGCATGGATCCTCTCCTCTGTGTTAGCTTTGGCCTGTGCGGTGGCGGTTGATACCGTGCTGCGCTGGAGACCCCGGGCTTGTTCTATACTCTTCCCCACTGTCATGTCATGTCACCAATCTAATTGATCCTCCGAAGTAGCTTAGAGGTGATGGCTGGCATGTTTGTGTTAAGTTGTCCGAGGATGGGAAATCTTGAAGCATAGAAACACCCCCGACATGGCTTGATTGAGGGTAATGAGCAACAAAATCATGGACGGAAATAACATAAATCTTGCAAGGGCTTGTCCCCGCTCTTCTTGTCAAATCAGGTGCCGAATTGAGGTAGGTGCGGGCGGGGAGGGATCAGAGGAGAGAGACGTTGCACCCGCACTCAAAAGGCCATCCATGAGGATGGAAACTTTCCGATTGTTGCCGGGAATCAGATCACCACCTCTCAGCAGGCATGACTTTTCATCAATACATGTATGGAGTTACAAGTATATCCGCTAGCCGTCCGTGGGGTAGGGGAGAGCTAAGGATGACAGGAAACCTTTTTCCATGTAAAAGTGTGGATATTGCTGCGGCGTTAGCTTGTGTCCGCATCTTCAAAGCGCTCCAGCGCCCGCATTTTCTGCAGGGCGAACCGCGCACCTCGGACCAAACCCGCCGTCTCCAAGGCCCATGCCCCTAAACGGTCCAACGGTCATCCTCGAACCCCTTCTCTTGCTTCTCGCCAAATGTGCTCTCAAGGACGCTAGAGCTCGCCACCAATAATCGCCGCGCGGTGCCGAGCTTTTTTATTGTGGCCCTGCAACACCGGATCTGGAGAGGCATTTTGGACGGGCGCTGAGCTTGTGCTTTTGGCTCCTTCAATGCCCTTCTCATTGCCCAAACCCCGCAGAGATAGATAGTGATCAAACGGGTCATGGGCGCCTTCGAGATATGCGAGTCCAGAAGAAGTGTCTCCGCGTCTCTCATAACATCCATAGATCCATGATGGAATCTAATATTGTTTTCTCTGCTTTGCAACCCATGTCCGGCACAGGCTTCAGGGGGAAGAAAAGTGACCTTGTCCCTGTAACTAGAGGGTTAAGCAATTGGCTGTTCGGCCAAGTGGGGGTCGCAGATGGTCATCAATTCACTGTTGGTTCGCTCCTTTGCTCGCTTTTGGGGAGTCTCCAATTTCGAAGAGGGGCACCTACGTACCAATATTTTGAGCAGTCGGGCAACGTCACCCGAACCTCCAACATGCAGAGTAGGGACTTCCACAGCTCGTCGTGCTTGAAGAACTGACCAACCTCACACACGCCAGTCGGTCACACAGTCCTCAAAGGCCACGCGCTGCCGTGCTCTTTTCTCTCGGTTGAGTCGGGGCAGGTCCACCAATCTTCGGCGATCATCAATGGCAAAAGGCACCGAGATCTATACATGTAAGGCATTGAGAGGGTTTATTTTTTATTTTTCTCGGGGAATTTGAACGCTCAATAACCAAGGTGGTGGTGAGGGATGGAAAATCAGTCTGGTAAGCGACGCGCTTTCCTGCGAACTGTTTCGCGTTTCGAAGCTAATAAAGGTGCTGACAGTTTTGACTACGTCCAGATGAGTAGCGACGGCGTTTCGGGGGCCCGCGCACGAAACCTTTGGTGGTGATATACCTCCGAAACAAGGTCGAGTTCGGTCGTCTCGTCCTCGAGTGGTCAACGCCATCAAATATGGATAGGATCAATTGATGGATGGGCGCAATGCCAGTGAGCCAACTCCAGCCCGTCAGGCCTCCAAGCCGGACTCGAGGATTTTAGCTCTCCAGCCAGTGGCGTTCACGTGATTTTCAGGGTCTGGCACCAAACTTCAGCTCGTCGGGAACGAACTTGCCAAACGTGGTCTTGGCGACCCACTTGACTCAGTTGGGTGCGAATCTTTTATCCATCATTGGACGCCTTCACGTCCTCCTTCCGCCAAGTTGATTGAAGTTGGCTTGGCGCCTGCCCAAAGGAGCTGAAGATTCCCCAAGATTGCAAGATGTTGTTTTGGAATTTCAACCTCATCTCATCCATCTCGTCTCAAAACAGGCCGCCCTCGTTAGATCGCGCGTCGCTGAGTTCTCTCCCGCGAAGATCCAACCCCGCATCCTTTCTTTCCCCCTTACCTTTCTCCCTACGTGGAGTTTTGCCGCCATGATCTTCCCCAAGACCGCCGTCCTCCTCGCCCTGCTGGGGCTGTCCAGCGCCCAGGTGGAGAAGCGCCAGGGCACCACGAGTCTCGACACCGTGACCTGCGGCTCCAACAAGTATTCCCAGCAGCAGGTCAACGAGGCCGTCGGCGAGGGATGCCGGTTGATTGCCGCGAGCCAGCAGCTGGGGACCAACAAGTACCCGCACACGTTCAATAACCGCGAAGGCCTCGTGTTTGCGACATCTGGACCGTATCAAGAGTTTCCCATTCTCCGATCCGGAAACTACACTGGGAGTAAGATCCACTGTCTCAAAAAGCCCCTTGAGCCCGCTCGTCATCTCCTTGCACCTTTTTTGCGTTTTCTTCCTCATCTCAGCTCTGCTTTGCTCCGAGTTGCGCTCTAATAACCTTCGCTTCCTGTAGAGTCTCCTGGCGCAGACCGCGTCGTCATCAACCCCAATTATCGGGGGCTTGCGTCTATGTTGGTGCCATGACCCATACCGATGCCCCCACGCGCAACGGCTTTGTCCTTTGCACTGAGGTCGGTTCATCGTCCACCGGACAGGACGGTGAGGATGGCGAAGACGGCGAGGATGGTGAGGATGGAACGGATGGCGCAGCTGGTTCTGGCAGCTCTAACAGCACCTCTGGTTCCGGTTCTGGGTCAGGTGCTGAAGGCTCTGCCACGACGGCATCCAGCATTGGCGGTATCGCCGTCAGCGCTCTTGTAGGCCTCCTTGTCGCGGTGAACGCCCTGTAAGATAGGACTTTGAAACGAGCCATTTCACTCTCACCTTCCATGGACCATCCATGGGGGTATTTAATTCACGGCCTTCCTCTACATTCTTCTCTGGACATATCATTGCGGGGCGCTGTTTGACTGAGGCAACCCATGTTACAATGTACAATACTCCATATTACTCTAGTTAGGCAGGGCATTGCTACCGCCCTGATGACGACTCAAACCTCTATGCCTTTTCTACTTGATGTCATACCTGTCACTCTCGTGCTGCACAGGCCGGTAGGTAAAGTAGTCAAATGTCGCCTCCTCGCCGTACCATTCAAATCTGAGCACGCCACTCCCACAAAAGCACCGGTAAAGCTGCCGTGCGCTTGGTGACCTCCGCATTCGTCCGAGATGATGGAGGCATCGTACATGGGCCCAATCTTTTGAGGTCTTCCCCTTCCAGCGCGTAGTAGAATTGCAGCTCATCGCTCCGAATCGTCAAGGCCAGCTTCACCTTGCCCTCGTTCGGAATCTCCACGGGCCCGTCGAGGGGCTTAGTGAGGTTACTATTGGGCCACGACGCCTGAGACGTCTGCAGGAGCAACTCTCGTCGGCCATCCGAGTCGGCCGTCACCGTGAGGTAGAAGAAGTTGAAGCGGCTATAGTAGGCGGTGATGCCGGCAAACTCCCGCTCGTCCGTGGGGCTAAAGTCGACCACCGTCTCGGCGTCGTACGAAAAGTGCGTCTGCCGCCGGGCCACGAGGGCCTGCTCGAACCAGGAGCCGGGGGCCTCCCTGCCGATGAGGGTGAGCTTGCCGCCGCTCGTGCGGAATATGCGCTCCGTCTCGGGCGTCCGCAGCCACTGGAAGTCCTTGTGCAGGCCGTCGGAAAAGGTATACTTTTGCTCCGCCCAGTACTTGGCTTCGTCGCGCTCGCCGGGGACCTCGACGTAGAGCGAGGGAACGGGTCCGTTCTTGACGTACAGCCAATCGTCGTCGCCCCAGTACGCCTCTTGGATGGCGGTCTCTCTGCCGAGCACGCACCTCCGCTTCTGGGTGATGGGTCGGCCGGAGAGGTGGACGAGGTAGGTCTTGCCGTCGGGGGTATCGACGAAGTCGCCGTGTCCGGCGCGCTGCAGGGCGGCCCAGGGCGAGTCCTTGGAGGTGACGATGTACTTTTGCGGGTGGGTCTCGTAGGGTCCCCAGATGTCGCGGGAGCGGGCAAAGGTGCACGCGTGCTCGTAGGCCGTGCCCCCTCAGCGGTGAGGAGGTAGTACCATCCGTTGCGCTTGTAGAGGTGGGGTCCTTCGACCAAGTCGAGCTCCGTGCCCTTGAAGATGTTTTTCTTGGGGCCGACGAGCTTCCCGGCCTCGGGGTCGTACTCTTGCATCACGATGCCGGAAAAGACCCTAGGGCGGGGACGATGGTCCCAAAGCATGTTGATGAACCACTTGCGGCCGTCGTCGTCGTGGAAGAGGGACGGGTCGAAGCCGGAGGAGTTGACGTAGACGGGGTCGGACCAGGGGCCCTGGATCGACGTGGCCGTGGTGATGTAGTTGGGGGTGTCCTTGAACGAGCCGTCCTTCCTCTTCACGTCCGTGTACACGAGCCAGAATTTCTCGCCGTCGTGCGTCAGGCAGGGGCCCAGATCCCGCAGCTGTCTGGGTTGCCCCGCATGTCGAGCAGGCGCTTGCTATCGAGGGGCCTCTTGACCAGCTCCCAGTTTGCCAGGTCCGTGGAGTGGTGGATCTGGACGCCGGGATACCACTCAAAGGTAGAGGTGGCGATGTAGTAGTCATCGCCGACTCGGAGGATGGAAGGGTCGGGGTTGAACCCGGGAAGGATGGGGTTTCGAACCTGGGGCATGGTGGAGAGAGTTTACTGTTCCAGAACGATACGAGGGAAGGTGTACGCGGGGAAATCACGGCTCTCAATCTCTGGCGGGTGATGGGAGCTTTTTGTATGATTCGGCATAGCTTCTATCCAGGGGTCTGTTGGAGGGGCGAGGGATCCTTACAACCCCGCTTGCTTGGAGGCCGGGTTTGCGGGGCGCCTTCATCCTCTGGTTAATACCCGTTAGACCCGTCACCTTTTCTTACCTTTTTTCTTTTCTTTCTTTTTCTTTGAATCATTACACAGAAAGTTTTCTTTTGTCCTTTCTCAGGACCACGTTACCTCAATTATTTCTGTTTCCGACCTCTCACGAGAGCCGACAGGTTGAGCCCGAGGACTCTACCATGACTCTGTTTCGTTATTCTAGGTCCAATGCCCAAAGCTTGACAGCTCACCAAGCTTGGGGAATTGGCAGCAGCTTGAGAAGCTCGAATGCAGATCCAAGTGTTCGACACTAGTTTAGTCTTCCTGCATACCCGACCCAATGAACCGCAACAGTTTGCAATTTATCCGGAGACTAGCGTCTTTGACATCCTACCGGACCCCTCAACTACCGGTGAGGAATCACGGATCTAGACGGTCTATTTTGGGGCTCCGTGTTGCCCAGCCATGAGGAGCTTTGCTGACTATAGTCGTAGTCTGGCAAGCCGGTGATTTCGCATGACATGTGCTTGAGGCATCATCTCAGCAGCCTTTCGGTTTTTGAGAGGGTCGGTTATCGGTGGCCTGCCGCCGTTATGCCTTGAACAAGCTACGGGGATTCCCACAGCGTACTGGCGATGTTCCTCCCTAGCCGACGGGCATCCATGGGCGATGCTGTCTCTGCATCCTCACTGCTCTGGTTGAGCCCAATATTCAATAACTAGCAGACATTGGGTCCAAGAGTTAAAGACTAGGTCGCCTAGCCCTGGCTAGAACACATCTTTTAACATCCCATAGTCCTTGCCTCGCTGTCTTCACACAAGGGGCCCTTGTTTTTAAATCATCCGAGAAAAGGCTTGAAATCGTCCACATTGGTAGCACATTTTAACGGCCGAAGCTCGTGCCTAGACTCTTTCCGCCATTCTCGGAAGCTCCTCACCGAGTCGGGAGGAAACATCCTCCCTGCCCTTCCATTCTCGGTGCTCGCCTCGCATTGTTGGGCGACCTCGGAATATGAAAGGCAGCATGGCATTATCAAATTGAGCCTCTCAGCAGCCATCACCCACACACCCAACGCCTCCAATTGGCCCCTCGACTCGAGGCGCTCTCGTGAGATTGGCCTTTTCTTCGTTAGGCGTCGTCGAGTTTGTGGGTTTGGGAGCAAAGAAATGCGGGGAGGTGCGTCACCGACAACCCTGTACGCTCCGATGGCGCATGTTCGTTGGGCCATGTCGCCTCATATTTGGCAGGACCGGAAAGTGGTCGGCATGGGGGCGCCCGTTCCCTCTCTTTCTTGCCCTGGCCCCTTCAAAACCAGCCAGCCAGCGTGTTGATCTTCGAGAACGATGGGGGACAGCAACCTATCAGAGCTCGGAGCACGGTCTGGGGAATCATGCCGGATAGGCAAATCGCCTGTCCGTATCTTCCCAAAGAACAGGGCATTGAGGCCAATCCCCATCGCGCTGATGGCCCATGACTAAGCGGAATATCGCCTGAGGAAGCAAGAAAGAGGTCACAAAAACCACAGGCTTGGCGTTGATGCCCTCGTGAAATTTATTTATTCCTGCCCTACCGGTACGGCATTCGACGCGAGCACTCGACACCAGCCGGGCTCTAAATGGCGGCATTCCCCATCCTGCAGCCCTCCAAGCGACGCCATCGAACATACATGTAGTCTGCGAGCGAGCGAGCGAGAACCACACACCCCCAGGCAATAGCCAGTGTCGCGACCCTTTCGTAAACAATTCCAATCTCGCCTGATTTTGAGACGTTCAAAGCTAGGACTCTGCCACCAAGAGGCCAGCGAAATCCAAGAAACAAGAAACAAGACACCTTGTTGTCCTGTGCTCCACCCCCTTCCTCTCTTCTCTCCTCCGTCTTTGAGCGAACATTCAACGCTTGTGCATCGTCCCCCTCGCCCCCACTCCCTCCGATTTTATCGAGTCTTGCTCTAGTACTTTGCGGCCTTTTTCTTCTTGTTCTTTTTCTTCCCTCCCGACTGCCCGCCCTGTACTGTCCCTGCCTGTCCGTCTCGTCCCTTCCCCCGCGACCGCTGCGGAAGCGCTGGTGACTTCGAAGTGGATGGCGCCCTACGACTGGCCTCTGAGCGACCCACCCGAGCAGCCGGACAACCCCTTCCGACCCCATCACAATGGCTACCAGTCCGACGAGGACTCCGTCTACAGCCGCAATGGCCTCGTGCGCCCCAAGAATCCCGCCCTCCCCGGCAGCGTCCGCAACGGCGGCCACCCCCTCTAACCCGCGCCGCCACGGGCTTCCCTCGCGCCCCGTACCCCCTTACCAGCAGCCCCCGCCGCCCAGCCCGGCCCCCAGCTGGTTCGAGCCTCCCAAAGTCCACATCCGGTCGGCCTCGGTCGCCCCCAGCAGCTCCATGTACTCGGCGCCCCCGAATGGGGCGCCGACCCGTACGGTCGCGATCGCATGCCCTTCAGCACCCCTTTCCCGCCCAAGGCCGACATGCACCGCATGCCCTACTCGACGCCCATGTACCCCGATGTACTGCGCTCCGTCAACCCCAGCCGCATCGCCGAGACCGAAGTCCCCGAAAGCTCCACCGCCGGACCCGAGTCCGTGGCCGGGCCCCGCCACGCGACCGCGAGCAAGACGCTAACCTACAAGGCGCTCGAGTGGAGACAGATTCGGCTCGTCCGCATCTTGCCCGAGCGCATGTCCGCCCTCCGGTGCGAGCTGGTCCAGTTCTCCCTCGACAATGCGCCGCGATTCGTCGCCATCTCGTACGCCTGGGGCGATTCCGGCGACACGCAAAACATACTCGTCGACGGCGTCGCCAAGCAAGTCACCACGAGCCTCTACGGCGCCCTCAAGGCGCTTCGGCGCCGAAACAACGTCGTCTTGGTCTGGGCCGACGCGCTGTGCATAGACCAGAGCAACGGCGAGGAGCGAACGCTCCAGGTGCAGCTGATGAAGGACATCTACTCCAAAGCCAGCTCCGTCACCGTGTGGCTGGGGCCCGAGGCCGAGGAGAGCGGCCTGGCCATGCGCCTCCTCAGCCATCTCGTGCACCGGGGCGAGTCGCAGTCCTACGTCAAGGAGCTCATCAACTCCAAAGCGCGGAGGCGCGAGTTCGACGCCGTCGTCCGCGTCTTTGAGCGAGATTACTGGCGGCGCCTCTGGATCGTCAGGAGATCTTCCACGCTACCAACGTGGACGTGTACTGCGGCCCCACGCGGCTCTCCTGGGACGTCTACAAGTCGGCGAGCAAGATCTTCCTCCGGCACAAGGAGGACCTGGCGCAGGCCTTCCAGTCCACCCCGTTCGACAACTCCCCTCAATCCATGACGCGAAGCCGGGTTCCCTACGCCGATGTCCTCGTCCGCCACGGCCCGGGCAGCTTACCGGACATTGAGTCCTTGCTCACGTTTGGGGAGACTTCTATCCTGGAGATCCTGCGCGCGAGCCGGAGCAAGCAGACAGCTATCCCCACGACAAGGTGTACGGCATCCTGGCCGTCCTCCCGGAGGAGGTGCGCGACAATTTCAAACCCGACTACGGGCTGACGGTGCGAGAGGTATACATCAACGTGGTGGATTATCTGGTGACGACGACGGAGCGCCTCGACGTCATTTGCGAATCCATACACTTCCCCCTCACTCAAGCGCCAACAATCTCCCGAGCTGGGCGCCGGACTGGTCGCACACGCCGCAGACAACGTCACTCGGGCTCAACTACGACTTCAAAGCCTCGGGCTCGACCAAGGCCAAGTTCTCGTTCAAGGATCGGAGGTCCAAGCTCGCCATATCCGCCGTGTTTCTCGACGTCGTCAAGACTCGTGGCGTCGCGGTCGGCACCTTGTGCTCGGTGGACGACCATCTCATGGCGTTTCTCCACTGGCGGGCCCTCCTCATGGGCGACCGCGACCCTCAAACGAAAGAGGACCAGACCGAGCTGCGAGAGGCCTTTTGCCGGACGTTGTGCGTCGCACAGCTACCCCCGCAGCTCAAGGATGCCAAGAAATGGTCCCGCATATGCTTCCAATCCTTTGCCTCCATGATCCGAGAGGCTGCCCTTCCTAACGCTGGATCACGAACTCACGACGTACGCGACCTCGGCTCAGGAGATATCCCTCGTCGCGCAGAAGCGCATCGTCAAGGACACGTGTGGCGGGCGCATGATGGGCAGGTGTCTTTGTGTTACCCAAAACGACAACCTCGTAGGTATGGGGACCGGCTTCATGGCGCCGGGCGACATCATCGTCGTGCCCCTCGGATGCTACTCGCCCGTGATTCTTCGACCCGAAGGTCAAGGCGAATATCGATTCGTCGGTGACGTCTATGTCGACGGGTACATGAAGGGTGAGGCCATTACCGAATGGAAGAGCGGGCGGAGGGAGGTCGAGGAATACGTGCTCTGTTGAGGTGTGAGAGAGACGAGATCCGGCGATGCCTTTTTCTTTTCCGTTTTGTTCTTCTTCCGTCTCTCTTGGCCTCTGACGGAATGCCTCTTTGTCGTTTGGTGCGTTCGTGTGTGCGTGTGTGCGTCTCTGTGTCTGTGTCTGTGTCTGTGTGAGTGTGCGGTGTCTTGTGATGTGTTTGCCTTTTCTCTTTTGATACCCTGCCTCGTCTTTTGTCGGTTTCGAGACAGACTGGAAGCGTGTAACTGGTTTCCTTGTGACTCTTTTACTCACTGTTTTTCACCCTTTCTTCTCGCATTTCCTTGGTTGTTCTTTTCTCTCCGCCCCTTTCCCTTTCTCTATCTTCTTTTCTTTCCTTGTCATCTCTTGGAATGTGATGTTGGGGGCGATTCTCTCCTACAAAAAGACGGTGAGATGACGGGAAACTAGTCGGTTATTTCGGCTTGGAGGCTTTGGCCTTGATTTCTCGATACGATTCTTCCCCCTTGTAATGAATGACTTGATGAGCATATGACTATCTTCTCTATTTTTCTTTTTTTCTCCTCTTTCAGCAGCAGGCAGAGCAAAGCGGGTACTATTCGAGTTTAAGTAAAGAAAGCACAGTTCTTTTTAGTCTTCTCCCTCCTCTAGTTATTATACACGGCTCCAAATCCTTCCCCAACGTCTCCAAAGCTCGCACGCAGCGTGTCATGTACCTGAACTTTGGGGGAAGATAAGCCAAGACCGACTGGCACTCGCCTTCTCCTTCCAAGCGATGTCGTAGTGTTGTTGGGGTAATGGCCTAGGTTGGAGAGTCGCACCGTGAAGCTGACGAGGACTCATCTGTCTGTGTTACTTGACATCGTTCGTTTGACGTCGTTCATCCTCGCGAGCGATACGTGCTCCCCTCCCCCAAATTTTGGAGCTGGCTAAAGGAGGGTGTATGTTACCCTAGTGCTAGTCGCTAGGGTTGGTGTGTTGGTCTGTACTACGGTCCCTACGATGTCGCCCCCTTTCTTGGCCACCCTTTTTCCCTCAAGGAACATCTCCAAGTTCTACCTCCCCGACCACGCCAGCGCCGCACTCCCCTTCCCCAGAGAACCCAATTGATCTCGTCTCGCCATGCTACCTCGCCAACGCCCCCTTGCCTCCCTGCCTGCGGTACCTCTACCTTGCTCCTCGAGCCCCAGCTATTACACCCACAGGACCAGCGGCCCGGCGCGCGATCCGTGATGAAGGAAAACGTGCAACTCTCCATGTTGAACGGACCGCGTACCCACGAGTAGATGAACTTGTTAATCTCGTTCCTGAAGCCAAGACGCGGGGATTCCTTGTTTGTGTTGCCCTCCCTCCTCCCCTCAGATGGCCAGGCACGGTTTTACTAATGCATGGAATGATGGCCTAGAAGGCTGTCGTATCACCCTCGGTCATGTGTGGAGGGCTAGCTAGTGCAGGGGCATCTCCATCTCGAACCCCCCTCATCCCACAATGTGGGGTTTGATGATCACTAACGAAGAAAAAGTATGAAATACGAATAAAGAATAAAAGGGCCGAAGCTGCTCTTCTGTCTATCATTCCTCTTAGAGGTTGTCTATCTCAAATCATATCTCAGCGAATGATTTGGACTTTCGCTGAGATTTGTATCAATGGGTGATTTGAGAAACAGTAAAGGGAGATAGTTGATAGTCAGCCTACACCAAGCCATCTGGGCTCCCACTTCCTCCCCCAAAAATCGAACGAGACGGTGCCTTGCTGCCACTGACTCTCCACCGCCAACGAGTACCGAACAATGGCCCCCTCCCCCTGGAGCTATCTGGGGTGACACCGTATTAGCGTGCGTATTTACTTTTTCCGCTTTGTTCCTCTACATGATTTTTGAGTCACTAAGGAGGGCATGGATGAGTTCGATAAATCGCGTGCAGTTACACAGCGTATCGCGTAGCAGGCACTCCATGGTACAAATGAAAGGGATTGGGTGCCATCCGACCCAGTAAATAGATAAAACAAAAACAGGAGGACGAAGAAAATTAAGGCTGTGAAGGTAATCTTGAAGAAATGTACTCCCCTCCCCCTTTTCCCCCTCCGGTTATGGAAGCCAAGAAGGGGCGCGCGGGGAAAGAGAGGGCGAGTTTACACGCTATCTTTCTTATTCCCATCCAATCCAATCCAACTAGTCCTTCCTCGTCATTCGTAGCTCGACCTTGACTGCACGCGACGGTGGACGTGTTCCCCCAGCGCCGTCGTCAACTGTGGGGCGACGCGGACCCGGCACTTCCGCCCAAACGAACTTGCATCACGTCACTTGGACATCGCTTCCCTCCCCCTTCCCTCTTTTTTGTTCATTTTCCCAGGCTGCGCAAAGGGCCGTGTCGGCAATGTTATCGGATGTGGAGCCCCTCAATCTCAATCCTAAATCAAGACTCTGCCTATCGGCGCGGTTTTCCCTGAGCAAGTTCTCGGCCAATGCGGAGAGGACCCGGCGGGACAGGTGGGATAGGAAATGCGGGGATGGCAGGTAGGGGGAGGGAGGGAGGGAAAGGGAGGGCAAGGGAGGGAGGCAAGTTTACATGTAGACTCGAAAGGGGAAGATACATGGAGGGGACGTGCATACTTTTTTCCATGGAGCGATCAATGCAGCGTGGTTGATGGGATGGGATTTTTAATTGAGGAGGTGTGCCATCCACGCAACAGCAGGACCTGGTCCTACCCTCCATAATAGATTCGACTATACCTGACCACCAATCACCGTCTGCTCCGGGATTTGCTACGTTGGTCACCGACCAGGACGGATATTGATCTCGAGTCGCCTGCGGCCCCGCTCAAGGAGGTGAATTACTGTTACTGCATTAACCGGCGACGTAGGCGCTACATGTAGCTACAAGGGCTGGTCTGGAGAACCAGACTAGGAAGACAGCGCATGTGTTATGAACGTGAGAAGCTTGCGTGTGCGTGAGATGGAGAGAGATACTCGAGATGCACATCTTGTTTCGCCTGTCTGCTCGGGTACGTATATGGGTCTATGTCAAGAGGAGCGAAAACATGGCTTGGCTCCCCTCTACTAGACCGACCAGCCAGATGATCGCTGCCCTCTAGCTCCAGGCCAAAGGTCTTTCGTTTCGTCCTGCATTATCCTTGCTCAATCAAAAAGGGTGTCATTCAATATCCCGATAGCACATGGTGGGAGGCTACGGGATATCAAAGGGCATTCGCGTTTCCTCGTAGCTATAGCATCGGACCACCAATGTCCTGCTACCTCTGGCTCTCTCCGCTCACACTCTCCCCCATTCACCCCAGATGCCCAACGTCTCGCCACAAACACAGCTTAGCTCTAATCCGTAGATGGAACCACATGCTCCATACTCGAGCATGTAGTCGATATTTCGTGTAACTCTTCTGATCTCAGGAATCGTCGATTCATTCCCGACCCCGCTTCTTTAATATCTGTCGGATTACTGTCGCCGTTTCATAGCTCAATATCAATCTCTCTCCCGGCCGGGCATGCGAGGGCCTTGCCTCCGTCCACGAGATGTACGAAGAGGAATATCGTTTCTGGCATATGCCAAGGAAACGAGGACCGATTGCCCTGCTCTGCACTGCGCCCATCCATCCTCCCCCAGTCCCTCTCTAGCCGGGAGGAGGGCACTTGTATATAAAGCTCCATCTTGTGCCACTTTGGTCCGTCTTCTGCCCTCTCGACAAGCAAGACAAGCCCAGATCATCCTTTGACTCACCAGCTTATCTCCCTTGGCCTCCTTCTCCTCAGTATACCCCAATTGACCCGCCTTCCCCTTAGACCCTTCACCACCATGTACCGTCAGTTTGCGTACGCCGCTCTCATCGCTGCCGCCGCCGCTCAGGGCGTCGGCACCGAGCAGAGCGAGACCCACCCCAAGATGACGTGGAAGAGGTGCAGTGGCCCTGGCAGCTGTGAGACGGTCAATGGCGAGGTCGTCATCGATGCCAACTGGCGCTGGCTTCACACCGATGGCGGTTATGACAACTGCTACGATGGTAACGAGTGGACCTCGGAGTGCAGCAACGAGTCGGACTGCACGTCCAAGTGTGTCGTCGAGGGCGCAGACTACAGCAAGACTTATGGTGTCAAGGTTAGCGGCGATGCCCTCAGCTTGCAGTTCATCACCGAGCACGAGTACGGCACCAACATCGGTACGCAATACACCCCCTCTCAAAACCCCTAAACCTATGCCCTATCCACCGATTTAACGTGTGCTAACACCCTCACCAAATAGGCTCCCGCATGTACCTCATGAACGGCGCGGACAAGTACCAAATGTTCGAGCTCATGAACAACGAGTTCACATTTGACGTTGACCTCTCCACCCTCGAGTGCGGCCTCAACGGCGCTCTCTACTTCGTCATGATGGACGAGGACGGTGGCATGTCCAAGTACCCCACCAACAAGGCCGGAGCCAAATACGGTACCGGATACTGCGATGCCCAGTGCGCTCGTGATCTCAAGTTCGTCGGCGGCAAGGTGAGTGACAATTAGCTGATGCAAACAACCCAAGTTATTCAAACCGTCGCTAACCAATTCATCGCACCGCTTTAGGCCAACGTTGATGGATGGGAGGCGTCTTCGAACGATCCCAACGCTGGTGTCGGTGCCATGGGCGGCTGCTGCGCTGAGATGGACGTCTGGGGTAAGCTTTTTGCGGCTTTCATTCTTGTTTCTTGGAGGTTTGGGATGGTGTTGCCATAATTTCGGATCTCAGCCCTGCTTGTGAAACCCTTGGCAACGATCATCTGCATCCAGGTCCCCTGCCAATGTTTGCCAATGCTTGGCTTTCAGACTTGGCTCTTCTTGGCTTCTTGGCTTGGCCCTCTCTTGGCAACGTCTTGGCTGGGAACATCACACTAACCACGACGACGATTTATAGAATCCAATGCTCACGCGTCTGCCGTGACTCCTCACCCTTGCGAGAACAACTCGTACCACGTTTGCACCGACAGCGAATGTGGTGGTACCTACTCCGAGGAGCGCTTCAATGGTGACTGCGATCCCAACGGTTGCGATTTCAACCCTTACCGCATGGGTGCCCATGACTTCTACGGCAAGGGAAAGACTGTCGATACCTCCAAGGTGTTTACGTGAGTGCAATTCCAATTCCAATTCTCTACTTGCTAAGACTGCGATGTTGAGCGCGACACTAATTTTCTTTTCCTTCCCTCCCTCAAAAGTGTCGTCACCCAATTCTCGGAGAGCCAAATCTACCAGTTCTTCGTCCAGGACGGCAAGAGGATCGACATGCCCGAAACTACGGTCGAGGGTGTCTCGGGCAACAAGCTCGACGACGCTTTCTGCAAGGACCAGTTCGCCGCCTTTGGCGACCGTGACCGCTTCAACGAGGTGGGCGGTTGGTCCAAGATGAACGAGGCCCTCGAGAGCGGATGGGTCTTGGTCATGTCTCTCTGGGACGACGTGAGTTTACCTTTCCCTTCCCTTTTTACTAGCAGCCTCCACAGACGAAAAAGCTAACTTGGTTCTTTTTTTCTTTCTCCACAGCACTACGCCAACATGCTCTGGCTCGACTCCAGCTACCCGCCCGAGAAGGCCGGTACCCCGGTGGCGATCGTGGAGACTGCCCCCAGGACTCTGGTGTCCCCTCCGATGTCGAGAGCGAGCATGCTTCTGTAAGTCAAGGCTCAGTTTGCACTTTATCACACCTCCATGACACGCAAGCTAACCAGCTCTACCTATAGGCTACCGTCATCTACAGCAACATCCGCTTCGGCCCCATCGGCTCGACCGTGGACGTGTAAGGAACTCACTTTCCCGTGGCTACGGTACAAGGAAAACAGTAGAACTGGTCGATATCTTTTCGATTGCTCTGTCGAGCTGGATAGTCTCAAGATATGAATATGGAGGAGGATCAGATATCTGTGTAGTTTGTATCTCGACAGAGCTGTATATGCTTCATTTCTCGTCAATTCGATTCTCCATTCTTTTAGATCTTGTTCCTGGCCTAAATTTTGTGCTTTGTTTCACGCGTTCTGTGCTGCTTGCCAATGACAGCATTCTCGTCAACGCTCCTCGAGATATATGTTGAGACACGCGCCGAGGCACATGTTGATCGCTGGCTGCTGGGTTTTCCACCCACCTACGGCAGTCCCTCAGAAGATTCGATGGAACAAGGTTTAGGGTTACTTCGCATCTGAACGACGCTTGCCGATCCCGTCTCCTGTCGCGGGCGGACTCCACTCCCAGAAGCCGACTGATCCGTCCCAAATCCCTGCATTTGCAGCGCGAACTGCGGGACAGAAGCAAAGCTGGACCGGCCATCGTAGCCGAATGCAAGCTACCCCAAACTTGTGAACTCCAGAACATTCTTGCCCCATGCGATCCCCTCTCCGCCTTTTCTTTCCTCACCGTCAGCATTGTTCTGTCCCCTCTTTCTCCATCTTTTTCAACCAGTGAGGGGGAAGGGAAGCCAACACGCAGCTTGTGACCCGAGAATATCACGATGACGATCTCGACAGCCGGGGGTAGACGCGGATGTCAGGGCGGATGCAAGTGAGCGTCACGCGTCTGTGGGGAAGTAACTGCAAGTCATGGATGTTTACTATTGTTCCTTTCTTTTCGTTTTTTCCTCCACTGGGAAGCGATTATTCGCAAAGGCAAAGGTTAGATCTCCTTTGACTCTCAAGGTGCTGTGTGTGCCTACCTATGTCGACATTTTGATGAAACCAAACACTAAGCTGGTACCGGACGCGTACCGTCTACAAAGCATCGCATGGGGTAAATTGTCCTTCAAAGGGACGCCATGATGCGGGGAACAAACTGGGACGAGAGGGAAGGAATATCGGGGATGACGAAGGGTGTGGGAGGCAATAAACATCACTCCGTCGCAATCCAAACTGTCTCCCTGGCGGGCCGGATTGCTCGTGTAACGAACAATTCAAAGACCCTACATCGATTGTAATCAACGATGAATGGATGCGTTCTTGGGCTCAGGGCCCCCTACCAGCCTCTTGGCACCCCTTGGCGAGGATTTCACACCATTTTGAGCATTGTCCAAGATATCGAGACCGACAGGCCCAACACGCAGTGTAGTGACGAACGGGACTCATCGGTCCCCAGTTTAATAGCTGCCAACCTTAAATTCACATGAGTCCACTATCATCCCGCCCATATACCGAACCGCGCAACAGAGATCCCGTTCTCGATCCAGCGCACCGACACAGGCCACTACCGGTCCGCGCGAACCCACTCTCATCTTTGAACAGGCCCACTCATAGGTGCAGGCCTAGTCAGCAGCAGCGAAGGGGGGAACTGGGCCCGGGGACGGAGAAGGATGCCGGATGTGGGTTTGTGGTTAAGCTCGCCACATGGTTCCATTGTCGTGAGCTTCATTTGCGATAGATTGGAGAAAAGATTGGTTCAACCGAAAAGGGGGATTCAACCTACGCTTGCGGACCAATGCACAGCCACACGTAGATTACACGGGAGCCTGTGAAAATGATCGCTGATATTAGCAATGAAAATCATCTTCAGATTGAAGGATCAATTTCCGAAAACGATCCAGTTTGCAGGGTTTCCAGTTCCCGGCCAATCATCAAAGAGTCGTCATCATGCGACAGTTGAATGCTGGGAATTGCAGCAAAACGACTGAGACCATGGGCCTTTGGCCCTTGCCTGGCTTGACATTTCCCCCACGAGTCCTGATCCTCCCTTCCTCCACCTCTTGGCGCTGCAGACGAGCAAACTTGCGAGTGAGCTTCGCGCATAAACGTTTCTCCGCGGACTTGCCATTTTCACCCATTCTTATTGGCCAGCTCTCTTGCCAAGCTGGAAGTCGTTGCCGCACACTAAGAAGCTCGAGAGGAGGAGAGCAAGAATCTTGAGAAGAGGGGAACAGAGAACGGATTGCTCTGTTCTTGCTGTCTTCGTTATCTTGGGCAGTTTGGCAAACGACGAGAACTCGCCAAATGGACTAGTAAAGATCTTGGTTTCGAAGGCAGATTAGAATGCGTTACGATGGACATGCGCGCCGAGGGGCGTGATGCGGAGCTTTACGGCGTATGTCAAGGTAGGTTCAAGCCTTTTTTTTCCTTATTTTTTAAGTGCTCATGCTCGCGTTCATCAAGATGGCGAGAGGCGGAAACTATTGCTACGAGCGGTAACTACTGGCCATGGCTCCCTTTCTCGTTGACCTGTCTAACAGTTCTGAAACAAACATAGATCAATGCAAAAGCGCTCTACGGTCCTACCGCCTTCAGATCCCGGTGATAGGGATGGTGGAGGCCTCGCCCGAATCATGATACCTTGAAGGCTAGCTGCTAGCTCGCGAGGCCCAACTCTCACTCGTGGAGGCTTCCTATCCTCGCTAAGTCTAGAGATCACGCACTTGTCGAGATCGTGCAAGAATGCAGGTAGAATGGCAGAGTTTCTTGTAAGATGAGGCAGGATGGTCACTTCCTTTTTGACCGACTTGCCTTGGTGCATTAGTGCCCATCATCACAACTCCGAAGCTATCGTCGATAGTCGACGCCTGGGGGTGGCTCGATGGAATTTAGGGTTCATCTGGTCCGAGGCAGCTGGTGGACCCGCACCATCATTTCTGGCCACTCCATCTCGCTCCGATGGCCTCGCAGAAGTCTTTCCGAGGAGATGTGCGCGGCTCTGGCACGCGAGGGGTGGAGACCAAGTCGAAGCCGTGCCAAGGATTAAGCTTTATTGCAGCTCGGAGATCGCCAGTCCAGTCGTGAGCTGGGTTTTCCCCTTTGCTCGCAACGTGCGTCTGACCCACCTCGGTGGAAGCGAAGTCGTATCACCTACCCGGTCAGATCCCGCGGAATATGGGTTGACGCGGTGCCTCCCCACGAGGCCATCTCTTCTTTTCTCGCCTCAATGTCACCTGCGCATGTGCCTTGCGTGGGGAAGGACTGGCCTGTCTGGGGGGGACTGGGCAATCGCAGGTGATATCGATTCCGCGTTGAGCAGGTGAGGTGTGTGCCTTGTTTGGTGCTCCCACGTACACCCTGCCTTGCGGTCTTTCAAGGTGCGCTTCGGCATCCAAGAAGACTCGCTGGGGGAGGAGGACGAGCGCAGATTAGGTTGGGGGCGGGTCGCTCGACGTTGTACAGGATCGTTTGCAGATCCAAACATGGTTTAGGCAGGCCAACTTCAGTCCGTCCATCACCACCTTATGCCGGCCCGCCCCCTTGCCGAATCGATGAAATGACAACAGCAAACAAAGCGCGACGGTAGTGAAAGAAGGGTGGGGAGAGGCTAAGGAATGTCGGTGGAGCCGAAGGTCGCCAAACTAGTCCTAATCGTGGTCATAGGAGGGTCCTGATTCATGGTTTGAGAAGGGGAGGGGAAGACGCGATGGGAGGATGAAAATCAACAACCTCACTAAAGGGGTGGGATTCGACGCCAACGTTGCGTTTACGCTCACCGACATGCAGACACCTCACGCGTCGCCGCCGCGGAGAGTCCTCGTTTCAGAAACCAAGCCGGAAGATCGGCAAAGGCTGAGCGTGTAACTCTTAACGCTGGAGGGGAGAGGGATGGGGAGGGGTGTGTTGGCTTTTCTCTTTTTTGCGTGAGAGGGCGAAAGAATCACCTTCTTCCTGGGCTGGGGTTGAGTGAGGGGTGCCATGGAATTATTGGGGGACCCTGAGCATGCGCGGTGGCACGTTGCCATGCGGGCTGAGGCTCACTCGCCCAGCGTCCGCCGAGACATGCGTTCCATGCACGGAAGTTTACTCAATAGAGTGGCATGTCCCGGTTCCAACCAATTGGGCACCTCAAGGATTGGATAGAGTTGCTGTATTACGCATTTCGTGGACAATAAAACGAAATGGGGACGAGCAACGACTGGTGGACGGCGAGCTGCGGGCGGCATAAGCGTGGACTTGGTGCTTGGAAAGGGTGTTTGGGTCTTCGCCATGATCTCAAGTGACAACCGGCAAGCCTAGACCTCAGATCCGGGACCAGAAAAGGTTTGGACATGGTATCGGAAGCGGAATACACGCCAAGGCGGAGGTACTCGGGGTGTATCTTCCGGGTACGCGCCGGGTACTTGCCCTCTTGGCTCATCAGGGATTCTCCAGGCCAAGCAAAAGGGGCAGGGTGGTTGGATCTGCAGCCGTGTCTTGTCCTTCAAGGTTGGCTTGCAGTAGTCTCAATATCGCCTATTGGCTTGTCCCGACATCTGAGGAACGGACGCCTGGGCTTCTTGGCTTTCACGCCGTCTTTTGCCCCCGGCCCTTTGGCTTCAAGGTCTAGGCTCGAATCTGAAAGATGCGGGCTCAAGAGAGACGGCGGTTGCGCTTGCGGAAGGGGAAGATCAATGATGCCTTGAGAGAGCGGTGAAGGCTAAGGCGTGACTGGGCCCCGTGGACACATCCACTAGATTCTCCTTTCTCTCTCTCTCAGAAAAAGGAAAAAGAAAAAAAACACGAAGAAGGAAAGAAAAAGGAACGGAGAGGAACGGAAGGGAGGGGGGAATGGGAGGAGGGGTGGGAGAAGGGGGTGGGACAAAAGTTGCTGAAAAGCGGCGTTAGACCCCACGGCGATAGTAATCTCGGAGTTGGAGGGCAGGAAAATGAAAGGACGAACGGGGGTGGCGAACGGGGGTCCCGGCGCCGTGGGTCGGTATGGTGGGTGCCACCGCTTGTGGCCCGGCTTGGCCAGCTTGGCCAGCCAGCTTGGCTAGGATCTAGGGAGGACTCGCTTGCTTCTCCCCGTGGCCAAGCCCTGTCTACGTTCTGGGCAACGGTGCTGTCGCGCCAGGTATCACGGCATTGGCGATGCAGCGCAGGATGGGCGGACATACCGCATTTGCACGCACTCATCTCGTCAACGTCGATCAGCGGGATCTCATGAACCGTTTTCGAGTTCTTGCCTCGTGAGTTCTTTCCCTTCTTGGGAGCGGAAAACACCCCCTTCCCCACTCCAACAAGCGACTATTCCGTCTCTATCGACCCGCTACTCTGCAGACCAAGGAAAACAGGCAAGGGCTGAATCTAAGGTTAATCTCTTCTAGGGGAGCCGCATCCTGATTCCCAACTAGGTTCTCCAGCTGAAGGACTGCCGGCACGGCAGTCGAAGATGGGTTGATACGAGATATCTCGTCGAGGACGCGCCGGCACTCCAAAGCATCGTGAACTCGAACGCGGCCACGAGAAGAGAAGAGGACCCCAAGATCCAACCCCAGATCCTGCAAGACCAAACGCCTGTTTTCTTGGCTTCTTGGCCATCGCCAAGATGAATAGCTCCCGGCTGGGCAAGCCTCAATGGCGCTGCACAAGGCAGGACATCAGGAAACTCTCCGAGGTGGTGTGCAGGCCGGATGAAAAGAGATTGCATCGTGAGTGAGGGGAGGGGTGGAGGAAACAGACAAGACGGGACCCACGACAGTGGTGCTTGAGAGACAGAAAAGTCTCGGCGCCCAGATTTGTGGCTCTTCTTCCCCAGCTCTTGGAAGCTATCCTTCGTCCACATGGGACCGTTGAAACACATGCGCTTGATGCAAACCGGGGTGTAGATCGTGAGGAAGACCCGGATATGGAGAGGCAGCTAGAAAGCTTGTTCGCTCTCGAGACCTGGAGCTCTTGGCGCAAGCATGCGAGTTTGACATGGCATGGGTGAAAGGTTTCCTTTCTCTCCCTTCGATGCAGCTTCGAAGTCCTCGTTCCTTGCTGGGGAGATCAGGGTGATCTTTTACCTCCCTGCATCTTATTTTTGTCTTTGCCCCATCCTGTGTTTAGATATCCGATCCTGCCCCTTTCTGCTTGCTAGCAATTAATTGCCCACATATTGCCCATTGTTTTTTATTTTCTTTGCATTAGGGGGTTTCGGTATTTTATTATTGTTATTTGGAGTTCCTTTGGAGATCTTCCTGCTTTCAAAAGACGCCGACATGAAGGGAAAAGGAAGCTCAAGCTAGAGGTTGGGCAGTCGCCAACCCACGTGCTCGCTGGCATGTGAACATCATTGATCAGAGCGATCGCGTCATTTTGGCCAAATACTGAGCCATCGATCCAATGCCATTTGATTGGTCAGCGGGTAAGGCTGGCCCTCAGCTGCAGCAAGGTTTCACCCTGGCAGTCCCTGCTTCAGTCAGCGGGCCAATGAGCGCGCTAGACGAAAGTTGAACGGGAAATGATCCTGTTCGTCGCGGGAGGGCCTCCCCCATGGCCGCATCGAAGGGTGGTTGGCGGAGCCTAAACGAGACACTGAGGCCAGTATCGTCCCTATTCGGTCCTGAATAATCAAGCATCCACCTGCTAGACTCCAGCATCCATCGAGCCTGCTTGGTGAGCACGTTTAGCATGGTCCGCTCCTGCCAATATTTCAGGACTGCTACTCCGCGCGCAGCATTGCATTCAATGGATCCAATGGTGGATAAATCCATCAATCACTTGGACCTAGTCACCTCGGAGAATGATAAGACCGAATTGCATCACACAAGCTGCCCAACTCGACGCAGCCATGCCGCGCACGCATCGCACTATTTTTTATCCGCGAGCGAGCGGAGAAGGGGCTCAGGGTCATGTTCACGTACGAATAACGTCGGGCAGTTTTCAAAAACCCGCCCCTAGCCCGCAAAAAAAATTAAAAAAAAATTGGCCCCGAAGATGGATTGTGTGGACAAAGGGTGGTTGTGGCATCTTGGCAAGCCAGACTCGAGCGAGCGTCGAGCGAGCAGGGCTCGTCAAGTTGGTGAAAATTGCGTGATGGGCCAAGTCGATGTCGACATTGCCAATCCTGGATTCTGGCGAATGAGAGAGAAGTACTTTGACGCGCCCCACGCTCGGGATTTGGGCGTCGCACTGTCCACGAGAAGTTCGAAAATGGAAGGGGCCCCCTTCTGAGGCTCTTTAGCATTTACCGGGTGTTACCCCTAATTGGGCCGGGCCAAAGTGCTTCCCACTGGCTGCCGAACCCTGCTCTTTCTTGCTAGGCAGGTGCGCCTTAGCTCCTAACACCTACCCCTGCTCCCCCACCCTCCCCGTTGCTCTTTCCTTTCCCCCAAACTTGAAGCTCCCCCAGCTCATGCTCCTTTCCCCTCTCAGTCGTTGTCGCCTCATTCTGCATCGATTACATGCTCTCCTCCCTCCCGGAACCAACCCAACCCACCCACTGCAGAGCACGCACGCAAAGCCCGGAGCCCGCTATCGCCACGCCCAGACATCCGCCCATCAGAATCCATCGCAACAGAAACAGGCCATCTCATTGTCTCGTTTCTTCCACCGTGGCGCCGCTCCTCCCAGCCAGCCTTGGCTCCCGTCATTGACGAAAATGCCAATGTTTCCAAATTCTTTCCATAGAGGTATCGCCGTTGTACCTGCAAGTCGTGTCCCTTGTCACTCTCAACGTCGTCTCTCTCCCATGTGCACTCCTGCCCGTCCGTATCGCTGCGACCTGTCGTTGATGTCTGGCCCGGAAAGCTTCGTCACCAAGCAAGCTGGTTCTGCGTTGCGGGGTTATTGACCGCGGGAGCTTCCGGAAATGGGGGTGATCTCGTTTAATCCTCTTCTTCTTTTACGCAATGGCTCGTCGGAAATGCAAGACATAGCTGGATTCGAGAATCTGCCTCGATGGCAGGTGAGCCGACCCTCACGCCCCGTCCCCGTCTTTGTCGTCCCCCTCCGCTATCTGCCCACGCAGAATATGCGATCAATGGTAGAGACCCGCGCCGCCCGTGGGGTGCTGGTCTTTGTCCCCCTTGTCAGGTTTCGTGAATGTGAAGGAAGGAATGAGCTGGCGTTTCCCTTTTCCGCATTTTATTTTCTGATTTGTTGTCCTAGCGAGCGCTCTTCCTTCACTGCCTTTCATGCGTTTCCGGGGTTTTTTTTTTTTCCTTTTCTTCTGATGGTTGATTTCTTCTCCCATTCACACAACCTGGGCAAGAGACTCTCTGCTACCCAGCGCGAAATCCACCCGTGGCGCCCCCAGCGCGAAAAGCGCCGTGCGGAGTCCGAGAGGACTCAAGCCAAGCCCTGTCTGCGATATTGGGATACTACTACAGACATGAGAGCTAGTGGGGTATGCTCCTGTATTTCATCGTGTGCAATGCATTGCCCCGCAGAAAAAAGCTCGGCGTTGCTGGCGCTCCTGCCGGAGCAGCTTTACCTCATTGCTTCGTTGATGTGAACTTTTATCAGATGCATCCACACCCACACCCGCAAGTGATACGGCGGTCACGCCGGTCGGCCAGCCCAGTCCACCATTTGACAGAGATCCATCCACCCTTCAATGTTCCCTGTCTCCCGACTCCTCTTTGTCGTAGTGTATCCCCCATTTGGTCGAAAGAATCGCAATCTTAGACTTTCCACCGCGTGGTGGGCAATTCGCCTGTCACAACTTTAATGGTCGAATTGAGGGACCAAGGACGCCTAGAAATTCAAATTAGCGTTTTAGGCCGTCCCTCAATGCGGTACATGTATCACAAGAGATCCATTCGAGGGGCTTTGGCATTTGCACGCGTGTGCCCGGATGCTGCGTGGGGATCTTCCATAGTCCTCCAAAAATGGAAAGAAGAAAAAAAGGAAACTAAACCCTTCAATGTTGGGAAAAGGCCTACGTAGCTCGCACCCGCCTTTGTCCGGAGCCAAGCCCCATAGATGAAGCGCTCGGCGCCTGGAATCGTGGATATGTCAGCCGTGGGACAAACCCGCGCAGAGCCAGCTTTGCCCAAACCCCCAATCTCCGTGGAAATCCATCCCGATTCGTATTGTCTAGAGTTGTGGGCTGTCGACCCTGGCATCTCGAGGTTGTGTTTCTTCCAAGGGTCCTGCAGTTTTTGTTACCGAATGGAATAGAAAGCAATACACGCCCCCAAATCCCCGGTCCTTATTTCTCATGAATTGATCTTCCGAGAAACACCGGGGGAGGCATGAAGGGAAGGCAAGCGGGGGTTAGCAGGAGGGCTTCGGTGGATTTTGGTTTTCATTGCATCCACCCCTGTCCCGTCCCTCCACGCCCCCATCAGTCACACTATTCCGCAGTCCCTCGATCCAGTGTGAGATCCGCTCACGCTAAAACCTTTTCCCATCTTGGTTCTTATTATTTTTTTCGCCTTCTCCCGAGTGCGTGGGCTAGCTCGCTCGATACATCGGTTCCCATCCCACTCTCTTGGTGTCGAGGTACATACCGGGCAATCCACTACCAAAATAGCCCTCCCAACGTATAAAGTGGTGACTCGCCCCGCCGCTTCTTTGTTCTCGATTCCGCTTCATCTCCATCAGCTTCCACAGAAACCATATCCAACAGCACTTGTGTCAATCCTTTCTCAGTGCCGTTGTCATGGCTTTCACGAGGACACTCGCCAAACTTGTGGGCATCAATGTCGATGCCCACAACGACCGGATCCCCAATGATCTCCCGGCCGCGGCCTACGTCGAAAGGCCCGCCCACACCAAGGAGTTCGTCAAGGGCCACACTCCTGGCGTTTCCGGCGTCAAGCATTACCTCATTTCTCTCTTCCCCTTCTTGACCTGGATTCACCATTACAACCTGATCTGGTTGATTGGTGACTTGATTGCCGGTATCACTGTCGGTTTCGTCGTCGTCCCCCAGGGCATGGCCTACGCCCTGCTCGCCAACCTGCCCGCCGAGTATGGTCTCTACACTTCTTTCGTCGGTTTCCTCCTCTACTGGGCCTTTGCCACGTCCAAGGATATCACCATCGGTGTAAGTTTCTTTTCCTCGCCGACAAGGCCAATTCCCGTACCTAGTCCACAGAATAGATATGCTGACCGGCCCAACCATCAATTATAGACTGTCGCTGTCATGTCCACCATTGTTGGTAACATTGTCAACAAGGTCCATGATATCGATGACACCATCCCCGCGGAGGAGATCGCTAGGTCGCTTGCTTTGATCTGCGGTGCCATCCTCCTCTTCATTGGTCTCACCCGTCTTGGCTTCATCGTCGAGCTCATTCCCCTCGTTGCCATCACCTCCTTCATGACTGGTGCCGCCCTCAGCATCGCCGTCGGCCAGGTCGCCGGTATGCTCGGCATCAAGACGGTCAACACCCGTGAATCAACGTACTTGGTCATCATCAACACGCTCAAGCATCTCCCCGACTCCAAGCTCGATGCCGCCATGGGTGTCAGCGCCCTCGCCATGCTCTACCTCATCCGAATCGTTTGCAGCGTCATGTCCAAGAAGTTCCCCAACCAGAGCAAGACGTGGTTCTTCGTCTCCACCCTTCGCATGGTCTTCGTCATCCTCCTCTACACCCTCATCAGCTGGCTCGTCAACCGCAACGTCAAGTCCGCCAAGGAGGCCAAGTTTGGTATTCTCGGTGTCGTTCCTAGCGGCTTCAAGCACGCCGGTGCTCCCACCATGCGTGCCTCCACCATCAAGCTCTTCGCCAGCGAGATCCCCGCCAGTGTCATCGTCCTGATCATTGAGCACATCGCCATCTCCAAGTCCTTTGGCCGTGTCAACAACTACATCATCGATCCTTCGCAGGAGCTCGTCGCCGTCGGTTTCACCAACCTCTTGGGCCCCTTCCTCGGCGGCTACCCCGCTACCGGTTCTTTCTCTCGTACTGCCATCAAGGCCAAGGCCGGTGTCCGCACCCCCTGGCCGGTATCTTCACCGCCGTCATCGTCCTTCTTGCCCTCTATGCCCTTACCTCGGTCTTCTTCTACATCCCCAAGGCGTCCCTCTCCGGCCTCATCATCCACGCCGTGTTGGATCTCATCACCCCTCCCAAGGTCGTCTTCCAGTACTGGAAGACTTCGCCTTCGAGGTCATCACCTTCTTCGCCGGTGTTTTCGTTTCCGTCTTCACCAACATTGAGAACGGTATCTACGTCACCGTTGGCCTTTCCGCCGCTGTCCTCCTCTGGCAGACTGCCCGATCTCGAGGAACCTTCCTCGGCCAGGTCAGGGCTCTCGAGGCTCCCCTCAAGAAGACCGATCTCGATATCAACGGCTCCTCCGATGACATCATCCGACAGACCTTTGCCCCTCTCGACCACTCCGACGGCATCAACGCCGAGGCTCAGATCCACTCTCCCTACCCCGGTGTCTTCGTTTACAGGTTCAGCGGTGGCTTCAACTACCTCAACTCTGCCCTGCACTTCGATACCATTTCGCTCCAGCTTCACAAGGAGACTCGTCAGACTGAGGTGAACAAGTACGAGAAGAAGGGTGTAAGTATCATTATCTCTTCCCTTTTCATCACCTAGTGTCCCATCATTAGAGCCGCTGGCTAACCCTATCTCATTAGGACCGTCCCTGGAATGACCCCGGCCCGCGCCGCAGCTCTGGAAACGAGGGCCCCGATACCCGACCTGTCCTCCGCGCCGTTGTTCTTGACTTCTCTCCCGTCAGCTTCGTTGATACGACCTCTGTCCAAGCTCTTGTAGATGCCAGGAACCAGCTCGCCAGGCACGCCAGCCCCGAGGCAGTCGAATGGCACTTTGCCAACGTCAACGACAGGTGGACCAAGCGTGCTCTCGTCGCCAACGGCTTCGGATATGCCGCCGAGGAGGGCGACCAGGCCAACAACGTCACCCTGAACATTATTGCTCCTTCCGAGGGCAAGACCACCAGGAACGAGAAGACCGATATCGAGACGGGCAACGAGATCACTCCCATCAACGCTTCCCGCTCCTCCACCTCGGACGTCGTCGCTGCTGGCACTCTGTACGGTGTCAACTGGCCTTACTTCCATGCCGACCTCCGCACTGCCGTCAAGAACGCGGTCGACAACGCCATCAGGAAGAACAAGGCCAGCTCCTTTAAAGGGCACCCGACCCGCACTTCGAGTACCTGCACTTTTGATTATTGTTGGAAAATGATGCCTACACAGCCTCAGACTCTTTTGATTCGCATTTGGAAACCCTTTTAAACGATATCCGGGGAAGGGCCCACCCTTCCCTACTCGCATCAACACTTCTTTATCCTTTGTTTTTCTATCTATACCTCTCTACACCTTACGAAAATTGCTGCTTTTTGCCGTTACTGCCATGGTCATAGACTGCACTTCCGGTTTTTTTCAAATGGTTTTTAATGATTGGAATTTTAGCGATGGATTACTGGTACATTTTGCCTAATAAAAAGAACTCCTACTTTAAGGGAGTTTCTCACAATTTGCCGCTCTCAGAACTTGCCTCTCTTCTCCTCCGTCCGTGTAAACATGACGCCACATCTTGACAAACTTCGCTCAAAGAAGGGGGTGGCGGTGGGGACGAAATGTCGTGATTGCTAGGCTTCGGGTTCAAATCCTAAAATGGAAAGAAGTGGAAGCCCCACGTCCAATTGGCTATCTAATAGCTGGTCTAACATACAAACCAGCAACATAGAGTTCGGCCGTCTAAACGACGGACACACGACGGACACCCATTCCCTGGCCCTCGAGCGGAGAAGCTCTTAGCCATGCCAAAGTAAACTCGGATGATCCCGACAATCTTCAGGGGAGCAAGTATCAATATGGAAGCAAAGAAGTATCGATCACGACTGGAGCAAGTACTCGTATTTAATGGGCTTAATAATTCTCATGAAGCTGACAAACACTTCTGGTACCTTCATTAATAACCCCCTCCTCCTCACACCGCCTTTCGGCTAGACGTCGGGTAGCCATGCCATTTCTCGTTGGCTCATTACAACAACGGCTTTACTGACCGTTCTTGCCGCCAGAGCTACCCCCGGTAGTTCCGCCAGAGCCGCCGCCGGAGCTGCCGCCAGAACCATAGCTGTTGGAACCACCGCTGCTGGAGGCAGGAGGATTGTATGTGGAAGAGCCGGTACCACTGTTGTAGTAAGTGCTTCCATTTGGGTTGGAATAATAATAGGAGCCGTCCCTACAACGTATACCAAGTTAGAAAGGTGCCGAGGATTACGTGGCTGGGTTATCAAGGGGCCGCCCGCGTACGAGTTTGAGTAGTGGTAGCTGTTGGAATTGGCGGCACCGCTACCATAGTCCCGAGCACAGTAGTGGTTGCCCTGTTATTTTCGTTAGTCTGCAAGCCCATCGTTGCGAGCCACATCCAAGGCGGTATCACGTACCTGGCTGTTGGTGCCATGGCCCTTGTAGCTAAAGTCGTCGTTACCCATTGTGCTTATTGATGTGGTGATTCTCCTGAGATACTGGGATAGATTAGAGATGGAGAGTATTGGATGGATGAGAAGGCCAAGAGAAGTGGGGGAAGATGATGGAATATAAAGTAAGAGAGAGAGAGCGGGCAGAGGATTGCTTTCCTTGCTGGACTCCCCGCTAGATAAGGAAGGCGCACCTGTCGCCGGCCGTCTATCGATCAGGGAAGGCGCTGTTTGAGCACGAACAATTGTCAAGGGTTTGCCAGCCGTGTACCCCCAGACATAGTAAACCTTTGGTGCTAGCAATTTTGCCTGTTTGCAGGCCGGGTGAAGAACAAACGCGTAGGTGACACCTTATTTGTCAAACTAGCTAATAAAAAAAATTATAAAAAAAAAAGGAATTAGAATAAACTTGGTATTATTGTAAGCGAGTTCCTCCAATCCGGCTGACGAAAATGGGTCAAACAGTGAGCAGACTCATGTCCTCTGCTCGCGGGGCAGTTTCAAACGTCATGCCAAGCACCCCGCATCCGAGAGGACCCCACAAGCAAAAGCAAGTGGAAGAAATAGCCCCAAATGTCTCCATGTAAGCTGTTTCATCTCTTCCTCCGGCCAGCAATTGATTTTTTACACTATACGTATAGGTGCCCTTACCTACCCTCTTCCAAGAAGAATATTCCCTCCATTCCCACGCCAAGAACTCGCACACAAACAAGGTGTTGATATCAGCTGAATGCGTGGTATGGCATTAGTGAAGAGGGTGAAGATGATCACTAATCATCTTGGGTAAACCTTGGCGCAGCTCTGTACGGATGCCCGAAGACGCAGATCTTGGGGCCTCGGACCCTAGGTACAGGTATTGGGCTAGTGTGGCTCTGCTACAGCTCGATAGAGGGTAGCTGACGCATTCGTGAAGGGGGCTCTTGAAAGCTATGCGTATGGAAGCTATGCAAACTCACGCATCTCCGCATCTCGGCGTTTCATCCTACAGGCGCCAATTTATGACATATACCCTGCGGATATGGGGTGGCGGGCCTTTTCCAACCTAGTTTTGTTGTCTCTCAAATGCCTTTTCTCTGTGGTTGACCCAGGCTCGTACCATTGTTTGCACCCCCTCTGGTTGGAAACTGAAGTCTCGATATGCCATCATTGAGATAGAAGTGGGAGTAAGATGGAAATGGCCGGAACTCCAAATAGCCCCACCCTCCAACGCGGATCTCTATCCTCTTGCGAAGTAGATACCGGAGTGTGAAGCAGCGCCAAGATGGTAAAGGTGATGTGAAGCTGCACACGTGAAGTGTTTGCCTGCTCGATGGCGTCACCGTGGTCCCAGCTGCTGGGTATCATACCCTTCAAATACAAAAGCCACCTGTGTGGATTTGTCCCGGGGATGATTGTCTTGAGCCGACTCACCATCCCAGACGTACGACTGGTCCTTGTGTTCTGCAGGAGCTGCACTTTGAATTCACACGTGGTTGCGAGTCTGTTTTTCATGCTTGCTTTTTCACGTATCCCCCAAGTGGGATTCCGTTCTTGGCGCTCCACGGGCGAGGCCCCCATGCATTAGACCGTTGTGGAAACGTTGAGAAAAGAATACATCTTGGAAGTCCAGAGTATACATACTATTGACTTGGTCTATGATTACGAAAGATCTCAGCAGCCTCGAGACACCTACTGTAGCCGAGGACTTCTCTACGCTGAATAGCTGCGAGAATCTCAGACTCCAGCCCAGTTGTCTCCGCAGGGAAAGTATGTGGTGTCAAGGAGGGTGGGGTGTGTCGATAAGCCAAGGGATAGGGCCAAGATTCCATTTTCTTCTTCGCCAACTTTTCTTTTTATTTTTTTCTATGGAGAGTCCCCTCTGTGGCACAGAAAGCCCTCCCATGAGAGTTCGAGGCTGACTTAACGATGCGACTTTCGTGCTCGCTTAGAGAATTTAGCCATCTAAGGTTTTCAATCTTACCGAAGTGGTGGCCTTGAAACTGATTCAAGCCCTGTGGCAGGGTACCACTGGCCTTGATCGCTTGAGGCCAGAAACTCGAGAATATGCTTTAGTATGGTTGCATTCGGAGGAAAACCTTGGGGAAACTTTGGAAACCTGCGCGGTACAAAATTGGTAGTCTTGGCAATATTCATTGGATATACATGTCTCCAACAGCGAGGACCTTTCTTTGCCCCGGACTAATCGAGTCGAGCTTATGGTGGCGAGTGTTTACTGCCCTTCGCCAACGCAAAGGGCTAGGTGCGCTGCACGTTTGTTCACCCAAGTTGTCGTGAAATTCTCTTTCAAAGTACAAAAGAAAGGCTTCTCGTCCATTGCCGAGTGACTTCGAGTGGCTGGGCGAGGGAGAGATATCACATAAGAACTACTCACGAATGCTTGCGTGAATAGAGTGCGGAGGTACACTTTGCGCTATATGGCTAACATGACGTAGGGGATGTCTAGAGTGCACAACGGATGGAGTTTTAAGCATCCTTCACTTTGTTCATTTATGCTATGGAGACCATATTGCTTTAGACGCATGAATAGTGGCCTGTTAATATCCATCTCTCCTACTGACTCTGTTGGCAAGCTCTTCGCCATTCACTAGACGGTCCAAGTTCAATTCCAAGATGGCCAAGACACGCTCATTGTACCTGGTGGAGATTCCGCTCACATGCGGGGTGATGATGATGTTCTTCGTACTCCAGAGCGGGTGGCCATCTGGGAGGGGCTCCGGGTCCGTGACATCGAGCGCGGCGCCGCTGATGACGTCGTTCTCAAGAGCCTGTATCAAATCATCCGTCTTGATGATGGGCCCCCGGCCGATGTTGCTGACAAAGGTCTTGTTCTTGCCGAGAACAGCAAACTCGGCCGCGCCGATGAGGTGGGTGGTTTTGGGGTGAGAGGGAGACTGATGACGAGGAGGTCTAGATCGGAGCCGAGGAAAGCATGGATGTCGGCGGTGGAGTCTCCCGAGAACCACTTTGAGGGGATGGAGCCATCCGGATCGCCGAGTCCTGGAGGGTGGTAGGATGTATCGCGACGCGACTCGGGTGTGTCACGAGGGTGGAGAGTGTAGGCGTGGACATCCATTCCCAGGGCCTTTGCAACGCGAGCTGTCTGTCGGCCGATACTTCCATAACCGAGGATACCTCTTAAAACAAAGAAAGAGGCTAGTAAGAAACAGAGCAATGACTAGGTGGGAGGGAATGGGTAGAGTCACAATCCCACTTACATCCTGCGGCCGACTGAATCTTGAACGGGAAAGGCTGCCCTGTCCCACTTGCCTTCATTTTGGAACTGTAGATATTTAGGGACTAGGGGAACTCGATCAGTACGAAACCCAGCAATTGCCCTGACGACTTGTAGTTACATCAAACTCGTTTTGTGGGGGAAGCTTACTATGATGCTGGAAGGCCAAGAACGTTGTGATGACCCATTCCGAGATCTGAGGCCTGTTTAGGGCAAACCTTCAGCACAAGTTCGACAAAATAACGATGCTCTCTCCCCGCACGCACGCAACTACGAAAACCTACCCATGGACGCCGTTGGCCGTGCAAAAAATGATATCGGTGTCGGTGAAGAGAGGATGATTCAACACGTGATTCGCGCCGGCACTGCTCAGCTGGACGTAGCCGAGATTGGGCGCCTGCTCCCGGGAGGGCAGGACGGAGCCGGTGACGAGGACGGTGGCCCGCTCGAGCTCCTCGGCGGGTATGTTGCTCGGGGGCTCGGTATCACGCCAGGGGACCTCGTAGGCGGATACGGAAATCCCCGGGAACCGATCCCGGATGTGCTGGAGGAGGGCCTCGTCGGCGGGCCAGGGAGGAAGAGCACGACGTGCTGGTCCTTGAGCTCGCCGCGGATTCCGGGTCCGAGCCCGCTTTCAACGCGGACGCGCATCATGGAAATATGGCAAGGGTTTTGGGGTGGGAAGCGGAGGATCGAAAAAGAGGAAATCGGTGAAATCGGGCGAGGATTCCGAAGGAAGTGGAGAGGGTGCAACCTAGGTGGTATTGTTTCAGAAGGTTCGTCGTTGAATTTCCGCTGGTGCTCTCGCACTAGGGATATATAGATTCGACTATAGCTCCGTTTGTCGCCTGGGTGATTGGTCAGCACATTTAGATCCCTGCCCTTGGAAACGATAGCGCATGGAGCGATGCGGGGTGATCATGACGTGCCCGATAATGGTGCTTGGCCAGCTCGTGCACTGGGGGCAGTGGGGTGAAAAGTGCAGAAGAAAAAGCGAGATCTCGGAATGGAATCTGTGATGAGGCATAAAAATACGTTTAGGCTGGATATGATGAGACGCGTGACGGGATCAATGATGTGGTGGGGGTGGAGGCTCGGTGATGGATGTGGGCTTGGAACCTAGAATCAAGTTCCCAAGACGCGTTGGAGAGATAGACTATATAAATTATATACACGCATGTCTGAAACGAAAGGAAAAGCACTGGTGAAAGTTCAACATCGCTGGTGAGATATACTGCGAGATGCCTCGAAAAGAAGAATCGACAGGTGAGCTGGGTAAACTCCCCGAGCCAACAGGTTAGGAGTCCTCCTCCTCGGTTCGAGCCACCAGACGGTTCCCCATGCGTCTACAGACCTCGACACAACGATAGAACTGCAAATCCTCCCTGATTTTCTCCACCAAGCCCTCGGCCCAATCTCCCTCAATGGACGGCGATTCGTCCTGTTCGAGGGCTGACAGCATCGCCTCGCAGTCCCAGCAAAGACACCTCGAATACTCTTCACCAAAAACGATTTCGTATTCATTGCGGGTATAACCCTCCCACACGCTCAGCGTGCCAGACCCAATCTTGTCGTCGTGATCAATGAATCGGCCGGTGATCTCCTCCATGGCGGCCTTGTAGCGCGCGTGGGACAGCTGGTGCGTGTGCCACGCCAAGTCCATGTCCAGGGTGGGCACCAGGGTGGACTTGGGCTTGAGCTTGAACAGCTGGGTAAAGTTGTCGTACCTCTCGACCGAGCGCCTGAGGGTGTCGGCAAAGGCGGGGCTGCGGAGCCAGAGCTGGTGGTGCATCTTGTCCACGAAACCGCCCTGGCGCACGACGTTGTCGGCGAGAGGTTTCACGACGTTACGCTGGTTCTGGGCGGCGAGCAGCAAGGTCATAAAGGCATGTTGTTCCGGGTCATCCTCCTCCTTGGTCCTTTTGATAAGGAAACCTATATTGGGGATTCCAGTGGCGTTGTCGTCGCAGAATTTAGCAAGGGCCTGGCGGATCGGGGCCTCGCTGTCCTTGGTCCCGGCCTCTTGGATGTACTCATATAGATCGGGTGGCATGCCCGTAGTCTCCGTGAACCATGCTCTCGCAGGGGCTGGCAGATTATAGGCAGCATTTGACTCTACAGTACTGATGGCTTTGTGCTGGTAGCCAGTTACGATGTGAGTATGCTTGTGCAATTCTTGATGGGGTATCTGTGGGGAGCTGCCCGGAAAGAAAAGGAAGACACTTACAATCCGAGTCCACGGGAAAGAGACGTGCTTGAGGTAAGGTAGGACGTTCACTTCACAGTGCCGCCTAAAGGTTCCGGGGTTCAGCAGAAACGCATGCCATACGGTAAGGACATCTAGGAAATCAAGGCGCGTTAGAAACTCACCCGATTATGGTTTTAAAGGCACCGCCCCACAAAAGGGGAACATTCTTCTCAGGTTTCGACTCACCGAGTGGAGGTAGATAGGGTAGATAGGCATTCTCATGAGGGCCTCCACGCTCTTGCATGAGGCCCTCGACCTTCTCCGCCCAGGTGATGAAGCGCATCACGGCGATGTGGAGAAACGCGGTCCACTTTTTCTGGGAGCGTTCGGGAAACGTTTTGTCCTTGATAGCGAAAGGGCGGTGTTCGTACTTGCGGTTCCCCACATAGGTACGGCGGTAAACGGTGCGGGTAGGGCCTTTGATGCCGAAGCTGTCATCGAGGTTCTGCGTAGAAATCACGCGCCGGCGCAAGGCGTACACGGCCTCGAGCAGCTCCAGGTGGACGGCGCACTCGCTGGTGGTGGGCAGGTCTGTGACTTCCTTGGGGCACTCCTCGCCCTGGAGGGCCAAGAAGATGTCGGGCGAGGGCACGACGGTCTCGCCGCGGGATCCGGCCGAGAAGAATTTGTTGGGGGCTCTGGGGTCAAAGTAGTCGAGGTACTGGGAATTCGAGTTTTCGTACCAGCGAATCTCCTTTCTGCCGCACTCGTGGACGGTTTTGAGGTGAATGGCGTCGATGTCGTCCGTCGCTAGGACATGGGAGTCGCCTCGTAGCGTTTGACGCATGGTGGGAATGTGAAGACGTGCGTGCGTGTGCGTGCGTGTGCGTGTGTGTACGGGTGTGTGCGTTTGTGTTTGAAAGCCGTCTATCGAGGTCCTTGGGGACCCGGGTGGGGAGAACAGGCTGGCTGAAAATGGACGGGAAACGGGAGGCGAGCGTGTATGGGGCATGGAAGGGTGGAAAAGAAGTTTAAGACGTTGAATCACCGACGATAGCATGTAGTTACCAAAAAGAGGCGCCGTGTGGCAGGAAGGGGTCTAAAACAGCGGGTTGTAAGATGCGGTCATGAGCCGCTAGGCTTTCTCGCTCCAGGGCCTGTCGAGTCGGAGCCGACGGCCTTGACGTTTCTCCGTGTATCCAGGAGGGGCAGTCCCGCCAAGGTCAATGAAGTTGGGGGAGGCAGGAAACTTGGCTCGGATTTACGTGCCAGCTGATTGACTGGGGCCTCTCGGGAAAGGCGCAGGGGAGTTTGATCGAATTGATCGAAGAACAAGAACGCTCCAAGCGTGTGGAGCCTTTTCGCTGCGAGCTCTGGCAGATGGGACATTGGAATCGATCTGCCACCTCTGCTTCGTTTGTCCGTGGTGGATCTCGTTCTAGCCATTTCAGGGGTGTTCGCCTGACCACGGCACAGCCACAGCTTCGGTGGTGCAAGTGGGCATCAATCGATGCAGGCAGTGTTGCGATCAGCGGGGCGATTGCTTCCACCCGCACTAGCGAAATATGCCTCGGTCGCTCAATCGAGACGTGATGCAGGCGGTCGAAACAAAAGTCTGGTCTTTTCAGCCCCAGAGGAAACGCGTAGCGGCTAATGAACCGCTATCGCGGGTAAGCTCCACAGCTGTTGATGGATTGGCCATCGGTGCAGTGGATCATGAATGGGCTTTCTCGCTCCCGCCAGGCTGCCCTAGTGCTGCTTGCTGGAATGGGTCAACCATTTGGGACACTACATGTAAAGCCCAAGCTCCGAGTGCGTGCCCCATCGACAGGCTGGGGAACCGTCAAACGTCGAGCTCAAGTTGGAATAAGACGGCCAATCTCTCGCCGAGTCCGGAATTTGATAGAGACTGCACAGCCCGCATTTCTGGCATTGGCCTACTGGCGGCAATTGCCAACTGGATTTAATCGTCTGCTACTTGATGCATCGCCGATACGACGGATGGAACCTGTAGAGGAGCGGTAGGCGACCCTGGTGGCCTGTTTGCCTATCAATGTTGCAGATGCCTAACAATGCGCGCGCATTGCTTGCCGCAATGGGCAAAGGGGGAGCAAGAGCTGAGCTTGCACATACATTTGAACATTGGGATATTATCAATCTCCTTCCACAAGGGAAAGCCTAACCATCCTTTCCCCCACAAATGACCCCCAGATATCGTAACAAGTGAAGGGAAAAGAAAGCTAGATCTTCCCAGAAGAAAGCCTTCTTTCTTCTATCGCTCAGGTTCAGGCCACCACCACCCTTGATCCGGGGAGACCCGACACCACCTCACCCAGTTTGATAGATTGGCAACTCTGGGCAAGAGCAACCCAAAAGAGAAGGCTATGCCCTGTCCCTCGTTTTTTCATCACGTCGACCCCATCTAGCCAATATCTCTTTACTTTTTCCCTTCTCATTTCATTTTCGTCCTCGGTCTTCTTTGTCCTTCGCTCCTTCCTTCTAAGATGCTCCATGAATAAGAGACCACACGCTGCTTACCCTCGGGTCAAATGCTTGATTGAACCTTTTCCCACTCTTTTGGCCTCGGACTTGAAAGTCTCCACCAAATTCCTAAACTGAACTCGAGCACACACACACACACACACACACACACACACATACACACACATACACACACATACACACACAACACAAACATGGGGTTATCGGGTATCCCCTCATGCATTATCCGCTTCATCTGCCATATTCCCTCGGGAATGGGCGGGGTCGGCGGAATGGCCCAGTACAATAAAGTCAAGGTTCTCCAAGACGTTCTTGAAGTGGTCCCTCATGGGAAGGACTACCTGCGAGGGTTGAAAATTGACTCCCACGTGGTAAGTCGCGTCCTCCAATTCCCCGATCTCCTACCTTTGGCCCGGCGCTCTTGACCCCGGCTGTCCCGTCTTGGCGGGACGCCATCGTCGGAGCCCTAGTGCCTCTGCTGTCCATTCCCTTTTTCTCAAGTTGCCGCCACTAACATGCCGCGCTCCTTTTTGCTGCTTTATCTAGGGGTCTTTGTTTTTGCCTGGAACTTCCTTCTGTTCGCTGCATCCCCGGCCCTGCGTGGGTTCCTGCTCATGGCTGTCGGGGTCATCGACCTTGGATGTGCCATCTCCATGACCTTTGGCCTTAGACTAGAGCAGAAATTCCTGCCTGGTAGTGTGGGGGCCTGCAATGGTGCCGAGAATTGGATGAACGCCACGGACGGGACCAACCTGTTTGTCAAGTTGTTCGAGGGAGGAGGATATACCGATCCCGTCTCTGTATGCAAGGGCATGATGACGACCTGGATCGTGAATCTCATCGTGGTGTATGTCAGCCCCCTTTCCTCCCCTTTCCCGTGTCAAAAACTGATCGATGTGCATAAAATAAAAAAATAGTGTGTTCTACTATATCGTTGGGGCTGGCAACATCTTCATCGGGCTCGCCGGCCTAGATAGCTACTCCCATCATTCGTGGAGCTTGGGGCATGGGTACGACTTACCTCGGAGGACGTGGAACTTTATACGGCCAGTTATAAGGTTTATTGGCCACCTGATTTACTTTACCATTCGCTTCCACATTCGCTTTTGGTCCCGGTTGGTCCATACCCTCAGGTGGTATGCTCCCTTTGGCAGCCCCAAGTTGGGTGAAACCGAGACCATGTCCTTTGAAAGCACGGAAAAGCTCCTCCAACACGAGAAAGGGACCCCGCTTCCCAAACTCAGCGAACCACTGCCCTTTGAGGTAGCAGCCCTGATTTCTAGGTCTATGCACTTTATCGACGTGGTGCAAGCCGCCGAGGCTTCGCCAATCCTGCGCGGTCGCTTTCTAGGTTACGACGATCCACAGGGCCGGTTGGATGCGCTTCGAGAGTACGCCTGTGAAGGAAACAGGAGGGCAACTTGCGCGTTCTGCCCCAACCAAACCTGCGAGGTAGGAAGACCCTTTCACCAGATTCAATGTTATATTTCTTTTCTTTTTTTCTCTTTTTTTTTCGTCTTGCTCCAGACTCTTTTTACTAACGGGAACTTCGATTTGTAGGATTGCCAAGTCCAGTACCGAGCACCACCCCTAGCTTTTCAAGGAGGCATATGGAACAATGCGAACCCTACTGCTTCCGTTGCTATTACGCCACCCTCGCGTCTAAGCCGTTGCGACATCGACCCGTCATGGACCACATAAAGGGGCACGCGCACAACTGCCACGTTAACGCGCCGGACGGCACGGACAAGGCGTACCGTTTCACACCAACGGAGGGATGGGACCGATACTCCCGCCGCATGAACGAGAATCTCCACGTGTGTCGCAAGTGCAAGGTAGCGCCGCCAGTGTTGCGGCGGCGCGTGGCGGAGAGGGAGGATGAGGAGATTTATAGGCATGCGTTGGGGTCGTCTCCGAACCTATATTGTGGGGGTGCGGCGATTTTCTGTCGAGGTGGCTTCCCAAGTGGTGGGTTTGCACGTGGTGCAAGGGGGCTTGCAATCATGGGATTCACCCTTGGTTTAGTTGAGGGGACTGGTTTACATTTTTCGCTTGCTGCTTGCTGCGTTGATGATGGCGAGAATCGGTGACTACGGTGGCTCGTCCAGCTGTTTCCCAGCTTTTCTTCTTTCTTTTTTTTTTGCTCCTTTTCTCTGTATACCTCTTCCTTCCTGTATGCAAACTCACGACTATAGAAATGATATCCGTTTGCTGTTCTTCATGTTTAAATTCCCCCTCCTATCGCCAGTAATCCCATTCATCTCCGAAACGTACGTCGGTTTGCCTGCGTGAAGCAGATATGGATGCTTCAATGTCCCAGCTTGAGGTTGTATCAATTAGTGCAATTGGTTAGACGAGCAAATGCCTGCGCTCCGTGTGTGTGTGTGTGTGTGTGGCTGTGACGTCCAGCCACTGATAAGGAATTATTTCAAGGTTCGAACGTTGTCGGAGTAAATCGATTGCCCGCTTACCCGGCGCACGCAAACGAACAAGCCCACATGTTGCAAGGTGGGCCTTTTCAGAGGGAGATTGAATCATCAATTCCAGGCCATTTCCTGCCCCTCCTCCACTCCACCTCCGCATCTGAACCGATCAACTCCCCTGAGCTGTCCTGTGGCTGGCCAGTGTCCAATTCCGGCGCATCGAGCAGAGAGGAGGCTGTGCCGAGCTCCCCTGTAACCATTCCGCATCCAGGCACTAGCTGCATACGGAAACCGACGGGTGGCACATGCCCCAAGTTTTTCTGGGGCATGGGCGTTCTTGGGGCTTGGGCTAACCCCGCCACAAACCGCCAAACAGCACTTGAGGAGAGAGACACGACACACTGGCAGCAAGCAAGGCATCATCGAATTGATCCACCCTCGTTGTTAACCCGAGGAGGTCGGGAGGCCAAGCCTGCATGCGATAAGGGACAAACTTAGCTTTTGGTGTTCTTGTTTTCTTTCTTTCGCCTTGCGTCATTCGTCCGTCGCGAGCCGACACTTCTGCCTATCCATCCCATTCCAATCGACGTACCTCTACCGGCCGACGCTTCCAAGTCCGAGGTCCCGCAGCCATGGAAAATCCCCAAGGCTTTTTCGAAGCTGAGGCGAACCGGGGCTCGGTATCGAGCTGGAGTAAGCTGCCGGCACGTCTCATCCGTGAGGGAGATCAATCAATGGATCCAGGATCCCACGCACCCACTTTGATCGGGCCCACATACTATCCGTCTTGGGCGCATGGTTCCACAGGGCCGATAATAATTTAACGCAGGGGAAGGCCGACCCTTTTCTTGAGAAGCGTCACCACCTTGTTTTGGCACGTCGGCGCAAAAACGTCAGTCGTCGATGTGAAGACAGAGTCCTATTCTTTTGATAATTTTCCCTTTTATTTACAGAGACTTTTTCACTATCCATCTTCATCATACAGCATTGCAACCTAGCCAGGATATCGCGAGTTTTTCTTTTTGCTTGTTTCATTTTGTTTTCTTCTTTTTCCCGGGCAGATACCCCGATCCCTTCGCCATGGCTCGTCTAAAACAGATCATCCAGTCCCAGATCTTTTCCGAGAAATCCTTACCTAACCAGAGCACCAGCCAACCCGACCAACCGTGGGAGGTTGTAGGGGCTGGGGGACCACCTACGAGCTGAAGTTGAAAAACTGTACTGGCTTGGTGTAAGGAACGAGATTGAAAACATCATCGAGACCCTGAAGCGATGGCGAGAGGTCGATGGCTCTGCTCCATCAAGCGTGACCACCTCGACTGCCAGATGTCTGAACGGCTACGAAGGGTTCCTGGAGAATGTCAGCCAGTGGTCGAGAGAGTCCGCGGAAATGTATCGTGAGTCGTCGCTCCCCGGCCGCCTGGGTCTCAAGCAACCGAAAAGGAGAGTTAGGAGAACGTGGGACTGACCGTGAGGGCTTCGCTTCGAGAGTAGGCAAAGGAGTGGACGAAGTTGACCAGCTGATCGATGCGAGGGACCAATACCCACTTAACTTGAACTCGTATGACCGCTCAACTGCGTCTGTGCTCACGCAGAGGAAGAGTAAACTTATGGCCTTCAAGATGGGCAAGGAAATCAGGGAGAATCTCAAGCGTAAGGCCTACTTTCCCCGTCTACTTTCTCGTGCGATGGTGAGAGGGCCTGTTCTTGTCTTTCTTGCCGAGCGAGAGAGCATCCCGTTCGTTCCGGGGCGGCGTATAACTTGATCATGCCCTGTACTAACTTGTTTCTTCGCGCGTAGCTGTGCTTGTGTGGGGTTCCCAACAGGATGCATGGCTTCTGCTCAACGCCTCTGGTACGTATGCCCAAAGTCCCCGGTGATCTACGCGCTTGGCTAACCTGACCAAAGGCTTGCTGGATATCGACAAACTGATCGAGCACCGCACCCCGACGCGGTCGACTACGAAAGGACCTTGCATTCCCCAACGTGAGTAAAATGATCTCGTTCAGAAAATGGAAACAGTACACTAACAGCTCGTTGTGACGGAAAGTGGCGCTCGCCAAATTCGACCGCGTGGGAATGCCCCAGTTCAAGGTCCAGCGATGTCTGCAGCCAGGCTGCGATGCTCCCATCGTCGCATCATACTTTACCTACACAGGCCCTGACAAGCCCAGCCTCGTCTGCGAAACCTGCTACCGGCTGCACCACCACGGCAGCGAAGGCTACACCAAAACCTACAAACACGTGCTGTGCAACGACGTCATCACCGCGGAGGCCGCAAAGCGCATATGCCGCTGCGCCGACGTCAAGAAATTCGACCGCCTCGGCAAGGGCGTGGCCCTCTATCCCCACGACAAGACGGTCAAGCACATCGAGGCCACGCGTTTGGGCATAGCGTGCGGCATCCCCAGCTGAACGAGTCGGAGGCGCGCGCCAAGTACGATGGGCTCCTGAGCGTGTCGAGCGGGTCCATCGTGTCCGGCGCTTCGGCGAGCAGGCTCGCCGACGTGGTGAGCAAGATGACCAAGAGTTCCCCGGCGGCCAATTCCGACGAGAAGGGGAGAGCCTCCCTAGCGAAAAAGTCGAAGCGACTTTCCTTGTTCTCTCGAAAAGCGCCGGCTGCGGAAAGCGACGACGCACTAGTGACCGAGGACAAGACACCGAAGGAACCTCGCGTAATCACGGATCCGGCCTCAGATCCGTATATCCCGCCATTCTTCCAACGATTTGCAGACCCGAACGGGCTTGGACGCACACAAATGTCGTTGCGTCTTGGGCCGGTGGTCTTTGAGATCGGCGCGAGCAAGTAAGTCGAGTTTTCCACCCTTACTTTCCAAATATGCCCTCACTCCGTTATGCCGTTATGTCTGCATTGCTTACGGGATCTACCATTATTTAGTACAAGAGGCGGCGCTCTAGTCTCGCTGCGACAGCCGCCGGTATTCCGTGACGATGGTCCTCCGCACAACCCATCGGAAACTCAACCCAGTCTGGCGGTGGATGGGAAAGACAAGTCTGTATGGCAGCAGAAGCGTTCTGTTGGGCCCCGGAAGAGATACAAGGCCATCCTGAAGCAAGTGGTGGGCTCTTGTTTCAACGAGTGCCCCAAGGAGGGTCCTGAATACGAGATCTCGAACAAGATTGAGTTCGCTGCAGTTCCGTGGGGGCCCCCAGAAAGGGCGTTGATAAAGAAGCAGAGATCGACCGCATCATGGAAATGCTCAAAGACCTCGTCAAAAGTCGATTGGATGTCTACATAACAAGCATCGTCGACCTACTCTTGGATCCCGCGACAAATCTCGCTTGGGATCCAGTCAAGAATACATGTCAGCGCTTCTGCAGCTCGATCCTGGACGCCAAACTGTTCGGGCCTCTCTTCCCGGGAAGTGAATCTGCGGTTGGGCCTGCTGACAACCCGACACCCCTCTACACGATGAGTTTCGTGTGTGCCGACTCGGGGTACCATCAGCGCGTCGTACGGTCGAAAAGTGATGTGCCGCCGGGCAGGATGGAGGAGTACTTGGGCAACTTTTACTTTGGCCGACACAACGAGTCCGACTTCATCGACTGGTGCCAAGAGTATTGGCACGACTGGTCCGGCACGAGCACATTCCCGACGGACTTGTACGAGAAGAAATGCTACGATGAATTATTCCCGTACGACTGCACCAGGGCGTATGCAGGCGCAAGCTACGGCGACGGCACGGGCACCTGTGGGAAATGCGGGATCTCCAGACATCTGTGGGCCTCGCCGTTTGACAGCTGGGCCATGATTTCCCTGCACCTTGCGCGCGACGCGCACATGTACCCGCAGGCCAACGATCCCGACGGCCCAAGCAAGCCCGTCGCCTGGAGACGGAACCGCCAAGTCATACTCGACGCGGCGTGCACACTCTCCCGGGTCGCCGCCGCGATGGCGCGCTCCCCGACCACGCGCGCCTCGACGGCGTGGCTGGCACCGGACTCGGGGTTCCTACGAAAGAACCCGAGCCTCGCGCGCGTCAAGATGGGAGGCACGCACCGCGCGCAGCCGCTGAGCCACTACTACGAAAAGGGCGCGAACCGGCTCTACTTCCTCGCGGAGTGGGCCACGCGCAGCGACGCGACGGCGCACTACGCGCAGGTGCGCAACGACCGCGCCAAGATTGGCGAGATGCTGCGGGAGATGGCGGCGAGCGGGTTCGGCGGCGGCGACCGGGCGGGCAACAGGGACGACGAAGGGCGGCGGTCCCGGGAAGACCCGTGGTACCACGGGTTCGAGGGCGCGGCCACGGTGTCGCTGACGCGGGCGGCCGAGGAGCACCGGCAGCACCAGCTCAGGAACCGGCAGACGGCCAACGTCAACGCCACGTCCATCATCGTGGCCTTCTCCATGACGACGGACCTCGGGTGGGACGGCTACCAGATCTCGTCGAACAACGCCGGCGGCGGCACCGGCGGCAGCTGCACTGCCTGCCCGGTTTCGTGCGGGTCGAGCTGCGGGAATTCCGCGTGCGGTGGGGCGGCGTGTGGTGGAGGGGGTAGTGGTGGCGGAAGCGGAGGGGGTGCGGGGAGGTGGAGGCGGTGGAGACGGGGAGGTGGTGGTGGGTGTGGAGGAGGGTGTGGAGGGGGATGCGGCGGTGGTAGCTGAGAGGCGATCAATGGCAACACGTTGACAAGGCTGGAGAGAGAGAGAGAGAGGACTCCGGGTGTCTTTTTGGGGATTCGGGGCGTAATGACGTACGTGTTTGAGAAGTGTTATATCGGGGGAAGTGGAAGCAGCAAGAGCGCCATACATCAATCAGTACAGCGTGTTCGGGACGGAAGTTTTGTTCTTCTTTCTTTTTCTCCTTGTCTTTCCTCGCTGCTTGTTCTTGTCTTCTTCTCTGCTTGGTTTTGCTTAAACAAATGATGTATGCATGCGTGCATGGATCTGTAGCCGTTTCGAAACACTCTCGATTCTCGGCCCGTGAATCTCCACTTGGTCTTACCTGACTCTCCCATTGACGTCCCTTTAGTCTTCTGCTTGTTTATTCGAGCCTACAAAGGGCGACAAAATATACTATTTTGTTTCTCTGTGCGTCCTTCGTTCGCCTCCTTCCCTCCCCACACCTCCTTACATGTTTCCGTTTCGGGTCCCGGCGAATTTCGCGACCGCGAGCATGGGGCGTGGTGGGTCCGTGTTCTGCGCGCAGGGGCCGCAATGACGCTTAAAGCTAAGAATAGGGCGAGTCCTTGCGCTTGGCCCCCTTGCGCGCTGAAACGATTTGCGCCGCGTCGATCTCCCGACGAGCCTATCGCATCCTCGCCTTTCCCATAACTTGGAACCGGAGCGACGGACCTCGTCCTGACGGAGCTGTCTCACGATTGCGGTGGCTCCATGTGAAAACAAAAAAAAAAAAAAAAAAAAGGAAAAGCAACCGTGGGGAGAGGCCTCGTCGCAAAGGGGCCAAGGAGGAGGACAGTAACTGGCATGCGTCGCTGGTTCACGTACGATGGGGGCAAGGCGACGTGGGGTTTTGTTTCGTTGCCTTTCGGAGGATTTGGAATGCTGCCCCGGTTGCCGTATCCGGGGACGATATAAAAGGGAGCCGGATGCCTCTAACTTGACCGAGAATGGCCTAGACTCTCGAACCAAACAAATAGATCTTTCCAATTACATCTTAGCAAGCTTCTCTTCTTCTGACCTGGTGTCATCATATTATCAGTATTTTTCTTCTCCTTGACTTAGATTCCCTTTCATCCACTTTCAAGATGCATTTCTACACTGCCGTCCTCATCTTCGCCGGTGCCGCCTTCACCAACGCGGGTAAGTCTAGTATACACTTCCCCGCGCGCATCCCTACTAACCACAATACCGGATGAAGCTTCCATCCAGGGCCGCCAACAAGCCCCCACCGCCGCGTGCACCGCTGCCCGCAACCGCATCGTCAGCGCGCTCGAGGATGCCGACGCCGGCATTGAGCGGATTCAGGATCCCGCCACCGCGAGCGCCGCCGCGTCCGCCCTAGAGCAGGCCCAGGACGGTATCCAACAGATTGCCGCGGCCATCAGGGCCGGCCAAGCTCCCCTGCGGACCAGAGAAACGAAGTGCAGGCTGGCCTCACCGCCCTCGGCCAGGCCTTGGCTGCCGCTGACCAGTAAGTCACATCTCCGTGCGCCAATGATGGTTCGCTGAGTATCCTGACTAACACGCCTTCTTCTCTACCATTAGGAATGATGCTGGTGTCTTGGAGACGCAGGAGGCCCTGGAGGATGCTGTTGCTGCCGGCCAGGGTGTTGTTAACAACTGCTGATTCAAGGACATTTGATGACTTGAAAGTGGGTTAGACAACCCATGCAGATTTCACGGCGAGCAACTGCTATAGCAGTGTTCACGGTTACGAGTAGATCGTTGTACAGTATGACTTGTGTGTTTTATCTTTTTCAATGTGCCGCGGACCGAATGACACGATTTTAGTCCTGAAAAGCAAAAGAAAGAGAAAACAAAGGACAGAAAAAAAGAAAAAGGAAAAAGAGACCAACAAAAATAGAGACAGCACCCCCTTTTTAGATTCTAGTCTCTAAATATCAATGGAAGCATCCAGTGCCTTCCCCCGAGTCTACTCATGAATTCATCCATCGGAATTCATCCATCGGATGTGGCTATCGACAGTGTCTATCATGTTCTCATCTAATCCTGTCTCGGTCCTAGTAACTACTTGTATGCTCCGTTCGCATGCCGTCAGCGAGCCGGCGCACCGTCCCTCTTTCACGTAATTCATCTCTCGTTATTATGGAGCTATGCTCCTGTTCTAGTTCCGGCGATGTGTGCTCAGTCAGTGTGCGAAAATGAATTCTAACCTCTTGTTACCGGCATCTCGGGATTCGTCCAAATATCGTCGCTTTTCTCGCTCTGACATGGCATCCCACTGCCGCTTTTTACTCTTGTTCCTCCAGATATAATAAGCCTTTACCAACAGATAGAATAGGACGTTGAAGCAGGTGATGCCGATTAACAGTCTATTGGCCCGGCGATACTGCGGCCGGTCATCCGACTGGTAAATGTTGGAGCCGATCATCCCAGCCGTCTGCACACACATGTTATAAATCGCGGCCGAGATAGTCCGCAGCCTCACCGAGTTTGAGTTTCGTGAGTTCCAGCTCACTTGTATAGCATGGGCTGTTCATTTGTGATATCATGTTAGTCACAAGAGACAGATAACGACAAGGGATTGAGGCAGCTGCGCGCAATATTCGCAATCCGATATCGCCCCGAACCGTGGAATGTGGACCTACGCGAAGGTTGAGCGACAATAAGAGTCAAGATCAGCCACACTAGCCAAGGATTGGCCTCCGTGGTGTCGGTAGTGTAGAGGCGGACGAGGAACACGAGGGTCCATATCTGAGAGATGATGCTCACGAGCGCCCTTTCGTTGTATAGTTCCGAGATGTGGGTGATGAGCATGACGCTGAACATGGACAGTAGCATGGCCGGTATCGTGAGTAGGTTCGTGACACTAGTGCTGAAGCCTTGGTCTCGGAGCAGCAACGTGAAGTACTGTTGGGCCGGGATGACGGGCAGCGACCACAAGATGCCCACAATGTACAGCGGCCAGAGGTCGTAATCCAAAAGACTCTGGCGGAACAGCTTCCATGTGATAGGTTGCCTGTTGTGCATATCCCCTTTACTCGGGTCGTCTCGAAGTACGCGGTTCACCATGATGACCTCTTCCCTAAGAAAGGGTTAGTTGGGGTCTGTCTATAAGCTAAGGAACCCTATAGACCTCGGAGTCTATGAGACCCGGACCTCAACTCATGATAAAGCTTGCTTTCGTTTTGGGGGCTAAGGATAGTTACCTCTCTGTGAACCAGCCGTCCTTGCCGCGGAACCAGCTTGCAGTCTGCGTAATAGAAGGCGGAATGAGAACAAAGGCGAATAATCCGACAATCAATGTCACGGCGCCCTATGATGCAGAGGGTTAGCTTCGCGGGCACGCTTACACGGTTGAAACCCCACCATCTTCTTCTCCGCATTATTATCCTGGGAGAGCAGAGGTTGACACAGTTCATCCATGGATAGATATATTTCATACCTCGATTAGGAACAGCCAGCGCCAGCCTTCCAACCCCAGAACCCGCGAAGCTGAAGGAGTGGGACACTGATGAATCCGGCAAACACATTGGCAAGAGACATGGTGGCATAGAATACGGCCACGCGGATAGAGAGCTCTTGTGCTTTATAAAAGTAGCTCAAGTACAGAATAATCTAGACAAGCAGTTTAGCACTCGTGCTCGGTCCCCGGAGAAAAGACGGCCAGAAAGGGATGACAACGGATCTCCCCATCGCGTTTGATGATACATACCTCGGGGATGAAGCCACCCTCAAAGAAGGCCAGGAGCACGCGGGTGACAAGAAAAGACTTTTTCCCTGCAGCCAGAACTGGCTAACCGAAACAAGACTCCAAAGACACATCTGAATGGGAAGCCACCGGTCAGGCCCAATCCATTTGCTGAATACTTGAGATGGAAGCTCGACGCAAAGGAAGGCGAGCCTGAAAACTGTGTGGCCGAGATTATAGTCTTTTTTGTTTTTAATCAGCACGACCGAGTTGGGACGTCTATCAGAGAGGAGAGAGAGACTCGGGTTTACCGAGGCATGGGGCCAGAAACACGTACCATCAGTCGTGAGGCCAAGATCGTCAAGAAAGTTATCTGAAAGCGCCTGCGACAGGTTGGCGCGGTCAAGCTGGAGAGCCATAAAGGCGATGCAGGCAAACGCCATGATGCGCCGGTCAATTTTCCTAATCACCGCCGTCTCCTCTTTCCAGGTCCACCGGGCAGAAGGATCGAAGCGGTGGATGTTTTCCCATTCCGGACTGGGCTTATACCGCTCCGCCAGCGTGGGCTCGTCAAAGACGGACTCCTGCGTGGCGATGGCATCCTCATCGAAGTCGATGTCGCCCTTGCTCCAGAACGAACCCCGCCCCGGCTTTGAATCCGCCGCCGTCGCCCCATAGGCGGTGCTGGTCGTACTCGTGGAGCCTTTCCTCTCTGTCTCAAGCAAGGGCGCCTGCTCATCGTTAGTCTGAGAGGAGATACTCCGACCTGGTGAAGATGGGCGGCGCTGGGCATCTTCGTCGCTGTCCCCACTCCGCCAGCTCCCCCAAGGGCACTTGTTGATGGCGAAGATGACGACATTGTTAGGGTTAGGGGTGCCAAGAAGAAGGATTAAATGAGGACAGGGGAGGATGAAGAGGGAGATGGGTGAGACGCAACCCCCAATAGATATGTCCCAAGGGCTTCACAAAAAATATCACGGTTGAAAGACGCTTCGAATACGAAGGCGTGCTTCCTACGAAAGAGAGGGTGGGTGCAGCCACAATGATAGCAGACGTCGACCAAAGCTCTAGCTACAGGCGCCTGAGCCCACTGACATAATTCTCCTGCCCATCACACACCTGCACCTCATACAATCCAGCTTAACTTGCTACTCCCGGGGAAAGATGGTGTGGGAATGGGCATAGCGCGCCGTGTTTCGGGCGTGTCAGGGCGATAGCCAGTAAGATAATCGACACGCCTAATGTCGTGATGGTCTCGCGTGATTGCGTGGCCGCAAAATCCTTGTTCCACCTCCTTCAACGCCCCCACGAATACTTGGGTCATCGCGAACAAGAGGAGGAAAACGCATGATTGAATCTGATTGATAATCACTTTGGGGGTTTCTTTCGTTGTCAAAGGCTTAAAAAGGAAAAGAGGAGATTATAGGGCACGGGGGTCGTTCGTTTTACAACGTATGTTGCGATGAATTGCTTGACGAGCAGGCACCACATCTGCGGCTGATCACTAAACAAGAAATCTAGTTGACCTCATGGTCTTTGCCTAGCGTATTACGTCGCGCTTTCGGTTTGAAGGTATATCAAAGAAAAGAAAGAAGGAGGGAACTTTACGCTAGATTCATCCCCTACTAAAAGCGAAGAAGATCGCAAAAGCAAGTCATACCTGCATTATACGCCTTTCGAAAAGGTTTTCCTATTTTAGATCAGTGTCTCCAGGGACACACTTGAACTATGAGAGGAACCGTCTAGTTCACCCTCAATAACAGCTCGTTGTATGTCATATCTATTGACGCATCCCGCGGTTCGTGTGCCGATCAATATCGTCGATATCACCTTGTATTCTTCGCCCGTTCCTTGAGAGAATCACCAACAACCGGCGTTCCGTCACACCTAGCATAGATATAGGCGTTCCAATCTAGACAAGCAAATGGCTCGCAAGTATAGTCAGACTTTTTAACATATAAACAAGATCAGTATGAAGCCGTCCAAAAGGCTGTTTCACGACTCTACATGTATGCATGTGTTGATGCACGCATGTTTCTCAAAGACGATGCATGAACCACAACAAGTTCCGGGTGTTGATACTAATTGGTGTTGTGAGTACGCATTCACTATTTGTCGCATTTCGATCGGTAATTTGAAGTCGTATGGTATTATCGGTCAACTCCACGATTGATCTAACTTGGGGCACCTCTAGAAGCCGAACTTTCCCGACAAAGATGCATCATGTGCTTGATTCGTTCCCTCGGGCAGATCCGGATAGTTGCGGGCGGCCCTATATCTGTCAGACGGCCTGCGCCTTTCTCCCAGTTCTTCTCTTTCATTGACTTCTTGCCCTCTTGATCAAATCCGCGCCTATTATTCAACCCTAGCTACTTCGCTTTTGAAGCTGTAGAAACAGCATCTTCAGTAACAATCGGTAGCTAATTCAGCACTGTAAAAAGAAGAGGAAGAGGAAGAAGGAGACTCGTAACTAAAGGAAAAAGAACAGGAAAAAACAATTCAACATGAAGAGCCCACAGCCGGCAGACTATCCCGTCAACCAGGATATCCTCTTCCAACCGACCCAAGTATATTATCACCAAAACAACGGTGGTTTCTCAGTATCGCTAGGAATCTATGACGTTACTGATAAGGTCAAGGTGACGGATCCTGTTTACCTTGAAGATGCCAAGAGCCTCAGCTCAGGCGTCAGTCCAGCGCTAGAAATACGACAGGAGTCGTGGCACACACGAAACTATAAAGCCTTCGACCGCGCCGGCGCCGTGGTAGCCGAGGCGTCCGGACCTTTGCTCGACCTCGGCCGATGGAAGATCAAGTTCCCTGCCGAGAGTGTGCACTCGACCCACGACCTAGAGCTGCGCCCAGTCGGTCCAGGAGACGACAGGATGTCTTCGTGCTGGAGAGCGTCCCTTACTTTTGGGATATGGTGGACCCCAAAGGCGTATATAAGCTGTACAAGGTCGACATGGGCTTGAGAGTGGAAGTGGCCAATTTCACAAGCAAGAGTCGTCGGGATCTAGAGGAGTGCTCATCGTGAATGACAAAGAGGTGGGCGGTGTGGTGGCCATCGTCACCTCCATTGCCGTTCTCAAGAGAGATGATTCGTTTCGAAAATAATGCTTGCGTGTATACATATATCCTTTTGAGAGATTGAGAGCAAAACGCAATGCAATCTAAGACTACATGTAGATATAAGAAAAGAAAGGCCAAATGGTGAAGAATTCCAGACGCTGCCCACGCCGCTCTGAAGGGCCTGGCTATCCCGCTGACATGCGTTCATCGGGTCTTGGCATCCGATCGTTACGGCAGACTATCCGGCCACGACGGGGTCGGTTATGAGAAGCCGTGCATCAAAAGTCCTTTTCTTTTTTCTTCCTCCCTTTTGTCCTTTTTCTATTCATCGCACGGGACGGCCGTTGGGCCGCATCGGCTAACCAAGGTTCCTTCGCGCACGTATGGGTGACAATATAGGACGGTGCTGCATGAGCTGACAAGCTCTGGTATGTCCTATCCCTCAAGGAATACATCGCAGCACCCGGTCCTGCATCTCATGAGCACAGCTCGGGAAGAGGAGCTGCGCCAGGCACGTCAGCAGCGGGGTTTCTCGGTCTTCCAACTCAGGGCCGGTGTATCCTGCCCACTCAATGGGGTAAGTCCAAGTCCAATTCCAAGGCTCCCGGTCTGTATCCTCGTCCCCCTTTCCTTTCGGCTCAAGTGGAGAGAGGCTAGATCCTGGGAGCGAAGCGGGGAGAGGAAGGGAGAGGGAAGAGGGGGAAGCGAGGGAACGGCAGCCCAAGATCCCCGTAGCCGACGGCTGAATGCCGCCGTGTGGATACGAAGCAGCTTCCAGTCGGGGAAATTTATTGCCCTTATTGACCGTTTCGATTCTCCCCGCCAAACTTTAATTGATCAATTGGAAAGTGAGCTGCTTGCACGAAATGATGCGTCGGCAGATTGATCTGCTTCCCCCTCCCATCCAGGAACGCAAATGGAGATGACGATGCAGCGTAACACCGCCGAGCCCAATGGCCACCCTCTACGGAATCAAAGGGTAAAAACAACAGATAACTGGTAAAAGAAGAGGGGTAGGGGGCGAAGGGAGGGAGGAAGCCTGGCGAAGAAATGCAGGTCGAGAGCAAATTGCAGAAGACATGTAGGAACGCGACTATAATGGCATGCTATATAATTGCTGCCCCCTCCTCTCAAGCCAATGTTTCGCAGCTCTTGCGAGGTGTGTTACACCCCACGAGTTTATCAAGTGCAGCCCATCCACCTGCCTTCTCCCCCTCCCCCTTCTATCGATCTTCGGTTACGGAGGGACACGCTAATACAGTTGAGGCCTGCTGTACGCGTGAGAAACGTCTCGTGAAAAAGCTTGGCAGCTCGCACTTGAACAAGGACAAGTGCCCCCCACGATGCTCTTCTCGCTCGCTCTATCCGTGTTCGCCACGCTGGCGGCGGCCCAGCGCCCGGATCCGGACCCGGGCCGACGCGATCCCATCATCCTCGAACGCTCGGGCGGGTTCAACATTGGCGGCAAGGTCATCGACCACCCGACGCGGCCGGGTTCGACCTCACGTGCGACCACGGCTACATGGAGTACTTTTTGCCGTGGACGAAGCGCAAGACCAGCCTCGTCATGTGGCACAGCTCCAGCACCCAGACGTGGCAGAACCGGTGGGACGGCGGGCCGGGCTTCAAGGACATGTTTTTGCGGCGCGACTACCCCGTGTACCTCTGGGACGCGCCACGCCTGGGCCGCGCGGGCTGGAGCTGCGAGCCCTTCAGCTACGCCCCGGACTACCGCGACCAGAGCAACTTTTGGCGTGGAACTTTGGCCCCTCGCCGCTCGACTGGTGGGAGGACGTGCAGTTCCCCACCGAGAACCGCGAGTACTTTTGGGAGCAGGCCACCGGCGGCCGGTACATTGAGTTCGACAACGTGCCCAACGTCCACATGCAGTCCGAGGCGGCCGCCATCTCGGCCGACACGGGTATGAACGGTGATAGCATCGTCTATCTGACCAACTCCGCCGCCGGCCTGCGCTCCATGATGACGGTGGCCAAGAGCAACACCACCAACATCAAGGGCATCGTCATGTACGAGACCGTGGGCATCGTCTACCCCGAGGGCTACGGCGTCGAGCAGTCCAACGGGCCCTTTGGCCCCTTTGTCATTCCCCTCGAGGACTTTGAGAAGCTCACCAAGCTCAAGGAGATCCAGTTCATCTTTGGCGACCACCGCGATGAGACTCACCTGTACCTCCAGCAGGCCCGCGAGGTCGCCGCCATCATCAACGACCTGGGCGGCAACGCGAGCGTGCTCAAGCTGGGCGAGGACGCTGGGCTTTGGGGTAGCACGCACGTGTCCTTTGCTGACATGGACAACGACAAGGTGGCGGAGCTGCTTGACGATTTCTTGGCGCGGAACGGGCTTGATGAATATCAGGATTAGATGGCATTACCTTTGCTAACTAGAGTTTCCACCCATCGGGTATTTTTCTAAAGGGGAAGAGAGGGGCACTCTAAGAGCAGATGATCGCGGCATCTACAAGACCTGTCCCACAACTAGTCTAACAATGTGCAAGTGATTGTCGGTAGTTCTGTATTTAGAGCACAAGGCTTTTGCAACACGCCCATGTAACCAAGCTAAATAGGAGTTTATATAATGCGTATCCATACGCGCCTTGAATTTGCTGATAACCAAATCAAGAAACCGTTTTTCCCCTTCAGAACCAAGCAACGCACCCTTACTCATCCCTTAGCCTCAAGGCTCATCCACGAGTCTCTGGGGATCGTGTAGGAAACTGTGGTCGAGGCATGCCAGATATTCCCAAAGGAGAGAGAAGCAAGAATAATCGGCCGATATTGATGGGCTATCCTCCAATCAACATGCTTCAGTATAAGTGAAAGAAATCTCGAAATGTGACTGTCACCAAGGAGCAAGTGAGCCGCGGGCCAAGATTACCCCGACTTCACCAACAAAGCGTGAGTCATATTGACCTTTACAAGCCTTCTCGATATCTAAGCCATTGATATGAGTTCCCTTCATCTACACATGGACTACCACATGGCTCCCCGCGCACCAACTAACCAGGGGCAATCAACAACTCCTACAACCGTATATTATAAAGCCTGCCCGATGGAGCAACACGACTCTTTCCAACTTGCAAAATACTCCGCCCTGACTTGGAATGCCCCTCTTTCCGAGCACCACGCATCCAGCCTCCTCAAGCACCTAGATCTCGCCAACGCAACCCGTATCGTAGATCTCGGCTGCGGGTGGGGCGAGCTCCTCCTACGAGCCGCATTCGAGGCCGGTCCCTCCTCGCAGGCCATCGGCGTCGACACAGATCCCGTCGTCTTGGCACGGGAAAACGCAACGCCCAAGACCGCGGGTTGGGGAGCGTCGAGTTCGTCGAGCAGCCCGCGAGAGAATACCAAGGTTCGGCTGACCGCGCCATCTGTATTGGCTCGTCACACGCTCTAGGTGATACCCGGGCGATGCTCGAGCACCTCGCCACCGTCGTTCCCAAGGGAAAGGTGCTCATCGGCGACACGTGCTGGGAGCGAAGTCCCACCGAGGCGGCGGTGGCGATTTTCGGCGAGGAGATACCGCGCCTTTCGGACGTTGTGGTTTTCAGTAGGCAGGCGGGGTGGAAGGTGATGCATGTCAGTACGGCTGATACGCGAGAATGGGACGACTTCGAGTCCGGCCATCGGGCTGGGCCACGGGGGTGGTTGCTGGAGAATCAAGGGGACCCTAGGGCTCCTGATATCGAAGCTGAACAGAATCGGAGGGAGGATGAGTATCAGACGGTATACCGTGGTGTGTTGAGCTTCGCCTATCTGGTCCTGGCAAGGTGAGATCTTGGTACAGTGGCCCGGCTACAAGGCGAGGCATTCAAGACGGGTTGATAGTTTTCGGTTAGCAAGGAAAATAGAGAGATCCATCTATGCCTTGCCATTCAAGAAAAAGATGCCCTCTCACCCTTCCGTGAGGCGCAACGTCACGCCATCGCACGTCAGAGAAGCACTAGTTCAGATGCAAGAGGCAGATCTCAGGGGACTACGAGCCTTGCAGAAAAAGAGCAGTGAGCCTCGTTCTCTCCACCGGGGCAGTGTAGAACGGAATAGCAAACGTAAATGGTGTAGATATCCGAGGATGCTGGCCGTAAAGATGCCTTGAATCGAAGCCTTCACGCATCATCAGCATAGGAGATAGACAGACAAAAGTCAGGGTAGTGTCAGGCACTTGCAATCAAGACAGACAACTTGCCTGCTTCGCCATCACGATTTCTCCTAGCCGCCGCTTCAAGCCGACTGCGTCAAAAGGGGTGGGTGGCCTTGACCCTACGACCTGACCCGCGAGGAACCAGAATCCAGCGTTCGCCGCCGCCACAGCCACACAAGGATAAAAACCTTGTTTTCCATTGAATACTCGACGGTTTGCACATGCTAAATAACCTGCCCACGCCTTGCCCTCTTCGGCCTCAAAAGGCGGCGCGGCAGCCGTGCAAGGAGGCGACCCAGGCGTCGCTGGCTGTGCTAGATGCACGTCAGCTGTTTTCCCCTCCGAATCGGTGGCGGATGGTTCTAGAATCGCGCCAGGTTCGGTTTCTAAAGTATGGGGGGCTTTGGGTTTGAGGGACAAGTGGAATCCGCATCGCGCCCGAACTACTTGGGCGGTGCGATGAGCGTTGCCAAATTACGAGGGCATCCCGGGGCGGGGCCGGGGCGGGCATCGTTGCGAACCGGGGTTCTTTTCACGCATTTGCGTGTAGATGCCCCGGGACAACGATGACTCGACGTTTGCGTTTGCGACAGTGGACGCCAAGCCAAGGCCGGCAGACCCGCAACGAACACAAAACTCGCCTCGATGGTTGACTGACCCCTTTCGATAACCAACCGCCTAAAAAGATTGAAGCTAGACTAGACTAGAGACACTAGCGGCCGGGGAAGGGTAATTTCGGCGCGGAGCCACCATCGGAGCGGACTCCCACATGGTAGGCGTCGCATGCAGTTTCAAAACAGCTAATTGAGGAGGGTTAACAACAACACCGAAACCCCATTTGAAGCTGGGGACTCATTGATGCCTACCGGGTCGCAGGTTGCAAGGCCAGAAACCTCATCTTGGGCCTCTCGGCTTCTTTTTTTTTTTTTCCCTTTGTCTGTCTTCCTCCCTTCCTACTTCTGTCCGTGGCTTGGCTATTCTTTTCACCAAGAACGAAGGGGGACCGTGACGTGTCATTCGCACGCCAATCGCTGATCCCGGTACATTCTCTCTGCAAGCCTCCTGCCGAAGGCCAACCTTTATCGCGCCTCATCGAGGATAGCTCCCGCGAGCACACAACGTTTAGCGCATTCGCCGCCCACCAATTTTTTCTTCTCTTTTCGACTTCCTACCGGGCGTGCCAACTCTAGTACATGCCCTCTCCACCGAGCCTCCCTCTCCTTCTCGAGTAAGCCCTATCAGCAAAGGCCTGCAGGTCCAGAAGATTCTAGGGGGAGGTATACCTTGCGCTTTCGTCATCCACGGCCTCCGCCCCTCTCACCTCCCTCAGAAGAGGATGCCGCCCTGAATCAGGGTTTTCCCCCTTTTGACTATACAAAAGGAGGCGGGAGGCCGACAGTGACTGTTCTATGCTACCCTGGAAGCCTATCTGCTTCGTCTTTGACGGGAATTCACGATGACTCCCTGACGTGGTCTGGTCCTCCCCGGCTGGCGCCGCCTCCTTGGCCTAAGGTTGGAGGCCAGGTTGATGCCTCTGCCTCCTGATGGGGCTCCCGGCAAGGTCTTTTGTGTCCTCATCCTGAAGCCTCAGTTATCTTTCTGCCCGCTTGCGAGAGTCGAGTGTGTCTATTTCCCGGGCTATGTGACCACTCTAGCTAGGGAGGCTTCTTTCAGAAGTCAAATATAAAAGGTGGAAGAGTTGCTGGCCGAGAAACACGACCATCTCTTGTCTTAAGGCTTATAAGAAACTTCCTTAAGTTGAATAAGAGCTAGATCTTGTGTCATTCTTCTTTCCTTTTATTCTAGCTATACGTGTTTTCTTTTTACTGTCTTCAGTTCCATCTCGTCTCTTCTACGGTCCGCATCCAGTTTCAACCCATAATCCCTGAGCTTCACTATCCACAAGGTATAAGTCTGATTTCATGTAGGTTCACCCCCATCACCGCACTTCATCCTTTCTAGATCGCCCTGTCACTCGTGCACGCGCTGCACCCACGGAAACACAATCCCCCTCTCTTCTCTTCTTGCGGACATAGGTCACGAGTGTGAGCCCTGGGAAGGAATATCTGATAGAAATTCTCTCGCTTCCGGAACTTGCAGCCTATCGCAGCTCCCCTTTGAGGCTGTTGGGTGTGAAAATTATTCTCCACGGCACCCGCAGTTCCCTAGTGACCGCTTTTACAAGTACTTACAAAGTATCTCTTGGTTAGAGCGCCCCTGATGACCTCGGAGTCCAATAAAAGTTCTCCCTTCAACTACTATGGGAACAGGGACGCGTTCTGTGGCTATACCGGGCCAGACCCATGTGCCGACCAGGGCGAATATGGTGACATGAGCCAGGCGATGGGATATGGTGAGCAGGAAGAATATGAAAAGGGGCGCATTATAGCGCGGGACCAGAGGTAAGATTGCTTTCTCTCACGTCGGCCCCCTCCCACATTGATCACCCACTCTTCCCTCGTCACCCACACTCTCCACTTATATCCCTGCGCCTACGTACATGTTCTTGTCGTGGATGTACAAGCAAACGTGGGTTTTGGTACCCCAAAGGTGCACACGGAACGGTGGTTATGCACAAGGCCAACCCTCCCATGCCGAGACCCTCCCCTACCCCTACCACTGATAGCTATTCCCGTTGCGCTCCTACAAAATCCCAATATTCATAAAATAACGACCACACTCCATCTTTCCTTACCACGAGCAGTCTTTCCTACTCTTACTCCATGTCTCACATTTCCATCTTCTCCCACTTCCCAACCTTTTTCCAACTACAACCATGCCACTGATCGGCGGGCTAATACTAGAGGTGAAGTCTGAATCCGCACATCATGGGGACTACTCTCATGAAGCTGGGACCAGTGTCGAATCTTCTCCTGACTCGGTCCGACACTCGGTCGCTGGCACGCAAGAACCGCTACCCAGCCCGAGAGCGTCCTCGTCCCGGGATAAGGGCAAATCGTCCCGGAGTAAGGGCAAGGCGTCGTCGTCAGGTCCCCAATGTCACGATTGTGGGAATTTTATGCGGACAATAATTCTCTAAAGTGCGTACCGCAACCTTCCCTTGTTCACGCCGCCTGGTCCCAACGGGCGAAGCTGATGGCTAACGGTGGTAACCACAACGACAGAAAACACCAAGATCGCCACAAAGAGCCCAGATTCCCATGCTCTGAGGCGGAAGACGGCTGCGAAAAGAGGTGTCACACCCAAAAGGAGGTCCAGCGGCACGTGGCGACCCACCATCCCCGAGCGGCCCGGGACAAGGGTTTGGAGAACCGGAGAGGGGATTGTCCCCATTGCGGAAAGAGCTTCCAGAGAGATGACTACATCAAGAACCATCGTGCCAGTTGCCCAGCTCTGAAGGGCCAACAGTCGGCATCCGGGCGGTCTCGGAAATAGACACCGGGGAAGATTCTTGGCATGCAGTGCTATCCGCTTCAAAATATCATCCTATTACATCGACGTGGACCTCTCTCGTATCCATTGTTACCTCTTTACGTTGCCCTCTGCTGATCGCTTCTTTTGTTTTCGTTTTTTCGTCCCAGATTTCATGTATTTCGTCCTCATATTCATGTACAGGTGGTTCCAATTATCCTACGTCTAGTATCAGGAGGAACGAGAGTACGAAGGAGAAGGAAAATGGCTATTGGCCTCCATATCGTTACATGTATTTCACTAGCTTAAGCTCCCGAATTTGCAACAGCTGCGCCAATCCGTATGCAACGCATCACGTCTATCAAGATTGATTTCCACCTATGGTTCGTTGAACGGATGAGACGCGATGTAGAAGCGTATAAATATACATATATCTCTATATATGTACCAAAATGAATAAATACAAGAAGGCGGGAAAATGTGCCTACATCGCACATCCCCATCTGGCATAGCCAGAGAACAACGGGTTCCAGGGAGTCACTCTACTTTTATCCCTCCCATAGTCTTTTTTCACGTGTCCCTACCCCCACTTCGCTCGTACCCAGCTCTCTTCTTCATCTCCAAACGTCACCTCTGTCAATGAATGCCCCTTTAAGCCTCGTTGATGACAACGGGGCCTTCCCACTGGAGCGTCTCGGGGATGCGGGGCACGAAGACCTTCTTCCAGAGGGTCTCGTACAAGCCGGGCGAGCCGTCGGCAGCGGTGCTTCCGGGCTCCAGGCTGCCGAGCTGCCTCTGGTCGGTGCAGCAAGCGGAGTTGGGGCCCCAGAAAGGACCGGCGGCCCAGGCGGTCCAGCCGACGAAGACGTCGTTGTCCTCCATGTAGCCGAGGGCCTCGTCGAGGAGGGTCTCGCAGGCGGTGGTGTTGGAGCCGCCAAACTCGGTGATCATGGCCTTGAGGTCATTCTCCTTGAGCCAGGCGGTGAGCTCGGCGAGGTGCTCGGGGTACCCGTTGACGCACTCGGAGTGGGTGCCCGAGTAGTCCTCGTCCAGGTACTCGTGGACGTCGAGGACGAAGTTGTTCTCGGGGTCCTCGATCTTGTGCATGAAGTCGGAGTTGGGGAGGAGGTCGCCGCCCCAGCTCTCGGTCCAGCTGTGGCCGCCGGACCACTGGCCGCCGGGGACGAGGATGAGGTTGGTGGCGCCGGCGCCGCGGATGGCGTCGACGGCGGCCTGGTTGTTGTCGAAGACGAGCTTGGTGGGCATGTCGTGGGGCTCGTTCATGATGCCGAACATGACGCGCTCGTTGTCCTTGAAGCGGCCGGCGAGCTCGGCCCAGAACTCGGCGAATTGCTCGGTGGTGGCGGCGGTGGTGTCGGTGGTGTTGCCGATGACGCTGCCGGTCATGGGTTGCTGCGAGGGTCGTTGTAGCGCATGTAGTTGTGGGGGTCGAGGATGGCGTCTGTTGACGGGGGAAAATGGTGTTAGACAGAGAGCTTCTCGTGTGGGCCCGCGCAACGGCTTCACGGCCCCAGGCCGGGTGCGAGGGGGTGCGGAACTTACAAGCGCCCTTGGTGACGGTGATGTAGTCAATGGCGTCCTTGTAGTGGCCAAAGTGCTCCTCGTCAAAGGTGGCACCGAGACCAGTCTCGAGGGGGCACATGCGCTCCAGCGCGAACGCGACGCGGAAGAGATTGACCTATGTCACAAGATGTTAGTAAGGTATTAGTTTGGCGGGGAGCTCCCTTAAAATTTGCCCTGTCCTTCTCCTTCAAGGACTTCAAAAGGAAAGATTGGCAGGTGACTTTTTCGTACCTTGTGCTCGTCGACAAAGATGTCAACCGTCTTCTCATCGATGAAAGAGTAATCCTTGCCAAAGGTACCGGGCAACCCGGTTCCGGGGGTGGCATCGGGGCTCCAGAGACCAAACTCACCGCTGGACTCGGCAACACCAGCGAAGAGGATCTTGGCCGAGGCCACAGAGGCCAGGGCGGAGAGAATGGTGGCTACCTTCATGCTGACGGAAGTTGCCAATTGGGCAGGACTGATGCTCGGAGAGACGAAAAGAAGCTGTGGCAGGAGCCGATTCAGAAACGACTCGTAGAAGCTAAAAAATAATGAAAACAGACAAGAAATACAGGCGAAAAGGGGGAGAGTCTGCTAGAGAAGAGGAGGGCATGGTGGCGGTCAAAAGAGGGTGTATTGGGAGCTATATAAGAGACGAGACGAAGAAACAAGCCTTTTCCTCTTCCGCCCACCCCCACTCGACTGGGCTCTTGAGGGTGCATTCCCAAGTACATGTTGTTCCCAGTGGAACGATGGCGAACAGGGAGGCGAGCCGACTCGTCTTCATTCGCTTGGAGGTGATTCCATCGGTATTTGGACCCACGGCAGGGAACGCGGGAGCTCCATATTCCTGATAATTACGGGTGGAGGGAGAGAGACAGCGACAAAGAAGTGGTTTGGGGAAAATGCTCTCAATTGTTAATGCACCTAGGTCCTTTCCCTCTTCCCGGAGCCGTATTCCCGGAAAAGGCAGTATTACAAGCCTCTCGTACGGGCGGCTTGAAATTCGGGGGTGTCTTTGATTGGTGCCTGGAATAAACAAGGGCGGCGCAACAGCGTCCGAGGAGGAAAAGATGCCCGAAGACGACAACGGCCCCTGGTTCAGAACCCCCGCTTCTCCACCCGCGGTTATGGATGGACAGACATGGTAGGGATTCACTGATTTGATGAGCCTGAGTACTCTAGCCATCACGAGGTGATTGATTGATAGTCAGTAGCTAGATTGATCCATGGTGGATGGATCAATCGTCTGAACACTGTTGACTACATGTAGGGCTCGCTGTAGAGTAGCGCACCAGCCTGGAAGCATCCAGCATCGCAACATTATCCCATCACAATGATGCTAGCAAGGTTTGGAGAGAGAAGGATTGAACCTCTACATCTATGGATGTCTGTCGACGACCTCAAAGCGTGTAGTAATCAATTAATGGATGTGTTATCGAGTCCCCCATGTTCCATACAGTATGTACGATTGAAGGGACCAATTGCTCAACTTGGACGAAGGCCGCTGGAGCCGGTGTTCGCGGAAGTCACTGGCAACCTCGAACCACTCTTGATCCCTCAGCAGTCCCTTTTCTGCGAGTGGACCACTTATCTACATCGGGTCTTAATGCCGTCGCCCATAAGACCTTTCTCGAACCTGCCTCCCTGCCGCTCGGAACATCTCATGAACCTTGAAGAAAACCGGAACAGTCAAAGCCAAGCCTTCTCCACGTGTCCATATAACCAATCCCACCCCGGAAAACAGAAGAGACCCCAACCTTTCGATGCGGAAACTCCTCCATAGACCTCAGCTGCTGACGAACAAGCGGACGGAAAGTGCCAACTTCGGGCCTTCTGCTTTAACTCCGATCAAGTTCATATCAAAGCGACCAGCGACGGGAACTTCAAGGGAAGTCCGCATCCCCGATGACCGATACCTTTTTACTTTGTCGCCGTCACTCGCTTTGAAGGCTCGGCTGTTAAAGCAAAGGGTATCTAGACGTCCTACACCTTTCCAACTCGATTTCTCGCGGGACAAGGCGAAGCAAAGTCCCTCGAAAAATCCAACCTTGGATGGGGAAAGGATCGATCATCGACGTCAAGGTGTCACCGGAGAATGGAATTTTCCACCTGGCGCATAAAATCCCCAAATTACTACCCCATCGTCACTCGAGGATCGGCGGCTGTTTCGTCGCCGTGACCTGCCATTAGCGTCTCCATGGGAGATGCAAGTAATACGGAGAGCGATCAGATGCAATTAAGGGCCTCTCAAGAGATTGCTGCGACTTAATTTATTCAAATCCGTCCCTTGCCCCCTATCTTCTACTGCTTGCCTTACGTGCCCTTTACGTCGTTGCCCTCCTCCAATCGCATCTCACGCTCACAGACACATTGGCCTCAATTGAAAAGATATGCCTAAATCCAAGATATCAACAGCCGCCAGATCCACCATGTCCGAGATCAGTGTAAAAGCCAGAGAACAAGAAAATCAGAAACTCGACGAGCGAGTTAGCAACTCAACCCATTGGTGAAAAAGAACTATCGGGCAGACAGGTATTTCGTGGCGAGGGGCGTAAAGGAGAAGAGAAGAAAGAAGAAAGAAAGAAAGAAAAAAAGAAAAAAAAAAAAAAAAAAAAAAAGAGGCCCCTTCTTAGCTCTAGAATCGAACTCTTGCAAGTCCTAGCCGAGACGTGGCCCCGAAAACCCCATGTTGCCACGAGTTTTCTATCTGAATGAGCGCGCCGTGCGGGCGACCGCTAGGCCACCGTCGGTTGCAGTGTTGGTGCTTGAGCTGCTCGGATGGAAGGTAGGTTCTTTTCCTGGTATATAAACCTACTCTCTGTTCGGGGCGCTGGTCTGGAAGAGAAGGTGCGGCCGTGGGAAGGCGGCCAAGTCGGGGGTCGTGGGCGTTCCTTCCTGGGCTGGAAGGCATCTTTGAGAGAGTTCAATGTGCCTTCCTTAAGATGAATCAATTGACTTAAGATATAGAAATGGTGGAGGCCACTCTTCACCGACAGTCCGAGCAACAAAAGCCTGGTTGGCAAGGGCAAAAGGAAAAGCAATCAAAAAGACTTTGATAACTTTCTAGTACTGTTCTTCCATTCTTCATCCCACTCAACCCAGCTGCCTCAGCCTCAAGCATCTTCAATATCGAATTTGACAAGGATGCTGCACTTGGTTTCCTACCCTTCAGATCCAACAGCTCAATAAAGTTCCACCCTGGCACGACGTACAAGAGTCTGACTGAAGCCACCCCGAGGATAGGGTTCCTGGCAAAGCTGTCGTCGCTCTTGACTAACATCCTAAGGAACACCAGTTCGTTGTCGTCGTACTCCCACTCGAGCACCTCATCCCAGATGGGCTGGGACGCGGGCGGGTTCTCGCCTCGCCTGAGAAGATCCAGTTTGCGCTGCTTGTACGCCGATGTCTTGCGCTTGGGCGGCTCGTTTTTCAGGTCATCCGGGTGCACCATCACGCAAGAGAGGTAGGGCCGCACATCGTTCGCGTCGTCCTTGTTGCGGCTCGGTACATCGGTCGCGCCAGCCGCATGCAACCTGAGCTTCTTCTTCCTCGTGCCTGCTCCCGCCGCACCGCCCACGGCCCCTTCCCGGAGCGCGGCCGGCTTCAGCACGTAGCCCTCGGTGCCGCTGAACAGGGCCTCGTTGATTTGCATGCTGGCGTCGAACTTTTGCCAGTTCATGGCGCAGATCTGCGCCCCGATGCCCCAGAACGGCACGGGCTTGAGGTTGTTGGACGAGATGCGTGTGCCCTTGGGGTACACGCGCATCAGGTGCTTGGAATTGTGCGTCCCAATCCTGTGCCTGTGGCCGGGGAGGTGTTGGCGCAGACCCGACTCGGAGACGTTGATGAGGTGGTGGTGCGGCGCGTTGATCAGCTCGCCCGGATCGAACCACGAGTTGTTGCCCGGCTTGACCGACTGCGCGTACACGCCCAGCGCCGCCAGTTCCGGAATGATGGCTCCGTCTTCCTTGGAGTCTTTATCGTTCTTCGTCTTCTTCTTCTTTTTCTTGTACTCCTCGCGCGCCCGTTTCTCCTCTTCGTCTTCGGAGCTGTCGCTGCTGCTGTCACTAGAACTCGAAGAGTCACTGTCCGGGCGCTCGTCTTGCAGGTGGTGCTCCACTATCACCACCACTTTGCATCCCAAGTCTCTTAGACGAATATGCTTCGCCGCATCGTATAGGGTTCCTTCGTGGTCCTTCTCGACGGGCGCCCTCAGAAGACGGGGGCCGAGGACTTCGTGGAGGATCTCGACTAGCCTCTTTTGTCCGTACGCGTTGCAGTGGTTCTCCAGTGAGATGACGATGGGGGTAGGAGGGGGCCTCCTGTCCGGGCTGCCTCCGCCGTCTCCTCATCGACGGCGTCTCGGATGGCCTCGCACACGGTGCGGAAGGCGATGTTGGATACAAGTGTAAAGCCATGCGTGACTTTGGGCTCGTCTTTGTTATCGTCGTGGTCCCAGGCGTCGATCTCGACGCACCGTGAGCCCGCCCGCAGCGCCACCTTGTAGGCGTCCACATTCGAGGACCCGTACAGCTGGTGCGCCATCAGGTACGTGTTGTGGCTGGAGCTGATGAAGTAATCCTGCAGCGGAAAGGAGCGGTCCACAACCGACGCAGGCACGCGGATGTGGGACTTGGTCAGGAGCGATGCCAGCGCCGGAGTGTGCTCCTCCGAGTCGAAGCCCGCATCCCTCTCGTCAAGGACTTTTGGCCCACAAGGAAGGACTTGAGGGCATTGCTCACGCGCAAGGAATGTTTCTTGGCGTCAATAATCTGCGCCGAGTGGCCACCACCCGCCACGGCATCGAAGCTCATGTCATCTCCTACATCGTCCTCATCGCGATGCTTCCTGTGCTTGGAGAACGGATTCATGCCGCCGAGGCGGTTCGTCAGATTTTGAGTCTCTGACATTTTCGTAAATGCCGTCAGCTTCGACTTGCGACGACCTTTTTTTGTTTCTATTTTCTCGTTTTCTCCTTCTTTCTTATCTCCCTTTTGGGAGTTTTCCCTAAAGTCGTTGGAGTTGGAAGTAGTATTCCCGAAAGATAAGAAGCTGCCGAACGGGTGAGGTGATAATCGATAATAGAAGAAAGAATGTCACAACTACCCTTTTTTACTCGATTCGCTGAGCGGTCGCAAATTACGATCTCTCAAGTGTCAAAGACCGTCTTCTTTGAGCAATCAAGATCGAGACATGGTGCATTCGCCGTATTTATAGGGCTGAGGGAAGGAATGAAATGGATCCGATCCTTGATCGATTGATGACTTCATTGGGGGAGGTGGAACACAAGACCCCGCATCCAAACACTTTTTGGGGTGGCTAGGATGATGATGTGAGAGGGGTCAACCAATCGACAAGCTCAGCTTGGATGAGCACAGCGGCGTCAGCTAGGCATCTCGGCATGCATGCGAACTAGCTTGGTTGAGAACCAATCGACGCAGAAGCCCATCATCCTGGGCAGGGACTCGATTTTGACCAAAGGAAGCGGCATCATCTTTGCGCGCGCCCAGCCCCAGACCGAGCACCACTCCCCGTTGGCGATTTCCATGACAGGCCGACCAGTATCTACCTACGATGCAAGTTCAGTCGAGAACTACAACTACTTTGGAGACAGTACATATAGTACTCAAATCTGAATCACCTCGTGCGGCTAATTGTCGCCCCACGGGAGCGCGATGGGACATTGAAGGAAAGGTAACGAGCCAAGTCTTGGGACTCCGCCGTTGTGATGAAGCCGCACTCCCCACAAATTGTTCCGCCCACGACGAACGTAGAGCCAAACGCTCCTGCTTTCAATCCAGGGCTTTGGAAAGCCCCTGGACCAGAAAGGAAGAGGTTAACTGCACACAACGTAGATCCATAGCGCGGCGGTTGAGCCACAGAATACAGTAGCGCTCAGTAGCACGATCTGGTGTAGATGAGCCTCTAGCTTGCAGTCCTAATCACCGCCTTTCTCGGTGGCGGGCCATCAGTTCATCAGCCACGCAAGTCTGACGCTAACAAAGAGACCCAGCTGAAGCAAGGAACAAGACAAGTCGTGGACGAAAGTCAGGGTGCGCCTGCCGGCCTGCCTGTCAGGCTATCCAATCATGGGATGGAACACGCGTCCAGCCCTTGGATTCTTCTTTGAGGCCTTCCTGTATCACCTTGCATGATGGAAGGAATTTGCGATAAATGACAGACGAGGCAGTAATGTGTCGAGCTTGCAGTGAAGTTCGCGCGACCCAAGAGCCCTTCAAAGAAATCCTCCTTTAGCAATACACGTGAATTAGAAACCGTAGCTCATTACCTCGGTACAGGCAAACGCTCGAATATCTGACCCCTGAACGGAGAATTCGGTGGGAAAACAAGGCCAGCGCCGAGGGCCAAAACTCACGAAGCGAGAGCCGCGGGGCTGGTACGCTTCTTTGGCGAGGGGGCAGCCAGGTCTTCTCTTGTGTCACCCGTTTTGTTCCCCGTTCCCCTCTTTCGGGGAGGGGCGCTTTTCTAGCGTAGGGATGCTACGGGGGTTCAAGGGTCTCGGCTCGGAAACCCGGCGCAAGTAAGCTTGCTAGCCAAGCTCGCCCAGAGGTGGAGGGTGGGGTAACCGCTTGATGTGGGAGGAGAGCTTGCAGGTGATGATGCGTCCCCTAGCTCGGCGATTCCGAGGGTGTAGTTAAATCGCGAGATATCAATCGGCGCGCTGCTTTGGGGAAGAAAAAGGCTCGGGGAGAACCCAAGGCTCCTCTTCGTCAGGGTTTCTAGCATGGCGGGTGAGCTCGAAGCATCGTCGCACCGTTTTGCTGATACCATTCGACTTTGAATTTTCCCTCCATCCTGTCTCACTGGCTGCGGTTGCATCTTGCTGACTCCTTCCTGCCCCCACAAACTCGCGCCAGCAAGAGATTCGGCTTTCTTCGTCTGACCTGAATCAAAAGATCCATTCCTACAAACCCGAAGAGGAAGAATGAGAGAGAAGGATGGGAGGGAAAGAAAAACAAACGTCAGAAGAAAAGGTAAAATTGTCAATCACAGACGTACCTATCAACCACTTTTGCACTCAGACGGGAAAACGAAGTTTCTCCAAATGTGCCTGCTCCGCCTAAACTCTCGCCATGGCTAAATCCATCAAGTCTTTGTAGCAACGAGAATAATTGTCACTTTTGTCAAGTCAGACTCTTTCCCTAGGCCAAAAGCTGGACATGCTTCCCTTGCGTCTCTCGAGCCAGAATCGGCGGAGGACCATACCTCACTTCCTTGCCCTTCTAACTGAGCGCATCTCGTCTGTGCCTGGTCCAGTATGGATCATCCGCATCCTCGAGATCGCTCGGCCTGACCAAGCGGGAACCCTCATCACCATATTCCGTAGGTACCTTGGGTTCCCGGTCATCGCGCCACCAATCAATCATATAAGCCAGACGGCCGAGCCTTCCTTACAAGGCGTGCCTATTTCCCGTAGATTGACGTGAAGGATGCGGAGAGGATTTCGCTCCCCGCAAGCTGGGCCACGGCTTTTAGATAAGAACCGGCTGGAGATGCCCTCGCCTCTTCCTAGCTTCTTCCTCGCAACAAGCCTGCGGGACAACTACGAGGAAAACAGTAGAAATGGAGCTTCTACGCGCGACGCATCCCCGAAGCCTGCTGGCCTGTTTGCTACTGTCCCTGGCTTTTCAGTGCCATGTCTCGCCTCCCGGGGCCCTAGCGCATACGGAGCGCCGCGAGGAGCAGGCGATAGGTGCGGACGTCGTCATCATCAACGGACGAGTTCACACAATGGACACGAACAACAACCTCGCCAGCGCTGTGGCGATCAAGGACGGCAAGTTCGTCTATGTTGGTGCCGAGGGCGAGGAGCTTCCGCTCTTTATCGGGGAGCCCCGCATTATCGACGTCGGCGGAAGACTGGTCTTCCCAGGCATCATCGATAGCCACAATCATATTGTTCTCATGGGTAACCGGCCTGGACACCACACGCCTCTAGAGAACGCTTACTCCGTAGCCGATGTGCAGGAGACATACGAAGCCCGCGCCCGGGACCTTCCTGTCGGAGAGTTTGTCACGACTATTGGAGGTTTTCACATAAACCAGTTTGCCGAAAACAGACTGCCCACCCTACAAGAGTTAGACGAGGCAGCTCCGGAGCACCCCGTTTACATTTCCCAGAGCTTCTTTGGCCCCAGTATTACAAACACTCTAGGCAAGGCATTCTTCGAGGCCGCGGACCCCCGTGACTGTGGGCGCCGACGGCTCCATCGCCGAAGGCATCTTTGGTTCTACAGATAGCGAGACGGGCAAAGCCCTGTTTGCCCTTCGCGAACTACACGGCTTCGAGGATCGCAAACGGGGAGTCAAGGATGCCATGGCGTATGCTGCATCGCTCGGCGTCACCACACACCTTGACCAAGGAGCCTTTCCCGCCAGTCATTCCCCGCTGATGGCGCTGGGCACGAGGATAACTACGAAATGCACAAGCCTTGGCTCGCGGTATACGACGAAGGCGAAGGCAGTGTGCGTCTACGCATCAACTATTTGCATTTTGACGACTCTCTCGATCTCCCGTCTCTTGAACAGCGCTTGAAAAATTCGTACAAATTCTTTGGCAACGATATGGTTCGTACTGGTGGGATCGGCGAGTTCATCTCCGCAAATCAAACCGGAGGTCCCCTTTTCGACGAGGCTGCACGGCGAATCGCTCAGGCCGGATGGAGGGTCGAGGTTCATTCGCTCACAAGCACCGATTTCAAGACCGAGATCGAGGCGTTCGAGGCTGTCAATACCGAACATAGTATCCAGGAGCTACGCTGGGTTGTCGCGCATGTTCCCCTCATCACCGATGAGTATCTTGAGCGGCTCAAGGCTATTGGCGGCGGAGTTACCCTCACGGGCTACCTCTATCTCGCCGGGCGAGGCCCCAAGGCCGGGCCACCTTTCAGAGCTATCCTTGATAGCGGGATCCCCGTAGGCATGAGCTCGGATGGTATGCAAATCGCCCCTATGAACCCGTGGGTGCACGCGTACTATGCCACGACAGGCAAGAACGCCTTAGGGGAACTCATTAACGAAGGCCAGCAAATCACTCGCCAGGAGCTTCTCGAGCTGTACACTAGCAAGAACCAGTGGTTCCTCGGAGGCCCCGACGAGAAGCTTCTCGGTGCAATCGAAGTCGGCCGCCTAGGAGATTTGATCGTACTGAACGATGACTATTTCTTTGTTGAGGATGAGGAGCTCAAGAAGCTTCGGTCGGTTTTGACAATTGTTGGTGGAAATATTGTACACAGTACAGGGAAGTTGGTGATGCCTAGTACTGTATTTGTAATGGTAGTGGTAATTAGGGAGAACTAGCCCACATCAATACTTCAAATTCTATACCTTCAATTTCGCAACAGGCCACCTGAGTCAAGGAGTCGGCTAGCGATGAAGGAAGCGTAAAAACTGCCGTAGTAGAGGGCGACTAATTCCACCGCCCCCAAAAGTATGCCTTGAGAGGTAATGGGCCAGAAGACAGAGAGAAAAATTGATTCTGTGTTTGACGGCAAGATAGACCACGGATAAAGGTGGAAGAGTCAGGCCTGTGGTCGCGAGATTTATTACAAGCTTCAATCAATCCAGCTCAAAATGAGGGGAGGGAGGACGTAATGGAAGAGGGAGAAAACGGAATGGGCTGCATTCCGCACCAAACCCAACAGGGTAATCGTTTTCTTCCTTGAGCTTGGCTCCTTCCTCCCGCCGCACAGGTGACTTTGGTACTTCGTACACACTTGTACATGCTTCCAACGGACCTCGACGACGCAAGGCCCGTTCCCCACTTTAAAGGGTCCCGCGCGCCAGTCATCGACTGTCATACTTTCTCGAAGGCTTCTTGTCCGGGGCGGGCCATGTGACAACTCTCTGATTATGTAAGGTATCTGGACCGCACCCGAGATCGAGCAGGACGCAATCCCAACAAGCTGATCGGGGCCTTGGGACGCGTTGCTGACCACGTCGGGGGTCCGGCAACAAGTGATTTGGCATAATCTTGTAAGGCTGGCTTGTGAACTTGATAGAATGGAGTTTTGGCCTCCGGAGCGCGGCGGACGACCTCCGGGGGTCGATATAGACATCGCGCCGCCAAACACAGCCGCGCCCTACCAGGAGCGCAGCGGAGGGTGACGCCGCGCCGGCGCCGCAAATGGCCGATGTGTTCGGTTTAAACTATGTATATCGGGGTATACGAGGCCTTAAAGGCATTTGAAGGTGTTTTGGGAGCCATGGCCTCGAGTTTGGGTGCGCGGGAGTGAGCCGGCTGTGGCCAGGCAATGGTCGGGCAAGCGCGACTCCTCACCAGACTTTGGGGGCCTAGGTGAGAAGCACGATATCTCGCCCCACGCGGCAGATTTTGCCTCAAAAAAGGATTAGTAGTAAGAAATGCATTGGGATAATAGGGAGGAGAGAAGGAAAATCGGCTCCGGGCACAAAGTCACACATGCCGGGAGGCTCAAGGTAGGACCAGGAAGTAGCTAGCTTGCGCGTCGCGACGGCAGGTACCCTCTCCCTCCCAGCCAGCCGGCTTTATAGCAAAACCCCAGTCCTCAATTGAAAAACTAGATATTCACAATCTAAGACTACCTCGGAATCTAAAAATCTAGTTTTTATTAGAGAAGAGGTCGTGGACCCGAGAAAAGAGGCTTCAAGTTTGATGGGAGACATGCCGGCATTCACGCAGTCCGGAAGCCTTGGCGTGGGTCGGCGCACATCACGAAATCGTGTTTCTATGACGCTGTTAGGGTTTTCATGTTAATAAGATTTGCTTAAATCTTTGATATAAAATTGAGACTCCGTACCAAGGCCACAGATTTACGATTTGGCCAAAATTTGGGCAGTTGGTGCCGTTTCGCGTGAGCGAGGGTGGCATGGGCTCATCGTCGCCTCCCCGCCAACGCGAGGCGGCGATAACATCACTTATACAGTCCGAGCAAACCGCGCCCGTTTTTGACGAAATAAATTCGGAAATGTGTAATATCATTTGTTTCCTCGTAGAAAAAGCCATAAAAATGAATTTTGGGGCTGTGTGGCCTGTAGCGCGCCGTCGCAGATGGAGGGTGGTGATGTCTGGATAGCTTCATGTTTTGATCGCCAGACGCGAAAGCTGGCGACCGGCGCAAAATGGGCGGCGCCACTTGAGCGACTGATATCGGCCGAAAAAAGCGAGAGAATAATTTCTGGCTATTACGAACAGATGCAGGAATTAATTTTACACAAATCAAAATTCTATTCTACGCTTTTAAAAATGGCAACGAGGAATGGCTACGAATCCGACCGGCGTGGTGGTGGTGGAAATGGTTGAGCGGGCAAAGGGGGAGAAAAAGAGGCAAAAAGTGGGTGGATGTTGGGAAAGCGGGAAGCGACGGGCATCATTCGGGTCGGAAGGGCGGACAACAACGGGGATGGGTTGGGATGGGGAGCAAGCCGGGTGAAACGAGAAATGACACATGGCACCACAATGCAAGGGGCTTTCGGGAATGGGAATGAAAGAAACGAGAGTTGTCGGGGACAGAAAAGACGCAAAAGTCGCGGGGGTGGTGGGTTGATTGGAAAAATCGTGCCAGCTCCGTCCGGGCTCTCCAGGTTGGGCGGGGAGAAATGACAAGATGGATGCTGGTGGTGACTTGGAGGCGGAAATGGCGCTGCCTCTCGACGGGTGTGTTGTTGGACTGACTAGACGATGGGTATGTGGACCAATCAGAAAATCGGGGGCGACCGGGTATGATGCGAGACGAGGAGCCGCTCGTCGAGAGGATAGAAGCGAACATCAAATGGCAAGAATGGACGACAGACGAACGGAGCAACCTTCAAGGTCACGAGGCGACGACGATGAGTGAGGCCAGAAAGAGCCAGGAAGGGCGGGGGAGAGAAGGGAATTTGATGAGAGAGCAGTGGGGGAGAGTGGGTGGAAGGGAAATGAGCATGCGCCAGCACACTTGATGCGATCAATTCCTCTCATTTCGTGCAAGCAGAAACGGGGACGGAAGGCCCATCAAAGATGTACGGCCCTGTCTCTATTGAACTCGCGGCAATCGTGGCGGCGACGTCACAGCATGAGGCTTGTTCCCACCCGAATTGCTCTCAGCTTTCGCCCAAGCAGGTGTTTTTCTTTTTCTTTTTCTGAAAGGAAGAATAGAGCGAAAAAGAGCAAGGGATGGGAAATTGGCATGGCCGCGTTGATGGATCATGGTGTCTACAGTGGTCTCAGTCGGGGTGCTCGGTCCAACTTTTCGTGCTGTTCTACCCTCCCTTCGCAGCCGCCACCCTTTGGAAACATTGAGCGAAGCGCGGATAGCTGGAGGGTGCGGTCGCCGAAAACCTGAATAGAATCATTGTGAAGCTTGATTGACTTGAAAGGAGCTTCAACAAAGCCAACTAAATAAAGGCTCAGGGCTTTTCGAGGCAAGATTGATAGGACCTGAGCTGCGCACCTGGCGATGGGCTTGCTCAAAACACAAATCAACCCCAGACACAGCTTAAAGAGCTGGCATTGGAATGGAGCCAGCACGCAATTATGGCTCGAGCTTCTACAGACGCGTTTCCATTCTCGCACACCTCACAAAGATTGAGGCCTAACGCCTCGTAAATCTTACAGCGGTTCAAAAGAAACTAAGAATGAAATCGCAAGAGGAGCTCGACAAAGGCGGAGCGAGGGTAGCTCTATGGGTTTCCCTCGATCGAAGCTACAAGTGCGACGCGCGAAAAGAGAAGAGGGTTCCTGAACCGACGTGAAACAAATAGTCGGGATGAAGGGGGAAGCAAGAGGAAGGACACGGGCCGAGTCCGAATTCACGGAGACAAAAGAGAAGCGAAAGGGAAGAGAGAGGGGAAGGGGAAAAAGGAAAAAGAAGAAAGAGAAGGGGAGGGGAGGGGGAAGGGGAAGGGAACTGGTGTGCTCGAAGGGGGCCAGTGGATAAGGGATGTGGCCTGGATTCATTGATGGAGGGAAGAGACGGGTTTTTGGGCCGACGAGAATACCGTCGAGGAAAGGGGTGGGGGGCACGACCGAGGACAAGGGAAGAGGGAAAGGGAAAATGGACAAAACCCAAAAGAGGGCCAAGAGCGACTCAATAATGAGAATGTTAGCCCGTCTTGTCTTGGGGCGAGAATGAGGTAGGGTCAAGTGCGGCGGGTGTGAGTGGTTTGGGTGTGACTGGTGTTATTTTGATTTTATTTCCTGGGTCCCCGTTTTTTATTTTTTACTGATTGCGCACCTGGCGTTCGGCCCCGCTGGCGAATATAAACAAGCCCCATCCCTCCACGCGCCCGCCGCACCGCCTCCTCCCCTTCTTCTCTCCCTTCTGCTTCTCTTTATTGACAGAACCAACCGATCTCGCATTCTTCTCTCGAGTCCTTTAAACGCTAGTCTTTTCACAGATTACAAGCTTTTCCAAGCTTCTCTCACCTACATTTATTTAATTTTTCCTCGTTTGAAAAAACCCCCAAACCCTACCGAAACTTCGCAATGGCTCCCAAGGCCGCCGCCGCTACCACCACTGCCGCTGCTCCCAAGAGCAAGCCCAGCCATGGCACCTACCAGGACATGATCACCGACGCCATCGTCGCGGTATGTACATTCCGCGCGCACCAGAAGCGCGAAGCTTTCGGAGCTCTAGCCACGCCTGTCGCTTCCTTTTGTAAAACCAGCCACTAACGTGTCTTCTCTACCACAGCTCAAGGACCGCAATGGTTCCAGCCGACAGAAGCTCAAGCAGTATGTTCGCCAGAACAACAACATCGCCATCTCCCAGAACATGTTCGACTCTCTCTTCAACAAGGCCCTGAAGGCTGGTGTTGAGAAGGGTGTCTTCCAGCAGCCCAAGGGTAGGTTCCCGCGTCGCAATGCGATATGCTCCAAGTCACGAGCACTCTTATCTAACGCGTCTATCTCATAGGTCCCTCCGGTGGCACCAAGCTCGCCAAGAAGACCGCTAAGCCCGCTCCCAAGGAGAAGAAGGCCCCTGCCCCCAAGAAGGCCGCCGCTCCTAAGAAGGAGGGTGCCGCTAAGAAGGAGGCTGCCCCCAAGAAGGCTGCCGCTCCCAAGAAGGAGGCTGCTGCCAAGAAGGAGGCCGCTCCCAAGAAGGCTGCTGCCCCTAAGAAGGAGACTGCCGCTAAGAAGGAGGCCGCCCCCAAGAAGGCTGCTCCCAAGAAGGCTGCCGCCGAGAAGCCCGCCGCCGCCGACAAGGTCAAGACTGGTCGCGTCACCAAGAAGCCCGCTGCTCCCAAGAAGGCGGCGGCGCCCAAGGCTGCTACCGCTAAGGCGCCCGCCAAGGCCGCGCCGAAGAAGGCCGCCGCTGCCCCCAAGGCGTCCTAAAAGCGCACGCCTCTTCCCCCACTTCTTTAAAAAGAAATGATGGACGAGATGTTTTGATGCCTGCGTTCTTTTTGTGTTCCATCGCACCGGGTTGGCGTGCGTTTTCTTTTGGGTTTCTGTTCTATGATGACACGGCGTTTCGGTGGGCAGCTATTTCTTCCTGCTTTTATTTTTTCCAACATTGGCTTTCCAAGGTTCAACGGCAGACGCGTGGTGCAAGGGAATGGAGCGACCTCGGTCAGCTGATCCTTCCGAACTCCCCTTCTTTTTTTTTTTTTCTTTGCAACGCGGAATAAACCCCGCGCGAAACGGCAAGGCGCTTGGTATTGCCTCGTTCTCTCGAGCCCAGAAAATTCTCGCCCTTTTATCGATCTTGATTGCGCGACTCGACAATCTACCGAGTCGCACAGATCAGTTCTTATAATACGTTGCGGGGGTTGAGGAAGGCAGGCCAGGAACCGGGTCCCCGTCTTTTCAAGAGAAAAATCAGACGAGAATTTGGGTCGGCGCGAGGACATGGTTTTAGGAAACCGGAGGGAATGGGTGTGTTTTCTGTAATTATACCAGCGTATGTGTTGGAGTGGGCGAAGGATATGGAATTGCAAACTTTCTAAACTGCCTCTAAAAATTTCCCTGCGTGATCTCATGACCTGGAATGAGTGCTAATTCAGTGATGAACATTGCCTGTGCAAAGCAAACTCCCATCTTGCTGCGGCATGGGATGATCCGTGGTGACGCGCCTCGCTCGGTCGGGTGCTTTTTACCTCACGTTGTTTCCTTTGTTTATGTTCGAGGTCCCTGTTTAGGTAATAATTCTGAGGACCGAGGGACTGGTGCGCTTGGGGGAGCTCCCCGGTCCCAGTCTGTGCTTGGTAGCCCGCCGATAAGAGATAAAGGACGAGCTTCTGCTCTTGCAAGCAAGACAGCAGCTGGCCAAAACGGGCAAGTGCTATGACCACCTCACGGAGAGGCGGAGAGTGGGTCTGTCTCCAGGCCTGGTTGGGCTTTTGTTCCGGCGGGGGCCGGTTCGGTCAGCTTTGTTCGGTGAAGCCTCGACGAAGCAGCTGCTGTGGGGCCCAGCGCCAGAGTGTGTGTGTACGAAGTATATTTCTTTGTGCGGGGTCCACAGTTCGCTCTTTCGCAACAGCACTGTATTTCCGCGGCTAATTACCGTCGATCTAACGGTGGGCACGACCCTGGAGCCCTGGAGCCCAACCGACGGTGGAAGAGCACAGTGCCGACGGATTTGACGGATTGCTGGCAGCACGCAGCGTGCGTTTTCTCAGACAACTGCTGATGGTGGCCAGCCCTCGCATGCTAATGGACGTCGCCTAGCCCAAGCCAGGCCACCGTGGACGTGGCTGCACCAAAGCAGTCGCCATCGACGGACAGCCAACCAACCAACCCAAAGTGTGGCCCGAAATGCATCAAATCGCCAATCCCGCGCCTCTCCAGCTTTCTAGAAGACCGCCGCAAAAATTGCGTGGCACTCTTGCGTGCGTTGCGCTCCTTGCCGTGACTGACGTGGAACAATCGCCGCCATCGCTGGCCCCCAATCGTGATGCTCTTCGGGGCCCCTGCTTCCAACTGCCGGCCCAACGCAGCCCTGTTGGCTCTATCGGGAAAATACAAGGCCGTAACAGGCTCTGAAACATCATCAATGGACATTCTCCACACCTCCAGCTTCAGCTCAATCATGGTCCTTCAGCGAGTAACCCGGCCCAATTCCCCTTTTCAACATGGACAGCATGGACAGCAGCCATGTTGATCCCCTGTGTTGTTTTCTGCCAGGACAGGTTGAGATGGTGCTCTTGGGCGATAACAGAAGCGTGAAGGAAGAAGGTTGGCTCCTGCTGACGACGTTGAAGTCCCCCTCGTCTTCAGTAGCTTCTCGGCGAAACCGGCACCCGTCCCTCGTCACCCGGCGCAGGGTGTGGGCACCCACCGTCAAGCACTGGACCAACCTAGTCCCCACATCCATCGATCTCGTTCCGCCACAAGTGCTGTCGAGCAATTCGTCAAAACTTGACATTCACATGGTTGTGGTTCTCCCGCCTGGCCACCTCGCCACCACTGTCTAACAAAGAGAGCACCCTCGTGCGCACAGGTTGATGACGAATGACGGATGACAGTGCGTGCTATGGATAGGTTATAACTTGGGGAAGGGCCTGTCCCTCGCATGTGGCCGTTTCCCTATGAGACTCCAAAGGCAATCGCTACTCGTCTAATCTATCGGTGGTAGATCTGCCTGTTGGCAGACTTGCAAATCGGGCGGATGGACAAGCAGGAAGATCTGTTCCGTCAAAAGTGCCAGGTGCCGAGCCAAGCGCGTCACCTACCAAACTTCATCCGGTCTCTTCCCCCCTTCCCCCATCGTGCCGCCTCTTCATAAGCTGGTCGGTAGACCGAGATGAAACTACGTATTCTCACGCTGCAAATTAATCAACTCCAAATTGTGAACAGGACCCTAATCTGGGGAAATCGTTCTAGAGAATTGGCCACCTGTTTTGTGATCTCTGCACAGGCATGAACACTCGGCACTCTTTCCCCCTCAAAAGAATTACCAGGCTTTTTAACACCCACCCACCCCTCCCATCGCGCACCACAGGCTCAAGAGAGATGACGGAGCCCGGCTCAGGTCTCTTGTACGAATCAATCCTTCATTTCATTCATGTTTGCTCTGTCGCCGGTGACGGCTCCCCACATCTGCCTTGCCCCTTTCAACCTCCCCAAAAAGAGTTTTCTGGAAAACGGGAATTACCTGGAGAGGGGAGAGCAAGTCTATGGCCCCAAATATCGGCTGGCCGCCGGCCGCTGGTGTTTCGGCAGGGCCAAAGCCAGCGAGGATAAGCGTCGATCCACGGGATCCTGAAGGTACGGTTTGAAACGATCCCGTTCTACAAAAAGGCAAGCAGGGAAAGAGGAGACCGCCGACATAGGCCACCATACAACATAGGATGAAAAGCCCTCTCCGGTTTTATCAAGTTACGTGTACATGTTTGAAGAATCCCATTTAAATAACTACTCCCGAAGCCCCCACCACCACTTTGTGATTCTCCCGAACCTTGGCGTTTCGAGAACCCCACGATTCAGACTCTCTATCGCCAGGATATCGAGACCTTTCTATCTGTCCCACTGTCTCTCTTTTTCTGTCTTCAGGTTCCCTTTTTCCCCTCTTCTTTTTAACCTTGTATATCTTACCTTACGTCCTCCATCCTCTTTCATATCATGAAGTCGGCTTGGGCCCGACTCGTTGCTCTTGGCGCGGCGGTTGATGCCTGCTTGCTACCTTGGGAACTGGAAGGGCAAGCAGTCCCCGAGAACCTTAAGCGCCAAGTTGGGACCGTACCGACCCCTATAGGGGAGGGCAACCGATGGGAGAATGGCGATATACCCCGCGGTCTTGGAACACAGCCGCGGAACTCCAGCATCGACACCATCATGTCTACTACCGAGATCCGTTCAGCGGTCGAAGCCCTCATCAAAGAGTTCGAGCTCGAGCTTATCGAGACACCAGAGGAGACGCATGACGGCCAGATCATGTTCGGCGCCAAGGTTGGCCAGGCAGGGTGTAACGGCTCTTACCGCACGTTGCTCACGGCAGGCATTCATGCGCGCGAGCGAGGCGGGCCCGACAATCTCGTGTACTTCATCGCTGACCTACTCTGGGCAAGAAGGGAAGGCACAGGTGTGGCGTATGGAGGGAGGTCTTTCACCCCGGAAGAGGTAGATAAAGCGCTGCAAGCAGGCATCATCTTCATGCCCATGTTGAACCCCGACGGCATCGCGCACGATCAGGCCGAGGGAGACTGCTGGCGAAAAAACCGAAACCCAGACGGGCCGGTCGATCTGAACCGCAACTTTGACATACTGTGGGATTACAAGACCAAGTTTATCGAAGGAGTAGGCATCAGCGTGGCCTCGGATAACCCGACGCACGAAACCTACCACGGCGTCGAGCCGTTCTCGGAGCCCGAGTCGCGCAACGTAAAGTGGATCATGGAGGAATACCCCACGATCTCCTGGACGCTCGACATCCACTCCTTTGCCGGACTAGTGTTATACTCGTGGGGAGATGACTACAATCAAGCCAGCGACCCCGATATGAACCCGTTCAACCCAGCGTACGATGGCAAGCGTGGGCTCGCGGTGGACCAGCCCGGCCAGGAATACAGGGCATATATGCCGTTGGATGTATGGCGGAATGATAGCTTCGTCGCCTTGCGTGTTGCCGATGCTATGAACAGCGCTGTGGACGGACGACACGTTGAGGCCACGCAATCCGTGAGCTTATATCCGTCTTCGGGCTCGCTGGCCGACTGGATGTCGGCGCAACATGTCCTAAATGAGGACAACGGCGTCACCCACGGCTTCACCATTGAGTTTGGCAGGCAGGCCGGCGGGAGGTGCCCCTTTTACTCGGACGTCGGCGCTTTCAACGATAACATTCGCCAGATGGGCGCCGGCCTTATGGAGCTCCTGGTGGCCGCTGCAGATACAGGGCTCGGGGATCTAAGCTGCGATGCGGTCCCCTGAGGGCAGGGATCCTTAGCGCGGAAACCCAAGGTATGGGATCAACCGGGGATAAATCCAGCGCGCGCATGTCCCGGCCCTCCCAATGGTTGAGTTTAATTCTAGGGCTGGCAAGCTTCTTGGTGTGGTAGACGATGGGAGTAATCAGGGTTCTCTCGGAAGGGTTTCTGTAGTTGTCCAGGGCATCGCATTTCCAAATACACAGGTCCGCAAAGGAGCATTTTTGATAGCCAATTGCCAACCCACTAATCTGCGCCATACCCTGGATGACATCAAATGAGTTTTACGGCAGGCATGTTCATGCGCCTGTTATGAAAGACCAGCCTTTCGTGACAGCGCGGCTTCACCTGCGCAAAACCCACACTTCCTGAGCCGATCGGAAAGTGACGATCCGATCCAACATCTAGTAATGGAGGATTGGTGGGCTCAGAGTTGCCTAGGCCCATCTAATAAACAAGTCTAACAATGCCATCGGGATCTCCAAGGAGGATCTCAAGTAAAGCTTTGGTCCTGTGCCGAGGCACGACCAGTACAAGTAGGCTTAGGCACCGATTTTACTGGAGAACAAGGGCTTGGTGTTCGTGAAGCAGAATCCGACCCATCGCGGCCGTTGAGCCACCCAAAGCAATGATAATGCAATCTATATCAGGTTTCGCCTCCTTTCTGAAACGGCCGCCTCAGCACAAGGGATGAAGTCAATCGGTGATACCTTCTACAACGCCAGCGGGGCCAAGGGAGCCCGGAGCTAAGGGCCTGACACAGCGGCCGCACAGACCACAAGCTACGTAAGTGCGCGCTCGTCAATTGATGGATTTCAGTGGACAAATGTCATTGCCTAGCGGGCCTGCTTGATGATATGACATGCAGCCGAGGTGAGGGACTCAGTCGTGCTGACTGATGAAGCTGGCCAGAGCCACAAGTGGCCCGGTTCACCCCCAGCAAAAGCATCTGCCTGGCGGCTGACGAAACCCTGCGGCTGCGGGGAAGGCAGGACCAACGGCGCCGTCAATTGCTCAATCCGCAACAGTCACGGGCTGGCGAAACTACGAACACCGAATACCTCTTCAGCTCGTCAGGAACCAACAACTGCCTCTCCTCCCAACGTCTGAGCCCGCCAGTCCCACACCACACACACACACAACACACACCACCGCCCTCTACCTCTCCCAAGTCAATCAATCCCAATCACCTCGGCCAACACATTGATTTCGGCGTCCTTGACTCCAAGTTTAGTAGCTTTTGGGTCAGACCTATCATGGAACCATTATAGCTCTTTGATTTCCCCTGCCCCGCCCGTAACCACCCCACTTGCTTCACACGATTCTTTGCGTCCCTCCCTACCTGCGCGCGCTCTCCGCCATATCCTCTCTCCACCCTGCCACCTTGTCCCGCATCGACGCCGGTAATTTTTCTACAATGTCCTATAATCCGTTTCGCAGAACGGGCAGTGTTCCTTCCGCCGACACCGCGCCCAACCGGCCCTTTGTTTCGACGTCAGCAACCCACATCTTCGATGACGATGCCGTCGCTCCCGACCGTTCGACCGCTAGCGCAATTGCTGCTCCAGGCCCCCACGAGCCTCCAAAGACCCGGACGAAACCCGTAAAACGAGTCCGCGTTCAAACCCCGCCCCCGCGATCTCCCGACACAGAACCCGACACTCCCTCCTTCATCGACCGCGCTGTGGAAGAGCAGCTGAGATTGCAGTCGGACCCTTTCGGTAGCTCCGCTAGGGAACTCGACACCAACGATGACGACTCTCCGGAGCAGCCGGGAGCGGTCCCCACAACCCCTTCAGTCGGACCCTCCACGATATAGAACACAATCATAACCCGCCGGCGCCCCCAGCCGCTACCGCCCCTCTTCAGCTCCGGGAAAAGCGGCTCTCGATGTGGCCGCGTTCAGTAGACTTCTCCTAACGGGCCAATCAACTAGTAACTTACCTCCAACCAATGCCAATAATACACCTCATACCACTACCACTACCCCCATTGCCTCTACTATTACTACAACCACTACCACTACTACTCCGCCAAAACAACCAGAGTACCCAGGACCGGAATCGCCGTCGATACGCCAGCACCCCACCCGGCAATCTATAACAGAGATCACGACCGAACCAGCTTCATCAGAAAGCCCTCGATCATCGCAGGAGCTGGATTCGAGCGAACGCCCCGTGATACCTCTGCCCTCGCCAGCTGTCCCAACGACCAAGAAGAAGCCTCCTCCCCAAGTTCCCGGCACGGAAAGCTCATCAAACTCGAGCTTGGGGTGGACGGTGCCAAGGGCCCTTTAGTCCACCACCGTTGGCAAGAGTCCCCTCAGACCCTAACAAACCTCTCCCACCTGCGCCCATGCGACGGCCTGGCGAGGACGATAGCGAATCCGTCTTTGATAGGGAGGCCGCAGGAAAGATTCCGGAAAGCTCGGAGCCATCCAGCCCGATCACCACCCACGAAAGCCACCCGGTGGCGAGGAAACCTACCCCCGCCGCCCCTCCGCCCCGGCGCAAACGACCAGAAAGCGTCATCCAAGACCGCCACGGGAGCGCCAGCACTGCGGCTACCCACACGGTACCTGAGCTACGTCGCAAAAACTCGGCAGAATCAACCCGCTCGCGCTCCGAAAGCATTCGCTCAATCGCTCCCGCCCCGCCACCTTCGCGCCGACCGACGGTGAGCCATAGGCCTACAGGCTCCAATGTGTCCCTATCGACACAACCCTTCCCTTCCCCGCCTCTGCCATCACCCCATATCGCGATGCTGGATGCGACGCACTACCCTACTAGCCCCCAGCCTATCGCCAGTCCCTCGTCGGTCGGAGGCATGTCGGGCACAAAGGTGGCGCCACCCCCGCCGCCAACGAGGGCCGCCTCAACAAGACGACAGTCAAGCACGAGCAGTATCGAGGCAGTTTCGAGGCGTACAACCCCCGTACCCCCGCCTCCTCCTCGTCGGACCCGCGGTGGCAGTCGCGGCAGTGTTGACCTCGCGCCGAGTAATGTGAGAGTTGTTAGCGGAGGGGAAGGCGCCCGTAGCCCTCATGCACCAGTAGAAACTCTTCAAGAGGTAGACGAAGGCTTCGGCGCTGCCACGGCTGATGCGCCGGCCCCTCCTGACGATGGCCAGGCAGGCGCTATTCTCGCTGATCTTGACGCATTGCAACGTGAGGTGGAGGCACTACAGCAGCAATACGCTTCAGCCCATGGTGGCAAGTGACGGAGGAGAAAAGAGCTGTTTTGGGCCGTTGAATGGTTGAGGGTTTTACGCGTCACTAGGCTGTAATAGATTTGAAACGGAGTTAGGCCATTGTTGTATATATCAAAATTCGGATGGAAATCACATGCCAATTGCCAGCAAGAAACTTGGAACCGGCCGGCGCCTCGTTCTCCCACCACCTTTGAATCATTTCCGTAGTGCAACCCAACCCCATGCGGACTATAAACTGTAGGACCACATAAGCCAGCTGAGGCCTGCCTCAGTGTCGCTCAGCCCCAGGCCGTGCCTTGTTCGAGCTCGTACTATCACGGTCATTTTCTCAGCAAAAGACACGATTTCCGGCGTAGCCGCCTCTGAGAGGGGTGGAGGTGTTATCCAACTCTTTTGCTTTTCGTGAGCTCTCACCACATTTCGATGCGGCAAGCCAGCTATCAGGGTCTTTCTGTGGCTCCGACAGGGCGAGCCCACTAACATCACAAACCTTCTCCGCCAGAAACGAAGCTTGCTCCTCTTCTAAGGGAAGGAGAGCACCTGGGACATGATTCACGGTCTCAATGATTAGGTTTATCAACTTGTTTTCGTATTATCGATGGTGACGTTTAGGATGTTAAAGCTCAAGACAATCGCTACATGCATTTTGGGTCAGAAGTCATGGAATAAACCGAGTCAATCAAGGATGTTTTTGTCGAAAACGGCATCGTTCATCCCGATCCTGGAGTACTTGGTGCGGGAGGACCTAAGGTCTTTGGAAGGGATTGAGGACCTAGAAGCACTTTAGCGTTTCTCTCCCGTCTTTAGCTGAGGCTCGATCGGGCCCTCCTCTCCCCGAGAGCTTTGCTTGTGTTAGCGGGCTTCCCGACTCAGAATAATTGCGTGCTCTTCGAATCGACGCCAACGTGTCAGTATTCACCGGTGCGATAACATCCTATGCAACTGTTACCGACGGCTAGAACAGTCGGCCGCATCCTCGCGCTGTTCCCTCCGTTTTTCCCCCATGCTAGCGGCTCTCGGGCATTGCTTGGAACCTGTGTCTATGTCCTAGACGAGATACTCCTCTCGGTCGCCTGAGGTTCCAAAGAGATCCTAGATGGTTTCCGCACCACACTTGACTTTTCTTGGGAGTTACCATCTTAAAGCTATACACGTAGTACCAATAGGAGTGCCGAGCCCGAGGCGAGACATTGCGTGTAGTTCAGCGCAAATTAACGGTTCCCAGCGAGTCCTCATGGCGGACGAAGTCCCTAGCCCACGATCCCTTCAACACGCCTTGGCTCTTTGGTCAAAATGAACAAGGTAAAAGCGGAAAATAGCATCATAGACATGGATCCGGGAACATTGCCCAGTTACTCTATCAATCATCCCAAGGTAGAATCTCCAAGTTGAGAAAAGAACGTTGAGGAAAATACGGAGAAATGGCTCCAAACAAGGATGCACCCCTCTATGCTATCCGCCATGCCCAAATCTCCATTCCGAGTGCCGCCCTGACCGACGTGAGACGAGGCCAAGCGCTGTAGCTATCTGAAAGCGGACATATTTTCCGGGCCCCGTTTTGCGGGTGGTGGGGTTTGAAGTAGTTGGCGAGCCCTACCTAATTGACCATGGGGAGTTCTGGGGGACTGATTGAGGACTGAGGGTCACTAAGAGCTCTCTAGTGCAGCTCGTGTGGCTCTGAGTGTTCCATTGCAAGGAATCACGGCGCTTGCCAGCGTCGAGAATCCTAGACCGTCACAAAGTGCATATGAACCACATAGTCAAGAATATCAGCTTTTGGAGTGAGCGAGCGAAGACGGAGCGCGCTCTGCAAGGCAGTGGATGCGTTGGCTGCAAGTGGGCACGGGATCAATGATAGATGTGATTTTCCTGCCCGTCCTATCTTGTCAAAATGCTGCCCCCATTTTTTTCAATAACCCCCACTCGCCTAGTCCCAGTCCTAATAGTCCCAGTCCCAGTCCCAGTCCCTATTGCTGGCTGAAACGTAAGGAAACCCCGCAAAACCGAAAGCCAAGAAGCGCCCTTCGCGCCCGCCCCAAAAATGACCCAGCCAATGTTCATATCTAAAAAGTTTAAAAGAGGTGTCGGTGAAACTAGGTGTGTGCGTTCGTCCCACTTGCTCCTTTGGAAACGTTGCCCATCCCACATCATCCTTTTCTTGTCTGGCTACGTCCAGCTTAGCAGACTCTCGTAGTAGCTCCGCTATCAACGTCGTAGATCCACCCTGTGATTTCGATATCTCTAGGAACGAGGCTCGAGGTTTTGAGGAGCTTGACGTCTTCCTTGACACCATGGGTAATGCCGCCGCCCACGGGGAGGAAGTCGATCATGTTTCGTGTCTTCAGCTCACCAATGGCCTCAATACTACAATTTTGAAAGGAAAGTAACGTGTTAGCCCGCACGTCTCCGCTTCTCCTCGTCGACCCTCAACTTACCCGAGGTTCTTGAGAACGGTGGCGTGGACCATCTCGTTGGGGAGGCCGTCCATTCCGCACTTTGTGTGCTTGATAATGGCCACTTCTCGAGTGCCAAGAAGCTGTTGGGAGATGACAATGCTTCGAAGCGCGTCGGCAGCAGAACCACCGGCCTAGATAATCAAGGTATTGTATTAACACAGGGTGCATGTCCTTGCCCGGGCCATTTGTCTCTTGGGATATGTGCTAATCAAGGCGAGGTAGGACTTACATTGCGAATGACGTGAGCCTCGCCAGGGCCGATGCCAAAAGCGGCGTGGGTGTCGATTCGTGCGTCCATGCAGGTGACAAAGATGAAGTGCCTCGAGGGTGGCGACTTCAAGCCACCATTCTTAAAAGTGCCAGAATAACGTTCAGACGCCTTGGCGATGTGGTCCTTGAGAGTACTCATTGTTCAGGATGTGAGATGTGGGAGACGGGACAGTGGGCGTCTTCGGGAGAGTATGGTTCTTGGTATCAGAGAAAATAAAAATGAGGGTAAGTTTGGCGGTTGGGGAATCTCAAGTATTTATCACAGCGTCAGCTGGAGCACTGCTCGTAAAGGGATAAAAGGACAAGTCTGAGGAGGTGAGGAGGGGCAGGGAACGGAAGACCACAGGACTAATAAGGGCAGAGGACGGACGAGCAACAAGATATGTAGGCTTCGGAAAAATGCATGGTGGAATCAGCACCGGGGGTTATGAGGGATTTAAGCAAGTTGCCATGTGAAGAAACCCCTTCGTAGGGGAAAGGGCTATTCACTCTCGTGGCCCCCTTGCCACGCTATGTAGGCCGTATGCGGACGGCAGGTGCGAGGCAGGGGAGGCGACATCATGGCAAGTAGCGACCGCAGAAGTTGATTGACATCACTAGAGACAAGGGGGTCCGGTTTGGCCGGGATCGCGGGAAGGGATGCAAGCTGCAACAGCTTTGGGGACCGAGAGCTAGAGGGAGAACCGACAATAGTGGCAGCTATCAGCTCTTGGAGGCGGAGATCAACCATGTTTGGTGGGAGGACCAAATTCAAGATGGCTTGCTGAAACGGGAAGCGCATCACTGGGCTCCGACGGGTTAAGCTTCTGTTGGCTGCACGGCAGCAAGGGTAAGATTGGCGGATGAGCAGGAAATCGTCCCAAGAGTCGGCGAGAAACCCCGAATGTGCATCACAGTGCTACTTGTCATATTTTCCCGGTCCCCCCTTCGATAGTCTGCGGATTGACGTGTGCTCGGTTACGCCTTGGGGGCTGTTCGGGAACAGACTTTGTCGCAGAACTCCATCTATCGATGTTCATTGACCAGATGCGAGCCCGTCCGCCCACACAAACCACAAAAGCTCAACTCCTTTCTTTGATCTCAAAAAGCGTCTAGTGGGATGCCATATCCCTTCCTACCCGTACAGCGTAAGCTTTGGTAGGCGGAAAGAGCGGCAGAGTGAATGTCTTGTCGCCCTTGGCCCCCCTGCCCCCAAAAGGAACATTGAAGGGATAGATGTGAGATGGAGAACAATATGTTGAGCCCGCCCATCTCCATTTGCAATGAGCCACAATCACGCAACTTGAACTTCAAACGTCTTACGGACCAGTATTGGTCAAGCCAATCCACCCCTAGCGAGGTTGATGTTGCTATTTTAGAAAACTTGACCTGAATGATCACCTATCTCGCCCGGCCATGGGTGGGAAACGAGCCCCAGTCAGGGTCATTCTCAGGGCAAAGAGCGACTGGCTGAATGCCTTGCACCGCGATAACGCCGCCCACCTCCCCTCCCCTTCCCCAGTCCGTCTTGACCTTGACCCCAAAGTCCGATCCGATACCACATACCACGTCAGCTTTCGCATTTGCCCTGGCCCTTAACCCTGGCACTCACGCACGCTCGCACCCTCCGTTTAGCGTGAGGAGGGCGGATTGAAGATTCCGCGTGGAGACCTTGCTGTCGCACAACGGTTGAGTCGTCTCTTGAAGGTAGGCAATGGAAAGTGCGTCCAAGGAGATCCACTTGATGCCAAGACCCGACCGGTGGGGTCCTCCCAATCGCTCCTGCTCGACCCTGCTCGCCAATCAAACAGAACCCGTGTTAGAGTGCGAGTGGTTGGCCTTGATAAGCGGGCTGCTGAGTGCACGGGCTGGAGGGAACTCCTGGGGCAAAACCCCACCTGAATGCCGAAACCCTTTCTCGAAAAAGTTCGCGGGACCAGGGACCTCCTGCTCTGCATCGATCCTATCCCTTTCCTAGCCGGGCCGTTTGCGCTACGATGGCTCCTTCTCCTCAGGAGCAACCGATGACAAGGTAGTATCCATTAGTAGCTTTTTTGGCACGTCCCTGCCTTGCATCCATGTGATCAAAGGTCCCTGTTACTGCCTGCAATGAGACAAATGGACACTTCATCCCCGGTACTCGAGAAAAGGAGAAAGAGCCTCTCCTCTCTTTAGAAAAAAACAAGAAAGGCTTCGATAGACTCGTCTCAATACTTCCGTTTTTAGTTTTCTAACCCTCCCTTGCCGACAAGGGACACGCCAGAGGGATTATTACAAGCAGTGGGTGCGTGAATTTATAATAAGCTGCATTTTCATCTTTCGATCGATAATGTGAGGTCATACAAACGGCTGACACCGAGCCCTCATTTCAGCTCAGCCAGCATGCCGTTCGGTCCATGAATGCGGTAACATCACCCCACCACCCCTCCTATACCGCCCAGCGTTTGTCAAGGGACCTCTGGATACAGTGTTGACGACTTCACACCATATTGTTGTGGAGGGCAAGCCAACAGAAACTCGGCCCCAGGGAGAGTGTGGCCCCACCACGCCATTCAGAAGATTGATGGGAGAGGACTGCGAGTACGAGGGAAAGGGGGATAAAAACAAGAAAGGAATAAGACGAACAAAAAGAACAAAAGAACAAAAAGGAACCATGAAAAAGGCGGGTGATTTCCTCTTCCTGCACCTATAATCATCCAGGCTCAACATCTTTTCTATGTACGGAATGAGAAATATACACATGAAAAATAGACACGACCCCTGCTAAATTATCCCTGCCTTCCTCCAACACAAGGGTCCCTCATTTCTTACTCAACGAACTTTGTCTCGGGGGTCCAAGGTAACTCGACTTGACCCCGCCCTGCGTGTTCAATACAATCTTTTCGAGATAGACCTCTGGCGAGTTGGCCGCCCACCTTAGAGTGTGCTTTCCGGCCTCAAGGGAGCCGAGTTCGACCTTTTTCGTCCAAACTTGGTCTGCGACGTGGTCTATCCACTCAGGGGGATGTCACCAGCGTAAGGGTTGGTGATGTAGTCGCCTAGCACACGGGTAAAGTTTGAGGGTGCTTCGCCCACAGTGAGGAGAACTCCATCCGCAACTTAGGGTCGGTATCAAGACATCCGTTGATATACACCGTCGCGTCCACCGCCTCCGCGTCGGAGAAGAGATAGATGTCATACTCTACCCATGCCGAGGTCGCAGCATTTTCTACCTCGCGGGCATCGGCAAACGGGCGCAGAGCAATAGACCCCGACTCGCTTCGCGATCCAAGATGGGGAAGACTGAGAAGCCCACGACTGGGTCCTTCTCCTCCGTCTTCTGATTCGTAATGGCCGATGAGCGCTGGAAATGCGGTGCCTCGAGCGAAATGAGGCCGGCGGATTCGGGGAATCCCTTAAAATCGGTAGGAACAAGCGTGTTCACCACCGGGATGCGAATGAGATCAAAGTACGGGTACCTTGCCGGGGTGGAAGTGATGCCGACGTTGACCGTGTCGTCAAAGTCAGTAGGGACCTTGCTCCAATCTATGGTGACGTTGAGGCGCTGCTCGGTCTTGTCTTTATCAAGAGTCCCGCTCGTTGGCGTGATCTTGATAAAATCCACCGATATCTCGTCCAACTCCCAATCAATCGGGACCCTGTAATCTCCTCGGGCGAACAGGTCAACATGTCTTACGCCGGGGCCGAATCGGTCCATCTGGGGCAGGAGGGCCGTATATCCGGTGGTGGGCATGGACGAGTCGACAGACTCAGCCCAGCGTCCCTGTTCAATCGGGCTGATGGACTGTTCGGCGTAAATACCCAGGTTTCCGAGAGAGAATTGCATATCCTGTCGAAGTTGGACGAACGACAGGTTTGCGAGCATGTCCCTAGCAGGACCAGCCCATGACTTTGGCTCCTGCCACGCAGCGTCGTACACAGCCTGGGACATCATGTTAGCCCACTTTCCCCGAGCATGGCGTCGTACTCCTCGACCATGTCGTAACTAGCATCAAAATCGTCGAGGACCTGGCGGGCGACGGCATTGGCCGTGTTTCGGCGCTCCAGGGCGTACTTGTAGTTGGTGCCCACACCGATCATGACGGAGTAATAGATGGACCCGGAGGCGACGGGGTGGTAGACAAGCTGGTAGAAAGCTGGCTGGAGTTGGCCGTCAAGCTGGTCGTAGACGGCCTTGGCTCGTGCGGATAAAGCCTTCCAGCGGCCCAGGATACGCTCAGCCTCGTGGTAGTTGAGCGTAGAGAAAGTGTCAGCCGTGACGAGTTCGAAACGGCGCATGCCGATGAGATGGCTGTGCTCCATGAGTATGTCGGCGATCTCTTCCGCATGGTCCGCGCCAAACTCGCGGGTGGCAAGAAGCTTGAGATAGGTAGGTATCTTGCTAAAGCTAAAGTTGGACACGTTCCAGGCCAAGTCCATGGCAAAAGCAAAGGGAATCTCCATCGGCTTAATGTCGCCAACGTTGACGATCCAGATACGGTCGGCGCCGCGAAGATACGAGTGCATGAGCTCCTTTAGGACCTTGGCGAGATTGTTGGTATTGGCCCACTTGTACGAGCGTGGAAGTCCCACATACTCGAAGTGATAGTAAACCTAGGCTGGTGTTAGTGCCTCGAGCAGACAGCAAAATATTCTTCGGGAAGGGAAGGAGGTTGACTCACGCCGCTGCCTCCTTTCCTTGAGACTTCATCACCAGTGGGTAGGCGGTACACGTTACCCCAGTTGTCATCGGGGAACAAGAGAGTGACGTCCTCGGGGGTCGAGGCCAGCATCGTAGTACGATGCAACCTCTTTATACAGGGCCCAAACCTCTACTCCATTCGTTAGTATCCATCCACTCCTCGACAACGCGTTCTTATTAATCTTATTTTCCCTCGGGCATGACGAGACTTACGGTTCACAGCATCCGGAGCGCCGTGATACTTTTCAATGATGCCTCGCTGAACCTCAAACACTTCCTTGAGCATTTCAATGGCATTCTCTGTGTTGGCTGCCTCATCACCCAAGCCACGCAGGCCGATGGTGAAGTAAGATTCGTTGTTTCCAGCCCTCTCTATGCCCACCTCCATGAAGTCGGTCATGTTCTCGCGGTTCTTGGACCAGTCCCAGGCACCAAGGCCGGACTCATCCCATTCATTGGTAGCCCTTTGCATGGGCTCGTGATGAGCAGTGGATATGACGATACCGTAGTCATCCGCCAACTGCTGATTTCCGGGGTCGTCTGTGAAGAAGATGTTGCCCGGGGAGGAGTCCAAGACTTCCACATGGCCGGCCACATGTAATTGGCTTTCAGGCGGAGTAGCATATCGAAGACGTGGGAATAGAACTCTGTGTTGAGCGGATAGCGCGTTTCATTGTTATACTTGGCCCACCAAGTGTTGAGAGCGGGCTCCTCGTCGTTGATGAAGAGTCCCCGGTATTTAACAGAGGGCTCTCCCAGCTTTGTCGTCTTTCGGAGAGCAAAGATGGACGCATGCTTTTAGGTGGCACGTCGGAGAACCAGTGGAACCTGCCTCTCTTGTCAGCTTCTGTCCTAAGATCTTTAGATCTCCCGCGTTGAGTAAGTCCGCAGGAGACATAAGCAATTGGAGGCTCAAACGTACGGCGATTGTCCACACTGCTCTGCCAGAGTGTGGATACCAAAGATGGTGCCTCGCTTATCACTACCCGCAATAACCAAGGCGCTGTCCACACCAGGGAACGGCGCGTCTACAACAGTGGTCTTGAAAGACTCCCATTTGCCCTCGATATCCGCGACATCAAGAATCTCGGCATCCACTAGAGACCGAATCAGAGCAGAGTCGACGGAGCCGGCAATGACTATGCTCGTCAAGTTGACGAGGTACTCTTCGGCTTCATCCACGGCGTAACTGAATAGGTCACGGCTGACCTCTGTAATCGCCTCGAGATCGCTCGAAAGGGAATCGGCAGCGATGTGGACGCCAGTCCAGTCGTCAGACGAGAGCACGATCGGGGCGGTCGTGATGTCAATGGAGCTGCTGGATGCCCTGAACTCGACCATGGTCTCCTCAAAGAGCGCCAGCACGGGCGCGGAGAGGAAGGCCACGGCCAAAGCCGCCGCTCTTGGAAGAAGGTGCTTCATGACGGAGCGTGGGTTTTACTGCACACCTCTTCGTTCTTGGGTGAAGCACTCCAATCTCACGCAAAATCTGTTGCGCGGACAATTGAAGGGAGGAGGCAACTGGGGACGTATCGAGCAGGCTCGTCAGTGACTTGACCCCGGCTGCTCAGTCAATTTATACATTGGGCCTCCCCGCACTGATTGATTGACCATGTCCTTGGGGGACCTTGAAACGGGACAATATGGAGATTTCTTGGTTAGCTCTTCTCTTCTTCTCCACCATTATTCTTTTCTTCTGGCAAAAAGGTGATTTGCCGGCGGGGTATGAGTTAAGAAGAAGCATATTAAAGTACATTGGGCGCGCCGCGGGTTCGCGATCGTGAAATTCAATCTGGAGGTGAAATTGATATTAGCTGCAGGTACGGTACAGATCGACAAACCCGACTGACAGGCCGGCGGTCATGGTCCATCGACAAGCTGTGTCTCGGGGTCCTAGGTCTGCTGGTTCCGACCTGGGGTGTTGAAGCCGCCCACCGAAGAAGAATGGCAGATCAATTGAAGCAATTGATGAATGAATGTTATCAGTTGAATCTGATGCGTACGACGAACAGCCATTCCGATAATCCGGGGCAAGCAATCCAGAAGTGTGAGAGGGCCCGGCCGCTCAAAACGGAAGAGCAAAAAGACAGAAAAAGAGAAAAGGCCAAGAGCTGTAGCTTATTTACCCCAGAGTAATTTTCCACTAATACGCTGCTCAAGAATAGATTGCGTCCCGCGGCGCCGAGCGGACGGAAGCGGCGCATAAATCGCCGAATATACATCGCCAGGCCACGAGTCTTGGCCTACTTTATCGGGACCATGTTCCTTCGACGCACTACAAGGAATACTATTAGTTCGAACCATTTGCGTCGCCTTTTACGAATTTTGGGCCATCTCTAATGAAGTTTGCCCAACACTGCACAAGCAGCGCGCGTGTGATGAGCCCAAGATCAATGGAGAGGTCTGTTTTAAAGCTCTTACGAAAGACAAGCACAAAAAAGGTCCACTCTGTTATATACACTACATGAAATTTCTGGAATCTAGATTTAGTGTCTAGCAGGAAATACATCCTTTAGGTTGGGTAGATGTATTAGGTCTCAGTTTCAACCTCGGGGTCGGCGCCGGCACGAACATCTTGCGGTTCGACTATTCCAGTTTCTCCAACAAACGTTCCGTTCGAGAACCACGTCCCGGCAGGGCCATACCCCACAACTCTACCGTCTCGTATGTATCCATGCCTCAGGTAGTCGTCGTACTTGATGTTGTTGGGCCAGTTCCAGGTATACTCCTCTCCCGCCCTTCCCACCTCGGCGTATAGCATGCGCCACTTCTCGACATCGTTGACCGTGACGCTCACGCCGTCATATGTGGCCTCAGATGGGGGTGGCGCAAAGGCCAGGGTCACGTTCGAACCGCCTGGAGTGAAAATGACAACCGCCGCCTGGAGGACCGGATATACCACCGCTACGGCAGTGCTTGGCTCAAGGAGGGGCGGAAGCCGTAGCGAGCGATATCGTGGATGAAGAGGCCAAGTAGGATCCCCTGGTTTAGGAGTGACAGGCGGGTTTGGGTGGCAGTCACGGGGATGAGGATAAGGGCAATGGCGTAATGATACAGGTGCAGGTCAAGGCCACCACCCGGAAGCCAATCGAGGAAGAGAAGCGCCAACAGGGCAGCAGGGTATAACAGTAGATACTTTTCCAGTCGCCCCTCGAGCCAGAGGCAGTACAGGTGCCACGAAACCAGGAAGCCGATAATGGCGACAACGGCAGCGATCAGGAAGGTGGTCTTGTCAATCCCAGCCAGCTCGTAAACTGGGATACTATCAAGGGGGAACCAGTCAAGCGTGTAATTAGCCATGGCACCAAACCACATGCCGCCGGTCCAGAGGATGGTTTTCTCGAGCTGAGCCGTCAGGCCGGCAAGAGTCCTCTTTACGCAGGTCTTATAAATCACGACGGCGACGAAGATGGCGGGAAATAGGCCGTGAAGGAGACCCGAGACACGCTCCGGGAGGACGGCGGTCGAGCGATAGGACACGGTGGCAGGATCGGAGACGAGGGCCACGTGGGCGAAGACAGCCACAAAGGCGACGAAGAACTGCCAGGCGGGCGAGGTCACAAACAGGGAAAAGAGGCCGAGGAAGAAGGTGGAGGTGGTAAAAAGCCAGCTCCGAGGGTCGAGATGCGCATCGCACGGGACATCCAGATCGGGCGAGACGGTGAAGGAAAAGGGGAAATGGGAGTCGAACTCGATGGAGGACACGCCGTTGCTCTCGATGGCAGCGTAGGTGTCGTGCTTCCCTACGCGGGTTACGCGGCCGCACCCACCGCGCTCGTCCGAGGCAACGAGGGCGTGGATGGCGGCGGAGCAAATGTACGAGTCGGCGCGGAAGGGATTGCTCCCGACGACGAGGGGCAGGCCGGCGGCATCGTGAGGCCCGACGGGGTGGGGGCCGGGAGCGGTGGCGCGGGCGCAGTTGGCAGGGCAGCGAAAGGAAAAGTGGCTCTCGGTAAAGGGTCGGCACAGCTCGCCGTCGATACCGCAGGCGTTGGGGGACCAGAGGGTGTCGTCGCAGTCGAGGTTGCGGACGTACTCTTCGTCCCCGTCCAGGAACGGGCGGTGGGCGGAGGCCAAGGGGTAGGAGAAGGCGGCGATCCAGACGAGGAAGAAGACGGCGACGAAAAAGACGCGGACGGCGGAAGGGAGTCGGTCGAGGATGTTTACCGGCCACTGCTGGAACAGCGGGAAGAGAGGTCTCACGGCGAGGTGGCGGGGCTCTCGGGGCCCGGAGGACCACCGAGGTAGGCAAATGAAGCGGCGGCGGCGAGGCTCGGTAGGCATGGAGGGCTTGGCAGGGGTCCGCTCTTCGTCGTAGTCAAAGGTGCGGGTTTCCGAAGATCTGAGCAGCCGGAAGCCCTCCTCGTCAACGGCCGGGCGTCTCCATCGCGCAGAGTGCGCTTCCATCTCGGGCATCGAGGCGTGCGGACGAGACTTTCTTTTCTTCTTTATTTTTTCCTCCCCTCAGAACAGATCAAGCCCAAGAAAAGAAATATCTAACCTGAGCTCGGGTTTCCCGTCTCCTTGGCACATTGAGATGGTGAGATCTAGGAAGAACAACGCCCAGCGCGTGCCAGAGATTACAGATGACTATCAGAGGCCACGTTTAAGAGACTCGGAAGTCTTGCGACGCTCTCGGCACGACATGGAAGTGTTTCCATGATTGAAAGAGGGGCCCATGGTTAGAAGAGAGGGAAAAAAGTGTTCTATCCGGTTTGGTCACTTCATCCGGGACATGGCCATTCTTCCGGCAGCAAAGCAGACTAATTCGAACGCCGTTAATTAACCATGACAGGTGACAATTAAGAAGCATGGACTGTTACGGATAAAGGAGAGCTTGAACTTGGTAGAGAGGGCACCATCAAGCCTCCAAGGTGGTAAATGTTGGCACCGTACGCCCCTTTGCCAAGGGGTTCAATAAATGCTTCAGCGCCACAGAGAAATTCCTAAAGACATCGAGATGCCATCGGGCACGGTTGATGATGCGCGCCACTTGTGGAGGTTTTAAACATCCATCACCTCGGTGAGTTGGTCGGTAACATTAACCACCAATCGCCGGGATGAGAGGGTCAGCAGCAGGGGAGAAGGGTGGGACATAAAGCTGCTCTCGGAAAGACGGCCAGAGGAGGTTTCGGCCATGCGAACCACGAGTCGCCGCAAAGGGCAAAAGGGGCGACCACACAGAGGGACGAACATTCAACCTTTTCTGAGATCCAATAAGCATGAGGCGGAATGCATCTTTCCAAAAAGGCGAAAAGACCCTGCGCATGAGGGCGGCTTTCGTTGGTCGCACAACAAGTCCTGTCAACACACGGGGGTAGGTGTCGTTCGAGCCAGACCCTGGATAATTGCGCTTGGGTGCGTGCTCACCCCTTCTCACCCACGATTACAAGTGCTCATGTGTTGAACAAGGTGAATCGTTGCCTTTTCCCAACTTCATAGCTCTAGATTCAGCGGGAAGATACTCACCAAGCTGTACGTGGCATCAATAGCCCGACTGTATTACGAGAACGCAGATGCTCAACTTCAAACATCAATTACGGGCGGAAATTTCCGCATGGCCAAGGTGCGAAATGCCTAGCGACAGCCCAACGAAAGACGACAACTCTTGGCTCCCGTAATTGAGGTGTCACTTGATGGAGGATCTCGCCAGAGGCGGATAGCAGTTCGACACTCAGCCCTGTGAGGGACGAGGATCAGACAAGAACCCGCACCCGATCGTCGGTGGCGCGGGGACAATGGATTCTCTCCCCAAACACTTGTTGATGTTTTGCGTGGGCCAGAGCAAGTGAGGCCCGTTGTCTGTATAGTACCTCGTACCTCGCCGCACGTGTGTGTGTGTGTGTGTGTGTGAGAGAGGAAGACGGGGAAATGAGGCTGTGCAACCCAAATCACTCCTGTGCGCCACTGCCACACATGGACCAAGCAAGCAGGCATCGCGGAAACAAGTGCCCAGAAACAGGCTAGCGCGGAATCCGCCTCTTTTCCTCTCGTCCAGCACCAGCAACAGACAACCACTCATCGAGGGGCAAAGACCCAGTCCCGCGCCGCACCAATGCTCTCTGACTCGCCCCTCGCCTTTTCGTTCTTGCGCCGCCCCCTTGGCCCCTTGGACCCCTGCACACTTTGTCTTGTCTGTCCCCCTTTGCAGCCCTTGCACGCTTGCACCGCCCGCCCGTTTGGCCTTATTTCCTGCCCTGTGCATTGAAGACGAGACCATTCTCCACGCATGAGCCAGGCGCGAAAGGTACGGTACAGGAGTACACTGGGTCAGCCTACACAAGGCACTGGCACTCGCACAAGATGTTGTGAAGAGCCGGGGCTAGACAAAAGAAAAACGTGACGGGAGATTGAGGAAGGGGAACGAGAGGAACCTGTTGGAGCTGGCACTTCAATCCACGGATCCTTCCAATAAAAGTTACATCAGAGCGAAACTCGTTCCCCCAAAAATCAAACACGAGGAAAATTCTCCCTCTTCTCCTTCTCGTAACAGAGTCCCAGTCACGCTCCAGTTTCTTTTGAAAGCCTCGATTCAGTCTTGCTAATCGCCGTCTCTTCGATCTTTCCCAAGATCCCAGTCCATTTTCAGCCCTTTTGCTCCACCACCCCCTGCTCATCTCCCCCACTCATCTCGCCCAATTCCCCAAGCGTCTTGCCTCGCGCGTGTCTCTCAGCCCTTTCCTCTTCCTTCCTTCTTTTTCTCGTTTACGACGAGCGGTGCTTTTCCTCTTGGCCCACCATCCACGACCACTCGCCCATTCACTTACGACCGAAATCTCTCCTATCCATCCCTTCTCGACGAACTAAGGAGGAGCTCCTCGCGACAAAAACCTACCTCCATCTTTCGCACACACTCTCTCCTTGCTCCTCACGCCTCGCGCCCGGAGCTCACCCGCCCCGACCCACAGCCATGAGCACCTACGACACCTACCGCGGCCTCGCCATCGGCTACATCGTCGCCATCGTCGTCTGCGTCCTCTTCTTCTTCGTCATCGTCCCCATCGCCGGGTGCATCTTTTACAAGAAGCGCAAGTCCCGCCTCGCCGCCAGGAATCGCGCTGCCCAAGCCGCCGCCCAAGCTGCCGCCCAGCGCAATGCCGCCGCCGCCCCGCCCGCCTACCCTATGGTGAATTACGCCCCCGTGCCCCCGGCCCCGTCCAAGACACCCGTCCCGCCCCAAAACACCGAGTTTGGCGGCTACTACGCTCACGACGGCGGCCTCGTCCACGAGATGCCCCAGCCCGGACAGCAGTCCTACGCCGAACAAATGGCCCAGCCCGTAAACTACGTCCATGAGCAGCCCTACATCCAGGCCGCCGAGCAAAGGCAACAGCAACAACAACAGCAACAACACGTTCAGCACCAGCAGCCCTCGTACCAGCACCCGCAACAACCGCCGCCTAACCAGCAGCAGCAGTTCCACGGTTAAAAGGCCGGGGATCCGTCTCTAGAGGCTTTACACAACACATACCTGAAGCGGCTCTGGCTTATTTTTCTGTTTCTTTACCTATCTCTGTACGCGATTAGATGTGCTACCTTGGTTGTCTTTCTTGTTTTAACTGGTCTTGTAAGGCATGTTCGGAGCGGCGGCGTCTTCATACATTTTGGTCCTTTTCTTGAAGCCAATATATACCTAGTATCTACTATATCCAAGATTATTTTAAAGGGAGGTGCCACACGTCCTCTTTTACTTTGACATACACTACACTCTTCAATATCCTCCTCCCTTGACCTTTGTATTTCGATGTTGGCAATAGTCCTTCGGAGCGCTCGACACAAACGCAAAGTGGACTAGCCGGGAGCTATACGGCGACATCATCCGATCTTTGTAAGTGAAGCGAGTTGTAATGCTGAGGAGATTCTTGTCAACTTATCGGGAAGCGCGTCATCCATCCTACACAATCATGCACAGTTTTGCTACATGCAATTTATCTAATTTTTTTTTTTAAATGATATAAAAGAGGATCAAAATAAATAAAATCGCTTGATCTAGGAATGAACGCTCGACAGTTATACCCCGCCAGATGCCCAATAGTAAAAGATGGTTGTCACATTGTCCTCCTTCGAGTTCAAACAAAACTTTTCGTCCGATATGTCGGATATCCTCTCTCTCTCTCTCTCTCCTTCTCCCTTCATACTCCATTAAAAACAAGGGACAAAATATATTAATCAGAAAAGAAGAAGAAAGGTTCAAAACAAAGGAAAGCCCAACTGTTGAGGCAATGGTAGATGTGATTAAATGTTCAAGATAGTGGCCCGTCGACTAGATTCTAAAGAATCAGCCGTATTTTCGGATACAAGATGGCATCGAGACCGCGATATCCTGGGAAGATATGGCCGCGGAGGCTGGCAGGAAATTGCCTCGTTTATCGTCTGTTGTAGTTGACATATCGGCTCTAAAGGAATGAAAAACGTGTTATTAGCATCGACCATGAATGTTCGCAGGGCTACACCGTCACTTACAGCAAGGAAGAGGATGATCAAGTTACTGCCGATAAACGCAATAAAAATGCCCAAATCTCTCCATCGAAGACCAAAATCAAGGCCCAGATTCCGGTAAAACTCGTCTCCTTCACGGTATGCGCAGTACTCGCAGTTCTGCGTGTTATCATCAACCAGGTATCCCAACCCGCCGTTGGTGAAGAACTCCGACATGTACTGTCCACAAGTTTGGTTGCTAGGAGCCGTAAAGCGGTTCAACTCCTCCGATGTGCAGACAACGGGGAGCTCATGGAGGCCCGTCGTAACCATTCCCGAGATAAGGCGGGTAAACGGGTCAAGCTGGTAGAGCCATGCTTTCCAGAACCCGGGCATCTGCGGCTTGGGAATCGTGACACCGCAAAGAGACCAAAGGTGATCATCAAGAATGGATCAAACTGCACAGAAATGTACGCAGACGGTGCGAGCGCGGCCACTGCTTGACCAAGAGTAACAGAGAACATTTCGGTGATGAGGATCATGAAGAACTGGTATCCGGCTCGGGATGATTCGGTCTGGAAGCCAGGAATGTAGTATAGCGGCAAGAAGAAGACAACGGCGCAGAGGATCGAGTAAGGAATTTCCGCAATCACGATCGAGGCGGCAAAGGTAAAGGGGAGTACATCTTGGAAGACGACTCGCGGAAGAAGATGGCCCGCCGCACATGATACATGACCTCGACCTGGCCGATGATCAGAGCCGGTAGAACGGTAACCTGGAAAATGACAAACACCTTGTACTGAAGGGATGACCTAGAGTCATCAAGTCCCAGATACATCAGACCGGTAAGAAGCGAGACGATAAGATGGTTGAGAAGCCTAGTAAACTCGTAATTGGGGGATCTCCAAAAGGCCGTGTTCATGCGAGCGGTGACAATCTTGAGCTGATGCAGGAAAGGGGTGGCATATTCCTTTTCGAGCAACTTGTTGCCAGACTTGGTTGCCCGGATTCGCTCTTCCTTGAGTTGCTTGATGGTCTCCTTGGTCTGGGCAAACTCGGGGCTATCCTCCCAGATATCCGCCCAATCGCGGTTTCCGACCCGGGGAGAGCTGCCGGCGCCGATGGCTTCGAGCATAAATTCGGCAACGTTGTCCTTCTCGCCAGCCGCAGCACCGTACCCCTTGAGGTATGCCCTGAGAATGTGCGCGTCTGCGCCAATATCCCCAAAGTAGACCGTCCGGCCGCCACGCTGGAGTAGGAGAAGACGATCAAAATTCTCGAAAAGCGCGGCATTAGGCTGGTGAATCGTACACAAGATGGCTTGTCCAGCAGCGGCCAGCTTCTTGAGGAAGCGGACAATGTTGAACGCGCTCTGGCTGTCAAGGCCAGAAGTAGGCTCGTCAAGGAATAGGAGGAGTTCGGGCTTGGCCGACAGCTCGACACCGATCGTCACACGCTTGCGCTGTTCCACAGTCAGACCCGCCTCCGGAGTGCCGATAATGGAGTCGGCAATGTGCTCCATTTCGAGAAGGGCAATGATTTCCTCTACGTAGGCATATTTATCACTCTGGGGAGTCTCGACGGGTCGGCGAAGATCTGCAGAGAACCGGAAGGCCTCTCGAACCGTCTGCGTAGGGTCGTGAAGGTCGAGCTGCTCGGCGTACGACGTGCTTCGCTGGAACTGCTTGCCAGGGGCCACACCATCGACAAGCACCGAACCCGATATGACGCCAATGTTCTTTCGTGCTGCAAGGACATCCAATAGCGTCGTCTTTCCAGCACCCGAGGCGCCCATGAGGGCCGTGAGCTCTCCGGGGCGGACGTAGCCGTAGATGTTGTTCAAGAGCCGTTTGGTGCCGGCCGGAGTAGGCACGTCATAATTAAGTTCCTCCCAAGTAAGAATGCTTTCCGACTTGATGGTAAGGTCCGAGGATTCCTCCACACTCTCTCCTTTGCGTTTCTCATCTCGCTTTTTGATCAAGGCCTCGTTGAGCTTAGTTCGCTCAGCATCGGGTCGGGCAAAAACCTTGGCCGAGTTGCCCCCATACCATAGCTAATGAATTCGCCGAGAACAACGTTCATGATGAGGAAGAAGACGATGAGGGCCATCACGATTCCCCAGTTCCTCCAGAGGTAGGCCGGATCGTATGAAAATCCTTGGGTAATATACGAAGCACCCTTGACGATCGCGGTTCCGCCGACGGAGCCTGCAAGAGTGCACACCTGATGAGAGATGTCGTCGTAGCCGGGACCAGAAGGGATCAAGGACTCTGCTGAACAAACAAGGTCGACGTTCCTGAATTCGTTCATCATCATGGAGCTGAATGCCAGGCCCAGCGGATTAATCCAAAGATCCATCGCAGCCACTTGTGCTGCGACTGATACTGGATCAGATAGCCAGAAGTGATGACGAAACACGTAATTAGGAAGACGGTAGACCGGATCGCCGTATCATAATCCGGGCTCGCACATCCCACGATTCGGAAGAACAAGGTCATGGCTATATTTCCCGAGAGGATCATGAGATAAAATGTGAAGAAGCCGCCGGCGGTTTGGTACAGTCCAGTCATGAAGTATACGATGATGGAGAAAACCATGATTTGAGTCGCAGAGAAGGCTTGATCGACCAGAATCTGCGCAATCCAAAGAGCTGAGGGACGGTGGAAGGCATAGGTCCGGTGCTTGTTGACAATGGCGCGCCCGGACATGGTGCTGGCAAGTTCCGAGAAGGCTTGGAATGCATTGAACAAAGGGCGATGAACAAGACACCGCCCTTGGAGAAAGCACTTGCAGAGGAGTCGCCGAGCTTAAGATAAAGAGAACCAAGGACAATAGCGATGACGATACTTCGGAGCCACGAGAGAGTAAGACCCATTTTGTCTTGCAGTTTGAGATAGAACTGCCTCTTCATAAGAGCCGCGACTTGGATATGGAATCCCGTCGCGTAGGTCGAGCGCTTAGGTGACGATCGCTTGCTCTCGTGAACGGCAACCCTGAAGTCCTCATGCTTGTGTGTTTCCTCTTCCAAGGCAGCCTTATACCCGGCCATTTCGTCGTTCAGCCTCCGTTGGTAGACAGAATCCTTGAATGCGGCTGCAAGGGTTGCAGGATCGTGAGGGGCGTTGTGCTTCGAGTATCCCTTGGCATAGTCCCTCTCAAACTCATCAGTGCATCCCGTAAGGTAATCCGGGGTGGTTTGTCTCGGGCGAGGGGCGAAGCCAAGACTTTCGAAATAGCTTCTTGCGTCGGAGGCAGGGCCAAAGTAGACCTGCTTGCCACCATCGATGACGAGAACCTTTTCAAAATGCTTGTAGATATTCTCCGAGGCCTGGTATAGCGACACAAAGGTGGTTGTCTGATAGAGGTCCGTCTGAATTCGCAGGGACTTGATGAAGTCCAACGCCGTACTCGAGTCGAGGCCGCGAGTGCTATTGTCCCAGGACAGGATGCAAGCATTGGTGATCATCATCTCAGCGATGGACACACGCTTCCGCTCACCACCCGAGACACCACGGATGAAGTGGTCGCCAACGACCGTGCGACGAGTGTGCTCGATGTTGAACATCTTGAGCAGCGTGGTGATAACCTGCTCCTTGAACTGATCCTTAGATACGCCAGCAGGTCGCTTCCCGGGGACCTTCATGTCCAAAGCGAAAGCAAGAGTCTGCTCCACGGTCAGGGTGGGGTGGTGAATATCGTCCTCTTGGTTGTAGACGGCTTCTCCACGATACTGCAAAAACTCCTTGGCGGTAAACGGGCCGTAGAGTACGTCGCCGGCGACTCCAGTGTATCCGTAACGCTGATTGGCGATAGACTTGAGGAAGGTCGTGCAGCCGGAACCGGGCTTCCCCAGCACAAGCACCATCTCTCCGGGCTTGCAGACACCCCGGAAGTTGTCTAGGAGCGTGGCCTCGGTCCTCTTCTTGGCAAATCCAAGGAGCTTAGCAAGGGGTGTAACTACGTTGATCGTATTGAGGAAGCCGTTGACAAAGGTGTCGACATAATTGTCCTGACCCGCGAAGCCCTTGATGGTCAAGCCGTCCCAGTACACACCAATGTGCTTAGGGCGGATGCCAGCCTCCTGTTCGGCAGCAAGGCCCCCTCGAAGGGTAGCCTCAAGATCGAAGGGCTCTAGGCTTTCATTTGTGATGCTCGAGGCGGCAGCACCTCCTTTCTCGACATCGGCGGTTCTGGGCTTCGCGGCGGTACTCTCGGCGCGGCTTATCCTCGAAAGTTCGCGCTGAAGCTGAGCAAAATCAGCTTCGGCCTTCTTCACGGAAATGCCTGTATGGATCTCTTCGATAGCGCCGGGAAGGTGACCAGGATTGTCACCGGCGACGGGTTGAATTTCAGTCTCGGAAGGCAGGTGTTCGGGGAGGGTTGAGTCAGACGCCGAAGGCGCCTGGCTTTCATATACGCCCTTGGAGGGCGTAGAGTCGGGCATTGTGCGTCTCGAGCGCCACAGCAAGGTTCGTATCTAACGCGCCGTGCGCCTCCGCACAGGATAGGCCGAACTAATCACGAACTTGATGGGTATGGCGATGGCGCAACCAAGTGCTGTAACAGCAGAAGAAAAGGGGAACTGCTAAGATTGCTGGTGGTAGGTAGTCACCAGCGCAGCACCTAGAGCGACACAAACACTGAAGAAAGCCAAGATACTAGGTAGCTCAAAAGGAGGCTTTGACGGAGGTATAGTAGCGAGGGGAATAAGATAATCCGAATTCAGGTTTAAGCAAACAGCGCGGAAGCAATCACAGCGAGGCTAACAGACCCAGGGAAAAAGAATGAGGTTCACTCAGACGAGTGCAGTCCAAGAAGAAGTAGGAGGGGCAACGGAGGTTTACAAAAGAAGAAAATAAACACCCCAAACAATATTTGAGGGATGGGACGGACGCCAAAGCGGAAATACATCAAGGGGAAAAGGTTGGTTGACGTTCTGGGCGCCGGAGCATTTATCAGCACCACAGAAGGAGGCTAGCCAAGCCAAGGAAGGTGGAAGCGAAGTGGGTTCGAGAATCCCACGAGCACAGAGAGCCCGGACAAAGAGATATGTTCACCAGGCGGGAATGGGAAGAGAAGGTTTTTTGTTATTGATCAAGTTACAACTACTGTCGATCTCAGCGCAGTGCAGATTGTGGATCCTGTGCGGAAGAGACATTGGAAAAGGATAAGAAGAATAAGAAAGAAAAAGAAAAAGAAAAAGAAAAAAGAAAAGCGGGCTCCCAAGTGCTCTCTATTGCTGAGAACGGCCATCTTGGGGGTGGGTTCGTGGAGAAGGCGGGAGCAGTCGAGTGAAGAAAGAGCTGGGGACCGCAAGCTCCATTGAAAATTCGACGAGCAGCATCTCAACCATGATTGGACGATTAGACCTTCCTCGAGGGGTCTCCGACGCCTTGAGCCGAAAGGCCGAACAGACAGGCAGGGGTTCCCCGTGAGTCACTCGGCCGCAGAAGGAAGCGGCAATGGGACGGTTCGATGGTTCCTTCTTGGGGGCAGATGGGCAAGAGACGGTGGCAAGAGCCACTGATGGAACAATGAGGGAAACCAAGAGCCAACACGACTCAGTCAAAGAATGGGCACGGGGCTGCCTTCCGCTCGTCTTTTTCTCGAGCAACGCTAACGTACTGCCGGGGAAGGGGCTTCCGCCACTGGCACCGGCGGGGACTGACCTCCCCTTGGCGGATCCCAGCGCCCTTTTCCGAAAGCTCTCCCTGCCATCCACTGGGAGCGAACCCTGCGAAGTGGGTCTGCCCCACTCCGGTTGAATGACCAATCGGCGCCAGCGTTCTGACATCCATTCTCCCTCAACCTCATCCCCCACCATCGGGCCGGGACAGAGGGGGAAGCTCTCGTTCCAAGCAAATAATAAAGGGCAAACAAAAGGACGAGCTCGCTCATCCAGGAAGGCGTGGCGGTTGAGAGAAGAAATTTTCTCGCTTGAAAATGGAATTTTTCGCCCAATAAAGAAGGCTGTTGCTAATATCAATTCCTGCCACGCTTACAGAGTGTCCAAAGGCGTTGAAAACATGGGAGGTCAACCATGGTGCAACTTTTTTCTTCTTTTTCATTTACCCTCAGTTGACCCGTTATTCAAGCCAATCCTGCTTCGACTTAGACTTTTGGTTGGGTGGGTCCGATCTAAACATCTGGTCTCCACAAAAGTCCACCGCCAAAACTCTGCAAGATTTCTAAGACTCTGGCCAGGCAATATTATTGTTTAGAATATCATCAATCTCGTCTTCCTTGAGAAAATTGCCTGGCCTCCTCCACCCCCTGTCAGGACTCGGGCTAACTGCTCATATTATTCTTCCGCGCGGATAAAGTACGCAAGCTCGTTTTGATCTGACTAATTATGAGTCCGAGTGGTGGATCCTGGAACAAGTCCCTGTTCGCGCGCGTCATCCCGGCGCCTTCACCGCTCAAGCCCCCAAGCCTGGGGCAGCGAGCCCCACAGGCCAGGCAGGACATTAATAATGCTGAAGGCGCTACCGACTACCAAGGTAGGTAGGTATCGCCAAGATTTCACCACACGAGGGCCACACGAAGGCCACACGGGGGACAAGAGAGGGACGAGATTTGGTTCTTGTCAGAGTCTCCTCGAAACAGCAGCTAATATCCAGCTCGTATCCTGGAACCTTTATCAGCCTGGCCCTTCAATCTAGTTAGCCGTTCGAGCTCGTCAGCCAGCCATGCACATCAGCTGCCATACTGGATCATGTACTCGTGCCAAGTCATGCATGAAATTTTCCATTAAATTCCAAGCCGAATAGAGGCGCGACTCCAGCATTCTTGATGTCCACAATGCGTGCGAGGCACTCGGGCGGCAGGTGAAGTGTCTTTGCACGAGTGGGGGTTCTCCCGTTTGGCTCGTTATCAGGCCTGCTCCTGTGAGAGGATCATGATAATGGGCGTGTCTAGATCTTGTATTTTCTCTTGCATCTCACCCACCCCCACAACACTCACAGCGGGGTGGGGAACAGGGATGCTTTTTTCTTTTTTCTTTTTCGTTGCTCTTTTTTGGCTTGTTTTTGGGGCCGCCCTTTTGGTCTCTCAGCCGGGGCCACTCACGGCCCCACTTCCAATCTCGCGTGCTCGAGGAACTTGGGGGCCCATGAGAATGCGCACGAACAGGAACAGCAGCTACCGTTGCTGGACCTTGACTCGAGTAAGACATGGTCGCCTTATTTCCGCTCCGGCTGATCTTATCTCCTTCAAGGCAGCTTCCCCTTCCCCACCGCCTCGAATACTTTGCAGGAGAGTACAGGCTGGGAAAAAGACATTGAAGACTTCCATAACCACCAACGGTGCCATAATGTTGCGGACTTTTCGGAGAAGTTTACTATTCGTCGAGCCCCTCTTTCAAGATGCGATGCTCAGGAGTGCTGGGCTGAGTTTGTACCATCCAAGATGCAGCACCCCCAAACCCCGATCTTTGCTCCATGACAACTCGAAGCTCCGGCAGGCTTCCTCAAGGATCATTGTGGCATAAATCAAGAAATCAAGCTGCACGCAATAAAGAGTATATTGAAAATGTGTGTGCATACTATTCGTGCGCGACATGCAGGACGTACAGCATCGAGAAAGATCCAGGAAATCTCCATTCCTTTCTCTGAACTTGGTCAAGATATCTATCACCAAGATGATCCCCTTGGTCAAAGAGAGATAGGCTGCGCACGACGCCCCCGAGTACGTAATCGAATTCCCAAAAACTCTCAACCTGCCCACGCGCATCTGTACGTACTGTATGCAGCCTCCGACGCAGCCCCACTGAATCAAAGGCAAGTCGAGGCGGAAACTTTGCCCCCGCACGAAGCCAGAGGCGGAGCCGAAGGTGTGGGCCAGCTGCGGCATACGTGCGCGTGCTTTGCCGGCGTCCGGCAGAGATCCGGATTCGCCCAGTTCCATGGCGGTGGCGCATCATGCGTGAGTCCGGCCGGTGTGGAGCCTATGAAGCCGGTTGCCGCGGCCTCCCACGAAGCATTTTGGCCCGCCCTCGTCCGGCCGCAACGTGGACAATCGAATACTTGTGCGACGGCCGAAGCGAAGTCGAGAAGGATTGGGGCGCATCAATGATGAAAATAAAAATAAAAACACCCTCCCCAATGCCCAAAAGCAAGTTGGAGGAGGCCAAACAGAAATGCGGGAACGTCGGCCCCCGGTGAAGGAACTGGGCCATGCACGATGTTGTCACCGTTCTCCAAGTCTCGCACGAACATGATAAGACGACTTCGGCTATAGCCCCTCCTTCCCTATCTCGTTCCTCCTTTAGGTTTGGCCTGGCGATTGTTTCATCGCATGTACTCATCAACTCCCAGGTAGCCACAATGCAGCGAGCCGGCCATAGCATGCAAGAAGCTCGTCGGGGGCGCCTTGGTCGCTGTGTAAGCTTTAAGTCAGGCCACCATCAACCGGATTAAGCAAGAGCAAGAGATGGACATGCACGGGAATACGTTCCACCACGTATCACTCTCCAATATTGACCGGCATGCAAGGAAGTGAGGATACAACTCGACGGCCTACCGAGTGCCCGGCCACATTAAACACTCATCATCAGGTCAAACCCAAGCAGAGTGGCCACCGGATAGTGTACTATGTTGGCCTCGCCCATGCCTCCTCTGCATTCATTATATTTCCCAGTAACCTAGAGGTCCTAGTTTGTCGGCCGGTGTGCGGCATTGATTCCACTGGAATCCTTCTATTCGTCACCGCTTGACTTATCAAACCGTACAACACGATAAGACCATAAAAAGACCCGCCTATCTAATATCTATGCTACACGTCACAATGCATCAGTCTTTTTATATCCCCAAGTATAGGTTTTGATCTTCGTTGCTCAAGTCACTGCTACGGGTCCGCGGTGACTCCCAGGTACTGATCAAGGTAAGGGGGAAATCCACGAAATAGTTTCACCTCTCTTTTACTAGAATGATAAAATAGACGATATGATGTCTCTTATCAGGAGAATTTCCTTTGTTTTCCCAAAGAAGACGGCGTAACCGAAGCCATCATGAACGAGGAGAAAACCAACCACCGCACCCGTAAACCCCTACCAGTAGCAGAAAAGAGTATATAGAAGAGAAGATACAAAGAAAAAGAAAGAAAGAAAAAGGGCATAATTCATCCTTTGGGCTAGCCAAACGCGCCGTATAACTGATGTCTGTCCTGGCCTTTCATTTGTCAGTTTCTGTTTCCCGGCAGGCGGGACCGGCAGATGTGGGTCTCCGGAGCTGTGGGGCGGTTCCGAACCGGCATCCGTACGGTGCGTGGTGTCACGCCATGCGTCGGGCGCATACGGAATGAAACTGTCGGATAGGGAGGAGGTGCATGAGCTAATGAAACTGGAAAGAAAAATAAAAAAGGGCGGGGCAGGGGGCAGGACTGAGAAGAGAAGGTTCAGTCCACCACCCGCTTGCCTGCCGAAAGACACAAATCTTGATAGGCCGG